CATCCATAGATATTCTAGCCTCAGAGAGGACCAAGCCCGATTACAACTTGGGCCTTATTCCAACTTGAACCCAGTTTGCAACTTGGGCTTGGGCAACGCTATACAAGCTGGGGCCCAATTTGAAGTTGGGCCACGCTTTGATAGGTACAGGAGCGCGAGCGCGGAGAACTGCCATCAAGTAAAGGTAGATTGTCTTCTATATGGGGGCTAGGAAGTAATTGCGTGAGGTTCATGTACAGTGTCATGCATAGTAAGACATGATGGAGGAACGACCCTCGTATTTATACTACATTCCTTGACAGTGTAGACTTTATAATGTGTAGCTGTACATAGACAAGGGAACTAATCTTGTTCCCTTCAAACTGCTACATTTTTTTGTACAAAAATTACGGCTTTGGCCGATAGAGCAGTCGTGTGTATTTAATTGTCGCCATGTTCTGTAACTTAAAATTTATTATTAAAAGAAAAAGATCAATAATTTTTATCTTCTGGATATTATAGGGAAGTTGTTTTCTCCATTTTACGTGTGCAGTGGTTCTATTTTTTACCAAAGAAGCTTCACTTTTTTTTTTAGTGAGTTGGCTGGCAGTGTCATGCAACAGCAATCAATAGACCGACCATTAGCTCCACCCCCTCTGCGCACGTGGGCAACAACACGTGTACCAGTTTAGCACCACGCTGCATGTCCCATCTACGACTGTGATTGGTCAAAACATCTGGGGGCAGGGCTTAATGGATCAGTCTCTTCTCACTGATTGGTAGGGTTTTCAATGTACAGAAATGTTACAGACGGCTGTTATATGTCAGTCTATGCAAAATTGGTGACTTTAGATGTGTAGGTCAAAGAAAGTGACGAAATTCTGCATGTACGTTTTCAAGAGTACCAACTCAATTTTTGTATAGTTTCCCCCAAATTTATTTCTGACAGTTCATGGTGTATGAAATTCATAAGGGAACACAATCTGGCGAATCGCAAAATAAATATTATTCATTGGCCAATTTGTCAGGAGGTCATATTTGAAGACCAAGTTTCATAACCAAAAAAAAAAGAAACCATTTATGAATTGTTTTGTTGGGGAGCGTGGTGTAGTTTAATTTTGACAACCACTAAAATATGCACGTCATGTTCAGAAATCTTCAATAAAAATCGCGACTCCCGATTGTTATTTGAGCAATCTTTGCATTAATTTATAGCTCAAACAGTAAACATTGCTCAGGATAATAATTTTGTGAATTTCATATGATTATTTAACCTTTGAGGCAAAAAGAAAGAAACTTTCCTCCTTACCAAAAGCTAAGATGTAGACTGTGCTGCCATAATTATGTCACAAGATTGTGTCCTCTTACCAGATACACAACAAATTATTTTTGAACTGAAATCATAACAGTTGTATGCATAACCTAACAGAATATGTTATTAATGTACAAAGTGAATTAACTGTAGAAGATCCTTGTAAGACTAAATCAGTGTCATGACCTTTTGTAAATTTGATGTAATACTACAACCCAGTAAAAAGCTGAACTATAAATTAAATATCTATTAATTTATTTTAATCGCCCAATCAGTATGGCAACCGATTATGTTGTTGTTGTTGTTTTTTAACCGTTTTAAATAAGTTAACCCGGTTATTTTTATCTACCACCGATAGCTTATTTTACTGCTTGGTTTGATTGACTGTCGATTTTTACATCCATTAGTTTCCCCGCTTCTGTTTTAAAGCATTCCTTTATTATTGCTGGTTTTGTTTTGTGTGGAAGTATGTTTTATATACCTAGCCCGTTTTGAATTAAACCTCTTTCCAGATGTTTAGTATGTGGTATACTAACGGTACTTGTACCTTACCAACAGAGGAGCCAGACTGTTTTAGTACTGCAACGCTGCTAAAAACCCTTGTCTGGAATTCAGCATCACTGCATGAATTTGGTTTTGCCAAAGTTTTGGTAGTTGTGTTCATTTGCACTTGCAATAATACTTTTTTATCGTGATTTTTAAAAACGTTTTTTAAAAGGCATTGATGTTTAATTCTCTGGTTGAATTCTCAAGTTAAGTTACACAGAGTTTGAGTTAAGTTAAAAAAACAGGAACATTTCTTAGCACTCGGTAATTACATTTTATTTTAATTTCTGGGACATATTTTAAGTCTCCATAAATCTCAATATATATAATTATAATTTTTTTCCAACTTTCGTTTTTTGACTAGACCTACGCTTTTACTAGTTAACATTTTACTGTTTACCCACACCAGTCACATAGGCCTGTATTATGTAGCGACTTAGATGTACAAAAAATAAAACCCTGTCGTACGGGGATTTCCGTTAAACATCAAAAAGAGAGAAATGAATGTCAGTCACATGTCCTTCTTAGTAGTTATAATAATAATTTGCAATATTTGATTCCGTCATGCCGTTATTATTTTGTAATTATAATTTTTTTTTTTGCATTTTACTGTCTTGTAACGTACAAACAACTTTAATTGCCTGTTTAGCTGCGGGCTTATTATCGTAGAGTTTCTTTATTTTGTATCTGCCATGAATAATAATCATTATATGAATCGTTTCTGTATTTTACTCATTTCAGTTTTCATTTTATCCGGTGACCACGTACCGTGAAATATAAAAATGACCTTCTTATTGAAAAGTAAATAATCAAGTAAATTGTTATCATTATTATACAAAATGAAGTTGATTGTTTTTCCTCCCTGAATATATAATTTTGACTTGTATGTTGCCAAAGCTGTTCAAATGCTCTGATGGGGCGTTGCGTCTTTTTCTTATTCAGTTAAGATTAACTCTGATAATAAAGAACGGGTCTTGAAAAAAAACTACAACCATAAAAATCTTCTTCATTGTTTATTAAAACGTTAAAAAAAAAATAAGTTTATAGATTTTGGTTGAGTAGTATGGCAGAAGGGGAGAGGCTAAACTCCAAAGCCCTGAGACGAATTACAAGTCCACTGTCTTCTCGAGCTCATAATCCTGTCTCCATTTTCATGAGGTGAAAAGTACAATTCCCTCTGTGTCAATTTCTGACCACTTTAACGAAATTTTCTTGAGCAAATATCATCATTTAAACATCATTTTCGAGTTTGGAGTAATTGAATCATTTATTCTGAGCTATAGAATCAAATAAAGGCTACAAGTTGTATTTGGGGCCGAAAAAGTGGGTGGGTTGGGGAACAAATGATGATACCTCCCACTTTAACGAGGGGGGATATCCCCCCGCCCCCCACACCGATTGACGCCCATGGGTTCCACTGGCTATTTCTTAGCTGCTTGTATTGAAGTGCAGTTTTAATTGAGAATGTAAACATACATGATTGTACTCAAAAGTACGTGGGATAAAATAGGCCTACAAACATCAAATTGCAACCACACTGTGGCGCTATTTTACTCTCGACGAAAACCTTCAGTGCGTCGCGCGCTGGCAAGTGTCGTATGACCACTGTAGTTAAGCACATGCACCACGTACGAATCTCATGCTTTCCCGCGATTTACGAACGTGATAGGCCTACATGGAAAAGCCTACTGGCTGCGAAGCGCAGCATTATGAACTTTGTACATCACCAGCGAATAGCGTTTTTGTTTGTTCAGTGAGGCGTGGGTTTAGCATTAACACAAAGACCATCAGGCCTACACTGCAGAACACTGTTATATTCGTTGGTCGCTATTAATTGCCCTGTTATGCATTGCTATCGCGCAACACCTCAATGTACAACCGTTGGCTGCAACATAAAAATATTATTGGCTACAAATCTCATGGCGCGGGCTATATAAATAAAGCAAACTTAATCATGGGCTAGAAAATTTGACTCAAGAGTTGACATGCGACGCGTGCATAGTCTTTGTAGCACATTGTTTTACATTTTAGGCCCATTTCGGTTGAACAATGACAGAACTACCAATCCCATCATAGTTCAAAAGGTCCACGATGAATTTCCGACTCGTTCATTTTCTTTCCATAAGACACCACAATGGCTGCCTATACCAATGGTCTACTGACGCGTACACTGAGCATCAATCAAGGGTGTCCAACCCATCGCACTTTTGCTGGCCTACCGACCACTGACTGTACTGACCTGACTGACTGCTGAGATAGGCCCTGTAGGCCCTACACTATAATGACCTGATCTGTCAAAATCAGACTTTTTAGCTCTGGGCATAAGGTCAAATGAGATTATTTGCATATTGTTAAAATATGTACATTTTCCTTCTAGGCTAATGGGTGGTTTAATTTTTGAAACCGGTCATTCCTGGGCAAAGCTATGCTATTTTGATGTTCATCGTGTTGAAAAGTAGAACACGGAGAAAATGGCAGTTAAAGTTTGGGGTCTACTTTTAAGACCAGTTTCAAGTGACATTTCTGTAACCATGTTAACTGATATACCTTAACATATCATTAAAAAGCTATATTCAGAGTTTAAACTAAGGTTTCAAACTTTTATAGTATATTTTAGACATGTTCAGGATTACAAATATATGCAAAAATTGAAAAAACGAAAAAAAAATCATCCCCACAGCGTTGTTGTTGGTGTTTTTATTGGCCCAATCTCAATTTCAACCTCTGACCAGAAGCGTCTGCTTTTGACAGAACATTATTAATAACATAGCTGTCTGTTATTAGCCTGAGTACCTAATTTAAGTGGGCCTAATAAAAAAAATTGGTTTATAAACCGTTTATATATATATAGCCATACCTAAACAATGTGTATAATATTTTTAATTTACAACTGAAAATTAACCGACCATTAATTTTGCACAAATTCAAATTTCAATTTTGGCGCGCGTATGCGCCCACTCACGTGAGCTCACCACGTGCAGGGAATTCGCGCCGCAACGTCACTGCATTCCCACAATGCATTGCTCCATACGCAGCATCGGAAATGGCGGAGAGATATTTTGGCCGATTTCTGGAAGTAGTTTCGTTCAAAACCGAGCCAGTTTTCTTCCACATGCGACTCTCAGGAGTTCACGACAGTGTGACTTATGGTAGGATAATAGTTTCCAATCGATTAATACATGCTGTGGTGGTTATTTTTGTCACATTCAGGGTGATTTGGGAGAGGTTTTCTTGACGAAACTTCGCGTTTATTTTAACGAGTTTACACACGCGTAGCGTGTTTGCAAACTTTACTGATCTCGCGTCCACATTCGACGTCTTTGAAACAAAACATCCCGCAACAACAATCGCCAAATAGGAAATAAGAGATTGCAGATATTATTTTCGAAGCCTATTGTTGGTAAGGCCTGTGATTTTCCGGCTGTTATGCAGTGTTTCGACTTGTTTTGGATCAGCTACGCTACCGACCTCGTGGTGGTTTCGCGATCAGTTCGTGCTGCGTGGTTCAATAATGGCATATTGTGTACGTGTGTAGCGTATTCATTCGCTGTGTACAAAATGCCATGTGGTCAATGCTATAGGCAACCCCAAGCCGTTGCATTGATGGTGTGTTTGGGCGTTGTGCATGTACATTTGTATACACCATTCGTTAACAATCTTTTGGGGTGTATTTTTCATACGATCGTTCTCTCCTTTCTAGTCTGCAAGGTATGAAACGAGACAAAATCAAAACTATTTAAAAACACAGAAGATGTAATTAATGTATTGGTGTATAGGCATTGCAAAGAAATATCATTTAAATGTGAAGCAATTGTCTGTTAATCTTCCATAGCATTTGTGCAAATGAGCTCATTAAAAATACATTTTGGATATGTTAAGACAAACTGGGTTGCAGTCTGAAACTTGCTTTTACATCCATGTCAGCCTGTACCGGTATATACTGTCCATTTATTGCAGGAAAATAAATTTGCACACTGCACTTTTTTTTTTAACACGTTATATTTCTGACATAAAATCCCTTGCGTTCTATTTAAATTAACGTCACTGGCGATATTATTTATGATATTTATGTAAAAGCCATGTTTTGTCGGGTAAATGGTAGGCAATACTAAGTTTTGTCCCCAAAATTACGCTTAGATTAACATGCCACATGCCAAATTGCTTTGCTCTTAACAACAGAAAATTGTTAGCATATAATACATGTACGTACATATTGGAATGTGTTCATGCAATGGAGAGCAGGCAGGCCACAAACATCTAAATCAACGATACATTTCATACAGACGAACCATTTTGGTCTCATGGAAAGTACAGGTCGTGTGATAAGAAACCCAGAATTAACTCCGAGCCTTTAGCTGTCCATTGTATTTTATTTTTATCAAAACTTAAATTGGACTGTGAAAAGGGGTCAGCGGCGAGGCCGATACTTGAGGAAAGATTCTCGTTCCCTATGAACTCCGACACGCAATCAACTGATTGAAATATTTACATACATTTACACCTGCATACATACTGTACATGTAAGCTCAGTGGTACACGTCTTGATACTTGATATACAATGAAAGCCTGGATCATACTTGGCGCAAGTAGTTGTGCAGCAGATTGCAAAAACAGATCATTAAACCTGGCGAATTCACCGTGTCGTTATGACATAGGATTTGCTTTCGCGTTTTTGTAAGTGAAGTGTAAATCTCTTCGAAGAGCCTTTGTATCAGCTATTTCGTGTTACTATACCGTACCTCATACATATTCATGATCGAGAGCCGAGTTCTCACTGGTCCATGCACTATCGCGTGTCGGCCGAGTGCGCACACGAGGTTTCATGCACAGGTTAAATACGCATGCGTTATGCTATCGCACTGGTTACCAGTGCGCTAGTCTACTACGCATGCGCTTTGTGAGGCAATATTGGAACTAGCGCACAGGGGTAGTGCACACGCGCGAATATCGCCCTCGCAGCAGCTACATGAAAAGATGGGGCACGACAACATTTTGCTGAGAAAACGTATGCGTAACTTCATGAAATGTTTGTTAATATGTATGAGGTATAGTAAAACAAATATAACATGGTTTAGATTGGGTGGATAGGCAAAATTAGCTCTCCTCTTTATTGGAAGTTGACAGACTACATGTAGACTGTCAACTTCCAATACCTTGGAGAGCAATATTGACTGTCAACCCTCAAACCATGTTTTATTTGTATACTGTCTCATGCGTGTTGTTTAAAAAATGTTTTGAAATGTTTACAGAACATGAAACATGAAACAATGTAGTACATACATGTGCACGTATACCGAAGCGTGGAGGGTCCACAAGCAATCAAAAAAATTGCCAATTTGTATCTTGTCTCAGCAACTTGCCTTCTGGTTTGGGCGAGTTACTATCTTGCCGCGGCAAGTTAATATCTCGCCGCAGTGACTTACGATCACTCGGCGGAGAGTTACTATCTGTCAGCGGCAACTTACTATCTCTCGAGATGGTAACTCGTCATGGCGAGATAGTAACTGGCAGCTAGTGAGATACCAATTTGAAATTTGTGTTGTGGTGGCCCCTGTACGCAGCCATACGTTACATGTCAGTTACATTTGAAAATAAAAACTGGAATGTTATTACTCAGGCATGTAAATTTCATCGGATCAGCTGATTTCCCCTTTTTTCGTTTCACACTTACAATATAATATGCCATTAAAATTTGGGAAAACATGACATAATGTCTTATGAAACCTGCAATTTTTTTCTTTGTTTTTTTCCCCAGTTGAAAGCCGGTAAACTTTCTAAGTTTGAAGTCTAACATTTCTCATCGGTCTTTCATACTCCACACAGTTAACGTGAATTCATGCCAAGTGAACTTGACAACATGAAACTTGGCAAGATTTGCTGCAGTTGTAATGGGGTCTACTGTTGCTAATTTGCAGTGCTGTTACATCACAAATTTGCACTTACCTTTTTTTTTACTTTTTTTTTTAAAATATAAACTGGCTAAGCCATAGTGACAAAACAACAAACTGCATTGAGATTCATTGCAAATTTACTGTACATTTATAACAACCACACCCGCATTCTGTTGTCACGTTTGCCTGTTGTTATCATTCAAAGTTAACTCGTGGGATACTGCAAAGAATGACATCTGAAAAAAAGACCCCTCAAAAGTCATGATCATGTTGAAGGAAAAAATACATCATTTTTACACTTGAAACATTCTTAAAATTTTCTTACAGAGCGACCTTTCACAAAACCTATTACTATTAGATCGATTGGGGGGAGGGGTGCTGCTATTGAGCTCTTGCTTACAGGTTAGCTTGTACCCCTGCACTACCCCTCTCCCCACCCCACCTCACCATGCCCCCCTCCCAAGCTCCCTCCCCACCCCCACCCCCCTCGGATCCCCCATGCTTATTAAGAGTCAGCCCACAATATAACTGAATTAAAGAGCTGAAAAACGATAATCCATTTTTATTGAAGATGATTTAAAATTTTTATCAGGTTGAATTTTTTTTATTCTGTTTTGTTTACCTTTGTTTTCCCTCAATTTCTTATGGAAAAAAATATAACAATACATGTATATTAGAAAAGTATTCTCTCTCCAAAAAAGCTTTTTTGCATAGTGATACATAAGTTTGGTAATTGGATATGAAATTATAAGTGTACAGAATGTACAATTAATAAATACTAGTCGCATTGAAGTACGTAAATTGCAATATTACTGAGTTTCCTATTGTGCATGATTCACAGTTGATTTTTGCCAAATGTTTGAGTTTGCCGAATGATTAATTTTTATATTTTGTTTTTGCTAAGTAGTGCCATAAATCAGGCATGCAACTTTTCCTCGGATCTGCTAATTTCCTCGTTTTTTTTTTACTTCTCAGGAATGCCATTACAAATTGAATAACACTGTACAAAGTCTTGTGTGGTTTGGAATTTCCTCATTTTTTTCTAAATTCTCAGTTGCATGCCTGATAAATATTGCATTATTTTGATCCCACATTGGTCAAAAGTAGATTGTTCTTGAAGTGTTTTGAATTCTGTCTATTGGTTTTAATGAGTTGAAATTATTTTTTTGGTTTATGGCAGCACCGGACTTTTAATTCACTTTTCAACCTTTGGCAGTAAGGTGTATGCTTCATAGAAAAAAAATGGCGTTGTTGATAACAATATTTCTTTTCCCTTTTTCTTGATAGATGTGTTGTTACCCAGTAGTACATGATGTGGCTGTACCCTTTGAATGCTACCTTCAGGTTATCATGTTGATAGGTGGGTGTTTCATTATAATTTCTCTCATTTTTAAAGCTGTGACCCGACCCCACAAAATCAGTTGTAAAGTTCAGAAGTGACTGCCTAGTTTCGTGTGAGCTATACCACTAGTTAAACCAAAGTGAAGTCTGTACACGAGCCAATATGGCCAATCAGGCTAGTGCGTATCTCCAGTTTCAGCGGCATGAAACTGAATGAGATGCCAGTACATTGCAGGTTACTCCCCAGCAAATGCCGGTAACCCATTTATACTCCTGGGTGGAGAGAGGTAAGTAGGGGTGAAGTGCCTTGCCCAAGGAAACTACATATGGCCAGCAGCTGGATTCAAACCTCTGATCACGAGTCATGAACCCTAACCTCTTGGCCACACTTCCCAAAATTTAAGAAGCACCCTACATTGGCAGTGATGCCTGGGTACCACTAGGAGTAACTCTGCTGAACATTGTACAATACGGAAGAAAATTAGGAAATTATACAGTAAAAAGGCAAATCTCTCTTTAAATGTCACTCTCCACAATATTGACAAATCCTATGAAACAACAACTTTGAAAAACAAAAAATGAGCACAAAATGGAAGACAAAAATATAACAAAAAATGGTTCTAAAATAGTTATAATAACTTTTACAAAAAGCATTCCGTTTCGTAAGTGCCCTGTTTATTCATTCATGAATAAACATTTCAACAAAAGAATTACAACGGAAAAAAAATGAACAAAGAAAACGCAAATTACAGTATCATTGTAGTTGTTAAAAGTTGTCAATATACATGTTTTCTTTACTTTTTGCAGGTTAACTGTTGCTGATATGCTGAGACAAATATGAAATCAAGATGTTTTCGGCTAAGTTAAAGACAAATGCCAGAAAGTCAACTCACAGCGGTAAGGTCCGTCTGGGAACATCAGCACTCCAAGACAGACACTGGCAAGATGCATCGAGTTACTCATCAAGTGTTCCACAGGACGGAAGGTCAGGGGAGAAGCTGCATTCCTCATCAGCTAACCAATCAAGAGACAGAACCATCTGGGACACCAAGTTCACCGAACCAGAACCAATTCACAGAGGAAGCTCGGATGATGTGATATGGGTGTCAACCCAAACGGCAACGACTCCTAAATCCTTTCCAAAGCACAATGCCAAAGTGAGTGTTTTCAGTCCAAAGGTTACATCAGGGTCAGACCGGAACATATTTTCAGCGCTCGTTCCCAGCAAGAAGGCATCTGAAAGTAGACCTTTACATGTAACTACTCATCATGGGAGCAGAATGTCACACCAGGCAAGCAGTGCTTCCAGGAGCCTTTCTACTCCTCCAGGAAGGAAAGGCAGTGATTTTGTCTTCAAGAAGCCCACAGCACCCCCACCAGTCTCCCGCATCCACCAGCCAGTCAGCAGTTTCAGTGACAGCAGGCAGAAAGTTTCCCCAAGTAGCCCTTCTCTCTCAGGACATGTTAAGCATCAGCTAGGGAACAGCGAAGTGGCTTCAGGCGGTGTTCCCACTTCAGCAAGAGCTCATGCCGGAGGGAAGACCAAGAAACTGCAGCGCAGCACCTCCGTGCCAGGGCTTTCACAGTCTGATGAAATCATTCCCATCTTGGAAAGACAAGAAATTTTCACTGCCAGAAGGGCCAGCACAGGATCAGGAGATTCCATTGGCAGTCCTCAAAATGTAGAATGGCATGGAAAAATTAAGATGAAGATAAATACAAAAGGACTTAGAAAACTTAAAGAAATGGGAAAACTCACAGGCAAATCCATAAATTCCGGTTTAGCGCTTAGGAAAACTACAGGAAAGGCCAATTCTCTTGGAATAGGAAAGTCTGTTGACAGTTCCCCACTTCTAGGTCGCTTACCGAGGGAAAGAATTGGAAAGGTTGGTTCCACAGGACTTGGTGAGTCTGTCAGCCGCTCCCTAAAGATCGGTCAAGTAAAAAGGAAAACTAAGGGCAGTTCCCAAAGTGTTGGAAATATTGGCGGACCGGGGGATTTTGGAGATCTTGGACATTTAGAACAATTCCGAGGACTGGGGGATCGTAGAGGATTTGGCGACCTTGGAGGACTTGGAGAAGTTGGAGGATTTGGTGAGCTTGGACTTCTTGGAGGATTTGGCGATCTTGGTGGCATTGGAGAACTTGGTGGGTTTGGAGAAATGCACGGAGGCAGAGAGTTTGAAGAGTCCAGCAACATGATGTTGAATGGAGTACCAAGGACAAGTAACAGTAAAGGCAGTTCCCGTACAACCATAAGCAAACATCAGAAAGCTGGCACAGCATCTTCCAACCATGAAGCCGCTTCTCCAAGTACCCGTATAAAGCCAATGAATGCATTCAGTCCTAGGCCAATGAAGAGCATTCTCACCAAAAGCACCAGCAAAAGATCAGGTGCAAGAGAACCTTCTATGCAAGCCATGAGGAATAAACCCGTTGTCAGCCAATCGCCAGTCTCACATAGCCGTCCGGTCATTGATCTCTGCAAGCCAGCAACTTCACGGAAGTCTGTTAGCACACGTTTCAGATCGGCAGCAGTAAGCCCTCATCGTCACAGTATTAAACCCCAAGTGAGTGCCCATCTCCAATCCAACAGAGTTCCACCATCTCATGAACCTCAATCGCCCACCCTATCAGGGAAGGTTGACCCCATTAATAACAGTTCTAGACAACCACAGAAGAAGCCTGTCAAGAATCTATTGCAAAAAAGTGTTGCCCATGTTCAGTCAGGGAGCAAGGAGAGATGTTCATCACGTGAATTAAAAAATACCAATAATGTCAAAGCATTATCGGGTAGCATCCCCACACTGAATAAAGCCATTGTACCTCTTGAACGGCTGGAAGTGCGACTGAGCCCAGTGAAGATTCAGAGTGGAGTCCTGTGGGATGAGGATGAAATTGACGGAGTATTGTTTTCTTCCTTCAGCACTCAGTCTGAACTTGAATCTTACCTCAAAACTCAACCAGAGGAGACGCCAAAACATGTGCAACAGGATACAGGTAGTTGCCACGTGCCCTCACCACTCCGGATAAGAAGCCCTACCGGTAACAAACCACAAAGTCTTGGAGGGAAAAGTGTACATGACCAAAACCAGTTTAAACAGTTTGAGAAGCAACTTTTAGCTGATATGCGAAAAAGTGCCTGCCACGAAGTCTTGCATCCTAAGCTTGTTCACCGTGGCCTGTCCATCAGAAGAGACATGATTGGAAATGGAATCAAATGCATCAATTTGAGAGCGTATGGGATTCGCTTTAAAATCAGGACTCGGAAGGGTGCCCATCAATCTCGTAGGAGGGCCCAATTGCCTGAACGCAAAAAAGTAAAACCTGCAGCAAAATCCAAGATCAACAGCCCAATGAAAAAGTGTTCGGCAACGCCAATGACAGGACTGAAGATGAAGTTCACAATGCATGGAAAGGAAGAGGACAGCAAAAAAGTTACAGAATCCAAGGCTAACCCTGAACCAACCTCTGATAAGACTCCCGAACCACCAGCAGTGGAAGCAGAATCAACTACACAAATATACACAAAATTGCCAATTGAAGAGAGTATCCCTTTCAAACCCTTTGAGAAGGAAGTCATGTCATCCAAGTCTGCATTTGTCAGTGACGCACTGGACAAGTACCTGGAGGATGTGGAGAAACAGTCATCAACCCTGGCGGGTCCTGGGCATCCACTGCTCCAAAGTAGAGCTTCCTCGATTACCTTCAAGATGCCTTCCAAACAGTCCAGCTCTTTCAAGACCTTGGACATGGCACTCAAGGAGAGGCAGATGGCCAAATACAAGTCCAAAATACCAACAGTTGCAGAAACAGCACAGAAGCTTGCCAAAAGCTTGAAACATACTTCTGATGCGTTCAGAATTTCAGACCCACAATCAGCCCCAATGGAAAAAGAATCCCCAAGTTCATGCAACAAGGCACTTCCATCAGATTCCTCTAAAACATCAGATGCAGTAAAGGACAAACAAGTTCCTCAGATCCCTCAAAGTGTGCAAGGCACTAAGTTAAATATTTCTCCGAAACCCAAACGCAAAGAGGTTAATCTTGATGAAAGGAAGCGCTTATTAGAGGAGAGGCTGGAAAGTGTCAACAAGAAATTGAAGGAAAGCAGCGCATTCGTGAAGAAAAGCCCAACAAAGGTTAAATCTCAAACCAGCTGGGCTACCAAGTTGAAGATTGTAAACAGCCGTCTGGTTCAGCAACTTAATGCTCCCGGCAAAAATGCACATCTTATCAAGTCCAAAGAAGCAAGACAGGAAACAGGAGTTAAGATAAAGATTGAGAAAGATGTCGACACACAGAATCTGTCCCTTGGCTCAGAGTGCAAACCCAGCCCTGAAGCTAAAACTGAAAAGCATGATGGGTCAAGAAAGGGAAAGAGCAAGGGGCCCAAACAGTTTGTGAGACTCGACCAGCAGACCACTTGTGACAAGGAGTTCTGCCGCCTGGGATGCATCTGCGAAAGCATCAACCTCAACTTGCCAGTGGAACGTTTGACCAAGCATTGTAGGAAGCTTGAGTGTATGTTTGAGTGTGTCTGTCAGCGCAACAGTGTCCGGATTCTGCGCAACCGTAAGAGGCCCACCATCTTCCAGGAGAAGTCCATGCTTTTCTATGATGGAGTGGGGATGTTCAGCAACAATAATTCTGCTTTTGTGGAAGAGGATACAAGCCTTCCCCAGGAAAGGGAAAAGCCAGGAATACTCTCTTGTTTAACATCATGTGCACGGGCAATGGTTTACAAGCCTAAATCCAAGCGCCCACCAAAAGAAACTAAAGTTGACAATCCTTCCAGCATGTCTGACAATCCTCAGAAAAAGCAAGAGCTGCAAAGAGCCAATGCTACTGGATATGATGTAGCACAGCCACAGCGTCTTCCAAAAGAAGTCCCAAGCAACTCCCAGTTAGCTCTAAAGACCCCTCCATTAACTGTTGCGCAGGAGATTGCTAATTTAAAGAAGGGTCCGCAGCCAAGCATCTCTGAAGCCGAAAAGACTGTTAGCTCTGTCCCCAAGGTTGGTGATGTTGTACCCAGTGTTCTTTATGCCCCGGTTCAGGTACCACTGTCCAACCAGCAAGGAATGGTTCTCCTGTATGCACCTGTCAATACACTGCCGTACATGGTACAGAAAGTCCCAGTATCTGGCCTTCATCATCAAACATCCAATCAAGCAGCCAACGGAAGCAAACTTGCACAGATACCTGTAAATAATGCCAAATCGGATGCCCAAGTTGCAATGAGCAGCGACCCAAATGTAGGGGACAACAAGACGAAGCCAGTTGCTGCTATCATTCCACCAACATCAACATGCCTTACTTCTTGTAGCAAAGCACCAGATACAAGCACTCCAGTCAGCGTTTCTGAAGATCACTCCAAAGTAGCAACTGAAACCGAGACCAGTTGCAAAGTGTGTGAAGCTTTGGAATCTGGGGAACTCAGTGTTGTTTTTAAAGATACCTCCCTGACAACGGTAAGCAAACAGCATACTTGTACAAAGGAGACCCAAAGATTGTTGAACAGTCCTACTGATGAAGAGAAGGGAAAAGAGGTGCAGTCTACAACAGGTTGCACTGAGAGTGCCACCAAAGATGGCCCCACTGATAATGCATCCATTGATGAGAGAGTTATCAGCAAAGTGCCTGAATCATGTGAGGAACAAACAAATACACCTAAAGTCACATCTCCCAAAGCACTTTCAGGAAATGAGACATTACCAGAAGTCAATGAACTGGGCACTGTTAGTGATTCACAAGAACCAGAGGATACTGTTTCAGCCGAGCAGACCAAGAAACCTGATGGAGATACACTGGCTGCACTGAACCAAAACGATGATCCCACTTCTGCCACCAAAGTGTGTGCTGATGATGTAACTCCTTCAATTGACTCTGTAAAATCTGTCTCTACATCAAATGTTCAATTGAAGGAAGTATCCCAGGATGCGATGGTAGAAATGAGTGATGCTAAAGCGAAGATTAGTGCTGTTATCACCAAGATACAAAGTCCAGTCAGATCCCCTTCAACTAGCCCAATTGCTGGATCCTCAACTGACCCAATAAACCCTGTGAAGCCCAATGAACCTACCAAACTCAGTCTGGTTCAGTGGCTCCCGGTTGTGCTGTGGCAGATCTTAACAAGAAGCTGCATTCTGCTGCTTTAAGCCTACCAAAAGCAGTTCGGATTGACCCAAAGACAACTGACGTGAGCACAAGTAAGCCTGTGAAAGTCCCTGCATTTTCGTATACCATGGAGAAGAAAGGAATAGATGAGAAGAATCCAAAGCTTAGTAAGACACAGGTTTTTCTCCCAGGGTCATCAATGTCAGCCATCAACTCAAAATACCCAGCCTCAAGTGTTCGCTCACCTCTTCTGATTGAAATACAGTCGGAATGCAACTGGGCAGGTACTAAGAATGACATCCTCAGTACCATCGCCAAGCATACATCCAAAGTTGATGGTGGCCCAGGTGTTATGCGTGTTGGCAAATTTCTTGTCGAGATACTCAGCAAGGAAGAACAGAAAAATGTAGCAGTTTCTTTAAAAAAGAATACATTCAAGGAGCAGTTGACAAGTAAATCTCCAATGAGTGCCACAAAGATTGAAAAAATATCTCTGCCAATTACTCAATCTTCCACCAGTCAACCGACTTCTGTCCAGCAGACTTTCAAAAAACCAGCAATTGGAAAACAAGTGCCAGCACTGGGTGTCCAACTGCCAGCATTGGGAACACAAATGCCAGCACTAGGAAAGCAAGTGCCAACACTGGGAACCCAAATGCCAACACTGGGCACCCAACAGCCAACACTGGGAGCCCAAATGCCAACACTAGGAAAGCAAGTGCCAACACTGGGAACCCAAATGCTAGCACTGGGAAAGCAGGTGCCAACACTGGGAACCCAAATGCCAACACTGGGAAACAAAGTGCCAACACTGGGTACGCAAGTGCCATCCAAGAGTAACCCCTCAACAGAATCCAAGAACATTCCAAACCTGCCCAGTAATGCCATCAGCAGGCAGTTGAACTTTGCCAAAGCTGGCACCATTACTGCTCCGATGAAGCCAGGGACTGCCCCCTTGTTGACCAGCCTTCCCCCAGGAAGTATTCTGATCTCCGATGGGAAGAACCCGTCTGCATACCTGGTACCCCTGAAGGCTGTCCAGGATACACTGAAGAGTTCAGTACCTCCTGCCATCCAAAGTATGACTTTGAAGCTGCCAACAACTCAGTCCACTCCAACCCTACCAAATGGTTTGCCTGGTGCACCCAAAGTTATGCCCAGTCTTGGACCACTTGGTTCTGGCAGTCCAAAGGGTCTCTCCACCACAATGTCCTCTTCCAAACAACTTCCTCTAACGTGGGGTCACCTGCAGAATTCATTGAAACGTGTTGCTCAAGCCCCTCCAGCGTCTCAGATTGGAAACGTCCAAAGCAAACCTTTCACATCATCAACATCTTCTGCAAACTTGAATGGTATGAACAACACAGGCAAGTCACCACCTGAGAATACTGCGACAGCCAGAACCCCAACTACTTTGAGTTCTTTCATGCCAACACATCTCGGGCAAATCCCTCCACAGGTTATTGCACCAGACCCTGGACCCACAAGCCTCAATCAGCAAGTGCATCCTTCAAAAGGTCCTGACCCTTTGAAACCAAATGAAGCTGTTAATCTTTCAGTGGGCACAACTGTAGGGACACCCCAGCATCCCCCGTCAGAGGAAAGCCAACCGAATGCAACTGCGGAGGTTCCATGTTCAACCGACGACTCTGACGAATTTGTCGATGTAGAGAGTCTTGACGAAATACATCCTCAAAGCTTGCTGTACATCAAACGCAAGCCTCGTCTTTTGAAACCCAAACCCAACCAGGATCCACCGATTGTTCCCATTGCACTCACCTCAGATGCTCCCCAGCCTTCGACCTCCCATTTTGTCATCGCCCCTAAAGACTCCCGTCGAAAGACTGAGCACAAAGTGCGCCCATCTTTACTCGTTGATGACCAAGAAGAGGAGGTAGATGTCGTATCATGTGAGGACCAGAGCAAGGGGCACCGGAAGCTTCTGGTTGGCAAGACCCCTGTCCGATCTACTTCTAGTAGCAGCAAGAGAAAGAGAAAGTCACCTGTCGTGCAGCAGTCCATGATGGCACTGGAAGAACCAGAGTTCATCGAGTCTTACTTTGAGGTTTCGTCGGACGATGATAATGGAGATGGGGAGCCCAAGCGCCACAAGAGGGACAAACCCAACAAGGTAAATGAGCTGAAATCATTAGAGGGGGAGCTAATAAATTATGTTAGCCCCTTCACAAAATCACATTACTGGACCAAGCCCAGTCTAATGTGGCTTTCTTAGATGTAGGTAGCTCTCCAGCACTTAACTGGCTCGTCACTCGTCACTCAAATTATGATGAGAGACAGGCTGGCTTTGGACAACAGACGCACATACATTGGGGATAGCCTGACTGTTTATCAAGGACAAACCACTGCACTCCCACCCGTATTTTAGTATGTGCTAATATATTTATGGTTGTTAACTGATTAAAGAGCATTATCTCAGTAGGGTGCTCATGAATACGAACCCGGGAATCCCGGGTTGGCGAAAGCCACATTAGACTGGACTTGGTCCAGTAATGACAGCCAATTGGTTAATTAGAAAGTTGAAACTTAAATGGAATGCATACATTTAAGAGAACCCTCACTTAGTAACAATTCTGTTTGTATGACGACATTAACCCTCCTTTTTTTCTTAAGTAATGCTTTATAATCTGAATAGCTTAAAACCCCATGTAATGGGATTGAAATTCCTTAACGTTTGATGTCTTGTTGAAACGAACCCACATTTCGGTTGTAAAACAAGTTCATTCTGTTCAGCAATTGAACATTGCCCTTACATCTGAACTTTGCAAAGGCCTTAATAAGGATCCAAATTTGCCATGTGACAAAATGGTAGCTTTTTGTTTATTTATCAGGTCCTTCATCTGATTAAAGAACGACAGCGACGGCGGGACCAAAGTGATCTCTTTGGAGGCCTCAAAGTCGTCTTACTGAATGACAAGAACAGCCGGGCACCGAAGGTTGCTCTTCTTGCGAAGGTAAGAACTTTTCATATTGATATCCTACTTTTTTGAATCATGTTTTATGGTACTTAAAGCCCCCTTGCAAAGAGTGAAAAGACTGACATTGCAGTTTCAGCTCGGTGGATACTTTATATTTTTGGGGAACTGTTTGAATTTTTGTTTGATTTTGTTGGTGGGAAGCTGCTTATTCACATTTATACATGGGACGCCGGACTTATGTGAGTACCAAAACTGTGTTGAGCAAGATTGTAAAGGGTGTCTTTCTGCATAATACATTATGTCAGTTGATGTAAATGATGGGTAAGGTAACGCAATATTCAAAAGGCAAAACAAAATTTTAATCTTGGTGGTGCATTGTTATAACTCACTAATTTTTTTAACCGTGCTGCTTCTTTTTCCAATTTTTTAAAGTCCACTTTCCCTTACTTTTTCCTACTTTTTGTTTCACAACTCCAAAAAAATGAAATCTCTTTGAATAGTTTCCATAACAGTGTTACACACTCCTATTACATGACTCAATGAAGGGCTTGGCCGCAGGAGCACTGCAACTGTACTTTCAAGAGCTTAGTTGAGGATGGAGCACAAAAGTGCTGTTAGTACAGAACATGCCAAATGAGGCTTATGATGCTGTGGACATGAGTGAGCTCCAATGAAAACTGCTCCTGAATGCCCGCAAAAGTGCTACTTTTATCCTGATTTCCCCCCCCCCCCCCCCCCCCACCGATCCGAAGTCCTACTATTGTCCTTTTTTTTTATTTGATTGTAGTTCTACTTTTTCACCTGGTTCTGCTTGCAAGCGTGTTGGGGCTAATTTTCCATTACCCCTTGCACCAATAAGCAGTTGGGCCGATAGTGCCTTGAGGATTAACTGCTCCACTGCATGAGTGCAATCTCAAAGCTGCATTATCTAAAACATGGATTCTCAGTCATTGTATGTGGGGCACACTGACACAAATATATGTGAGCTAGAAATGCAATGTACCTTGTTGAGGTGGAGTTATAAAATTGTTGCCTTCTTTGGAATTTACTGAAGAAAGGTTTCCTTTGAGGCAACCCAAAACAATTTTCACATCTTCAGTGGTTGAGAGATAGGGCAACACTTTAACTATGAACAAATCACCATGTTAAACATTGCCATATTCCTTTGCCAAGTTTGTTTTAAGTTGAAAATAAAGCTTCTTGAGTAACTTTATTAAATTTATTTTCCCTTTTTTTATCAGGCGCACAATGAAATCAAACGGTTGGAGTTGGATACGTTTAGAATAGAAATTGAGGAAACCAAACTAAAGCAGGAGAACTTCCAAAAGCGGAGCAAGTTGGCTTCATTGCTAGGTAAGTCAGCTGGTCACCAACCCTTAACCTTTTTCCGGATCTGACGAGACAGACTCTGAAAAAGGAATCACAAGGGATGAGAATGAACATATGATATGTCTTCTGTCAAAAGCGGCACCTAAGAGCACACCACTGTGTGAGTAAAGAGGAGTTGGCAGCGGATGTCATTGATGTTGGACTGCACTTCTGATCCCACTTCTGCCACCAATCTGTTGTTACCAGATCTGTGAAGGATTTGTGAGATTGACGAAAAAAAGAGCCCAGTCTATTTTAGATTTACGTAGGACTTGATACTTGTTGAAAATGAAGGTACAAAGAATGAACCGTTGGGCACCTGAACATAAGTGGATTTTGAAGGATTCAGAAAAGTTCCTTGCAAGTGGTTGTGTCAGTGCAAAACTGTTGTATCTCAGTTTTGAGTCTGTTTTAGAAAAACGCATGAATAGGTTTGCGGTGGCTCAGTACATTTTTGTGGCTTATTTAAATAAAAAGATAATGTAACTGTAGGACGAAAGTTCAGTTGTGTCCTACTTTTTAATTCCGATCATTTGGCTTGAAAAATGCAAGAATAAACGGAATTGATGATGCATCAGTACAAGAATGTGAATTTTGACACATTTCGAGATACACGTTTTGCACACAATGATACAGACGTTAAGGTTCGCAAGAAATACAACCTTGTATAAGATTAATTTATTACGTCATAATGACGCAATATTTTTCAAGGAAATTTTCCGGTATTAATCTACAGGGAAAAGCTGAATTTCGAATTTCTGAATGACAAGTATAGTAGTTCGGGTTAACCTCAGATTTATTTATATTTTCAGGATATCGTTAGGTGATTGTTTGAGATTTACCACAGTCATTCTACTTTTTGCTTTGTGATCATAGATGTAAATGTCCTGGACTTCCCCTCTGCCTTCACTGACCAAAAAGACCCTGACTTCGCTGAGTACATCAAGGAAATGAAAAACGGGAGCGATGGGGCGGTGTCTGCAGCACAGAGCGAGACCACATCCCAGGATTCCGAGTCAATCGACATGGACTCATCGGACGATGATGCTGACAAGACAGATTCTGAGAAAGGAATCACAAGGGAAGAGTATGAACAAATGCTCGGTCTTCTGTCAAATCTGGCACCTAAGAGCAAACCAAGTGTGAGGAAAGAGGAGTTGGCAGCTGTTGTCAGTGATGTTGGACTTACGCCTCAGGCCATTACTGCTGATCCCCCTTCTGCCACCAATCTGTTGATACCAGCCCTTCATTCAGGCCTCCCCATGACTGTCCCAGGGGCAAGCGCTGTTCCAAGAGTCATTCCAAAATCAAAACCAGCTGCAAGTCCCCAGGAGGACAGTATTGGAGTTTCTTTGAAGGGCCCAGTCCCCGTTGCCCTCCATGCCCTTCCCTTTGACCTTCATATGACTCCCCCACGGACATCTCCAGTCCCTGAGGTAACAGTCCCTGAAGTAACAGTCCCCGAGGTAACAGTCCCCGAGGTAACAGTCCCCGAGGAAACAGTCCCCGAGGTAACAGTCCCCGAGGTAACAGTCCCCGAGGAAACAGTCCCCGAGGTAACAGTCCCCGAGGTAACAGTCCCCGAGGTAACAGTCCCCGAGGTAACAGTCCCCGAGGTAACAGTTACCGAGGTAACAGTCCCCGAGGCAATTCAAAACGACCTTCTGATGGAGGTCAGTTCTGGAAGTCCCCAACCCGATTCGGGAGAGGAACTCTCAGAAAAAATGGAAGAGGTGACATCAGATCCTGTTCTCAGTAGCCCAACAGAAGCCTTTCCTGTCCAAAGTTCCAGTGAAACTGGTTTGACTGAGAATGACCCAAGGGTCAGCAGTGATGTATCTGATGCTGGATCCACGTCTCACACGGAAGACACCACATCCCTTGGTAATCAGACTGCCAGTGTAAATGAATCACATGACAGAAGTGGAATTGTAGACAACAGTGAGCTGGAAACTGCCACCATTTCTACGGACCAGAATAGCCCTGAATTGACTGAATGCATCAACAGAAGCAGTGATTCCTCTGATTTGTCATCAGCAGCTATTGGCGGAGATCCTAACGAAACTGCTGAAACTAAAACTGTCCCCCTAAATGAAACCAGAGCTACGTCGCAAACACATGATGAATGTACACGTAATCTGGCAGATGGTCTCAACAAAATCCCCCAGGACAATGAAAAAGTGAAATCAGGTAGTGAGCAGGCCTCTGCCGCGAATGAGAACAGGACCCTCATTTTGAACCAGGAGAGTGAAAACGATGATGAGGTCAATTTGATAGACTTGCCAACTAGCAATGAAGGGAAAGACTCTGATACTGAGCCCAGTGAGAAGTCTAGTACCAATAAATCCTCGGGCGACAAAGAAGCCACACCCCGGAAGGAAACTCAAGCATCACCCCAGAAGAGCAGCCCACCAAAACCAGCCAACAGCCTGGCAGCCTCTCTGCCTCCTATCACCCCTGCCAACTCCACAATCTCCTCAAGCCTGAGTGTAGTCTCCATCAAAATTAAAGGGGGCGTGGTGAACGTCACGTGTGGCAATGGGGAGGTGATACCCCTGGCTGTCGTCAAGGCCAGCACAGACGGTACGATGCAAGTGGCCGTCGAGGGCGACATTTCCTCCGAGAAGGTAGAGGAGCTCTTGTCCAAGTCGGAGGTGATGGAGTGCCTGGAGAAAGTGGCAGACGACACCTGTGAGAAGTCGGATTCGTGACGCTCTCTCTACAGCCTGTGTTCTTAAGGTTTAGTGAAGCAAGTTTTATCAGGGTGTAACATCTGATTTATTTTAGATGAGGGAATATGGGTAAACCGGTCCATTCATATAGTCTGCCCTTTCTTGGCTCTTTCGAGCCTATTGCATTACTGTTGCAAGCCTCCTTGTGACTTGTCTGGGTGAGTCCAAACACCAAATTCAACACTCAAGGAAAAGTTACACACACTTTTGTTACAGTAACTTGTGCACAGACATTTGTGGCTGATCTATTGCATATCAAAAAACAGGACTGTTAATCATTGACATTTTCTGTACAGTTCAAGCTTCCTACGCAGATTTCATTTTGTTTGGCAAAGTTTACTGGCGGTCAAAAATAACTTGAAGTTTTAATTGCATTTGTTTCCAGTTCCTTTTTTCCTTCTTTTTTTCCCCAAAGTTGTATAAGTGGTGACTTGTTGGTAGTGTCCAACATCTTTCTGTTTGAAATAGAAAAAAAAACTGAAAAATCAAATATAATGCCAGTTGGTTTTGCGTGGGAATTTTACATTTACTATGCAGTTCAAATGCTTTGACTTTTGTAAATCTTTGATTGTTCATATGTGTATATGGAGAAGCTTTTGATCTTGATAGAAATGTGTTTCATTGTAACATTGATGCTGCAAGCAATACTCTTCCCACCGATGTTGCGGAAGAAATTATTTTCGCAGTACACCAACAAAAAGTTCAAATCTTACCAGCTACTTACGTGTGAACAAAAAATCAAAGGCACATTTTCACTTGATACTTTTCTTTTTTTTATTTACCTGGCTAAAGCAATATTTAACAGTCAGTGGTTACAAGTATAAAAAAAAAAAAATTCAACCAAAAAGATCATAATTTCTAGTTTTACAAATTTTCAAAAATTCATTCTTCAAGTAGGATGTACTCCATATTGTTGATATGAAAATTGAAAGTTCTGTGAGCACACTAACGCACACTAAACAAACAGACATGCCACTTTTCAGGTTTTAACCTGAATTCAGGTGATTTTTTTCCAAAAAATGTGACAAATTAAAAGTGCTGGATTTGGTCTGAAACATCCAGAAAACACATTTTTGAAAGGGGGTAAGGGTAGTTGCAGGCTTTTTAGTAGTGTTTCAGGCTTTTTATTGATATATTGGTGGCATCTCTAAACAAAGTGCAGGGTAAAATGGGTGTTTGTTTTAATATAAAAAAAAAAATTCAGAAACTTGATGTTGAATGTAAAAGTGTGGAAAGCATAAAATGGATGAAAACTCAAAAATGGATTGCTTTATTGTTTTGAGAAGACGTTTTAGGCAGTGGCATTTTAGTTATATGAATTAAGGTGTTAAAAAGGCTCTTTTCTCACAAAGCTACTGATATCTTTCTGATAACATGGCAGTCACAGAGCTAACCAAAAATCACTTTTATGTAATGGTGTAAACGTTTTGTTCAGAAGCTGCCCTTTGTAAGCAGAGTCGCCTTGCATTGTTTTCTTTGTCAACTTTGTAGTCTGTTCATTTTCTGAATGTTCATTTTCTGTTATGATTTACTTGCATTGGATTTTATTGGTAATTTCTAAACTTATTTTTCTTTATTTGAATTATCTGGGGTGGTTTTGTTTTGGAAGTTGTATTATAAGTGAAGGATTTGTTTTCCGTTTTCAGTAATCATTTGACAAAAAATATTCTATAATCATTGGTCAGTAAAAAAAAAAATGGTTGTGAGTTCAAGGGAAAATGTTTAATTCGAAGAGCCAAAAAATCCCATGAATTCCGTTGCTTTAATTTGTTGCCTTATCAACTAAGGACCCATAAAAAACATTTGAAGGTAATTTGGCGTGGATTGTTTTACGATTATACTTCTAAACATTCATATCTTCGTAGAAATCGTAGCTGTTGTTTTTTTGTTGATTATTTTAATTTGAATATTAATTTTAATGATTGCTTTAAGCAAAAATATCAGCCCAAAATCAAAATACTTCTGAATGTAAGAGGGAACACTAATTTTGTAATCACTAATTTTATTTCTTTACACAAATTGCATGTATCACCAAAAAATGTGTATGTTTCAAAAGCTTAGTAAGAACATTTAAGAAGCAATTGACTATTATAAAACCAAGCAGGTGAATTAACCCCGGTTAAAAATCTAGTTTCAAGCAAGCAAGGGTTAAACCCGTTTAATCCAGCAAGTGAACTAGTTTTAACCTAAGTTAGACTTAATTGAGTCAGCACAACCATTAGGAAAAGTTACATGCAGAAGTATTTTAACACTTGTCCAAAATAGAACGCACTTCTTTATTATCTGTTCTTGAGAACACTTTAAACAACTAACCCAAGGTATCTTATAAGCGTATTACTTTGCAAAGAAGTCCATCCGGGAATCTTGACATGATATTGTTGTACAGTAAATTCATTAACAAATTGCCAGTTTTTTAATGAAATTTTTTATTTAAGCTCAAGTTAACTATTGGTAAACACAGTAGCAAGGGCTTTGGTCCGATTGGATCGACGTGTAAAACTCTATTATAAATCACTTACAATTTGTTGACAAATTCGATTTGTTTTTGTTCGTAGATTCATGTAAATATATTCAGCACATGCTTTTAAGAGAGCTCATTGTGTATGCATGAAATTATGCTTGCTTGAATTCACCATTATTTCGACCGTTATGCAAATAGTTCTTTGAGAAACCCTTATTTTCTTGTACTTGTATAAAGAGATTAGTTTTGTTATTTGAATTTCACTCTGTATGGAGTAAATCCTGCCATGTTAAAAAAAAACTTTTGTGAATACTTGTTTCTTGCATTGTACTTTTGAAAAAGTATAAATTCAACTAATGCCAAATTTTTAAGATATTTGCAAAGTGCTATTCATTGAAGTTAAGGATTGTTTAATCTTCAAAATATCTTCTTTTTTAAAGGGAAAAACAAATTAGAGACAATTTTCAAACTTTAGCTCGGTGATTTCTACTTCTTTTTCTAGATTAAGAGAACAGCACCAACTAATTTTCATACGTAATTGCCGGGCGGTGAACTACCCAATCACAGCCGACGGTGCACCTGTTAGGACTGATAGTTTATGTTAATGAGCGGCACGCGCCCCAATCAGAAAGAACTGTCAGTCTACTGGGTACCGTACCGGTGATTCACTAGTCTGGCACCCTCATCGTTGTGTGCATTTGTACCACGGGATTTGGCACGGTACCATGTTTGTTCATTCATCGTGCGGATAGGTTTGATCACTAGGGCAAACATTGTGCATTTGGATGCGATAGAATGGCGGGATGAGCGCCGTTTATCTTGGATTTGCTCGCTGCGAGGCGTCCTGAACATTGTGACCGTTGAAAGGTCCAGGTTGTTTTGGTCAATATTTACTCTTCGTCTTGCATTCAGACATTTGCTGTTAACAGAAGCCGATTGGAGACTGATCGTGGTTCTGGTGAAGGGGTATCGGGAAAGGTAAACTATTTCGTGTGTCAAGTTTAAGTGACTTATTTGCGGCTGTCGACTGCACTGGCTGACTGGGTTTCATTGCGAGGCCTAATTTGTATTGCCATTATAATTATCATTAACCATTTTACTACTTTAATTCTTTCCACAACACGAATAGTGAGAACGGCTTTTTTTTTTTAATCGTTGATGTAGTGTATTCGATCATCCCTTTATTTGATCGGGTTCGTATAAAGTAACATAAACAGAAGAAAAGAAAAACCAGATAATGATGGGGCCCCCAACTTCCAATAAGGTCGAACCCACTCCCTCCCCACCACCCCTCCCCCAGCATGTTTTGGCTTCAACTGTCCACATATGCTGCCACCCCCCCCCCCCACAAAAAAATAGACTTGGCGTTTGTCCACTAGAAACTCCCTCATGATGAATTTGAAATTCACAGTGGCTATCGTTCACGTTACAGCTGCCATAATGCAATTTCCAACTGCTATCATTACGGAAATGTCTGGTTCCCTAATCTAATAGCATTCAATGTCAGGATTTTTGGCTGCTGAAACCAGACTAAAATGGTTCTCGTACTTTAATTATTTCCCTTTGTAAAAGAATCCTCTAAAGCCAATGATTTCAAAGAAGAAAATTAACTGTAGGCCCTCCCTATTTGAAAAAGAACGATTTGATTAACAACATCATAGTAAAGAAATACATCTATTTAAAGAAAAAAGTTGGGCAGCCCAAGCCGGGATCGAACCCGGAACCTTCTGCATGGTAGCTGAGCATTTATCCAATCGTGCTAGGGCAGTTGTAAATCTGACACATTCGCATTGTGTTTTTAAATTGCCGTAATAATAGTGTTTGAAAATTGCGTTACGGCTGTCGTAACGGAAGCCACTGCGTTTGAAATTTTAGGCAGAAAAACCAAGCACTAAGTTTCCCAACTATATTGATTACCTTCTGTTTTCTGACCCATATTTTTCCATCCTGATTGTAGTAATTGATATTCAAATTTTTGTTGGGAAAGATTTCCATATACGAGGTTCACTCAACACCCTGCGTACAAACCCTATGAGATTGGACTGAAAAATTCTTCTAAGTTTTCTAAGAAAATGCTTGTATTTTCTCACTGCTCAAATTGACTTTGATGACATGAAATTGCTATCTGGGGGCTTGTTAGTCAATACAGAGGAAAATGAGTGAACTTCGTATATGGAAATCTTTCCCTACTCTACAAATGATTAAACCTATCCGGAGCAAAACACACACAGTGATTCAGATGAAGAATTTGATCCATTTATTAACAAACCAAAATAAAGATCAAACCCCATTAATCAAATATTGAAAATAAGCATATCCTGTGCACATCTGGAAACCATATGTATGCTGAGGTTTTATCATATGAATAATTTTTAAAATATGGTCCCATCAGTCATGTTAGGTCTTTGAAAAATTGCCTTTGTATATATGGTTAGTCAACTTGATTCATGTCATATTTCTGAGCAATTAAAATTCAGTGCAAATGAAATATATAAAACCAAACTCATCATGACTGTGTTGCCTCTGATAGTGATAAGATGAGAATTTCAGAAATTCCCAACAGCGTGCCTGACTGTCCATGCTGACAGGCTGACTCAGACATGTTACGCAAGGATGCAATTAGGTTCCCTCGCATGAATCAATGTCACTCGAGAGACCGCGTACAAACACACCGCACACCCCCTCACACATTATGCACATGGACCGGTGCAGCAGAATTGCTTAATTATGTCAAGATTGTCTAGCCGGCATTTGCGCCATGCAGCCTCAGTGCACGCATGCACACTTCTACAGCGGTGACTACGTAATGAGCTATATTTGGGCCTGCGTGACTCACTCATCACGCAGGGAAACCTGAGGCCGTTTGGTTTTATCATACTAAGTCGGTGCAGCAATTCCTTGAACCACTTCGTCACCGTATTGCGCAGACGGCACATGTAGGTTTGATCAGCGGTGCATGTGGATATTTTTCTTTCACGCTTGTGCGGTTGAGCCGGTAAAAGTGAGTAAACAGGTGTGTTTAATGTGGGTTTCAGAGACGGTGGTTTTTTTAGTTTTAATCATAAAATCTTTGCTTTTTGGTTTCTGATTCAAGTAACGTTACCAAAATTATTTTGCTAGTTTACTGAATATGTAAATAATCTGCCAATATTTATTATTTAAACATCTTTCCTGTTGATTTGTTTCAACAGTTCTGTTAACAGTAATTAGTTATTGAATGTAGTGTTTAAATTTGATTTGAATTCTGAAGAAATCGTTCCTTATTTCTATCTGTGTTGCAAGTTGTGTTGTCTTCAACAAGTGACAAGTAACTTCATTTTTCAGAAATGAACACTATGCCATTCAAGTGGAAATCATGGGTTCTTGTATATGTTTGCTTCGATGCTTCAAACAGTTATAAATAGACAGTAGGATGGAAGATGATTAGATATATCCTTTTTTTTTTTTTTTTATGTGCAGGTAATTTGCCGCATTTTGGCCAAAGTCGAGTCAAGATTTGACAGCGGCCATCAACATGGCAGACTTATCACTCTCCATGGCGGAGTTTGAACATTTCCGGCCGCAGGCTGAGCGCAAGCACCACCTACGCAATGGCCTCCCCAGCCCCTGCCACAGTGCCCACAACCTCCTACTGCGTACCTCCCTCCAAAAGCGCACCTTGGAGAAGAAAGCCAAAAAGGTACGATTCTATCGCAACGGCGACCGCTTCTTCAAGGGGATCGTCTACGCCGTGTCTCCAGAGCGCTTCCGCACCTTCGAGTCCCTCCTCGCCGATCTGACGCGGACTCTATCGGACAAATCCCACTTGCCGCAAGGCGTGCGACAGATTCTCAGCATCGACGGTTCCCGCAAGATCTCCAACTTAGACCAACTCGAAGCCGGCGAGAGCTACGTCTGCTCCTCCATCGAAGTCTTCAAGAGGATCGACTACATGAAGAACAGCGATCCCAGTTGGCGAGTCGGCATCGTGGCCAAGAAGGACAAAGACGTGGCCGGGGCGGGCCGTGACAGCAGCACCCCGATGCCTCGCACCACGGAGGGCCTGATTGAGGACCACCGTGATTTTATCAAGCCTAAACTGGTGACCATCATCAAGAGTGGTGCCAAGCCACGCAAGGCCGTCAGGATCCTGCTGAACAAGAAGACGGCTCACTCCTTTGACCAGGTCCTTACAGACATCACCGAGGCCATCAAGTTGGACTCAGGAGCTGTCAGAAAACTCTACACGCTGGATGGACGACAGGTGAGTCGATAAAACTTTGTCAAAAATGCAGCATATTCCAAGGAAATTTCCCTTTTTTTGGCAGTGCTGAACTCTAAAATAAATCATTCTAGTATAAACTGGTCATAGAATTGGAAACTAGGGATCTATACATGTATGTATGTAGTCGGATTTTATATCAGACAATAACATGGACCGATCTAGATTTTAATTTACATTTGAGAAATCTTTTTTTACAACTTCTAATTCTAAACATTAAAAAATTTTGATGCACATAAACACCACACTAACACACGCAGTCAGATTTCATTTGTTTTCAATTTATTTATTATTATTATAATTATTATTATTATTTTGCTCTAATGGTTTGCAGCAGCATAGGAATGATAATCTTAAAAAGATTTACTATTGATCACTGCATGCAGTGAACAAATCTGCAGTGTATTAAATTGAAAAAAAGATGCCTTCATTAATTTTGGATGTCTTTTATAATTGGATTTAAGAGCCTAGCTCTCTTAATTAATTTTTGTCAAATTTTTGTCTGCGAAATTGCAGAGCACTGCAACAGACATGTACCGTTACAAGAAGAGTGCAAAAACCATGAAATGCTTGGTGCAGTGTCGCATGAACACAAATTATACACAGCTATATGCTGTATTGGTCGATAGAAAGCTTATTAGATTGTGGTCAGCCCACTAGTCTGTTCATGATTTATATTATTTCAGGAGAATGCATTCGTCCTTGAATTACAAGGAAATGTTAAGTTGTGGGTGTCTGTTTTGAGATTTGAAAAATCTTCTTTTAAAGATTCATATCCCATGCTTCTCAAAAACGGATTGCTTTAAAAAAAAAAATCAATTTGTATATACTTTGATTTAACAAAAAAAACTACTTTATTCCAATTTTGGGCGTCTGCAACTCTCTGAAATCGCACTTTCATTTTGCGCACAAATTAATTCGCCCTGTGAGAGTTGAATTATTGTCTGGCAGCCAATAATTTGATTTTTTTTTTCAATAACTAAATTCAATACGTCAGACTTTTTTATTAAATGTCTCATTCAAAAGTGAATTTACTTTTATATTTCTAGGAAAATAGCAATTAAAAAAAACAAATCTGATTTTCGAGGTGAAACTCAAGAATAGCACAGTGAATGTATCTTTAAATGGTTGAGAGCTTTAGAATTCACAGGCTTTCGCTGACCACAAGACGTCTTCATTTCTGGGGTTCTGCTTGAATTTCAATCTTTACTGACTGCAAAGCTTGACAAATGAATCATGTATCTGTAATAAGATCAGGGAGATTTTTGATAAGGATTTGAAAATAAAGTCCGCTAGTTCTGAAATAATATTCGGCGAAATGCATTTTTCCTACCTTTATTCTGAGAGAATTATCTCATTTATCTTACAAAATACTTTAATTTATTTGGTTAAAATCAGCACTCAGCAGACGACATCTCTCTCTTTTTTTAATCGACTTGTGATAATGTTATGTTCCAAGGATATTTTTGCCACATCTCGAATGCCCATATGTCACGTTCCGATTATCTTAGCAGTCATCAGTCAGCCAATGCATTTTTTTCGCCGAGTGTGTTATGACTGGAAAAGTAAACATTTTTCTGGAAAAAAAATGTATGTCGAGGGTTTGTTAGTCCAGTGACTAATGATTTTATGACATTTCAAGCCAGGAATTCAGCGGACCTCATAAACCAATTAAGTTTCCATCAATAACGTCACGTTTATTTGTTCAATTTTTATTGGGGCAACAAAAAAAATCAGTCATGTCTGTGACTCAAGCATAGCTTGTGTCATAAGAAAATTTGCAACATTGTTAAACGAATTTGCAGTGGTGTTGAAAAAAAAATCAAACATTGAATTAAATTCGATTCAAATGTTTATTTCATTACAATGAAAAATATTTGCAGGCATGCAGTTAAAATAAAAATAAAAATATACCCCTAGTTTAATTTCTACTTTAATGTAAAATTTAATGTAATAAAATAAATATTAGGCCTACCGCCACCATAAGTGCATGCACTTTACATGAACAAATAATTCACGTGTGGAAGAAATTTCTTTTTGGAAAAACACAAAATCAATAATAATTTAAAATCCTTAAATTAATGAATATATATCATCCCCAAAACATGGATAGAAATTAGAGTGCGAAAAATTCATATTAGCCCTCTTTTGAAGAACACAATGTACTACTAATGGAGCGCATTCATTATGACCAGTGTGTTGCCTTGGGCTCAAGGGACTAGACACTGATGCTAAGTGTATTGACATTCGCTCCATGCTGTCTCATCAATGAGTCACCCCATAGTGTTTACATTTGTCACCAAACCCATAACACTCTTCCTCTTACGTTTGTCTGATCTGGGGCGACATTTGTTGCTCATTTTTTAATGAAATATGGTTTAATAAGTCGCCCATTATGACAAGATTTTTGGACAAGATTTGTAAAAAGTGGCAGTCACTTTTATGAGTGCGTCCATTTTTGAGTTCCGAGTTAGTCCAAGAGATTCAGATGATGATTTTTATGAGGTTCAGATTTATGATAAAATGAAAAATATGCAAGCTGGTGGAAGAATTTGGTGAAAGCCGAACATATGGTCTGCAGATGCTGCACAATAAAATAAAATTGATGAGTTGAATGATCAACATTTACTCTTCAAAATCAGTAATCAGTCATCTTAAAAAAATCTGTGATGGTCATAAGTGTCACAATGCTTGTCATTCAGTCTGACTTTTTAAAGGAATTTTTGTCTGAAAAGAATATTTTCTAGGCCAGCTCTCTAATCACCTCTATCCACAATAAATCAAAACAGACAGTTCGGTTGTGCATTTAGAGTCTTTTAGATTTAGCAGGCATGGTATATTGAAATGAAGAAAATAGTTGAGATTCATATGAATTTATCGATTTATTTTTTCTTGAAATCTTAAGAAATGCATCACTGTTTCCCTGTGGATAGACTCCAGTCAGTTTCCACTCATAATATACTGACTTTCAAAAATCAAAAGTCGTACACATTTTTTGAAATATATTTGAAATAAACAGTAAAAAAATAAACAATATCTAGGGCATGCAAAGATGGAGCTCCGAGCCAGTAACACGGCCTGTGTCGCCATTGTTTTCAACGAAGAGCCTGTATATTGATCCTTCACCTACTGCAATTAACTGAAATGTATCGCACACGCGCCGCTAAACGCCGTGCATTGATTTGGGGCATAGTGCTCCTGCATCTAATTATTGGTAAATTCTTGGATTAATCTTGAAGCGGAAACCGCTCGCCGAAAAATTTCTCATTAGAGTAGCCTACCTGATTAGAACTGAATAAGTACCGGTTATCTGACTGATGGTTCCGAGTTTTGACATAAAGAGAGACGGGTTGCATCAATTTGGTATTATTAAGTTGTAACATCATTGTATAGAGCAGATGTTACATCTGAGCTTTTTAATGTACACAACTACGATGGTATGAATATATGGTTGGGTCTGAAACATTTGAGAAATTCAATAGTTTCAAAGAGTTTCGTTGAGACAATTGTGCATGATGTTGAGCATTTAAACATGTGTGATGCAAATGTATTTTGTTTTCATTGTTCGTTCATATAACCTGTTACGGACGTACAGATAGGAATTATAAAAATGTACACATTTATTAAAAACAACTATTATCAGTGCATTATTATATTTCGTTCAGCAAAACAATTTAATACACACGATGTAATCACAAATTGGTGAAAATGAAAATGTACATTACCTATGCAGAAGCGAATTCGCTCTTAAAAACAAAGTTGCAAAAAAAAAATTACTGCGACATTGGAAACTAAATTTAAGAGAGAATATTGCTTCAGGGTTTCTTGTTATTACTTTGCAGAATTCAGTCATAATACATGTCAAAGCTTTATAAGGTTGCCGTCCAATCCCAGCCAGTCCTGGAAAAACACTGCAGGCCCCAAAAAATAAATGCCGGTTAAGCCGTGTTTTATTCATTCTGGGCAGATATTCTGCATCTCATTTTGGGCAGTCCACGGACTCCTCTGCCAGATCTTAATGAACGTGAGTGGGACAGGCTTAAAGGGACAGGATTGCTGATGGAATTTTGGGCAGAAATTTAAACTGACCTTCTTAAAAACAAATGTAAACTCATATTTAAATTTACTTTCCTTTAAAAAAAAGAGAGAATTCATCCAGATAAAGTCATGCTCCCCATGCAATTTTTTTTGGGGGGGGGGTTGAGTTGGGGTGGAGATGGTGTTGGGGGAGGGGGAAAATTCATTGAAATACTTATTTTTATAATCAAGTTCTGAATGTTTATTCTGCATTCTAAAATAAAAATTGCTATAAAATGCAGAATCCTTCAAAATGTAACAAAACTTACAATGGACTTTCGTGGATAGGATTGTTTGGGGATGCATGAAGATAATTAGCTTGCCCATTCATATCCTGCACACATCAAATGGCAAGACAACCTCGTTCATGTTTTTCATGGAGGGGGAGGGAATGGTGGTGGTCCGTGGCTGTTCACAGCCTTGTTTAGCAGCACAAAAGATGATGCTGGCCTTTCACTTGGGAGATGCATCCAAACAGCTGTGCCCATCTGTTCAGAGGCTTATCGGTGAATTCAGGTAGAATGATTACTTGTCTTCTTGATTAGTGAGCTGCAGTCATCGGAATACATTGGCTGGAGGAATTGATCCATTGTACCGCGGTCCTTTCTCTCTGATTGTACTGCATGGTGCATGGATATATTGTAAATACATGTATGCATCATTTGTCACTATGTGGGGGTAGTTAGAGTATTCTCTTGTAAGGAAAAAAAATGCTGTATGGTTGAGTTTGCCAAAAAAGGAATACTTGATGGAAATTTAAGATATATATTTCAGTGTAAATTTTTTTTGTTCAGTTGATGAAGATAAAACATCCATCTTGCAAAGTTGCATCTCATTGAAACCCTCCTATGCAAACATGCATTTATTTGCAAAGCTGTTCTTCCAGTCAAAATCAATCAGGTGACTGGAACAGTTAAGAGCTCCCAGCCTACATAAAGCAGGATTGACTGGCTGTGACAGTTTATGTAACTTGATACAGCTATGCTTTGACTGTAGGTGATTGATAAACCAGCTGTGCCAACGACTTGCCTGCTTTTTGTCTGTTGACTGAATTTGACTAGTCGCAGTGCTTGCTTGGTTTGTGATCTGACTGTTGGTGACTAGCCTGTGTAAAAGGCATGATAGGGAAAGAGGATTGATTTTTTGACTGTCTGTGACTGTTTAGACAGCAGGAGGGTTAGTAGAAATGCATGGTAGACAAGCTCTTAATAATTAACAAAATTAATTTTCTGAATTTCTCTCAAACTGATTGTGGCATCGAATGTTATGGAAGCCTGAAACCCCCCACCCCAAAAAAAATAAAAATTAAAAATTAACCAAAAAAATTATATAAAAAAAAGAACAAAAAACTATTTATTGACTAGAAGCTTGTAAAAATATACCCAGACAATTAGCCAGTGGGTATTTGCATACGCACTTGTCTCGTGACAAAAGAAATTAGAATTTTCTGCACGTGTACATCTGTACATCTGTATCAAGTTTCAAGTTTTTCAACACTGTCTAAAATCATAGCCAGGAGGAAGGTGTAAGTTTCAATGGCCTATAGAGGCGACTTAAGTCGATGCACGCGGGCAGAGAGACCCGCATCTTTGCTCCGTACAAAGCCGTCCTATTCACGTTGAAACAGAGAAAGATGTTTGCCGCGGGACACCAGGGCGACTGAATAATTTACTGATGTGCGTGACGTGAATACAGCCTGTGAAGACATGTTGGATCGGAATTTAGAATTAAAAAGAAGATTCTGTTGTCCTACAGGCACCTTTTGTAAGACTAGTAGTTATAAAATATACTCAAAATAAACCAATAAAAATTTTATATTAGGGGATTTGATCAATGTAGCACAATACATGACGTCTCTCCATGGGTGCAATATATCGTGATAGTGAGTTTATGAACAAGTGCATCCGATGTCAATTGACAGGTGTATTCCAGCTGTTAATTTCATATCTGACAAAAAAATAGCTTGTTACTAGTGAAATACAATTTTTGAATATTTGTTTATGTGCATACCGGTATGTACGCGTACATGAAATGTTTTCAAGTATTAAATAAAACTCTTGTAATCATGATCTTTGTGTTTGTACTTTGAAGCCATGTTGACCTGCCAAATTCACCAATTCCGATATTTGCACAACACTGAAATATAGGGCAGAAACATACATAATCCATTATAGGTTGCGTGCGTGCACAGACTTTACACACGAGACCCATATATCACGCAACCTCTTGATTTTAGCTACGACCTCCTGGGACCATTGAGTAACTAATGAGAAGAGCAAGCCGAACAAGACAGCAAGTTACTTATCCTGAGCGTGATTGATAATAGTGGTTGTACTTCGCTGCAGCTGTGTTGATTAAGAATTGTTCTGTAGGAGTGTTTTAACCGCTAGGCAGTTTGTAGAAGATGTGAAAATTGAAATTCGTCTTGAACTCGGCTCTTCTTTTGTTGCATTTAAAGCAAGTTTTCTTTTGTTTCAGGTTCCGGCAATTCCTAGCTTTTCCTTTAGTTACTATAGGCATTGTTTTGTTGCTCATTCAGGGGTGGGTCCAGGAATTTTTGCAGGGGGGGGGGGTCAGGCCCTTCAGATTTTTGCTATGTCCGATTGTTACAGACAGGTGGACTTAGGTAATTATTATTACTATAATTGTTATAATTTATTTGTTTGTGTCATCATTGGGGGTGGGGGTGGCATGTTTCAACCCCCCCCCCCCCCCCTCTAGATCCACGCCTGCCATTTAGGCAACACTCTAGCACTCCTAATAGAATATGTACTTCCCTGCTGAAACATTTTAAGCGACAAGGCAAAGCCCTTGATGATTGTGGAAAATTCCTGCTTCCATAAAGTAGAGATTTCTACCTGCAATGTAATTTCTAAGAACTTCACATTCTGCAATACAGACAGGTGTCTGTGCTGAAATTTCATAGACTGCTTTTGTAAAGTGCCGGACTTCCAATCAATCAATTTGATGAGAATTACATAAATATCAAGAGTCCTTGAATTTTAACCTGGGGAGAAACCAAGAAAAACAAAAGTAAACCACCACGTTTACCACTCGTCTCCACATTTGTCACGAAACGCGAGTGTCCGCCACCCTCTCCAGATGTCCCCAGACCAGGGCAGCCTCCAATTACCCTGCAAAGTGCCCACGAGGTGACGGCCTAACGAGACCAAGAAGGGAGCAAATCTCCAAAGCACGACTCGATGGCTTGAGTTTCGGGGCGAACAAAAGACCCCTGTTTGATGCTTAGGGTAGGGTTTCATAAAGAGAAGGGGCTCAGAGGTGTGGCCGCTTGGGTGCACCACGGGGGAAAACTAGCCTGATCTTGCTGAGCATGTTGAGAGGGGGGTTGCTATTCCCAAGGGGCGACGCGAGAGTCCCTGAAGAGCGACACAATCTACCCAATTGGTAGGAAAGTCACGATTGGCCTACTTCGGTGATTAATTCTTGGGAGGCGTACATCCTCCACACTCCTGTCCCAAATCATCGGCAGAGATAGAAAATTTGGGTTCCATTCGTGGACAATGGATGGTGTACAATGACAGCCTTGAAGAGGGAGACATTTTTTGCTTTCAAAGTATTTGACAAAGGAAATGCAAATTTCACTAAAGTTGCCCCCCCCCCCCCCCCGATAAAAAGTCTGGGTTTATCATAAATGTTCCACACTGTTACCCTCTTTTACTCCTATTTTTTGGACTTCACGTTTTCTTTGACATCCCCTTAACCGACCCTAATCCACATTAGGCCTAATCCTCCAAAATACTGAGGATGAATGTTGTTTGAAAAGGAGAAGGATTTTGGAGGATTGAGGATTAATGCATTTTTTGAGGCAGGACTGTCTGACGATTTTGAAGGATTGAGGCGCTGGGTATCCTTCATTTGAATATAAGTGCAAACATTTTTGAGGATTTTAGAGGGTTGAGGATGGGTTCTAGCAAAAAGAGCCAAGTGGGTTAGGGTTAAGGTTTAAATGAAAACTACTGAGGACTACTTGGGCTATATATCAGGTCCTCAGGATAAGTAGTTTCCCTTTGTTCATGGTCTTTAGTTGAGCTAAAGAAGGGGAGGTAAAACAGTAGAGGGGCAAAGTATACAAAATATCAATTTGTCCAAGGTGTTATCTACCGTTATTTAATCCTGCAGGGTGAGAAATTAAGATGGCTGATTCACATTTTATACAAACAATTTGTCAGAAGTTTTACGACAGTTGTTGACTCTCGTAGTATGATATCCATCTCCTCTTTTACTTTGAGTGATTCGCTATACTCCAAGTTTACATATCAACAAGATCTGTCACAACAAACATTTGCACCGGCTCGCCAGGGTTGACTCACCCTGCACAAGTGCACACTTCATCAATATTTATAGCAAATCATCAAGTCCAGAATTCCACCAGGAATACCAAAAAAAAGATATTTCGCTTCACCCGCTCGTTGTCCCCTCCCAACCCTACCAAACGCAGCACTGAAGATCACTATCCTTTGTTTGTGTGCAATTTATATAAATTCCTCCAGGACAGAGACAAACGTGTAAAAATTGTGATGACACAGGATCATGATACGCTTGACCATCTGCCGAGAAAATTACATTTTTTTGTGCTTCTGGGCTGTTTCTGATAAAAAATTATCCGATATATCCCCACCAAACCAATCTCATTAAGCGCTAAGTGGTGAAGCCAGTCCCATTTTCACCTTTTTTTCCCTTTTTTTTAATCCGCAAATAGTTCACTTTATAAATTACTTCGCTGCCTCCATTAGCAGGGTGTCTGATAAAAACTGGTCCCCGCATTTGTTTGTTTGTACATGCATGCAGATGTTGCCGGGAGATACCGGTGTGATTTCCCCCCCAAAACAGCCCTAGTAAAATTGGTGATAAATCATCCAGAAAAAAAATCAATATTTCTTGGCTGGCGGGAGAAACATTTAGAATCGTTCCAAGGACAAAAGAAACTTGTGATACATTGATGCCGTAAAATCGTGCTGCTTGATACTTTCCAGTAGCATTCAGCTTAGCTTCTTAAATTGAACAAGGTTTTATCTCAAATCCTATCAAATATTGAGGTCTGTAGCAGACAGTGAAAATGAATGCAAGGTTTGACTGAATCACAAGAATTCTTCTTCAATTTTTCCCTTGGTTCATAGATCACATGCCTTCAAGATTTCTTCAAAGATGACGACGTTTTCATCGCATATGGCCAGGAACGCTACTCCCATGACGACTTTGACATTGCTGTGGAAGGTAAACGATAATCTCATGATATTCCAAGATCTTCATGTTTGGTACTATACTGCCTGCCACTTTGCCTGTTTCGATCAAAAGAGGGCGCTCTAGTTGCCCACAGAGGTGGCTTGACGCTATCCAAATATACAATGTGTCATTGTCTGTCAGGTCGAGGTGTGTATTTTTTCTGTAGGTGTTTTATTGGGATTGCAATTTGCACACGAGTTGCAGTGAGTCATGCATGCTTCAGTTCTCCGGCCTGAGGAAAATTATGCATGGATTCTACTGGAAACTTAAAGGGGAAAGCCACATCTAAGTCTGTTATAACATATCTGGCAGAGGGAGGCTGTGCTTGTTCCTTTGCACCGCCGACACACACCCTAATACATCCTTTCTACATGAGCATGTATTTTACTTTTATTGCACAATCTGCCTGTGATTGTTTACAATACAAGTCTGGCTTTGATTGACACATTGAATTTTTGCTTTTTAGACAATTAACAATTCAAAATACAGCAGTGACACAGTACAGTGACGTGTCAGTTTTTATAATGTCCCCTCCCCCTGCACCCTTTGGAATATTTAAAATTCAATATTTTAATGATAGACTCTTTAATTTATTGTTTGAGTTGAAATTTACCAATTTTGTTCGCCATTATTTTATAACATTTTACTTTACACATTTTTAAACCTTAAAGTATTTTCGAGAATTTTAAGAATATTTCGTCGCTGCTTGCAGCTACTGTCTCAACGCATGGTCCCATGTGGTCGTAGGCCGTATTCTAAACATCAGTAAATTAACGTCACGCCCTGTCAACCACCGTCGATGCACCGATGTTGACCCAGGACACCTTTCTCTATACTTGGTCGCCCCCAGACGTTGTTGGCCTCATAGTTCAGAGGCAATATTGATGTTAAATTAACCGTTATCATAGCACCTGTCACTACTTCTGGCTGAATGACATTCACCTTGTCGACGTACATAATGTTCCTAGTCGTCCCTATTCAGAACAACTTTCATGATCTTTTGTGCAGGTCGTAGTACTTTACATATTGGAATAGGAAAGATATAATTCGTGTCTACTGTGCAGAGTCTAAAGGGCCATGCAATGTAATATTTTTAATGCAATTTTTGGTTCACAATTTGAACAGAAAACCTCTAAACGGAACAATGTCTTCCTGAAATTACATCACAGCAACAGCGCCCTCAGTTGTCTGGAAAAGCATAGACATTTTTTTAATGTTTAAAAAAGTGCACTTTTCAGTATAATTAACCAAAAAGGGATGTCAAATATTTTTCTTACATTTAAAAGGAGTAGAAAGTTGCACAAAATATGTTCCCAAGAAAAATTCACTGCATGGCCAACCCCGTAATATCTTACTCTGATACTTATTTGCTGGGTACAACCAATGTACTTTTGGGATTATGGTGTTTTTTGATGATTGTGGATACAAGCATGGACTACCTCCATGATACAAGAATTGAAGTGTAAACCAATTGCAAGAAAGAAAATCCTGAAATCAGTTTTCTTTTTGGACTGGCTTCGCGCTACCTTTCTTTATTTCCGTTCATTTCATATGCAGAGTGCAAGATGGTCTCTCCTTATCGCAACACCAAGCGCAAGGATCGTGTTATGATGAAGAGTCCAGGCACACCACGTCGCATGTCTTCCCCAAAACCAGGTTAGAGACGAAATTCGATTTGATCCCTTTTGTCACCGCACCACCCAAAAATTCCCAACACCTTGGGTCTCCTGGCCCGAAAACTATACTTGATAATCGGGGAGAAACAGTTGTCGTAAATGTAACTCTACCCATTATAGAGAGCAAGAACTATAAAGTTAAACTGATGACAAATGTAGTCAGAAAATATTATCACAAAATTCCAGAGTCCTTCCCATTCATGCATTTTGATACATTCTATGTGACCTGTCGCCACAAAATGAGCTTAAAGTCAGAAATTGTCATTTTGCAGTACAGTGGAGCAAACCCAAAATTTGAATGGGTGGTCAGTTTTTGTTTCCAGGTAAAACATGATCTGTTAGTCCACTTTTGCCTTTCTCTAATTTTTTGTTCCATTAAACATCTTTAAAAATCAATTTTTCATCCTGTTTTTATTAGTCGACAGTGGATTCGCTGTAACACAACTGCAGGATTTTTAAAATGTAATTTTCTCCGAAAATCAGATTTACAACTTCAAGTAAGATGGTGATCTGTATTTCCGTAACTGAGCTCAGTATCCCTAAACGTTATATACCATTGGAAAGCTCTTTTTCTGCAGAATTCAAATAATTAAATATCACAACTCGTAAAAAGTCTGACTTTACGCTTATTTCGTGATATTGATATTAAGTTATGCAATCAATCCTGCTGGGCTTATCCAGAGAATGCTTAGATTAAATAGTAGTCCAAGTATTGGGTGAGATTAATCAGTCCAACTGTGCACGTTAACCATACACGGTCATCAAACTTGGTCCACAAAATATTATTCGGTATAGTGGTCATTCTTTAAAGCAGTTTTCGGCAGGGAAATGCTTGTTATATGAACTGTACAGATTTTTAAATGGAGGACTGTTTGCTTTGTATTGTAGTAGTCCCGCGGCCTGAGGTTCCTTTCTACCCATCCTCAGCCTCCCCCAAGCCGTCCACGGCCATGTCCCTCAGACCTGTCATCGCACCAAAGCCAAGCCTCCACAAGCTGCAAAATGCAACAGAAAACGGCGCTAGACCATCCTCTGTGGCATCATCCAAGTCAAAGGTCGGTTATAGGTCCTCTTGATTCTATGGCTCCATGCGCGAACAAGAGATGTTTTTCTTACCACTTTCGAGCCCAGTGGATGGGATATGATGTGTGCCTATACTGGTTTGCACGAAACACGCACAACTTTTTTTTTCTGAATATGTGAACAAAGCCGTAGTGTTCTGCTTGAGCACAAGGCGTCTTTGGAAATCCGTTTGAATGTCTCTCCCAGTGGTCTCCCCCAACTCTCGCTTTCCTATCGTTGAGTAGGAGCTTGTGCGTGGAGCCCATATTAAGGCCATGTCCAAATTACGTGGCTTCATTCCGGTTCGTAAGTGTGACGTCATTTCAACTTAAACCACTCCCACTGCTCACGGAGTAGCATAGGAAACATTGGAACTGCAGGTAGTACAAAGTGGCGTGTTTAGCCAACGGGCGCTAGTAATCAGTGGCGCGTGGGTGTGTATGGTGCAGTCACTTACGGACCGGATACTCGCATTTGTAATTGCATGCCATATCTAAGTAATTTGGTAGCGGCTTTTATACATGTAGACAGTTCTCAATATGTCCCAGAATTAACTTTTTTGACCCCCACTTCGTAGAAAAGTTTTTGGAGTTCCAAGGAGCAATTCAGAACTGGTTCTTTGAGTTTAAAAAAAACCTTTCGGCTATAAAAACATCTTTAAAAACAGATCTTAACCGAATAAAAAAAAATCAATTTTTTTGATCAGTTATGAATTTCTCTTTGATAAAACACTTGTTTGTGAAAGTCACATTTTGCCATGGTGCTTTTATCCATCATTTTGAATGTTTGTTCACAAAATATGTGACAGGAACAGAGCCATTTAATCTTTTCTTTTGGGAAAAAAATATAAAGTCAAGTCTTGATTCATGCTCACATTTCTGTAAACAAACATTTCTCTAGAATGTAAGCCAAGAATTCCCACAAGTAATTCCAACGATAATTCGAATACTGCCAATTCCCTGGAAGTCTGAGAGCTTTCCCCTTTCCCGCCATGCCACTATTGATCTTAATGTTGTCCCAGCGTCTGCACTGCTCATTCGAGACGACTGTTCATTGTGCTTGAAGCGTCGTCAGTCATTATTTTTTATCGATTCAGCCAGGGTTTCTCAAAATGGAAAGTTTCATATTGCCGGCAATGTGATATGTCACTATTGTGCCAACGTTTTTAACGCCTACTTCAGATATTGCATTGTTGTTGCATAATGCATAGGCCAGCCTTGATGATCATTTTCAAGTGTCCTTTCCTTAGATTTGTTTGTATTTTCTTCTTTTTTTATCGAGCAAATGACAAATTTCAAAATTTCTGTGAAAATTAGTATCATTTCCCATGTTACGAATATGAGTTAATGGTCTTTAGAAGCAGATGGAGAAAAAAGTAATTGGAAATCAATTGATTTATTTCTTTTTTCTTTGTCTCTTTTCTCAGTCAAAAAAAATCTTGAGAAATTGGTAAATTTCACCTGAGATTTTTATTTATTTTTTTTTTTAAATCCAATAGCACTTTTTAGAATTGGACAGATGAAGCATGCATAAACTAATTGCAACAAAATGTATTGCATGATCTGAATACCACATGAGGGTTTGTTTCATGTCTCTTTCATTCATTTGAGAAAGAGATTTGTATAAATTTGCAGAAAGTACCGGAAACATTCCCAGTGTTCAGACGCTCCTTGAATGAGATTAGGTTTCATGAGATTAGGCTTCAGTCCATCTGTCAGTCAGAATCCCAATTCCATGATCTTTTCTGATTTTCCTTTTACTGGATTTGACTGAATATACATGTTAGAAGAGACACGCTTCTTGCTGACAAGGAACAGAAACATTCCCAGTTTTTAAGACACTCTGTCTAAGACTGAAAACGAGATTAGGCATCGATCAGTCTATCCTTTACAGAGAATCCACGATTTTCTTTGGAAAATCCTTTTTACTGGATTTGGATGAATTAGTCAATCCACCTGCGCCGTGGCATTAGATGAGTCATGGGGCCGACATTCATGAATAACATTGTGGCGACAGATGTGGGGTAAATGAGTCGTGTATCATGTATCACTCGTTTGTTTACCCGCAGTGGTGAGTTCAGCAGGCTCACCAGGGTGCACACTATCACCACCTTGCACCACCTGCATTCTGTGGGTGTAAAGTTCCGCATTGAGGCTTTGATGTGAGGGAGGGCAGTTTAAAAATCAAAGATAAGGTTACCTGTTTTCCAGCAAAATTGAAAAAAAAAAAAAATTATTTCAAATGAACCACACAGGTTGACGAGGTGCATTAAAATATTAAAGTTGAACACACAAAAATATTGACTTGAGCAGGGCTTGAACCTATATATCCGGACTGCCGTTCCAGTGCTCTACCAACTGAGCTATCCAGCCATACATGTATGTTGGCAGTTCCTCATTTTGACAATGTCTTTGTTCAAGGGGTGCTAGTAAGAAGACTCTGGTAATCCGGAGGTTGCAGATTCGAATCCCGCTCCCGTCAGTTTCTTTGGTAATTTTTTTAATTAGTAACAATAAAAAGCCACCAAAAATGAAAAACGGCTCTTGCAGAATCATTACTGCTGGCATTGTTCAGATGGATATTTTCAACATATTTAATTCATATGCTTTAATAGAGAAAATCTTTTTGATGAAATTATTTTTCAAACTTAAGATTATCGTTTGTCATTTTCATGCACAGGGCAGCAGAAGAGGCTCTGGTACTTCAACGAGTACTGCTGGGACAGGTGAGATAAGTTGCTGGATCTATGAAGCCATGTCTGAATTACTTTGCTATACGGCTGGCAGTAAGGCCCTGTCAGAATTACTTGGCTACGGCTTGAAATTACACAGGAGACTATATGAAGTGGCTGCAGCCGCTACCATAGACTTGTGTGTAATTTCAAGCCACAGCCACGTAACTTGGACACGGCCTAACATAGCAGTTTTGAAAGTGAATTCAGCTACGTCTCACAGGACCATGTGTTAATTATTGCTTGCCATGGATAAGTAATGCCGATGCAGCCAAAGTTTCAACCTCAAAGCCCGAAAAAGCCACTGGCTGAAATACAAACAAACAGGCTGCTTTTGTTATTCATGAAAATACAAGGCTTAAAAAGCAGTGATATTTACATTTACTAAAAATATGGTGCTTGTCTTGCCTTGGTTGCCATTTAGAGTTGAAAGGAGGCAAAATGTGTTGGTTGGTCACAGAAGAAGCTTCCCCCTTGCTCATCGAAAAATAAAAAACCTGTAAACCAATCCGGACACTTTGTCAATTCTATCACGAACGCCCCTTCAGTGTGGAAAGCATTGTGCTAGCTATTGTTCAGATAATCCATCATGGGGCAGTTGCTTTGTACAATAGCATCACATGCTTTCACCATTGAAGGGGGCCACATGAGTGTACAGTGATCCAACCTGGATTTGTCTGTTCTCTGCCAGATGTTCACCAGTTTGTCTTCAAACCCGACCTTCCAATGAATCAGCTGCTGGAACATGTCTAGACATTGTTGCGGATTACTGTGCCCTAGTAAACCACATTAATTGGTTTTTCATTGCGGGCCTGGGTGCGTTGAGGTGTGATGGGTGGTTTGGGAGCCTACGTGGGATTTGTGGTTCTGCTTGAGAGGGGTTGGTCTCTGCAATACTCATCACACCCCCGCTTGTTTCTCCGAAGTGGTACTTTCATATGAGAAAGATGGGACAATGCAGCTTGAGCTGATTAATTCCGACATTTGGACAGCCTTGAGCTGGTTGAGATAAGAGACAAAAATGTGGCAGCAGAGTTGACACTCCCTCCAGTTCTCATTGGCTGAGAAATTTGGTCTTTTGAAACAAAAGTGAACTCCTTTTTTGCGTTATGCATTTAATGGAAACTTGTGAATTAACCTTGGTTAGACAAACCCTTGCCTTGCCACTGAAAGGCATAGCCCATGTACAAAACAAAACATTGCGTCGATCAAGTTGCTTTTGTGTTTCTACAACTTAGTTGAAAAGGAATCTTTTCAGATTTCCTCAGGACATTTGCCACCTTTTTTTTTGTACAGGACAAGACCATGACCTCTCACCCCATGAGGACAATGGCATGGACGACGGAGAGGGCGCCCTCTATCAGAAGTACGAGGTCGGGCGCGTGATCGGCGACGGCAACTTTGCAGTGGTCAAGGAGTGCTTAAACAGGTGAAGTTTTACTGTCGTTGAAATTACGGTCCAGACCGAATGGAAATATTACTTACATAGGCCAAAGAGCGAAGACTATAACGCCAGAAGGAAATGTTTGTCTGTACAGTTGTCAAAATTGTGTTCAAGTAAATGGGAATTCTCATAAATTTCTTTCAAATGTGGATCCTTTTCAAAATGTTCCCGATGTGGTCCATGGCGAACCCTTGCATATATTTCTGAAAAATCCAGGCACTTTGTGATGTCCTTTTTTTTTCAACAAAAGTAATAAATTGTGATAGTCTAAAGAGGGCAAATCAAAATTGCCAAAATTTCTGTGCGTAAAGCAACAAATGCGGTAACATTGCATGAAGAACAGTAATATATGTTGGCTATTAATTTTTTTTCTAAAAATGGTTGTGTAACTAAAAACTGGATAGGTTACTGTTTGGCATTTCAGGGTTCATATTTATGTTAGTTATAAAGAGTTTACAATGTAAGTGATGCAGTATGAAGAAAAAAAGGAAGAAATTTTGAAATTTCTTGGGAAACCAGATAATGCAATTGAATACCTTAGCATTTACTTTCAAAGCATTCCTGTCCTCATTAAATATAGCATTTCCAAGTCTAGATACCAAGCAGCATTTAAGAAAGAAAAAGAAAAAAACTTGCCCTTAATATTCCCAAGATTTAATAGATTTTTGTAACAAAGCATTTCAGCCGTTGCCTTACATCATTCAGAATCAAGTAACAGATGGATTCTTGAATTTGTGAAAAGTATTCATTTGAATTGAGTTTCTTCGAGAAAAATATCACAAACTTTATAAATGCCATTTTACTTAATGAATAGGATGCATAATGACCAAAAATTTAGTATTTCTAAATGTCCTTGCCAAATTTTATATGGCCATTCAGCCGTGTCATTGTCTACAAATATATTTTTGTGCTTTTCCTGAAGTAACATAGTTGAGAAGTTAAAAATGATCATTGCTTTTGCCTGAAATTGAAACATTTAAAAAAAAAAACCTATATTTTAAGAATCATGCGCAGTTTTTTCATTACCACAATAGATATTTTCCCTCTTTAGCATCAAGCCAAAACTGACCCCAAAATACCCTTGCCAAACCCTTTTTTGTATCATTTCACGATCAGCATTATTGTAAACTTGCCCTATTTTCTCATGTACTTCAGCAGATGACATTCATTACATTCATATTCTTCCAGTAGCATGCGCCATTATGCTCACCAATACATTTACATTGCATGCAATTGTTCAAACGTCCCGACCATTTTGTTTCATGTGTAATTTCATTTAATGCATTTCATGCACAATTTTTGTCATTATTTTAGCCTTTTTGTGGCTTTGTTTTCTATTTATGCTATTTGAAGCTTGCTTTTGAGTTTTGTACCTTTTGTAACAATTTTGCTGCTGTTTTGTTGTCACTTTATTGTTGATTTTCAGCCGTGTGAACATGTTCTTTTGCAATTCATGTCATCCTTGGCAACAGTTTTTTGACATTGTGTGGAATTTTGTGGTAAAATCTACTATTTATGATTACGAATATTAAATTACGAATATCTGTCAAAAATTATCATCGTGGCGAAAAAAAGGTTTGCCAATCAGTATGTATATAATTGTTGAAGAGGAAACGTTGTATAAAGATGGTTCCGGTTATTAATTAGGGTTTAAATATTTATTTTAAAACGTGTGATAGAATTTTACAAAACATGGATTTCTTACGCAACAGTGTCTTTGGGAAAGTCACAATTGTGAATTGTTTAAACAGTTTAACCATTTAGTGTATCTCATGTCTCTCACCAAAAGCTGATCGAAAGAAAGTGTCGTGCCAGTCTGTTTATGGCTTCTGCAAAGATAACAAATAGCCACAGTCTCACAGAGATGAGATGAGCATTTAGTGTACCTCATATCTCTCACAAATACCTGATTGAAAGAAAGTGTTGGGCCGGTCTTTTTATGGCTTCTGCAAAGATAATAAATAGCCACAGTCTCTCGGAAATGAGTAAGAAGTATTAAGGTACCATCCATACGTTGTCACATTATTCCGTGCATTATATACAGCCAGTTTGCACTTTGCCTCCTCACGCCATCTCGGCACAGTAACGTGAGCATAACCAGCTCAACAGACTTGACAACTAGTGGCCCAAATTGAGCCGGTTCGGAATTCCGAGTGCGACGCCTTGTCGAGATCAATCAGTTTCATTTGTTGTTAATAATCGTGGATGTTTGCCTTTCAATTCCGGGGACCATCCAATATGGCGCCACACTTTGGTTGGACGAGTGCTTTGTCTAGATTGCACATGTCAGACAAGAGAAAATTAAATTGATGTTATTGGAGGAATTGAAACCTGAGAATATTGGAAACACAACTAGTGGGAATATTTGGTTGCTATGGTGAATCATGGGTGTGAAAAATGTCCGAGTGATGCTTAATGCATTTTTTGGAAATAATGGAGTATGAATTCAATAACAAAATAATGATTTCATTTGGATCGTGCATGTACTTAAGGAAACAAAACAAGTGAAAATCTTTCAAAGTGTTTAAAAACCAAGATATCAAATTGATGAAATGTATATCTTTTAGTTGGTTGAATGTATGTGACTCGAGTTGAGTATTGGCCTTTCTGAGAATAAAATGAGGAAAATATGAATTATTTTTTTGGCTGCTATTTAAGAAGTTGTATAGAAATTGAGATAAAATTGGCCAGCTGAAAGCATTTATTTATTGAATTTGACAATTTGAAATGTTGAGGAATGTAAAAAAGTAATGATAAAGATTGTCAAAATGGAAAAAAAAAATGTCATTTTAAACCATACCAACTGATGATTTTGCATTTTCGACGCAATTTGTAAATGATGTACAGAAATCTGGTAAAAAGTTGTTTGCTGTGTTGTGTTTGTGCATTAAATTAATGAGTGTCAACAAAAGTAACTAGGGTCAGCACGGGTAGTAGTTGTGGTAGAGTAATGTTTGGTGTTCATGTGCAATAACTTAAGGTATTTATTTAGGGGAGAAAGATGGTGGATGTTTCAGTATTTTGCAAAAATGTCTGAAGATCAGTGATATGTGAATTACAAAGTTGAATCTTAACTTATTTCATAGTCAGTTGAAGAATCAGGCGTTCAAGTAAAACCATACCGAAATCAAAAACAGTTGGTTACATGTATATGGTATGTAAGTGTGTATACATTTCGGAAAATCATGAAGTGCAAGTAGGATTTGTAACGCAATGCTAGAATATGGTGAAATTTTTCTTCGGCATTTCCAATTGTTGTTTGATTGTGAATACCTCATAGCATTGTTGTTTACTTCTCGCAAGCAATGTCAGGCACAACCAGGCGCTGTTTTTTGGCACTCTTTTCAGCACTGAATTGTCTGTACATGTGACATTTTTGTGGCCATTTTTTGTTTCAATAAACTGTGCTATGCATGAACCGAGAGGAAAGCATGAGTTTGGTGTACTTTGTCTTTTATTTTGGTGTTGCCTTTTTTTAGTTCCTTGCAGTCGCTTCTGAGTGTGTTTGTACCCCCTACCCACCGTTTCTTCTGTGTTACATCTGCACCATACAATATGAATTAATTTCATCTCTGACAGCACATTGATTCCATAAAAATGGTACAACAAATTCAAGAAAACTTGTTCTCCTTACATTTGATTTCCTTTGGGTTGTTTTTAGGCAACAACATCATTGAGCAGAAAATTTGAAATTCTACATAAAAAAATGTACCAAATTTAGGAACAAATCAATCCAAGTCATTTAGCCTTTATTATAAACCATTTTTTCCTAATCAATGGTTTTATTGCATTCTCATCAGTAAGTTTGTTCTTATAGGCAAGAAACTAATTTATGAAATTCTTAAATTACATCAAACCTTTTGTTGAAGAACATACATGTGGAAGCTCCCACATGCACATAACAGAACTGGACTCAAACATTTTAACTTGATGTAATCTTTGTGTATATTTGATTTAAATACTTTTCACTCAATATTTTACCAAATTTGAGAAGTCTGACATTTAAACAGTCTGCACTAACAGAGAAGTGCAAACCCATAAAACTCTCTGTATATCAAATGACCTTTTTCAAGTATACACATTCCGTGGGACTTGCAGGCACTCGGGCGGCAGTTTGCCCAAACTCATTTAATTTTCACTGTCGTTATCACATATTGTGCACTCTCTGCATCAGACATATGCAGTCGTCCTCATGTTGTTAATGTTATCAAAGATTTTCAAATGTCATGCAGGATTACATGTAACCTTGCGACGACTTTTACCGAGCTGCTAATCGCACAAATTTGCTCACGGACTGACCAAATTTGGCTCCGCAAAAATGGGTAACCAGCCAAAAGTGTGCAATGTGATGTACATAACCTCTGACTGGTAACCCGCTGTATTTTTCTTAACAGCTCAAATGAAATTTATTCTCACAGAAATCATGTTTTAGTCACACAGATCAGCAATCATGCAATAATTCGCTCTGGCATATTGTCATTTTATTGACTGTAGCTAGGATAGCGCTGTAATTCTGCAATCCTTTAATATTAACTTCTGGTTCATTTCAGCTACACTGAATAACGTGGCTGAAATTCCTGCGACACTTAAGATGAGCAAATTCCTAGACAGTCAAATTAAATTAGGCTAAAGTTGTTGACATTCAACACAACATATTTAATATATGACCCAGATACTGAATTATCTGAGAAGCAGTTTGCAAAATTTTGTACAAAAAAATGAATAAAATTTTACAAAGCTGCTTCTCTCAGCTTAATCTATATTATTATAAAAAAAAAAGGGAAAGGTAATTACAAAGCCTAAAAATGTTGTCCTCCAAAAGCATTTTTTTAAACGAATGTGTTTAAGGCAAATAAAACTGCATAGAACATTGTTGCTAACAAAACAGTCACGTAGACCACTAGACTCGGGCTAGGTTTGACCAGAAAATTAAATTTCAGATACATTTAATTTAATACACCACATTACTCTCAAGCATAACACAGCTGAAGGCCTCCTTCAAAGCGAAATGCGAGAGCATTAAAGAGAAATCGCAAGTGATAAATTATTTTATTTCTGCAGGGGCACCAAAATGGAGTTTGCACTGAAAATCATCAACAAGAGGAAATGTGTCGGAAAGGTAAGATGCAGATGGATATAAGAGTTTTCAAAAGAATATTTTCTTTATTAAATTTTAATTAAATTAATTTGATTTTTTTTTATTCGTAAAGAAAAAGAAGAGTAAATTGCAATTCGTTTATGACACAATGTTTCTTCTCCAAAATTATTTATTACTTTCTTTTTAAATTTGATATTGGCGTGTTTCTTTGCACCACCCTTTTCAATTGTTTTGCGTTGATGTTTTTGTTTTGAATGTTTTCAAATATTTTTTTTTTACAGGAGAAAATGATTCAGAACGAAGTGTCCATCCTGCGCCAGGTCCAGCACCCTAACATCATCCAGCTGATTGAAGAGTTTGACACTCCCTCTGAGTTATTCCTGGTCATGGAGCTGGTTAAGGTAAAAAAAAGATCTAAAAAAAAATTCGTTGGATTTTTTATGGAATTGTTTTCCAATTTGCATTATTTTTTTACCAAAAAAGTACTTGGCGCACTCTTTCTCTCTTATTAATTAGGTCTGAATTCTTATTTGCTAGAATTTCACAAAAATCTCAAAAATGCCTTCCCAAGCCCCCAATTCCCCCAATGGACTGTTCTGGATGTAGTCATAAGCCCCGCCCACCTTCTTGTTTGTTTACATTGCTCATGGTGTTTGTTCATACCAAGTTTGACCAAGAAACATAGTCATTTGACTAGAAGTCTGGATCTAATTCGTCAATGCTCACTGTTTGACTGACAGAAGCATACATGCAGGCGACAAGGACTGCGCGACGGTTGAAACCGACCACAGTTTTTTCTCCTTTTTTGTGGACATCTGAGAACGCAAACATTTCAATAGGTCAGTTTAATGATATGTTGTATAACATGGTAACCCCTGAATATACCCATTTCTGATAATTACAACAACTGCAAATGATGTACATTCCCTTTAACCCCATCAGGGTGGGGATCTGTTTGACGCCATCACCTCCGCCACCAAGTACACGGAGCGCGACGGGGGCTGCATGGTCCACAACTTGTTCAGCGCCCTCAAGTACCTGCATTCCATGAACGTTGTCCACCGCGACATCAAGCCCGAGAACCTCCTGGTGTGCGAGCACGAGGACGGGACCAAGTCACTCAAGCTGGGAGACTTTGGGCTGGCCACCAAGGTGACCGGTCCCCTGCGCACGGTGTGCGGGACGCCCACTTACGTGGCCCCTGAGATCATTCTGGAGACTGGGTAAGGATGGTATTTTTTTTTCATTTTCACTTGTCTGCCCTCCTCAATTTTGATTGAAAACCCAACATTAACCGGCTATAGTTTTGGGGATATGGTAGACACAACAGAAGGGCACTATTTTGTATTCACCTAAATTCACAAAACCACGCATAGTGCCCTGCTATAGTCTGCCATAACTCAAAAAGACTAACAGCTTTTGCAACAGGGACATTTTTTGAAAACTGGTTGCCAAAATGGTGTTCCACTTGCAGGGATGTAGTCGAGTCCAGATCACAAGTCCCTGCAAGTCCCTGCAAATCCACTATTCCTCCAGTCCCAATTCAAATCACAAACTATTCAAATGAGCTTTGACAAAGGCATTCCCTTGTTATTGTTCATCCACTGTTACTTTTAACTGGACTTGTGATTTATTTTTGACTGGACTTGTGATGGACTTGACTACATCCCTGTCCACTTTCCAAAATTAAATCTGGTGAATTGAATTCTTTTGTTGTCCTTTTGGAGGGAGTAAAATGCGACACAAGTTTAACAAAGTGATACTCATTGATGTGTATGTCATGGCAATAGATGTGAACTTGAGATCCTTGAATCCTCCTTCCAAACTGTGAATACTATGACAAAAATCCTCCTTACGTGTATACTCATCAAAACTCAGTCATCATTTTTCCCTTTGCACCTGGATCCACCTAAGCCTTTGTTTCCTTTTGAAAAATAAACCTCATGCTCATCCATCCCTTGAAGAATGGGGAGCATGAGAGATCTAAAACTTTTACCTCATCTAACCCTGGTTTCTATTTAGGTATGGCTTGAAGGTTGATGTGTGGGCAGCAGGCGTCATCACTTACATTCTGCTTTGTGGATTCCCGCCATTTAGAAGGTGAGTTTACAAACGCTTCATTGTTACAACTAGGAGACGAGTGTGCTATAAGGAAGACACATTTGGATGTCCCATATGCAGTCCTTTGTTCACATTCAAATTACACCAACATTTCATTAACTTTCTGTGGTGCACATTTGTAACCATCCAGAACAGTCCCCCAAAAAGAGTAGTCAGTGTTGTTTTAGTCATGGTAATTTCTGATTACATGATGCTCAAGGTGTTCAACAAACCGCTGTAAATATTATACAGTTTGGCGACAAAGCCTAAACCTGTTATAATCTTAGGTATATTTGATAGTTTAAGTTAACAATAAAAACTACATATTGCTTTGGTTTTCTTTCCCGCATCCTTCAGTGAGAGTAATGACCAGGAGGAACTGTTTGACCACATCATCGCTGGCGACTTCCAGTTCATCTCACCTTACTGGGACTCCATCTCGGAAGTAGCTAAGGATCTCATCTCATGCATGCTGGAGGTGGACGTAGAGAAGCGCTTCTCTGCTGCCCAAGTCATGGAACACCCATGGGTGGCTGTGAGTATTAAGCCGCATCCAAAATGACTCGGCTGTGGCTTGAAGTACACATGTGCCTATGGAGGCAGCTGAAGCCACTACCCATGGTCATGTGTGTTATTGCAGCCGTAGCCAAGTCATTGGGATGGGGCTTAGTTTGCTGTGTGGATTCCAGGCTGGACCAGTAGATGGCGCTATATACCTACCCATGAAGACAAGTGTATCAGTTTAGGCGGCACTTGTGCATGAAGTTCATTTTGTTGTTGGTGGTGTTCAGGTTTGTCTTCCTCCCCCCCCCCCCCCCCCTCCCTCCAAGTCGCCCTCCCCCGGCAACTTGGAGTGCTCAGCATGTTCTCCTTTTGAGTTTGAGCAGAGAATGACTTGCTTACCCAATTCCAATCCAAAGCAAAATTAGCAGATAACTAACAAAGCCAGTACACAAGGTTTACTGGTACCAAATAAAGAGTTTATTTACGCGATAAATGGCATTTTGTTAACTTTTAGAATCCCATGTTTCCTTTGGCTGCCCAATCAGTTTTGACGGCTGTTATGTCAAACACAATTTAAGAATACAGTTAAGTTGTAAATGAAGTGTAGAAACTGCTTGTTTACTGTTTTTTATTCTTTAAAATTTCAAAAACGTGCAAAGTTTTTACTTTTTTTTCAAATGGATATATTGCATTTTGGAAAATGCTTCATATACTTCTACTTGGCAGAGTTCCATAAGTTGCTTAGCTCAAGGAGTTGGCCCCTGTTTTGTAAATGTTCAACTTTGGGCTTAAAAATGAGGTGCTATTTTATCGCTCGTTGCAAGGGGAGAATCATAGCTCTTCCACCTTCTTGGGAATGCATGGGTACACCCCTTCAGCTGAAAACCTTCTCTTTTTTTCAGAGTGATGACGGTGGAGTCCAACAGCAGATTGACGTCTCCGGTGAGCTGAACACACACTTCAAGATCAAGCCCAAGCAGTCTATCAAAGCTGCTGGTATTGCTCTGATCGCTGTGAGTATAAGATCTGATGTTTGGATTTTGTTCTTTGGGTAATAGACCTTTCATGTCTTGTTCTTTAAATGAGAAACAAAACACACCTCAAAGAGTCTGTCTATTAACAGCGGCATAACCAGGTTTCTCATTTTATTATAATTTTGTCAATCCTGGCCAGCTTGGATTGGATTGTTTCTGTTTAGTTTTGTTTACTTTTGTGGATTGCTTGGTTTATCTTGTTATTTGGCCGAATAAATAATAATAATAATAATAATCCGGGGGGAGGGGGGGGGGGGGGGGGGGAGGGGGGAGGGGGGGGCTGGATGTTGCAGTGGGGAGCACACAATTTCATCCTGCTGAAAGGTAGACAGGTTTTTACACCTGCCTCCGTAAAATGGCTGGACACCATCTTCCCATGGGGCGCTTTTTAAAACCGACATCATGTTCAATGTGGGACAATAGGTGGTGCTATTAGCTTTCCATAGGATGTTAAAAATGGTACTTTATAATAAACCAGCTTATCATGGTAACTTATCAACTGTGCTTTTCTCAGTTGCCAAATTTCCAGTGGGGGGGGGGGGGGCAACAATTTTTTATGGGGGTTGTGTGCATGTATGTTATTTGGCAAAAAATAATGGTCAAATGACATTCTGAAAGAAATACTTAAGACAATTAAAAAAAAAAAAAAAAATTCTTATTTTTCCCCCCTGTAGTCCACTGCTCTTGACAAGGATGGCAAGTACTTCCAGGGACGCCGGCCAAGAGAGGGCGCCGATGGGGCAGAACACACACCAGATGATGATGAGTACACTTACTGAAGATGAAATAATCACCATGGTAATGCCATACAATGACTTCCAGTAGTGCAGGGATACTAGGGGTAACAGCAAGGTGAATCGGGAAGAGTGCAATTGTACAGATCTTGCAAGTGCAGCGAAATCATGCAACATCTTGCAGTGACAAGCTATGAACTTTTTGTGACAAAACGTTCAAACAGATATCATAGCACATGCTGCAGGGATGATCTTACAACACCTAAAATGACAACTTGCAACAAAATTGTGCAATGTCTTGTAAAAATACAAATTGTCAAATGTTTCACAACATCTTGCCACCCTTTCAACAAACTCTTGCCATATATAGCTACAAAATCTTTCATGAGGCTTATCCCTCCACACTTTGAATTTCTTCTTTGAAAATGATAAATATCCAATCAAAAAACCTAACTAGCTTTAGGACAACTGTTGACAACAGAGTTGTTGACAACACAACTAAAATATCCTGAGACTTTGTACTAACATTGAGTGTGTATCTCCTAATGTAGAAAGAACACCATTTTTAGTTTATTTGCAGATCCGTTTATGACATTGTCAACAGTGATATACCAAAGCACAGAGTTTATCATTCTGTAAAACTGTCTTATAACACTAGTTTAATCTTGAAACTTATAACAACCTGATATATGTTTGATGACCAACTTTTGGAATTAGCTCTATTTTTTTCCAAAAAAAAAAATCATGAGAGATATTGACTGTATGATTTTGATGAGAACAGTACTTAACACGGTATTCCATGGCATTGTGCAATATCTTGACCAAATTCATCACCTTTATTGTTTAATCCTTCAAAATTAAATACTTTGAATTAAGTTTTTAGTGTAAATCTTCTCAAGAGAACAAAATTATTGAACAACCGAACGATTACAAAATGTGCAATTTAAACAAAACTGTATATATTTGATTGCTTAATAGTATTCATCACAATTGCATGACTTTTTATGTAAATATTCATAGATTCGATGTCGTTAAGTTGCCGTAATTCTTTATATACGTTGGAAAGTTTATAGATTGTGGGGTCTGTGGTAAAAACTCAGTGTTGTTTATGTGTGCAATTTTTTTTGTGAAATGGAAAAAAAAGTACTGAACTATTTCTTAGTTGACTGAATTTAATTATTAAGTATTAATGTTTGATTAGTGTAAAGTATACTGAATTTACGAAGAATATTTGAGTTCCTAAAAATAAAGATTGCTTTTTCCTGATCTGCAGCTGTTTCTTTATGCTTCCTTTTTTTTAAATGAAAAAATATCATTATTTGAATGTTCTGTCATATTTTTGGCATTGAAAAAATGTAACTTTGATGAACAGTACATATTACTATTAGGAATTCTTATAGATAGTGTTTGAGTGTTTTATTGAAAATGAAAAGTTGGCGTGGTTTCAACTTGGGAAGTCCAAAACCTTCACCAGTAGAAGCTTAATATTTGTTAATGTTTGACAAAGAGCAAAAATATGCCTTTTAACCACATATAATTTGTTTTGGACACTGAAAAAGATATTGCATGCCTTTATTCAAAACCGCTCCAATGGTTTATAGTGTTGGAGATATTTTTTTTTTTTATGGTATCCGAGCTGTCTTACCTTGATTAATTTTTTTGTTTTATGATTAAATAAATGCCAGATTATTTTTACTTGTTGTTCACATTCTGTAAATATATGAAACAGTCTTTTATTATGTTAATGTGGTTCTATTTTATGTTATTGCGTATGTCTGTTAATTCTATGTTTTGTGTTATGATGAATAATTATGTGTACATCTTGCCTGTAAAGTTGGATAAGTAATGCCAATGTATAGGATCATGTTGTCTCTTGTGAGTCTTAAAGAAGTATGATTTCCCACCGAAGATTACTTCAATAAATTCAACAATCATATGGATTCCAAAATGAAGGTTGGGGCCTATAATTCCTTAGAAAAAAATCATGTTCTGATTTTTCTTTTTCAATATTATGTGTTACGTTCATCCGGTATGCAGATGGCAAGTCCATTTTCAAAAGAAAATTCTTGGAAGACAAGGTTTTCATGAAATTTCATTAAACATTTGCTACTTGTACTTGTACATAGTTATTCTGTCTGCACGTTTTCTCAACACTGCCAGAATGCTAATATGAACTTAATTGTTAAATTTCATTGGTAGTAAGGTTGTAACTGTGCAATATCGATGTCTAGAAATTATTGTAGCCTGCTGTTGTGAATTCTTCTGTAGACCATACGAATTAGTAATTGTGATTGTGATGTAGTAAATTAACTAGTAATTTGTGGCTATAGTATTCAAGTACATGTATACTGTAGTAGTAAAAGTGCAATAAAGGTCCTACGAAAACAGTATCATTTATATGTTTGATTGTATATTACTTTGGAGACACCTTTGATGTTTTTAAAGACTTTTTAATTTTCTCACACAGATAAATCAAATACATTCAGTGCAAATCTTACAAACACATTGAACAAAATAAGATAGAGGGATGAAAAAGAAATGGGGAAAAAAATCAGATTTTTTTGAAACATCTTTTCCAGTGAAATGGGTAAATTTCTTTCAAAAGTTGATAAAATTATTCAAGTGCAACATCTATACATAGCACCTCCCTCCAGTAACAAAGCACATTCACATTTCCGTTTTCTGCTTTCTCCAGTGCTTTTTTTTAGTATGTGCTCGAGTTTTTTTTAAGAGAATTTTAAAGAAGAAAATAACTTCTGCTCTGCCGTCCTTTTAAGCCCATATGTCAAATATTTTCCACATTTTTAAAAACCTGCCCTAGAATTGAAAAATAAACATTAATGAATCGTGAGGGGTGTGGGTTCTGCATGTCCCCGCGCCGCCGGGCCGAGCCCGGACCCTGGACGTCGGCACCACGATGAACGCACGCGTGGGGCACTGTGGTCCCTGGATAATGAATAAATAATGGCACTGACTGCCCATTGTCCAAATTACGGTTTCAAAATTGGCGCGCTAAAACTGTCACAGCAAGTACCTGCCAATCAGTGGTTTTGTTTCGAATATTTAATAGAAGCTTCTCGAAATTTCTCGATAATTGTTATTTTCTGCAACAGCAGTATGAAGAACTGCTATCAAATTAATTTGTCGGATTGTTGATTTTAGGGAAGGGAAATTAGCTTGATTTTATTCCTGAATTTTTATGTTTGCCCTCTAGCGTCACGTATTTTGTACATGTACGTGCATGCATAATGCATGTCATGCACTCCTCACCACTACTCAATCCGCAATTGGAAAAGTAGTCCGTGGTAAATTATTTAGATTATATAACTTTCCTTCTGTAAATTTTGTGAAAATTTTTCATTAAAATAAGTTAAATGTTCAATGTCTTTTCCAAGACAGGGCAAGGTTTGTTTTGTAATGGTTTTAGTTTTGTGCGGATGAATATTCGTTCATCACCATCGGATATGTGTCCGGTGTACACCGTAAACAGGATTATGCGCTAGTGCTAAAAATAATACATTCACAAATCAGCTGTGTGTGTAGATTCAACCTTCCTTTTTTCTTTCGAAATTTGGAGCAGTTAGCAGATGAAAATGACCGCCAAGATGTGCTAATTGGGGACAGGAGTCTTCACAGACGCTTATGGATAACGCTGATTCGCTCAGCTGTTGCATGTGTCGTTGTTTAGGGCGGAAGGTAAATTATTTTCGATCATTTTTCTGTTGCTAAATTTGTCGTTGGCCTCAGCTGAGTTTTGACAACTCCTGAACAAACAAGTTGGGTCGATAACGGTTGTAGACGTCAAATTCTCGATATTTCTGAAAGATAACCACTGAACTAAAATGGTTCCATTGGCAGAAATGTTATTTATGACTCTGGGTACTGTAGTAATTAAATTTGAAATTCATTTAAGGTTATTTTAACGTGAATTTGGAGTTGGGCGTAGTCTCTTTTGATGGTCAAAATATTGAAACGGTTGGGTTGCTTTGTTGTGGGGTCAAGTAAACAAAATCAGTAGTGAGCCGCTATTGTCGTCAATGGAACTTTACCATTTACATTATTCTTTTTTCTACAGAAACGTACATAGGCCTACAATGAAATTGAAATATGTAACTGATGTGAAATATGTAGCAACTTCATTCTTTGTTGGAAAAGACAGAATTAAAGCAAATAAATTAGTTGAAACTTGAAATAGAGAATGGAAATTAGAAGCAAATTGTAAAATTTCATTTTGTTGCATCATATCGCAAATTATCAGCAGGCACAAAGGGTTATTCATATTTAAGAGAAAATAGGTATTTTCATTGATTCTATCTTTCTCTTTCTCCAAATTTTTTGCCTTAATATTGTTAAACAATTTTGTTTCAGGAATTTTTTCTAGCTTGAAAATCAGTATTTACCACCTTTTTTTTTTAATATAAAGAACAGTTGAGGATCATGGGGTGTAAAAATATTGGCTGACCAACCCTTTTCCAATCAGAATGTTTTGTTTCACATATCACACATACAAATATATTTGCTTAAGCTTAAGTAGCCTATAACAAAATCTATGTTTCTTTTTCCTAGGTGTCCGTGGTTGCTGTGTGTGGGGTGGGCCATGTTGCGTTCCTCAGGGAAGGGGCTGCAGGCAAGCATGCTGTTCGGCATGCTCTCTGAGGCCCTGGGCAAGGAACAACAGGTGTGGAGGCCCCTTCTTCTCAAAGAGCCCCAGGAAGAGGTAGAAAATCCTCCGATTTTTTCTACAATCCATAACATTTCACATGAAAAACGAATGAAAACCTAATTGATAAGTAAATGGAGATTGGAGTGGATTTTAATCATGAGACATGGGTAAAATATTATTTTTTGCAATATTTACAAAACTAAATTTTGGTGAAGTGGGTTGTAAAATATAATTGCAACATGTCAACTTTGCATTATTTGAATACAAAATAATTTAGATGTAAATCAAAAACAAAACCATACAAAGCTTTTCAATGCATTGTGATAATTTGGAATCAGAATCTCATTAATCTGGACACTTATATTCATGCAAATGAAAGGATGGCGAAATCCATCAAAAAATGAATGAACAAGCGGAACCCAACAAGCAGACAACGCTAAAATCTTGAGTACAATCGACATAAAGGATTAAGTACTTGGAATGAAACCTTCAATGAGGTCAAGAGCCGTTAGCTTTTATTAAATGCTGAGAGTAGCCTGTAATGAAGTTGTTGTCATGACAACAGTGAAATTGCGGTGTTGATCGCTAACTTACACCAGTAAGCTACATCATTACCTCCTAAGAGGGCGTTATATTTCATTCAGGCACATCTGGAAAATCAATTTGAGTAAATTAAAAAAAGGAGAGAGTTTTTTGTCACTATGGAAATCGGAGATTGATGAATTTCCATGTTTGGTACAGCACGAGCGATTCTCGTTATTAAAGCGTGATGTCATCAAGGAAGTGATTACGCTATTTCCTCTGAAACTGGACACAGGAAAAATTAAAGTTCCTCTTTCCAAACCATTGAGAAATTGTTCATGGAAATTCCCTGTGGCATTGTTGACATTTAAATAACATTTTCACCCCCAAATTTTCAGCCTTTATTTCTTGAATGGCCACTAACAGATGTTTAACTTCAAATGATTGTATGATTTGTACTTTATTGGAAGAAAGTTTCAAAATTTTGGGTTTTCTTTTTTTTTAAAGGAGAATGAGATCCAGCCCAGTCAGAGGGACGAGGCAGTAAAGTGGTTGCTTGAATGGAACCAGAAATTCAAATACTGCCCCGAAACCTTCATGCAAAGCACTGGACTACTGGACCGTTTCCTTATGGCTGTTAAGGTAGGGAAATTGTTATTTTTAACATTACATTGTGTTGTCAAAGAAAAGTATTTTGAATACTGCGTATTTGGTACATAATATTATTTACAAACACCTAATGCACAGCCTAATGCATTTAGAAGTTGAGCCATAATGTTAATTTATTGAAAATCAGTCCATCAATCAGCAGTCAAGTCATGTTTATTTTGAAATTTTCCATATCTCTGCATAAGTGTAGTTCTTTTCATAATCTGAATAGCTCGTGATTTAGTTTTGACAGCGTTGGTGTTATTGGCTCTATGCCAAAAGAAACTTGACACTTGGTAGATAAGGCAATAGACGATGTATATGAAGTAGGCCTACATGTAGAATAAGCCATAGAAATGTGCATTCAAATGACGTCAACAGGGGAGATATGAAAAATTGTATTGTAAGAAAACTTTCCTTCCAAAAAAAAAAAGGTTTTGGCATGCCAGAACTTGTTTTTCTGTTCCCCCTTGCACTTGCAGTTATGGTTTCGCTTTGAACAATAACGTACGTGTACATTGTGAACAATAAGGTGCATACGTGTACATTGCATTGCAGTCAGTTGCATCAATTGTTAGTCAGGGGTCAGAGAACAACGGTTGGCAGTTTGGCTCCATTTGGGCTTATTTACAGAGACCCAGGCAGAGTGGCCTTTGCAGGGCAAAGACTTATGTAGACCTGTGCACAGTTTGTATAGCCTAGGCAAAGTTGATTCACTACATGTCCGTACTTGATATGCAGCATCTTCTGAAACCCAACCCGTACAATTGAGGTCACATTATCTGTCCGAATGCACATGTTGATTCAATTTCTGGCCACAAAAGATAAAACTCATAAAAGCATTGTAAAGGAAGCCGTGGGTTTTTCCCATAGAGATTTCATCACGGCAGAATTCGGACCAGGAAAAATATTGCCAAATCAACAAACAAGCATTGTTGCGTTTTTTAGTCTGACATCATGAAGTCGGAATTCAAAGAGCTGTTCACAACAAAAGACATGTAGGGAAGCGAAATCTATTTTTTAGCTTGCCTAGTGTAGTGTGGTCTGTACTTTATGAAACATACTGGTATCTTCAAAGATGGTGTTTTGATTATACCTGCTGGTATGGGCTGGGGTACCTGCAAAAATTGCCAGATCTTTGAACTGGGCTCCTAATATACATGTATACATACCCGCCCCGTTGTACAGTGTTCATGTACAGTTGAAGATGACCGTATAATTAACATACTTATTTAGGATGCAAACCTTGTACAATATACATATTTTTTACTTCTATTTTAATAAATGCATGCATCCATGCATAAAGTTGCAGCAGGTTTTTTTTATCATATGCATCACATAAAGCCCCCCAAAAAGTCTCCGGTTTCTGGTATGGAGCTTGCCCAAAAAGTGGTGCGGCGTGGCGACGCGGCTATTTTTTTTTTTTTACCTGATTTTTTTGCTTCAAATGTTGGCTGATGACTGCAAATGGTGCCCGACTAAACTTAGTGCAAATATATGGGAGTCCCGAGAGGCCACATAAAGCTTATTCTCGACCATAACCCAATCTAAAAACACGTTAAAATTGTGCAGCAGCAGGATTCCAGTCAAACCAGTGAGTTTGGCGGTTTTGAGACCATCTTTCATTGAAAAAAAACTTTTTCATTTTGCCGACGCGCATGGCTACGGCGATGCGCGCGCATACCAGAAACCGGAGACTTTTTTTTTGGCCTAAAGCATAGTAACTGTGCTTTAAAACACACTTTAGGATTAAACAACTTTATGAAATCTTAACTTAATTTTCTTAAAAGGCCAATCCTTGTTTTACAAATTGCATTGAAGGAAAATGCCATACTATGGATGACAGTCGTGCAGTTCAAAAATACTGAGAATGGTACACAAAATGGTTACACCTCTATGTTCCGACACCCCTATGTTCCGACTGCACATATTCATATTCATATTCCTAACCCTAACCCTAACCGGGAGTAACACAATCTAGGTTGTCGGAACATAGGGGTGTCGGAACATAGAGCAGTCACCCACAAAATCACTAAATTCACGGAGCACCTGGGTTAAAGACTTTGAACCTTGGGAACCAACCCTGTTCGGGGGCAGTCTTAGAATTCTTGAAATCCACAACACTGGACAAAGATTGTATCCCTTTGTGTAGAAGGACATGTTTATTACATGTAGTTGTGCTGACAGCTAACCTGTACATCACATGTACATCACATGTAAATGCACACAAGACTACATAAACCCTCTATTTGTTCAGTGTTGACAGCAAAGCTGTTCAATACATCCACACACAGCACAGTCACTGTGTGCTCGCTGATACCATACTCACTCATGTAGGTGTACCCTTTGTGCTGCTTTTAATAACAAACTCATTTACATGACAAAGCTCGGTCAATATGGGTTTCCGGCCAACAGCTGTTTTGACAGCTGAACCCTCATAGATCCTGAATCAATCTGACAGGTTAATATTAAACTTTGCCTGTATTCATGTATTCAAAATGCAGACAAATATGGCCTAATTATGATGAAATGTTGGATAAGAAATTTGCTGATGAGGATATTTAAAAAATAAAGCAATTAAAAAGCGATAGCACCTTGCTCAATGTAATATGAATTGAAAGAGAACTGATAAGCAGCTATTGATCTACAGGCAGAATTTCTAGAAAAGTCTGTACTCTTGTGTGTTGCATATTTGAAAAATTTTGAAATCCTCAAGAATTTGTAGTGAGAAAAAAAAAAGACAGAAAACAAACGGTTTTATATTGTGAATTTGATTCAAAGGTGGGACTTACGTATGCATTTTTTTCATATTTTTTTTTTATGCAGGCAAGACCCAAGTATTTGAGGTGCATTGCCTTCAGCTGTTTCTTCCTGGGTGCCAAGCTTAGAGAAGAAGATGAGGTAAGAGTCACTTCTAAATTTATCGTGTTTTGATGTTTACTTTTTATAGGAACTTATTGTCTCTCATGAATGAACCAATAGACAAGTTGGCTTGACCTGATATTCCTTAAATCCATAGAAATGTTTTACATATTTGGAGATACTTTAATCTCCAATTCTGATTGACGAATCTTGAAATTAATGAGAATAAGTACGATTGTAGATTCCTATGTGTATGTTGAACCCTAACTCAATATTTGTGTGGTTTCCCCCAGTCTTTTGTAGTAATTTTGTTCACAGAAACACCATTTAGTTATAATTATTAGTTATTATTCGTTCCATGAGAATTGATCTAGTCATACAAAGATGACTGAACTTGAATTATACAATTGTACATTTCACATTCAAAATGGAGGACTGCTTAAATATTCTTATTTTTTGTTGATGCTGAGCCTGGGCCATTTAGATTAGTTTTGTCAAAGAGACAACAGATGTTTTTACATATTGACCGTTTACATCTCCTCCACTTTTCCCCCTTCCACCAGGATGTCCCGGCCACAGAAGATCTTGTTCAGGAGAGCAGCTGCAGCTTCTCCGTCGGTGAAGTACTGCGCATGGAGCTCATTGTCCTGGACAAGCTCAGGTGGGATCTCTCCACCATCACAGCACTGGACTTCCTACAGATTGTAAGTCCATACCCTCATTCCTTTCCAGCTTTAATATTTTTCTTTCTTTTTTCCAAATTTAATAATATTTGATGCGTGTTCCGAGCCATAGTGATTGCTTAAGGTGTGTCGTAGTATAATTTGGACTTTTTTAAAATCCACTGTTTTATCAGGCATTTATATGAAAGGAATTTATCTGCTATAAATATTGCATCCAATTTACCCCACACATCTTCCTGGTGTATACAAAGCTCATTGTTTAAAACCTTAGCTTAACCCACACATCTATTTAACAAAAAGATACATGATACCACTACAAACTTCTGTGATTTTTTACCATGCCAACCTTCAAGTCTCATTCACACACATTCATTCCCAATAAAATATAAATGATTTAAGTCATGACGTACACAGATGAGAATGAAAGGAATAGAATTCTTTTTAAAAAAAAGAAGAGAAAGTTAATGAATTCGAATTCTAAACTTATCCTCTGGAACCCATAATGTCTTTTCTTCCTTGTAATATTGTCATTTTTTTCTCCCCCCTAGTTCCATGCCATGCTGTTGACTCAGGTCCCCCACCTCCTGGCTCCTCTGGGTCAAATGACCCCCTCCCGACACCTGTCCATACTGACCGGTCGGCTCAGCCAGTGCCTGGCCAATCACCAGCTGGCCACGTTCCGACCGTCGGTGCTGGCCCTGGCGCTGCTCAGTCTGGAGCTGGAGGTGGTCAGCCGGGACTGGCTGACGCTGTCCATGATGTTCCAGCGACTGATTGGTGTAAGTACTCAAATTTGGATATTATCTCAGTACCTGTATGGATAAAACCAATCATAGCATAATGTTCCTTTGATATATTTTTTTAGGTAATGGCCCTTAACACCGATTATCCATTTTTCAAAATTCTCTACTTAATTTTTTGTTTTCCTTAAAACTTGTGTACAAAAACTGCATTGATTAGAAGATTTCACTCATAGCTCCCAACGAAAAAAACATCAAGAATGCATACACAGACCTTGCTTACTGTGGCATAAGAAACACATGTGAAAGTGAGAGTAAAGCAAATTTCCTGACGTCAACAAATGTTTCATTGAAGCAAATGTTGCCAATGTGTTTGACAGTGTTTCACTTTCGAATTCCTGTTAAAAGTATAAAACCAAATTTTGTTTTTTAAATCAATTTGTTTCACTATCAATTTGCAGGTGGACAATCAGCAGCTGATACGGTGTCGTGAGCTCATCACGGGCACCCTCCTGGGCCACCCAGGCCACAACGTGGTCTACATCATCGCCCCGCCCCACCCACACAGCAACCACGACAAAGGCACCGCCGGGGGTCACCAACACCACGACCCCAAGACGGCAAAGCGCAAGAATCAGACGGAGGAGGACGACGACATATACGCAAGTATCAAGCGTCTGTACAATGAAGACACGGCACCTCCCCTGCCCCAGGGGGAGCTGCCGCCCCCACCGGTGGGGAAGCCACCCCCACCCCAGGGGATTTCATCCCCTGCCCTAGTGTCCAGCTGCTCGTCACAGATGTTGCAGGACCAGGAAGGGGAGGGGATGGCCCCATGTCCCCCTCTGCAATCAATTCAGGTCACTTAGTTTGGTTTTTCCTGTAGACACTTGACTTAGGCGTCATTCTATAGAAAGTCAGTGAGTGTTCCTGTCTTCATCACAATACCTTCTGAGTGCTTGGTGTTCAAGAAACAATTTACTTCAATTTTAAATGTGTGACTTTTAAGCTACTATTCGTCCTAAACATGAGGCTTAACATTTTTTAGCATTACGTGTGTTTTTAATTTCCATGTATCACTTTTCAAAAGTATTGTATTGTTATTCATTTTAAAAATGTGAAAAGTGTGTGTGGTAAAAGGGGAACACTTTCCAGGTATCAAGAAAGGTATTGTGGTTTGATCTAAGAACACTCACTGCAAGGTTATTGTTGGATATGTTGGTGTTATTAGTTGTAAATATTTTAATATGTAAGTTGTGATTAAGAAGCCACAAACAAAGAAAGGATAACCAACTAAGTGTGTACATTCGTTAATTTATTGGCGAAAAAAAGCCTGAACGAAAAATGGACAAACTGCAGCATGCCAATTATTAAAATCGTTTTATTTTTATATTTTTGTTGGCTTATTTTTAGGGGAGAAAAAGAAACAGCGCAGTTGATCAGTTATAATTTTGGTTACAAATTTGGTGTGTTGATTTTGGAGAATCAAATTCCTGCAGGAATTGTGTGAGTTTAATCTGCAGGAAAAAATAACAAACACAAGGAATGGTGATTTATCAGATGTTTTGCAATCAAGTGCTGCTCCCTGATTCTGTAGGCCATATTTGCCTAACAAAATCCGTGTAAACAGACGTGTTAAGTCAAGTTCAATGTCGGTTGCTGTAACCTGTAAGAAAGTGTTCTGCGTTCTCAGTTTGGTCCAGAATGATGGACCATCGAGCAGACTTGTCTAAAATACGGCAAATCCTCCAGGGTAAAGTACTAGTAATATATTGATGACATTGGATATTTTCATTGCTATAAATCTCTAGATGCATGCGTGTTCAGAAACACACATTCTACATGTGCTAATGAAAAAACAAGAAGCCAATAAGCCTCTGCACTGATGACATCACACTTTGTTTACATGTGCGCTTTCTTACGGGAGCTTGGTGGGGATGACGGTTTCGTAGCCCCATAGAAAAGCGCACACGTAAACAAAATGTGACGTCATCGGTGCAGAGGCTTATAGACCCGAGACATTATGATGTCGCGCTTTGTTTACATGTGCACTTTCTTATGGGAGCTTGGTGGCTCTGGTCCCCACCTGGCTTATTTGGCCTGGAGTGGCCGATTTCACAGACAATAAATACGAGATGAAAATATTGCCTGTGTATAATTTAGCATAGGATAACAAATTACTGTACAGTATTTGCAGTGCACCTGATGTTAACCAAAGGTTTTATAAGAAAAAAAATAATATATGCTGGATTGGTAATGTATTAGTGCGGGTAAAGATGTCTTGACGTGATATCTGTTCATTACTTTCAAACCAGTAATATTTTTCCGGAAAATTTCGGGAGCTCTTACATTAAGAGTAAGAATATTGAAATAAATTACTTTTTTTTCCAAAGAGTTTTCAGTTGGTAGTTGGAAACAAATTTGAAACAAATTGGTGAAAACACTAAATTGATTCTGATCACTATTAACTTTTTCTTTAATTTCTCGCTAAAGTAGCTACTACCTGAAATGCTTTTGAATTGATGAAAGCCCCTCTAATAATAGATTTAGAGTTATAATTTGTAGCCAATTACATGCATTTGGGAATCAATTTCCTTTTAAAGAAAAACACAGCTCTCTTAGAAATATAGGTGTGGTCAAATTGTTATGAATCCTATATTGCTAATCCTATATTTATGCATGTGTGTACATTATTATATGTTATTATTTATTTTAAAATTTACGTTGGTGCTTGAGTGATGAATCATTTCCATAGCTGCTGTGGTATATCAACTTTCACCCCCAAGACAACACCTGTGTAAATTATAAGAGAAAACAAATCAGTTGTAAAGTTGTACCATAAAAAAATAGACATTGTGAGATATGTATTATTTATAAAAAATCACTTTGGCAACAGAGTGGAAGAAAAAAATATCAAAACTATTAAGAAAAGTATGCAACAAAAATGTACATGTATTCTTACTTGCCAAGTTTGTAGGGGCAATGTGAAAGTGGTCACCTTGTGAATGGTTGTTTTAGTTTTTAGATGTTTTGTACTGAAAATACCAGAGAATTATGTTTTTTTGTCATATTGACCTCTGGAAGGTAGTTCGAGGACAAATGTTGAGTCTTTTAAGGATTGTCATTTTGTTGAACAGGACAGTTGAATGATTAAAGTCTTAAAGAAGGCTGTTTTAATGAACATTATGATGTTTTAATGTTTTAATTACGTGATCCGAATTTGTGTTAGTTTTACCATTTGTTTTTTTAGTCTGTGTTTGAGAACGGTGTAAAATCCTGAAAGACTGATTAACTGTTTGTTAAATCATTGTGAAAAGGACATGAACTTCACTATGATGGTAGATATTGTAACAAAATTGAAAACTGTTTGGTCGCCCACATTGGGTTGGAACTGTCAGTCATTTTTTCCACAAAACAACCAAGTAAACGTATTCAAAATATTTTGAAGGGGTAAGTGACCAATTTCCGTGGAGCTGCTGCAAGCACAAAAATGTTTCGCTTTGCAAAAAAGTGCTATAAAAACCGTGCTCTGTGACTGTTTTTCAGTTGAAATTTTTCGCTTATTCTCAAAAAGTTTATTGTACTTTCTGCTTGCCAGCTCCATGCAAACTTGTTCTGATTGCTCTACAGAGCTTTAGTGGCTTAGTCTGGAGTTGAAGCAAATTATCAAACGGTTTGAAGCGCCATTAAATGTCATATTCTGTTAACCATAAAGGATTTTCGAATTTGTGATAATTTTAATGTAATGAAATATAACCTTTGGTTTCAAATCAGATTCCTTGAATTAGGAATAGGAGTTTAACTGATTACTGAAATGGCTCTTGAGATTTCTTTTGGCTTGTACTAATTTTTACCGTTTTGATGCGAGAATTAGAAATTAGTCTGGGTATATAAGATGTGCCTCATTCAATCCAAAACGCTCACATTGGTTTTAATGACTTACCTAAACCGAGTGTTTCTGAAGATTGTTAACTTTTTGAAAATCGAAGAAAACGGACAAGGCAATGAGCTTTACCAATAAAACGGTTTCTTTTAAAATGAACTAATTGATCTGGTGATTTGTCATTATTTCGGTAATTTGTTTATAATTTCCCCTTTTACTTATCTATTTAGGCTGATAAATGAGATTCACGCTGCCTTTTGCCTTTTTTTTTTTTTTAAATGCGTGATTTATGAACAGAACATTTATATATATCGTCCGAACACATTGAAGTAAGAAGAGCGTGTTGGCCCAGTGGTAGGCTCCCTGACGCTCATGCCGAAGGTCGTGGGTTCGATCCCGGCCGGAGCCGCACCGTACAGTTGGGTAGACGAGCGCCACGGAACTCGGACGCGCCGCAGGTTCTGCTGCCAGCAGCCATTCCCTGGTCGGGATTCGGGCACTAGGCCTATATCACAGAATGTGCATACACCCCTAACAATTTTGATGAAAATGCAAGGCTAACCCCTTACATTTGTAACCCGTTACATTTTGTAATTTCTAGAAAAAGTCAAATTTCCCCAAAACATCAAATTTTGCCAAAATTTGATAAAAATGAAAGGCTAACCCCTTACATTTGTTAATTTCCCCAAAATGTCAAATTTTATCCATTTTCATTAAAAATGCAAGGCTAACCCCTTACATTTGTTAATTTCCATAAAACATCAAATTTTGCCCGATTTTGAGAAAAATGCAAGGCTAACCCCTTACATTTGTTAATTTCCCCAAAATGTCAAATTTTATCCAATTTTCATTAAAAATGCAAGGCTAACCCCTTACATTTGTTAATTTCCCCAAAACATCAAATTTTATCCAATTTTGAAAAAATGCAAGGCTAACCCCCTTACATTTGTTAATTTCCATAAAAAGTCAAGTTTTGCCCGATTTTGAGAAAAATGCAAGGCTAACCCCTTTCATTTTTTTAATTTCCATAAAAGTCAAATTTCGCCCAAATTTGATGAAAATGCAAGGCTAACCCCTTACATTTGTTAATTTCCCCAAAACATCAAATTTTATCCAATTTTGATAAAAATGCAAGGCTAACCCCTTACATTTGTTAATTTCCATAAAAAGTCAAATTTTGCCCGATTTTGAGAAAAATGCAAGGCTAACCCCTTTCATTTTTTTAATTTCCCCAAAATGTCAAATTTTGCCCAAATTTGATGAAAATGCAAGGCTAACCCCTTACATTTGTTAATTTCTCCAAAACATCAAATTTTATCCAATTTTGATAAAAATGCAAGGCTAACCCCTTACATTTGTTAATTTCCATAAAAAGTCAAATTTTGCCCGATTTTGAGAAAAATGCAAGGCTAACCCCTTTCATTTTTTAAATTTCCATAAAAAGTCAAATTTTGCCCAAATTTGATGAAAATGCAAGGCTAACCCCTTACATTTGTTAATTTCCCCAAAACATCAAATTTTATCCAATTTTGATGAAAATGCAAGGCTAACCCTTTACATTTGTTAATTTCCATAAAAAGTCAAATTTTGCCCGATTTTGAGAAAAATGCAAGGCTAACCACTTTCATTTTTTTAATTTCCATAAAAAGTCAAATTTTGCCCAAATTTGATGAAAATGCAAGGCTAACCCCTTACATTTGTTAATTTCCCCAAAACATCAAATTTTATCCAATTTTGATGAAAATGCAAGGCTAACCCCTTACATTTTGTAATTTCTAGAAAAGGTCAAATTTTATCCAATTTTGATAAAAATGCAAGGCTAACCCCTTACATTGGTTAATTTCCATAAAACATCAAATTTTGCCCAATTTTCATAAAAATGCAAGGCTAACCCCTTACATTTGTTAATTTCCATAAAAAGTAAAATTTTGGCAAATTTTGATAAAAATGCAATGGCTAACCCCTTACATTTGTTAATTTCCATAAAAAGTAAAATTTTGGCAAATTTTGATAAAAATGCAAGGCTAACCCCTTACATTTGTTAATTTCCATAAAAAGTCAAATTTTGCCCAAATTTGATAAAAATGGAAGGCTACCCCTTTACATTTGTTAATTTCCCAAAAACATAAAATTTTATCCAATTTTGATGAAAATGCAAGGCTAACCCCTTACATTTTGTAATTTCTAGAAAAGGTCAAATTTTGCCAAATTTTGATAAAAATGCAAGGCTAACCCCTTACATTGGTTAATTTCCATAAAACATCAAATTTTGCCCAATTTTCATAAAAATGCAAGGCTAACCCCTTACATTTGTTAATTTCCATAAAAAGTAAAATTTTGGCAAATTTTGATAAAAATTCAAGGCTAACCCCTTACATTTGTTAATTTCCATAAAAAGTCAAATTTTGTCCGATTTTGAGAAAAATGCAAGGCTAACCCCTTTCATTTTTTTAATTTCCATAAAAAGTCCAATTTTGCCCAAATTTGATGAAAATGCAAGGCTAACCCCTTACATTTGTTAATTTCCCCAAAACATCAAATTTCCCCAAAACATCAAATTTTATCCAATTTTGATGAAAATGCAAGGCTAACCCCTTACATTTGTTAATTTCCATAAAAAGTCAAATTTTGCCCAAATTTGATAAAAATGCAAGGCTACCCCCTTTCATTTGTTAATTTCCCAAAAACATCAAATTTTATCCAATTTTGATAAAAATGCAAGGCTAACCCCTTACATTTGTTAATTTCCATAAAAAGTCAAATTTTGCCCGATTTTGAGAAAAATGCAAGGCTAACCCCTTTCATTTTTTTTAATTTCTATAAAAAGTCAAATTTTTCCCAAATTTGATGAAAATGCAAGGCTAACCCTTACATTTGTTAATTTCCCCAAAACATCAAATTTTATCCAATTTTGATGAAAATGCAAGGCTACCCCTTTACATTTATTAATTTCCATAAAAAGTCAAATTTTGCCCGATTTTGAGAAAATGCAAGGCTAACCCCTTACATTTGTTAATTTCCATAAAAAGTCAAATTTTGCCCGATTTTGAGAAAATGCAAGGCTACCCCTTTACATTTGTTAATTTCCCCAAAACATCCAATTTTGCCAAATTTTGATAAAAATGCAAGGCTAACCCCTTACATTGGTTAATTTCCATAAAACATCACATTTTTCCCAATTTTCATAAAAATGCAAGGCTAACCCCTTACATTTGTTAATTTCCATAAAAAGTAAAATTTTGGCAAATTTTCATAAAAATTCAAGGCTTACCCCTTACATTTGTTAATTTCCCCAAAACATCAAATTTTATCCAATTTTGATGAAAATGCAAGGCTAACCCCTTACATTTTGTAATTTCTAGAAAAAGTCAAATTTCCCCAAAACATCAAATTTTGCCAAAATTTGATAAAAATGCAAGGCTAACCCCTTACATTTGTTAATTTCCCCAAAATTTCAAATTTTATCCAATTTTCATAAAAATGCAAGGCTAACCCCTTACATTTGTTAATTTCCATAAAAAAGTCAAATTTTGCCCGATTTTGGAAAAATGCAAGGCTAACCCCTTTCATTTTTTTAATTTCCATAAAAAGTCCAATTTTATCCAATTTTGATGAAAATGCAAGGCTAACCCCTTACATTTGTTAATTTCCCCAAAACATCAAATTTTATCCAATTTTGATGAAAATGCAAGGCTAACCCCTTACATTTGTTAATTTCCATAAAAAGTCAAATTTTGCCCGATTTTGGAAAAATGCAAGGCTAACCCCTTTCATTTTTTTAATTTCCATAAAAAGTCAAATTTTGCCCAAATTTGATGAAAATGCAAGGCTAACCCCTTACATTTGTTAATTTCCCCAAAACATCAAATTTCCCCAAAACATCAAATTTTATCCAATTTTGATGAAAATGCAAGGCTAACCCCTTACATTTGTTAATTTCCATAAAAAGTCAAATTTTGCCCAAATTTGATAAAAATGCAAGGCTACCCCTTTACATTTGTTAATTTCCCCAAAACATCAAATTTCCCCAAAACATCAAATTTTATCCAATTTTGATGAAAATGCAAGGCTAACCCCTTACATTTGTTAATTTCCATAAAAAGTCAAATTTTGCCCAAATTTGATAAAAATGCAAGGCTACCCCTTTACATTTGTTAATTTCCCAAAAACATCAAATTTTATCCAGTTAAGGAAAATGCAATCTTTGGATTCGTATTATTGGGGAAATAATTAAACTCAAAGGCCAAGATAATGTGGGGAAGTGCTCAAAGATCCAAACCACGTTGCCACTATCTCTTCTTGAAAATGGCGCGAAAATGTTACTTGCACTTAATATGTAAAATTGTGCGCTGATCGAACCAGGTATTTCTGGCTTGATAATGTTCGAATTGTTCTATAATCGTTGCTCTACTCTCTCCCTGCTCTTCAAGAAAACTCGGGTTTTTTTTCTTCTCAAGAGTTTTTCTAAATTTTTTTAATTTTCTATTTGAACGCAGAAACTAGTTTTTATTTTGGGCGCATATACCTTTTGGAAAAAAAGGCTTTTAATGTTTTGTTGCTTTTTTTGGCACACAGCAGATCCGCATGAATTATTTTAAGTTCGCAAATAGCTCGAAATTTTGTTCAAGTATTTATTCCATAATTTCTGTCGTTGTCTCACTCTCACCAGAAAGTGAAAAGACCCCTTACCTTTGATGTAAAAAAAAAAATATGTTTTTTTTTTGTAGGGATGAAACTCGAAAATAGCACAGGAGTAGTAACTTTGTGTCGTCCATAAGTCCTTTATTTTGCCAAATTTGGGCAACAATAAAGAAAGGAAAGTGGGTAAGTGGATGATTTTTAGAATGTATTTCCACCTTTGAAAGATCCGCCTTAGAGTTGAAAAGACCGCTTTGTTATAATGGCGAACGTCCAGAACCGGCTCCACGTTAACCCTGCATACTGCCCTCATCGTCAGGTATTGGTAAAGTGTTTGTGGGATATGATTACTGCGTTCGCCAGTACCTCCTGCGAAGGGTGGGGGGAGGGGGTACGAGCGAAAAAAACACGCGAAGTGCACAAGTGGGATTTAGTCGGGGGGGGGGGGGGGGGGGGATGGCGGTATGTCTTCTCACCCAGTTGGCACACCGTTATCTGTGCATACTGCCCTCCTCGTCGAAGATTGGTCAGTGATGGGGGTCCGGGGGCGGGGGGGGGGGGGGCCGGGAGGGTGGGGTGGAGGTGCTGTTGGGATAGCATGTCCACCCCTTCCAAGCTGAGTGATGTTCTTGTGGGGAGCTTACACTTACACTTAAGATTTGATGGGAATATCAATTATAGGCTTAAGCCTTTTAAGACCCCATATCCAGATTCTTTCAAGTAACTGTAAAATCTATTCTTGAACTGGTTGACATTCATGGCATTTACGACGTAGGCTGGGAGGTTGTTCCAGTTGCTTATTACCCGTTGGGAGAAGAAGTGTTTCCTCAATTGGAGACCTTTATGCATTCTCTTCTTAAACAACTTCAACCTGTAACCTCGGGTACTCGTACTTGACTTGGAGAAGAACTTTTCTGGATCAATATCGTCGAAGCTATTCAGGATCTGATATGTCTCAATAAGGTCACCCCTTACTCTCCGCACTTCAAGTGGGAATAGGTGTAACTGCTCCATAGGTGTAACTGCTCCATAACTGCTCCAACTGCTCCAGCTTATCACCTATATCGATCAAGGGCATAAACTTGCCAAGATGACACACTATTAATGCATACCTCATGGTCATACGTGTCTTCAGAACGATGGTACAAAACGGTAGTTGATGCCGAGAGGGTGTACTTTTTTTCTTTTTTAAATAAACCAGTTGGCTCACCGTTAACTCGGCATACTGCCCTCATCGTCAAGTATTGGTGAATCTTCTGGTACGCATATTTCGTTTTATTCCCATATGATTTCATGTCTCGATGGTAAAATTATTTTATTCATGAAAATTAGTGATGATGTTCACTGGTTTGGCCCTACATAACTTAATATTTCAAAAAACAGATGTCGTTAAGGCCAAAAAAAAAAGTCTCCGGTTTCTGGTATGCGCGCGCGTCGCCGTAGCCATGCGCGTCGGGAAAATGAAAAAGTTATTTTTTTCAGTGAAAGATGATGTCTCAATACCGCCAAACTCACTGGTTTGACTGGAATCCTGCTGCTACACAATTTTAACGTGTTTTTAGATTGGGTTATGGTCGAGAAAAAGCTTTATGTGGCCTCTCTGGACTCCCATATATTTGCACTAAGTTTAGGTCGAGGACCATTTGCAGTCATCAGCCGACATTTGAAGCAAAAAAATCAGGTAAAAAAAAAAAAAAAAACGCGTCGCCGCACCACTTTTTGGGCAAGCTCCATACCAGAAACCGGAGACTTTTTTTTTTGGCCCAAGCTAGTAAAGTATAATTTTGGATCCCTGGTTCGAATCATATCCATTAATGCCTTCTCCAATCTGATAATCGGATTATCTCGTTCGGATAATATTTATTTCAAGGAAAGAGCCCGAGAAGCTTATTCATTTAGCTTATCAAAACATAGTTAATCACAAAAATGGATTCAACGCCAGCGATATGAAATAAATTCGCTTGCCACGCCGTGCGCGGGATGGAATGGGGGCGGGTTCAGTGTTGTGTGAAAGATGCCAATTTGGAAGCACGGACTGTAAAATGTGCATACTGCCCTCATCGTCAGCAGTCACTGGGTGGACTACAATAATTGTCTCTTTTTGCAAGTCGTTAAGTGGTTAAGGCCCAACTGGCCCACCCCTACCCGCGTTTTAAAAATAATGAACTGAAATTCGTCGCATTTCTTATGATCCATTACACTGTTTTATCATCCTAATTCTAATTTTTCCAAATGAAATTCCCTCCTAAAAATTATATCATTCTTTACGACATCCAAATTTACCTCTTCAATTTCAAGCATTAATATTGGAAATGATTTTAACTGATTTAAATTTTCAAGATGCCCCTCGCAAATTGCTTTCTTCAAAAACAAACGACAGGAAGTATAAAATTCCACATTTGTTTCGATTTTCATTGGCTTTGTCTATAAATATCCTTAATGCAGTTATTAATTGACAAATTTAATGAAAATCTATAACTTTTACTTTTTACAACTGATATACAAATTTTATAAATTAACTCTATTAAAATACAATGGATAGAAATTGTCCTCATTTTGAATAAATTGGCAATGTTTTTACTAAATACCTATATGTAATGCAGCATTATAAAAATAAATCAATGCAATAGTTAATCCATTATTAAGTTCTTGAATTTTTCCCCGATTGTGGTCGAATCTTCAAATAAATAATTTTAGGAATATTAGCTGGTTGAGCCTATATTTAAATATTTTGATGTCATATATGCATTTGCATAAAGTAACTGCTCCTTTCTCTCAGTTTAATTAAATACAAGCGATTGCATTGGTACAAAATTGCTACTTTTTTTTCTTCTAAATTCGGTGATTTTGGAAAAAAAATAAAAATTACACATTTCCACTGGAACACTATCCAACCAATTAAGGTAAATATCTCCTCGGTATTTTTAAATCCATTCTTTTTGTTTCAGAATAATACTATTTTACAGATTTAAACTTTTGATGATAAAAAGCTCAGCAGTGTCAGTTGCTATGGTGAAGATGCAATATGTTTCCTTATTATTAGTATTACAAAATAACATAATTATATTAAGGAGTTCTCTGTGATTCACGACAATCTATTTTTTTTCACTCAAAGTCAGTTTTCGAAAGAAGATATCTATATAGATGCCCGTTTCATGACCAATCAAAACTTGTTTACTTGGATACCCAGGTCACCATGCACCTGGTCCCAGTGACCGCATTCCAGTGTCTTTTCAAACTTCAACCTGTCAATCATAAGATGGGATTAACGGAGCCTATAGCCACGCCCACTATTTTAATTCCACGTGGAAACACAATGTCACTGCACGTGTCAGACGAATTCCTATGCAAATTACTTGCGCCAGACAAAATAGAATTTTTTTTGTTACTAGCTAATGTACTAATGGCCTGAAATCTTGGCGCTCAATCTATCGGAATTCAATACAATGGACGTTCATAGAATCTGCTTATGAAAGAGCTCAGCAATGCAACACGGCTTTTTAAAAATGGAGGCTGACATATAGGCCTATGAACACAAATAAGTGTTATTTTCACCTAATTCTTTCAAAGAGTATAGTAGAGTGTGCTTTATTTTACAGTGACTTTAACACTATGTAGCCTGTGACACCCAAAGAAGCACAAGAGCCACAGTTTTTCTATCTGCAGTTTATGGGCAAGTTTATTTCACTGACATTCACTCACCTCTGGTGTGGTTCACAGACTTATCCGCACGAAGACTTCTACTCCTAGGTTACTCCGAAGTCACAGCAGCCTTTGAAATATGTCAAGATAACTTCACAAAAAAACGTATTAGCTTAGTTCTTAGTAGTACAGTTCACTATGATACCATGAGCATGATGAGTTGTAAAAATGTTCAGTAGACCAACTCCGATTTAATTTCAGTCAAACGGTACTTTTACACATTTCAAAGAAACGACGTGCTGTAAGCTTACCAAAGTTTGAAGAATTTTAAGCTGGAAATACCGACTGATCCGGAGGCATACCGCGGAACTGGACATCTCTACCGGGATAATCTGTTCAGACGCGGACACTGCATGGTGACCAGTGAACATGGTGAAAGGAAAGCGGTTCGTGGAGTTATTTGGCTTCAGACAGACTGACGGTTTGCACTGAAAATTTTCAGCTCTAGCTGGCGGAGAAACTGACTCAGTTATATTGACCACAACATTGGTAAATCTTCACAGTTTGTGACAGCTTGAGTGCTGTCCTGTAAATAAAACCGAATTGATCAAAATATTTGCTCAAAAAAGAAGAGCAAATCTTAACAGGTCCTCCCTCGGTGGAGTTGAACTGCGGAATGACATGGAAGTGAAAAGACGACAGGTTAATATTGTCCATATGCAGAGTGGTCGGATCTTGGGTTGATCACTCTCAGTATATTTATCCGCTCTTGTCAAATTTCCTGATTTTTTGGTCTTGAATGTATACAATTTTAGGGAGATATGCACATAAATGAATGATTAATGATGCCGATGAGTACAATAGAAAATTCTTGCAATCCGTGGCGAAACGGTAAGTTTTATTTTTTTTTAGCAACCCGAGGCCCTACATTTTCAGAAATGAGAAGCAGACGACAGCTGGGGTGATGACGTAATGCTAATATAAGCAACTGTGATTGGTCACAAGTTAGTTGATGACCGGAGGTTGGCAATCTGATCAACTTGATTGGATTAAAAACAATTGCTCATTTAAATAAACTGGTGAATGTCACGAGATTTTGGCGGGCTGAGAAAATTTGACCATCAAACCGGTTCGAACCGGATCCATAGACTTAAACAGTTCAACCATTGTCCAGAAATTCGTGCTTAAAAACCTTATAATATTCAATTATTATAATTTCTATGACTTAAGTGTTCTCTGGAACTTTATGTAGTCTGCAAAATGCAGATAAACGAAGTTCAAAACAATCATTTTACGGATATTAGGGACATAAAATAATATGTACGAAATGAAAGAAACGCAGCCATGAAAACAATAATTTTTACTTCATTTTTGGAATTTGCGGTATAATGTCATCTTTATTTATGAATTTCCTTTGTCCCAACAATGAGGGCGCTCTTCAAATAGTCTATTGTTTGCGTCAGGGTTTCACCTTGACGTGAGTCTTATAAGCAGCTAAATTTTGTCAATTGACACTTCATTTGTGGACATGACTTGTGACAGGACGATGGGTTCACTCAAAAACGGATCAGAGCAGTAACTCAGGTTGAAGTTTTTATTGTTTTGTGTTGACTATTGTGAGCATTGCCATTTGTAATTTGTCAAAATGATGTGCAATCCGTTTTTATCCTTGCGCCATCATCTTGTCCATGCATGACCATGGACCATGATTAAATCAAGCTCAGTTTATAATGTTATTGTTTGTTAGCATCCTGAGGCTGTTTCGTTGATTGTGTAACACAATAGAGGGTATGCTCAGCCGTTTTCCCACAGTAAACTTATGCGAGATTTGCTCTAGGATCCCAGCTACTTGGCATTCAGTGATTCACACAGGATGCAACTTCACACTTCATCGATTTCGCTTGTCTTAAGTAATTTACTTTCTTAATCTTAGATTAGAGTTAACTTTAGGCACTCTCCTGAAGACGGTCAGAGCATACTGACCGGAACGTCGAGTTTATACCTCTGCTTCTTTTCAGAACCATTCTCTTAGTTGAGAAATTATTTGCACATGGTGTTTCCACAAACCTTTCATTATTTGATTTTTACCATGTTTACCTCTGCCAAGGAGGTTATGTTTTCATTGGCGTTGGTTAGTTTGTTGGTTGGTTGGTTTGTCTGTCTGTTAACAAGACAGTCAAAAGTAATGGACGGATTTGCATGAAATAAGGTGATCCATGGTACAAGTATATCGATTGGATTTTGGAAGTGATCCGGATCTGGGTGTGGATCCAGGATTTGGGGATTTTTTTAGGGACTCTTCACCATTTATGTGAGTATTTCTTTTGGGTGTACTGACAATATTTAGCCTTTAGATGGCAGAGGTTTGCACTCTCTGAGTGTTTTCTAGTTAATAATAGTTGTCTTTTTATATTTTAAACAGAATATATTTTTTAGCTGGGGGTACATCATACATGACGTACGTATACTTCCCAAACTGTAAGGCTCTGCTCATCGGAAGCCTTACACTTTACATTTCTGGACACAATTTATGTTAACAAGGAGCTTGGAAACCCATCTCTACTAAGGCTCATGACATTCCCATGCTATGTCCTGTTCCTCAGAGCTGGGTTTTCTTAGCTAGTAAATAAGAGGCACAGCCAGTATTCGGTGATGCAATTTTTTTTGGGGGGGGGGGTAGGGAATGATTTGTAAGTAGTGAGAGTAAAATATGGATTCTGGAGTCCAGCCTCATGTCATTTAACATCTCACTTACACGTAGTATTTTGATGCGTATGCAGAAATGACAAATTTAATCTGCCATCTAAAAATGGCATAACATTTGTAACTCGCATGAATGATAAATTTATCACGTCGAATCTCATTTGTCAGAATAAAAATTGAAAAAAATTCACAAACCGACAATGTACAATGTACAATAATAGTGGCAGATAAAAAAAAGCTGGCTATTTTGCAGCACATGTTATAATGTATTCCTGACTTGTGATTTAAAAAAAAATGAAATACATGTATGTACACACAAATGTATGTGTACAGAGTATGTTTGCAGTGTTCTGAATGGACAGGCATCTGGCAAGTGGTAAATCCTTTATTTAGCATTCATAAATACCTTAGACAGTTTACGCATTCCTATTGGTCGAGAGCCCGTCACGTGGCCGGTCTTAAACGGATGATAAAGACATGGCTAGCTGGTCTTAAACACTTTTTCAGTGTCACAATAAAATGTGGACTCCTAAAAATCCAGTGCCTCTTATCGTTTCATTGGTTGAACGTTCACAATCCTCACGTAGGCATGCGCAACACTACCAGGGAGTCAGAATTTTATAGTTCTAAATTCAAAACGCAACGCGCCAGGTGCGTTCTGCGCGACATCGCGCAGAACATGATACGCGCGCGTCAATCTCCATAAAAGGGTTGTTTACATCTTACTCGCTAGCTGAACACTCCATTATTTTGCAAGAGGGATGTTTCAAAAAGCATAAAGTGAATTTGTTGAACAAAATCGGGATGTTTTGAACAAATTATATGATTTTTTTTTACCGAAAAGGTTTTTATGAATGGGAATAAATATGTGCTCCGTCGGTATTTATCACTCTGTTTAAGATCACTTAGAGTCTGGGTGCTGATAATTACCCTCGCCTCCGGCTCGGGTAATTATCAGCACCCAGACTCTAAGTGGTCTTAAACAGAGTGATAAAAACCTCTCGGGCACACATTTATTCCCTTAATAACATTATTACAGATATCTTCCTGGTGTCACTGATGTGTCACATGTCTGGACTATGCAACAGTTCCTCTAGCTGTTGTGAACAGTGAATGCAATACAACAATAGCTAAGGCCAAGTAAAAAAAAACCCAGTTTCTCATCCTTGCATCTTCCTTTGTTCTGCCCCCCCCCCTCCTTTTTAAATTTCTACATATTTGCAGTATATTTTGCAACTGTTTTGTCAATTGTCTTATATTTATTTTCACCAAATGTGTAGCTACTATTTAGAATTTAGAAAGAGTTACAGCTCCTCTGGAATTTTTTATCAGCAAAAGCGTTAAAAAAAACCCTGAAAAATCCATCCACCATCTTAGAAAAGCTGCAATCTTGGGCGAAAAAGGCAAAAAAATACCAAGCAAACAAGAAAATCCCTGCCTCCGTCGTTTTTTTTTCTTTAAAAGGCCCCGATTTTTTTTTTTTACTTGGCCTAACACTGGGCAGTTCCTTTTTTATTTAAGTTAAAGGTGTCACACCATTGCACTCTTTGTCACAGAATTCATGCCGATTGCTAGTCTGATTCTGGACTTTGGATGTGTTTTGGTGACTTCTTATGACAATCGTAATTATCTGAGTTATATTCGCTTACATTTATAGAAACAAAAAGACAATAGCACATCACAAAATAGTCAAAAGATTACAGTTAGTAGATTTTACTGTTAACATGATTGAAAAGTGCTGTTAAATATAACAATTTCCTCGCTAAATTCTTTGCATCGTTGATACCAACTCAGCGTGTACATTATCAATGCATATAGGTCACCTATTATTAACGACAGGTTCATAACATACAACCATGGCCCACCTGTTCACTGCGTACTGTAGCCCAATCATCAGCCAAGCCCACTCACTGATTAGAGCCTATTTGTTCTTCCCCTCTCTACAGTGTGTACAGTTCCAAAGATCACTGCGTTCGGAGGGAACACCCCAAATGCTATCATCATCAGTGCGTGAGGCACGATTGCTATAACTACATGTACACTACTCTCCAACAGCCAGTACTAAACTCTGAAAGAACTGCAGTTATACTCGGGAATACATTTGGAGGTTCTTTCCTTTTTCGTGAGAGAAGGAGCAGTCTTGTGTAGGAGAGAAAACAGCTTAAATATTTAAGAATGGGTGAGTATCTGTTACTGACTTTTCATTTCCTGGTACTGCATGTGCTTTATTTCCCTGTGTGAACACTATGTATTTAGGTGACAATAAGCCCGGTTCATACTCCATGCGAATGCGAATGCGAAGGCGAAGCGAATTTGAAGTCATGAAAGGTTCGCTGTGAAATTCGCCCGAGTTGAAATGTGCTCAACTTTTACAAATTCGCAGCGCGAATACTTGACACGACGTCGCAAATTCGCGTTCGCTTTCGCTTTCGCGCCGAGTATGAACCGGGCTTTAGTCTACATGTAATTCCAATGTTGCATTTTAACATGGCTTTTCTAACAAGCATTTATACATTGAACATGAATCTAGAGGAAAATGATATGTGGTCTAGGTCTGTTTGTCTTGTCATTTATGTTTTGGCATAGATACCCACCTGTACCATATAATGCACCATAAGGTCAAGGATGTACTATGCATTTGATGATGGGGTGCAGGGGCGGACAGTAATAAAAAATGTCAAAAAATATGTAATTTACTGGTACATGTATTTGTTCGTATAGGTGTGCAGTGTACATCAGTGTTTTTGCTAATGACTTAAAAAGAGTAACACAAAACTGCCAAAATCTTTCACCTGTTTTTGCAGTATTTTTATGCGGTTTGATGAGGACTGTCAATTCAGCTCAGCCACTAGTATTTGACATGTGGCATGGTATTCAATTTTTTTTGTTTATAAGTATTGGTATTGATTTATCACACTTTTGGATTGTACAGGATTTATAAAACTTCTTATTTGCAAAAAATGCTGAGGCCTGCTCGAATCACCGTTATTTTTTATTGGGACGGGATGGGATGGGTGAGGTTAATAAATGAGGTTGATAAAGGCTAATTATCAAATTTAAGTTAATAAGTTAAAACTTCCCCAGGTGGAACGCACACGATAAACATGGAAAAGCCAGCTTAGAGGAAGGACTTTAATTAGGATGAAAATCCCTATGATGTAATGCATTTAGCAACTTCCCCTCCCTGTAATTAATAGCATGTGAGTCAGGTAACGTGTAATTAATGAACGACCTGGGTAATGTTTACCTGTATCGTGTCAGCATGGTCAAAGTCTAAGGGGATGTTAATAAGTTTGACCACGGGGGGACACACCCTACAATGTACATTGTCCATACATGTATATGGGCAATTCCACGGTTACTCACGTTACATTTTTGATGTACTTTTGAGTTTCCTTGGGCTGTAATTACCTTACTGAAAAGGTTTAATAACTGTGATCCCCATGGTTGATAGAGTAGAGCTAGACCTACCTAAGCACCAAAGATGACATCCAGAAAAATGTGTTATGTATGATAAACAAGACGCACAAAATGGGTTACTCCCGTTACATTTTCGTAACGCGAGTAACCAATTTTGTGCGTCTTGTTTATCATACAGCCCAAGGAAACTCAAAAGTACATCGTAACCGTGGAATTGCCCATATGTATTGTGGTCAACGACTCAATGACGATATAAATATTCACATACACTTAAGTTAGGCCATCCTAGGAGAATGCACAGGAAGATATTTTTGAGATGGTATCTGTAAAGAGATTGTTTCCCTGTTTCACATTGACTAACTTCTGTGATCATTACATCTGCCTGATGTAAGGCCAACAAATAATGGTTCTGCTTCCAATTACATGGCATTCGAAAATAGGGTAGGTAGGTAGGGAATTTTTTGGGGGCCATTTTTTTTTTTTTACAATCATATGGTGGCATCTGCGTGTAGTCGAGGGGTAAAAGGTAGAAATTGATGGTTTTGGGATTTTTTTTCTCATTTTTTCTCATGAAAAAATTAGGGTAGGGGCTGTCAGAATAGGGTAGGTAGTGAAACTGGAAGCAGAACTATTTTTGTTTTTGGCCTAAGGTGAGCATACATGTACATACCTGTATGTGCGAGTCTGTATAGGTGGTATTAATATATACTAAGGGTCAGTAATGAGTACTTATTGATTTGTTACCACCTGCATCTTCCATCTCATCTCCCCCCCCCCCACTTCCCCAAACTCTGTTCAATCACAGACCATTTTAGCTGCATCCTATCAGCTGCATCCTAACAGGACGTAGATGCACTGTCAGATCCTGAGTAGGGGTTGATATTATCTATGTGGAGAGGGGGGGGGGGATTGAATTTCTAAAACAACCACCCCTACCGCACCTAGCACAAAGAAAAAACATTTTCTAAAAATTTTGATTCAGGATATACACTCACTATTTTCCCCAATACAGTACCCAGACAATTGTGCAAAAAAATACACTACGATTGTTGAAAAAAAAATAAAAGTTTAAAAAAATGTAAGATAATTTTGACAGTAAACATGGAGGTTAATTATACTACACAATTTAATCTGTAGCTATTTTTTTGTATGGATGTGTACATGTTTGTCACATATGCTGACTGGTGATGGTTAATGCCTAGATTTGATTGGAAATAAAATTATATTGATAAGATCAGCCAAAAATAATAAAAAATAAAAAGATAAACAAAATAACAGCCTCTGGTCATACAGGTGTATCACGCAGGTCATCAATTAGCCACATGCAGCGTTTTTATGTAAAGATCACTGCAGGATGATACATATCCAATACTGCTGCTTAATATGTGTAGCGGTATCAGCGTGCTATTCAAATTACAATTCGGCCAGGCTTATGAGTGTATTATAAATGAAGCCGTAAAGGCCTGTCGTTGAAACCTGACCTTGTTTATAGATTGCACTTGGGACCACACCCAGTGTTGTGTGTACATTTACGCATGTGGTGCAGTGGTTTGCTTGCCATGTAGGGCATGACAGGTGTACATGCACATGTTAATATCTCAGGGAAGCCAGTGATATTTAAACAAAGGCTCTTACTTTTAGTCAAATTGCATCAGATGAGAGGGGATGATGCATTTCGTAAATTAAAAAACTGTTGCTGCCCTCTGACAACACGTAGATGTAAAAGGCATTTTAGGGAGAGTATACTTTACCATTTGAAAGAAATGTTAATCACGATAACATGCCAAAGGCCATTTCTGGTGCACTTTATAATATTACTGTATTGTAATTATATTATCTCACTTTGTATTGGTTTATTGCAGTGTGCAAAATAAATGTCTGCTGAATTGCGAATTGTGAATTATTTTTAGTGTATTCTTGAAAGACATGGTTGCCGACCATTACAGTGTGGAAGCATCAGTTGTGTAGGTTTTTTTTATGACACAATTTGGCGTTATCCAACAGGAGTAGATGCACTTTTATTAGGCCTACATGCAGTGAGTAAACCGACAGTGCATGTACCCACTACTTATATGTAGTCATAGTGCTTGTTGTTGAAATGCTTCAAAAAGCTGAACAAATCATTGGCAAATAAGGGGGTCGAACGGATCCTTTCCATTCATTTTAGACGATTATGAAAATTGTACTGATTTCTACTAGGCCATCAGCCTGGGGGTTTGGTCAGTATCAAATCAGGGTATAAATGATTATAGTGCGCATGCGCAAGGTATACCGCCCCTAGAGTGGTAACAAGCATTTTGATGGACATTTTGAAAAAAAAGGGTGATAACACCCAAAAAGCTGCCACCGCTGCAATGCTATCACATATTTTCCAACTCTGGTGGTGTATACCTTGCCAAAAAAATCGCTATGACGTTTTTTTCTCCTCATTTGATACCGGTGCATGGCCAAAATTTTGGACCGAGGCTGATGGCCTATACGGTTGCAAAGCAAATGTCATGCATGTAAAGGTACGTGTACAATGTACATGTCACTTACATGTGCACGGCCGCTTTTGACATAGGGAAATCATTCCTAATCTCATAAATGAAACTACAACAAAACAAAAGGCACTTCAATGTTTACGTTTTTATGTTTCAGGATTTTTATTAGAGAAATTCACCTCATATTCAAAAGCAATTGACCGCTTCAGATTCTATAGATGATTTACTTTTCATACTCCTTTTTCTTGTTTTTTTTTTTCTTTCAAGGGTGTTCTACCAAATATCACCCTCATATCCAAAAGCAATTGACCGCTTTAGATTCTATATGATTTAATTTTCATACTGTTTTTTCCCTGTTTTTTTCCTGTTTTTTTTTTTTTCTTTCAAGGGTTTTCTACCAAGTATCTGCCCTATGGCTCGATGGTGTCCGCTTTCCTGGTGTACTGTGGAGTAGGCTTGTTCTGTGGAGCATCCCTGACTGCACTGAACAACACGGAGGATATGTTCAAGAAAACAGAACTGGAGTGGAAGCTGGTGTAAGATGTTTCTTTCAATATTGCACCATCTCTAAGACTCCTCACTATTAAATTAATCCGCACAGAATCATTTAGAAGAGTAGCAGTACTACAAAGGCTGCGTTTGTTTCGGTATGGATCCAATTCTGGATCCTTGGAACCAGTACTGTGCTATGTATAAGAAAGAAAACAGCGCCTGATCTCGAGATGGTTAACGTTCCAATGTATGTTGTTTCGTTAGTCACCAATTTGAATCTCGCGCTGATTCACCTCTCAAAAAGGATCCCTGAGATCAGTGATACAGATAAGGATCCAAGCAAAACAAATGAATCGATCCTGGATCCAGATTGGGATCTGTGCAATACAAACAGGCCCTAAATAGCCAAAATCGTCCCTGGGATGTATAATAATGGAATGAAATACCCGTTACTCTACAAAATAAAAAAGGAACTTGGCAAAAAAAAATAAGCCTATTTCAGGATGGCAATGAAGTGGTGCAATCAGCAGTGTGGACTGCAGGTACAGTACATGGTGATGTGTGGCCATTCACAAAAACCCTTGCTTGAAACACATAGCGTGCATGCATATCCGGGCCCAATTTCATGGCATTATAACCACGGAATTCTGTGCTTACGATTACCGTTTTGTGCTAACCGCACTAGCAATAAAACTATGTACTAACCCTGTCATCACAGGATCCTTAGTTACTGGATGTACACATGCACAGAAGCAAAAGTTCCTCACTAACCTGTGAAATACGCTTACTATAAGCACAGTATTTTCTGCTATATAGTAAGCAGGGATTTTTTGCTTACAGTAAGCAGAGGCATTAAATTGAGCCCAGGTTTGCATGCTTGCATTTCAGAGTACAACTTCCATCTAAATGTGTCAAGAACTGGTTCCATCTGCATTGAGGAATGCACCTGTATTATACGGGGGACAACTTAGGCAGCTTTATTTATGCTAAAGTTTTCCACGTGATCGTTACAGAATTCCTGCTCTGAGGATCACCGTCTACGCCATGACCCCGGTGATGGTCCTCACAGCATTCATCTACATCATTCTAGGCTACGCGGCAACCAAACAGAGCAAAGTTCAAGTGTACGACGACCAAGACGTCTGCTGTGGGGGGATGGGGTGTGTTAGTCTGGTGAGTATTATGAAAGTGCTGCCAATGACTGGGAAACCATGTCCAAATTATCTGGCTAGGCTGGCGGTAGTACAGGTGTCTATGGGATGTGGCTTCAACTGCTTCCATAGACGCATGTCCAGTTGCAGGCCATAGCCATTAAATTAACACAGCCTAATACCAACAAATCTGTGATACTCTATTAACACATATTGTAGATCAGGGATTTCTCTAAAACAACAGTCTCTCATAATTGGTGCTCTAACCCCATGTGACCTCTCAATCTGCAGTGGTAAGATTTCCTGTCTGTTTGCTTACAATAACATTCGGAACATATTGTAGCTACTTGTCTCTGTTAACCCTAAAGTCTTTAAATTCTTAGCATTTTTCATTTTTGCTTAATGCCTTCTTGAATCTACCAAACCTAACACAGTGACCTAACAATCAAACCCCATGTGATGGTGGCCGGGCTATAAAGTTCTAACTTCATCAAAATGTCAAACCTGTGGATTTTTCTGATGGATTGAGGGTACTTGACAGGTTAACCCTTGTATTCTAAACAAATATAGGAGCTTTTTACTGGAACTAGTTTGGTAACTTTGAAATTTGAGTGTGAAAAAATGGTAGGTTCTTCAATCATTTTTTTTTTGTGGTGATAATTGTTTATGGGGCTTGAGTATTTTGTGAGTTGCCAAACTTTTGGTTCAAAGAAATCAATATTTTTAGTGTTTCACTCAAGTCTCTTCAGGGTCCCTCAAATGAATTTACAAAAAGTCATGCTTTTCCTGACAATGAAGACACTGTTGCTGCAATGTCGCTTAAGGAACACACACTTCAGATTTAGGCTTTTTTTCCTTTCAAATTGTAAACCCCAAATTTTGCTTAAAATTGAAAACACTTGTGCATAAAGTTTTATCATTGTCTTACTGTACATACTGAAACAACCATGAACCACTGAAAGCAGAAAAACAACCCACAGCAAACCCCTAAAATTCCGGTGACTTTTTTTTTGCTGAAGCAGATGTGAAACTGTAGTTTCTGCCTTGAATGACATCACACTTTTGCGTATGAATATGGAAGTTTGCTTCAGCATAAAAACCAAAAAGACACCAAAACACCCTTTAAACGGCGATATGAAGATTACAAAGTTAGTTAAATGGAAAACAAAGGTACATTTAAAGGATCGCATTTAAACAAAATTCCACTGATGACATAGGCCCTTTAAATCCATTGACATCTGACTGGATTTGAGTCCCAAATATTCACGACTCAGTTCTACTTCTAGTTCTGATTTAACCAATTAACCAAAACTTTTCCCTTAACCCTTTCACCCTGGGAACCTCTTTTGTTTTCAATTAAACCCCAGGCGCTCTATATTTTGTACCTTCTGACTTTCATCTGGCTCGTTCTTGGTGGCGCTTGCACTATCCCCGTGATCTTTACTTACATGGTGAGCATGTACACGTCTTCAAGTGCCGATGCTGACGGGAATTTGCCCGCTTTACTGTGTGTGAATCTCAGTCAGTATGGTAGGTTTTGACAACAGTATACAATCTGACTAACCACCAAGGCCCAATTTTTTTGTTAACTGAGCCCCCGTCTATGTCACGGAGATAATTTCATTACAATAACTTGTGACCTGACTTGGGACTGTATGACTTGTGATTGACATGTAATTGACATGTGATAGACGTGTGGTGGACATGTGATGGACTTGTGATGGACTTGTGACTGGAATTGTGATTGACTTGTGATGGATTTGTGATGGACTTGTGATGGATTTGTGATGGACTTGTGATTGACATGTGATGGACTTGTGATGGACTTATGGTGAAATTGTGCTTGACTTGTGCTGGACTCGTGCTGGACTCGTGCTGGACTCGTGCTGGACTCGTGCTGGACTCGTGCTGGACTCGTGCTGGACTCGTGCTGGACTCGTGCTGGACTCGTGCTGGACTCGTGCTGGACTCGTGCTGGACTCGTGCTGGACTCGTGCTGGACTCGTGCTGGACTCGTGCTGGACTCGTGCTGGACTCGTGCTGGACTCGTGCTGGACTCGTGCTGGACTCGTGCTGGACTCGTGCTGGACTCGTGCTGGACTCGTGCTGGACTCGTGCTGGACTCGTGCTGGACTCGTGCTGGACTCGTGATGGACTCGTGATGGACTCGTGATGGACTCGTGATGGACTCGTGATGGACTCGTGATGGACTCGTGATGGACTCGTGATGGACTCGTGATGGACTCGTGATGGACTCGTGATGGACTCGTGATGGACTCGTGATGGACTCGTGATGGACTCGTGATGGACTCGTGATGGACTCGTGATGGACTCGTGATGGACTCGTGATGGACTCGTGATGGACTCGTGATGGACTCGTGATGGACTCGTGATGGACTCGTGATGGACTCGTGATGGACTCGTGATGGAATTGTAATGAACTTGTGATTGACTTGTGGGAATTTGGGTTTTTTGTTACTAAAAACGTTTTATACAACGATTCGGTCTCTTGATTGGCTGATACCAGGTTTGATGGAATTTGTTATTTGTGATGTGTACTGGCAAAATGAGACGGAACTGGGTACAGCCGGGGTGGAGAATTTTTATTTTATTCTTTTGGGATTTTTTTAGATTTATTGATTTTTGTAATCTCTTAAACGTTTACCACACGTTTTAAAGAAATAATATAAATATCGTGGAATAATAGTATTTTTAAGGAAAAACAATTGACATCTTTCATTTTCATGAATACAAAACCTGAAACTTTGAAGGCTATGTTTTCAGTATTTTACTTTTTTGTCAGTGTGTGATTGAAGTGCAACAAACACTATTGCCAGGAAAATGTAAATTCTGTTTGCTAAACCTACAAACCCTCATTTCGACCTCTGCTCAGTTCTATCACATTTTGCCAGAATGCCTGGTATCACTGGCCACTCTCAGAAAGCATCATACTGTCACTTGTGTCTTCTATTTCATTTGCACAGGTTTCGTCAATGTTGAATCTACAGTGAATACAGAGCTTTGTGGCACAACATTGAAAGAATTTGGAGATCTGGTGAGTATTCACATGCTTGGTACTCTGCAAATTTTTTGGATTCTGGATGCTCTGTGGTGCGATCTGAGGCAATTTCTGACCACTTTAACCAATGTTTTTTTGAGGAAAAGATGGTGGTGTACTCATTGCCTGCCTTTATTGCGATGTCACATAAAAATTTTAAAAAATGGTTTCGTTTTTTTTTGGGGGGGGGGCCATGGCCCCCTTTGGCCCCCCTGGATCCGACCTTGTATCAAATGAGGGGAATAATCGTCATAGCGATTTTTGGCAAGGTATACACCTCCAGAGTTGGAAAATATGTGATAGCATTGCAGCGGTGGCAGCTTTATGGGCGCTATCACCCTTTTTTCAAAATGTCCATCAAAATGCTTGTTACCACTCTAGGGGCGATATATACCTTGTGCATGCGCACTATAATCATTTATGCCCGGATTTGATAATGACCAAACATCCAGGCTGATGGCCTATATTGGTTAAATTTGTTGCAAGCAGAAATTGTAGGTGATGTTTGTAATTGAGTTTAGGACATAGAATTCATGGTCCGAATTACCTGGTTGCTCACACTCTTCTAAATTGCTCTATATTACACCAATCTCATCATGAGACAATTGCTTAAATATTTAATTATAAAAAAAAACACTGGCATTTTACATAATATATTTTAGTTTCTTCCTTTAGAAGTTTGTACAGACTTTTAAAGGATAGGTTGTGTCTGGTTGTCAATTTAGGAAAGCTAAGCTGTTCTAATGAAACATTTTCCATAGGCATGGATGGCCAATCTATGTTTTTTTTAAGAAAGTGACTAATCTTATGTATGAATTAAGTACAGTGGAATGCAGCTATAACAAACATTGTGGGATCCACAGAAAGTGTTCATAATAACGATCGTTCGGTATAGCGATTTTGAACCGCCGGTACCCTCTTTTGACCAAAAGTGAAGTCACTGAACTGGCATTTCTCACATCCCGCCGCCGCACGAGGAGTTGTCACAAAACTACAGCAACGGGTGGTTTTCCATTTATTCCTTGGGGAAATAATAGCCATCTATCGCTCTTCAACATTCAAACACGATGTAACCGTGGGTGGTTTGATGTTCGGGAATTAAAAGTGGCCCAAACAGTGTTTAATACATGTACAACCAGTAGGTTTTTTGCTAATCTGTTGACTTTTTTCAACAATGATGTTCGGTGCGTTTTATACATTAAAACAGGGAGCCAAGGATGATGTTCAGTAAAGTAGAATGTTCGGTATAGCGGTGTTCAGTGTAGTGGCGTTCCACTGTATTGATAATGCCAATCTGAAAGACTTGTTTTGTCATTTTTTTTTCTCTCCACTTCTGTTAACAGGCAGGAGAAGCTTTTGTCATGTACTGCATACTGTTGGGAGGCTGCGCCCTCGTGTTATTGGGCCTGGTAAGTTGTAGGATAGAGAAGCATCTACAATAAGCAAAAATAATAATACAATGATAACAGTAAACCTGAAACCCGAAATCAAATTGTGTATTTCTAGTTTCACTTCCCATTACATGATTCTTTGATAAATTGATATTCTCTTACTTTTGTGTCAGTGGAAATATTTAGATTCGCTTCCTGATTAGATTTGGTTATCTTTGACTTGCATTGATGTAACCATTTTAAAACACTTGTATTACACTGTATTACATTGTATTTACTCCTCCATGAATCTATAAAACCATAGAGTGCTTGGGGCGGTTTGGGGCGGTATGAGGAGTAATAGGCAGGGCGGTTTGGGGCGGCACAAGGGCTAAAGGGTTATTTCATGATGCGACATCATTTGATTAATCGCAACTCATATCACCCGAAAGAGGTTATCAAAGAATGGCCATTTTTGCAGCACATTAGGAAAAATTGGCATCAGCATGCAAAACCATACTGTGCAGTGTTGTAAGGATTTGGCAGTTTTTACAATTTTTTGTTGTTGTTGTGTCATGTTGGATCTCGGTGGTGGTGCGCGTTATTTGGAATTGCTCATATTGATGATCTTCGATTTATTTCATTACTGATTCATGGGTTTTGCCCTTCGCCGACGTAATTTTTATAAACACTGTATATTCGGTGTTGTCCGTAGTGATTGTGAGAAAAAAATCGCTCAAGTGGGACTCAAACCCACGATCTCCTGTTTACTAGTGCAGACGTCTTACCACTCGACCATCGAGCTTGCCAGGGTCGGCTGGCAGGTTCCAATCGGATATAGCAGTGGGTACAGCAACCAAATTATCCATTAAATGGAATTTGGGTCAGGGTGATGGAAACTTAATATTGGGGTTTTGCCCTTCACCGATTTGCACCCTGACGCAAATTCCATTTAATTCCCAATGTGTGATGTTGTTTGAATTTATTGATGATCTGTGGTTCATTTTATTTTCTAGGTTCACTTCCTGATGTGTTTGTCGGCAAACTGGGGCCACGTCAAGGACGGCCTGAAGCGTCGCGACTACGAGTCCCGCCGACGGCAAGAGGAAGCCGAACTCCACGAAATGGGCACAAGCTCCTCCCTATCCCGCGTTCCCCGGGCTAAAGTCTACGACACCAGCATGTCCCAGGTGGCTTATAACCCCCAGCTGCCCCCGATCGGTGGGTTCGGGGAGCATCAGCCCTCCCACAGACACCCGTCGCAGCCGACGCTATCCACAGAGAGACTCGTTAATGATTATTACTAAGGGGGAGGGGATGATTAACAGTGGTCAGTCAGCTGGGATAGTTCAAAGGTGGTTGTTGGCCGTCATCATCTTGGAAGCTTGGATTGTTTTTCTTTCTTCACTGCTGAGTTGAAACCAAAACAAAATACTGTTTATATGAACAACTATAAGAATTTCACATAAGGTCCTGCACTTGTAATACTTCTCATGTTCCGTGCAGGCATGGTTCGAGACTGAACATGAAGGGAGTGTTAAAACATCTCTTAGGAGGAAACCCATATTTATATCCATGGAGCTTTGTCTATAATGTGAGCAGTAGATTCAAGGGAATTCTTATTTTTGCCAAATGTAACTTTTTGGGCTCAGACATGTATTGATATATTGCACATAGTGTTTTAATTTAATTTACAAAGGGCTTCTTACAACTCACTTTTACTCAGCCGTCAAATATGTGTAGTTTATTGCTTAGGTGAGGCTTTTAAGTTATAGTCACAGTCCGAGTTTCAGTGTGTTATGCAGCAGTGAGCTGTTATTTTGGCCAGCCAAGACCTATGGTTATACAAATCTAGCCCTAACCAACCTAAATCTTTCAAAATCCACAGCCAGATTCAGCAGGATTTTGATGGATTTTGGTTTGGGCCAAACAATTATTATCTGGGCTTGTGACCTCACTGTGTTTATATTTTAGAATAGTGTGCCACTGCTTATTGTTGCGCTTTGTCAAAATTGGGAAGGTTCTTTGAAGGAAAACCTTAGGATTTAGTGAAGTATTTGGTAAATGTGCATTTCAGCCGAGAGTCTACTTTATTCTATCAGAAGATTTCATATTTTCATCGATTTGCTCGTTGACAGCCCTCTCACCATAATCAGATACTATTTTTATACTGCAAGTAGTACTATTTTTAGCTTCATATTTTTCGATGTAGGAAAAATAAAATTGTGTACCTGATGTATATTGTTAAAAATACAACCTGCATGTGCATGTATATACTTGCGGTACCAATTCACATGTAGTCTCATGTTAATTAATACACATGTGCTTTAATCTGGATGTAATGATGTAAATTTCAATTATAAGCTTACCCACCTTCAAGATTTTCACGTGACCAAATCAGGATGATCCAAAATACTTGTGTAATTAATTAATACAGCGATAAGACAAAGTAATATTAAGTTTGTAAATAAGACTGAGGAACATTGATGTATAAATAATTTTTTTACAAGAATTGCCAACTTGATTAATGTAGATGTGTAGAACAAATAAGTGTACAAAATTATATGAGTACTATATTCAAGTGAAGTCTTACAATAAGGAATTATCTTTTAAATTTTCAAATTGTATCTGGTGACTGCATGACGATATTCTATTAACACAAGGTAGTAATCAGAAGTTTGCGTGGATTTATGAGTTGAGGCTGACATTTGTAGACTGAATGATTTTATGGATATCTACTTTTCTTTCTGATATCCAAGAAAAGAATAATCAATATGATTGTTGAGAGTACACTGAGTAGAAAGTCTTAATTATGTATTAATATTAGCAAAATTATTTGAAGTTCAAATTTTATGGCAGCAATAGTTTTCAAACTCAAAGTTAGTTTGTGGCCTTTACCACGCCCTATTCCCACTGATTTTAATATACATGCATTCATTGATTTGCATATTTGCATATTAATTGTTGGTTTAAATCTACGCATATTCATGTACCGAGTGGTTAACTGCAAAACTTGTCCAGTAAGAGTGAGAGATTCCATAAGTGTGGCAACCCCCCCCCCCATATTAATTATTTGTTAATGTGTGAGTAACTGTAAATTATTGAAGCATTTTTTTCTTCAAAAGTATTCAAAGCAGTATACAATTCATATATGAAAGCAAATATCTGAAATGAATTATATCCCACCTTTTGGCATAAGTAAATTGTCATTTGTGCTACATGATATTTAAATAAAGCTTTATAATATAATGATATATTGAATTAACTTTTTAGAGATCCTTGTGCTGTGATCAGTTGTATTATTTGGGAAATAAAACCACCTTGATTGTTGGAATTCGGCATGTTTTCTTTCTGTTGGATATTTTTGTTCCCCTTTTTGTTCAACTGAATAGAGTAATAAGATAAGTGTGAGTACAGTAATGAATCTTGATTGATTTGTTGAATATAGAATTGTGAGAGCTGTAATTTTTGGGGCTTTCCAAAACGGATATACCCATTTTTCAGCATTGGAAATACATTCCCAATTGAAAAAGAAGTATAGCCCCGCCCCACCAGCATATACAGGGTGGACCGAAAAAAACAAAAAAACGAAACCGAGATATTATTGCTAATTGGAACAGAAGTAGGACACATGTTAATCAAAGGGAGATATCTTCTAATGGGGTTGAATCTCCTCTTTAAAATGACGACCTGATCATGTCCTTACATTCACGGTTGACTGAGCAGTGACCGATTTTACGAAAGGGTCTATTTAGAGAATTTGGCCACTTTTCAATTGTGATTTTTGTGGTTGCCAATCAAGGCAGGTGGGAAAAAAAGATTTCACCATGAAAAGTGCCGCAATTCTCTAAATAGACCCTTTCATAAAATTGGTCACTGCTCAGTCAACCATGAATGTAAGGACATGATCAGGGTGTCATTTTAAAGAGGAGGTCAACCCTAACAGAGGATATCTCCCTTTGATTCACATGTGCCCTACTTCTGTTCCAATTAGCAATCATATCTTGGTTTCGTTTTTTTTTTTTTTTGATCCACCCTGTATCTTCGGCTAACCACGGACCATTTATCAGTGTTCCCCCTCGGCCTCCTCCACCCACCCATCGTCACCATAACCTTACCAGCGCAATTAAGAAATGGAGGAAAACGATATTCAAGTTGCGCGCAAATCTTTAATTTCTTTCTAAATTAACACTGGAGGATGCAAGTTTAACCATAACTAAGATTCGCTTATTAGTTGGCGCAATAAAAAGAGGACAAGCAAGACAATCTGTTGGAATCTTCCACAGTGGAGCCACTACTACATTCATGACCCTTATGGGTTTTTAAATACATATCCAAACTTGCCAGGAGAGGTTACTGTTGCTGAGCAGATGATCACGTAACAATGCGTACCACTACCCCAGCTAGTATTAGCACATACACTTCTCCCCTGTGTGCATATTGATAACATTACTAAGTACCACTGATAACCAGTATTTGCCAATGTGCTAATGCTCACATCTCTTTAAGGATTGGCCTGGGATAGTTGTCCCTCAAATATACTTCCGCCGCAACTACAATAGTTCACGTCAACTTTTTTCCACTTCAGGTCAGAATTCAGAAGTATTAATTAAAAAAAAAAGTCACACATCGATTCGGACCAAACAAATCTTAGAGGAATGAAACAATCTTTAAGGATTTGGAGAGCTGAGTTTAATTAATTTCAGGCCTTGTTGCTACCAATTGTTTTCCACTCAACCTCGGCGCTTGTAAAAGCTTGATAATTAAAATCGTCGCATCAGATCAGATAGTATAATGTTTGTTTGCATGTACCATGGAGACGGAAGATCATACACTGGACAGTATATGAACCACACCTTGGCTGATCATCTTCATTAGAGCTGGACATGCATGCAGAGTGCAATCTGGAACATCTTTCGAGCTTTTAAACACTGAAAAACCACAGTGAAACCACAGCCGAAGCGCCTTCGGAAAGACCTAGATCGTTCTCTTCATATCGCGGTAAGAGTTTTGCAGTTTTTGTAGAATTTTTTTTTTTTTTGAGGAGCCGTACGAGAAATCCTGCAGAAACTTATATTATCCTTTAAATAAAATTGACATTTGTAGGTTAGGTAAAACACAGGAGCTAAGTGGAGTGAATGAAAAAAAGTGAATTTAATATAGAAAATCTGTATGAAAAATGGATATCATAGGCCTTATGTTTCGAAAATTGTCAAGTTGTATTTATCAAAAATCACAAATCGTGAAGGAAATCCGAAACGGATGTCCGGGCAGGCTTTTTGCTTCAAGAAAGAAGTGCACCGAAAGTTAGATTTGTTTTTGTTGTTTCAATTGCTATTTCTAAAGCAATATAAAAGTTATTCTCTTGAATGAAACATTGAACGGAAAAAAATATCGACGTTTTGTTACCGAATTATTTCTAGTTACACAATTCGAATTATTTGCGGTGCGACAGCTATCGCAGGACGGGTTCATTTTTTGCGCAAAACGAAAATTAACCGTTTTGGCCCAAAAAAAGTCTCCGGTTTCTGGTATGGAGCTTGCCCAAAAAGTGGTGCGGCGACGCGGCTTTTTTTTTACCTTTTTTTTTTGCTTCAAATGTCGGCTGATGACTGCAAATGGTGCCCGACTAAACTCAGTGCAAATATATGGGAGTCCAGAGAGGCCACATAAAGCTTATTCTCGATCATAACCCCATCTGAAAACACGTTAAAATAGTGCAGCAGCAGGATTCCATCAAACCAGTGAGTTTGGCGGTTTTGAGACACGATCATCTTTCATTGAAAAAAAAAACTTTTTCATTTTGCCGACGCGCATGGCTACGGCGACGCGCACGCATACCAAAAACCGGAGACTTTTCTTTTTCTTTTTTTTGCCAATTTCACCCCGAGGATTGCATAAGGGAAAAAGCTTATCGTTAAAACAAAACATACATATTAAACTTTCGTTAGGGGATATTTTGTTTTCAATTATTGTTTTAAGAGCACAGAGCATACACCTCTTTAACCAAATTTGTTGCGTTGCACAGAAACGGACGTGGCTGACCGGCGTGACCCATTTTTGCCTCCGTTTCTATGCCTTGATCACTCACTACCAAAATCTTTATTCGCTCTCAAAAACGAGGCTAGCTGTACTTCATCTGTACTAATCTGTCGACCCTTCACTATGTTGGGTTGCTCAGCTATGTGCATATATTAAGTAAGAATTAGTAACGTGGTCGAAATTTTTATTTTAGCCTTTTTTCTAAATAATCCAACCATGCAAAATTATTCAGAGAGCCTGCGCCCATTCCTCCGCAAGAGATATTAAAAAAAAAAACATTAAGAGCAGCTTTGCCTCGCCATCCAAGTAGTAATATGTCACGCGGAATCATTTAATTACTTCCAAACATGGGCGTCGCGAGGGGGGGGGGGGGCGCTTGCCCCCAAGCCCCCTGGAAAAGCAAAAAAAAAAAAAAGAGAGAGAAAAAAAAAAAGAGGCGCAAAGTCAAGTGGTGTAAATTTAATGAGTTGGGGGGCAAAATGTCCCCCCCCCCCCCCCCCCCGTCTAAAACTGAGAAATCGAGAATATGTTGAGAAATATACAGGAATGTTTTGGGAAAAATATGTTTTGCCCCCCTCTACAAAAAATCCTGGCGACGCCCATGCTTTCAAATCAACCCAAGTTAAAAAAAAATCATACATCGGCGCAAATTCTAACCTTAGGAATTAAAACACATGATTCCGTTTCAATACATGTGTTTTCGTTCATTTTTTTCACCATTTAGTTTGCGCAAAAAATTGGGCTACATCCTTTCGCACAGCGCTAAAGCAAAAACTATATGTTTCTTAACACTAAATAATGTCCTTCCCAATTCGTCCTTAAAACTAATTACATTAAAAGGATCAAAATACAAATAAGGTTCAGATCAGATGAATCACGTCCGTCATGATGATGGGGATTATCCTTTTTATCATCATAGTGATTATCTTTCCTTCAAGTTAAAAAACAACTAATCATAATTATCATAATCCGATTAAATATAAGAGGGGTACCAGCTAAAAACAATCGAGTACAGAATATCATTGCAATGCAAAACATTATATTTCAAGTAACATGTTATACGCACTGCATGGAAAGAAATTTGAGGCCCATCTCCCGCTGTGCCGGAATTTACAGGAACATTCGGAGAGGGTCGACGTCATTTGGTTTTCCAAACGCGGCCTCGTCACATGCGATGTCGCTATAGCTACAGACAGGAAGGGGGGAGTTTCTTAAGTGAAAACCAAATTGAAATCCTCTGAACTTCGGCCATATATTAGGGAATCTAGCTGGAAAGGGATCTACATTGAACCCGAGTCATCCAAGTGGGGTCTAAACATCTCGCGACGCCGAAGCCGAATTAAGGCAGGAGACGACACCGGAGTGATTCGAAAACAGTTCATGACGACCTGAGCATTTTAGACCTGCACTAAAATTATTTCTGAAAAAGGTTAACTCTGTTTCCGAAAAGAGGTTAACCCTTGAACGCCAAGACTGAATTTCAAGACATTATTCAGTGTACAACATAACCGTCACTGGTTTAAAATGAAAAAGTCCAAATGTATATATCCATTCAGATAGTTCAATCTAAAGCTAAGGAATGCTTTGGTTTTTTGTTTTCCTGCAGAAATATCAAGAAGTTCCTCCACACAACAATGGCTTGGTTCCAGCATCTCTCGACAATGGCAGTGTTCCTACCGGTGATGATAAGCTTGCTCGGGCTTGTCCTGGCCCAGACAGACGTCACCACGATGTCAGGAACTGAAGGCACATCTACAGGGACTTTATTCAGTACATTAGCAACCACAGCTGTGCAGACTACGGGTGTGATCACCAGCACCTCGCAAACCACAGCGGCACCATCGACCATAGCCACCACACAGACCACAGGTGCCCCAGAGACTACAGATGCCCCAACTAACACAGGTGCCTCACAGACCACAGAAGCCTCACAATCCACATTAGAAACCACAGCTGTAGAGACCACGGGTGTGATCACCAGCACCTCGCAAACCACAGCAGCACCATGGACCATAGCCACCACACAGACCACAAGTGCCCCACAGACTACAGATGCCCCAACTAACACAGGTGCCTCACAGACCACAGAAGCCTCACAATCCACATTAGAAACCACAGCTGTAGAGACCACGGGTGTGATCACCAGCACCTCGCAAACCACAGCGGCACCATCGACCATAGCCACCACACAGACCACAGGTGCCCCACAGACTACAGATGCCCCAACTAACACTGGTGCCTCACAGACCACAGTTGCCTCACAGACCACAGTTGCCACACAGACCGCAGGTGCCACACAAGCCTCACAGACCACAAGTGCCACACAATCCACACAAGCCTTACAGACCACCAGTGCATCACAGACTACAGGTGCCTCAACTAACACTGGTGCCTCACAGACCACAGGTGCCACACAGACAGCAGGTGCCACACAAGCCTCACAGACCACAAGTGCCACACAATCCACACAAGCCTTACAGACCACCAGTGCATCACAGACTACAGGTGCCTCAACTAACACAGGTGCCTCACAAACCACAGGTGCTTCACAGAATACCTCCTCGCTGACCACAGACAACCCACTGACTACAGAAAACCTACTGAACACCACTGATCCATCACAAACCACGAGTGCACCAGGTGACACAGGTCTCTCGACCGGAGCCCTTATTGGTATCATCATTGGAAGCGTGCTGGGTGGTTGCCTTATCTTAGCAATCACCTTCACTTTGCTTTACTCCTGCTGTTGCAGGAAAAAGCAGCAGGTAGGAGACATTGAAATGGAAACAAGAAATACAGATACATCTTCCAAGACAGAAAAGGAAAACAATGATAAAGTGGATTTGATTGAGGTAAATTGAACCCGATAAGACAGGATAGTTAGTCTTAAAACTCTGAACGGAGACTGAAATGTTGTAAAAAGGTCAAAACTGGATTGGTACCCATAAGAATGGAACTTTATGTACATTGCTGGCACAGATATAATTTGATCCCTTGCAAGTATTTTCCCTAGAGTGGCACTGGATGACGCAATTAAATTAAGCCACAACAGTGGTGCATCTGAATTCCCTCGATAACAATTATACTGTAGGTCGTAGTTAGTCTATTAGGGAAACCTTGATACACTTAATGTATTTTGTAAGACCAGTTATTTAAATTAATAAATGTCGCATGTAGTACATGCAAAAAAAAAATGTTTTATTAAGAACTTTGAAAACTCTTCACTAGGGAACATTTTGTAATCGATTTTTAGCATATTACAAAATAATAAATAGATAAAGGAAAACTGTCAAAACAAGAAGATTTTGTACTTTTGCATTTGATCAATTGTATTTGGCAACAGTTTAACAATTGTGTACATATGAAGATACCTGAAGTAAAGTAGCTGTGGATTAACTTTCCTTATGATTTGCAATTTTGTATAATATATTATTGAAAAAAAAATGCACATAAACATGACTGCTTCGGCATTCTTTAATCAATGAAAAACTGTTTAAATTTGCTTAAATTGTTAGTACATTTTAATTCAGTACATTCTGCACATAGCACATTCTCAATTTGAAGTTTAGTTTGCATTTGTATGTATTTTCGAACTCAGATAAAAGTGAAATTGCAGAAATAAAATAGAAATAATAGAAAGAAAACAATTGAAGTTTCTTTCTGTAGCAAGGATAAGGAGCAACAAAATATACAACTGAAAAACAAAATGTCTTATAGAATCTTTCTTCTAATGTCCTTTGCATCTTTGAGTAGATCTCAGCTGGATTTCGCTTAAAGGAAAAAAATCATTTTGCAAAGGCCAAAAAAAAAATATATTCGGTCTCTGGTCAGACCAAAGTTCCGTAATTGACGCGGGGACGCGGCTTTTTTTTTTCTTTTTTTTTTGCTTTTTTTTTTTTTTGCTACCGCGGAACATTTTGGGAAAAAAAAGATTGACGCGCATGATTAAAATCGACGCGCGCACTGACCAGAGACCGACTTTCTTTTTTTTTTTGGCCTAAGTATTGTTTTCTGCTTAGAAATTGGACAATTATTCTGCAATCAGCATAAATCACTCAGCATTACACCCTGAGCTCCTATCATAAAGTCCACTTACACTTTCGAAATCATACTTCAAGCGCCGGGGGGCACTTAATTTGCCACTTTGTAATTCCATAGTTGACCCAAACAACTCCTACCTCTTCCCGAAAAAGATTTCAGCAAATCGTTGCTAATTTTCAATCCCTTCCCTCACCCCAAGCCTAATCATGTGATTTATAATAATTATCAAAGTATTAACTTTTTACCCTGTGTCCATATTTTCCTGAATATATTGCTGTCTGTTCTTTGTGATCCACTCCGAGACAAACTGCTCGCACTGCTGGAAAGCCATTGCTTCAGTCTCATTTTCAGATCCAGGCAGAACTAAGATGCTATCAATAGTCTCCTAAAAATTGAAACATGTTTGTGTGGTGAATGAAGTTTGACGTTTCAATGTAAAACCACTGACCAAACATAAACCTATGTGTTCCTGAAGAAACAAGTAATGTTTTTAAAGAACCTTGTGCAGGAAGACAAACATCACATTCAACTGCTTATAGCGTGAAGGTTATGATTGAACTATCGAATGTGAGACCCGGCGCGGATCCAGAGGGGGGTTTTGGGGGTCCCAAAAAAAACAACCCCAGCTCTGTTAAAAAAAAAAAAAAAATATCATACACATTCCTAAAAAATAAGTCGACCCCCCCCCCCCCCCCCCCGTGACACCTCCCCCCCCCCCCCCCCCATTTTTTTTTACTGGTATAATGTCTGCCTGTTCCAAATACGGTACACCATTCTGTAATCTAGTGTTAATAATCATCGAATCTGAACAGCGCCCCCTATTGAAATATGGTATTGAAATATAGCCCCCCCCCCCTCCCAGTTTTTGATTTTACGGAGGCCAAGTGTCCGGAGAACAAAACCTGCGTACATTTTCAGATTTTTTTGCTGATGAAACCCCCCTGCGAAAATTCCTGGAGACGGTTCTCTTATTTCAAACTATGGCCTTAAAATTCCCCTTCATCCCGGCCTGCCATATTTAATGCTTTGGTGCACAAAGCGGTCGCTAGCGACTGCCCAGGAAATGTTATAATCTGTGCATCTTACCGTACCTAAATATTCAGTGCACAAAACGATTAATATCTAAGATTTTTGTTTAATTACTTACAATCCCATTTGGTAGCTTTGCCACATAATGCAAACGCTTGTCAAGGTAGTCCTTTGTCCTGCATTGCAAAATAAAAAGAAATAAGAAAATATTTTGAAGGTCTAACTCATCCTGGAAAGAAAATCTTTACTGAACTGAACCTTTTGAGAGATTATGAGAATAGGTATTTGACACTCACTTCTCAAGTGACCGGCTGCCAGTCAGGTGATGCATCAGGTGATCTCGGAGCAGACTTGCATCCGTCTCCAGGGCAACTTGATGCACAGATTTTCCTGAGTAAACAACAGAAAGTACATTTTACTCATAGGAGCAAGTTCGAGTGAAGACTATAGTTAACCATAGTTCGACTAACTTTGCCCGAACGGAGGATAGTTGAACTACTCTAGTTGGCTATTTGGAACTAGAGTCTGCTGCACGGTTGCATCACTAGTAACCAATAGCTGCGCGGGTCTAAGTGACTAAAGGGGTCCGTGCCTTGATATAGTTCGCAGGCATTTAGTCACAAATCAACTGCTAGTCAAATAAAGGTCATCACCTGAACTTGTCTAGGTTAAACGAGGTAACATAGTAGAAAGCGCCCGATATGTCCATTACCTTCTATATTTAGGTCCTCCTGCAGGGACTGGGTCAGTTTTAGTCTCATTTCCAGTAGGTGCATCCGCATTGCCTTGGCCTTGGCGAATCTTGAAACATCCTAGAAACAAGGCAAACAAAAAACCTGAAGATTGTTTGAGGTTATTGATGCAAATATGAATTTCAACATCATGGATCAAAGTCAGCTGAAAGGAATGGATACTAAGTTGTCCAGGGAGTTGGGACATAATCACTATCCAAATCTCTTGTCAAGAGCTACTTTCGAGGTTGTCGACCATCTCGACGATTTGGGAGCTTGCGTGGCTGACAATATACGTAGCTGTTGCTCTGGAAGTTTGTTTTGGATTTGGCCTAAGCCGTGTCCAAACAGGCTTCCAATATAGCTGTAATGGGTGAAAAGTGAAAACCTATATAACAGCTTTACTCAAGAGGTTTGGATGTGGCCCTAACATTGTTTACACAAAGGGTACCAGACTAAATTATTTACCGCATGCGAACCTGTATGAGTATCTGATTGGTCTGGATTCCTTCCTCTTTCTCGTCACATTGGGAACTGCTTGCAGAGTTTCCATCAGGACTTTTTCCTCGGTCCAGCTGAGTGTACTGATTGATGACCTCTCTGTAAAGATCTGAGCTCAAGTGGGTGTTCTGGAGTAGTGCCTTCCAATAAAAAAAGGGATATAGTAAAATTGGATTTTGTCAAATTTATTTGAATGAAATATAGAAAAGTGTTGCAAATCACAACTTGAAAAAGAATATATCGCACAGAAATCTTCTTGACAGTTTAAGAAACATTGAGTTTAGTGGTATTTACCCCTCCAATAAATTAATTGTTGAATTAGTGATTTAACTAGATTAGAACTTGTTCCAATCAGATGCTATATTGCAAGTTCTCCCCTACCTGAAGTAACAGCCTCACTGATTGGCCCAGACTTTCAAAGGTGACTTCCGATTGGCTGACACCTGCCCCAGGCAAGTGACCAATCAGATTCAACACTCGGTTGAGCTGCTGGATACTCTTTGGTTTGTTTGCCAATTTCTTGTGAACCTGTTAAATGAAGAAGATTTTTTAATAATGTTTCGAATGCAAAAGTATAATTTTATGACGAAAACAGTCTGTAACAATTTGAGAAATTGAGACATCAAGATTAGAGAAAAAATTTACCTCTTCAAAATACTTGGCCCACTGAATTGCTCTGCGTAAGGCCTCCGTGTCCCATTCTTCAACCTCCTCCCCAGAAGCACTCTGCAGAGTCTCCAAGAAGGTTTGCGCATTCTTTGCAATCTCGTTCATTTTGAAAGGTCAGGCATCAATCACAGACCTGAGATATTTACATCTCTGCTGTCAACAAGATAACAATGATAATCAAATAGATGTAGGCCTACTTTTATTAGGTAAAATAAAAAATAAAACGTTTAGCGTCCTGCCTTTTAATAAAAATAGAAAGCGGAAGGGCCTTTTTTTTTGCCCCTCCAAAATGGCCGCCTGACGAACCAGGCTTTTTTAGGATGGCTGCAACTTGTATTAAATTTAAACAAAGCCCGAAGAATTTTTGGGCTTGAAATAATTGTAGGCCTAATATAATTGGCCTTAATAAATGTTTCCAGAATCCATGGCCATTTTTAATAGCCTTTTTAGGCCTATTAATTGGAATAGTATTATGTACAATCAAAATTACTGTGACCCCCACCATGGCGGAAGGAATAGACTCCCCTAACCTAGCCCTCCCCCTGTGTTCTTATTCCTCCATGCCCTAACCCGGCCACCCCTCCCAAAACACTTTAGCTCCGCCCCAACTAGACCCGTGAACGTGGCGTTAGCCACGTTCACGGGTCTACGCCCCAACATGCCCAAGGCCAAGTAAATAATCACGATGAAATGGAAATGTAAACACTAAAAAGCAGTCCTATTTTTTATTCGATAGATGTACACAAAAGTCACAATGCCCAAATTTCCATATGAAATCAGCAGGATTTCTAGACGATCTTTCGGAGTTCAAACATACCGCGCGTTGTCCATACAAAAACTGTGCTGCCGGCAAAATTCGGAATTGGTCAATTTTGTAAGCTGGCTGTTTATCGAGCTCATTAATTTTAGACTTCCTACATGTCCCGCAATAATTGTAAGGATTTAACGTTTTGCAAATGAAGGAAAATGCTACCAAAAATCCTAACATTTAAATTAAGTCCTATTATTAAGTTCAGTATTTTATTATTTTCGTTAGTGTCACAAGAAATTCCTCAACATTATTTGTAACTATGTCAGAATAATTTCAGTATGGACTTTAACAAGTTTAGGTACGACCCCCAATCGGGCAGTCTTCGCAAAGTGGTTTGTGCCACATACTTTGTTTATGGTTGTCCCGCCATTCACACGGACGTGAATGGGTTTCCAAAAATACTCACAATTCCGCATCTGAGATGATTTGTTATTATGGCAGCTAAAGTCAGGTAAGCTTTATAGTGTATCATCCTCGATGTAGTTGAAATTCGTTTTACTAAGCATAGATTTAGCGTTTTGAAGGGTTATTCGAGAGATCGGAGTTTATCAGTTGCACTGCATGCAATCCGTGAAAATTTCAGACAACACTTTTAAAACTCGAAATCTTGTCATGCTTGTTGCTGGGGCATTTTTGTCCATTTCTGCTTGACCATTCCTTACCATATTAAATTGTGTAAAATTGTAATCTGTGGTTTGTTTGGCCATGCATGTTTTTTGGTGATGTTTGTCATGTGACCCCCCAAAATTGAATTGAATGTCAAACCAGTCAGCCAAATTTACCACGTTGTTAAAAATTAATTTTCAAAGTCAGTAGTGGCTATCGATGCGACAGCCGTAAGGCAATTCAACTGCTATCGTTACGTCATTGCAAAAACACCATGACATCAAGCCAAATATGTTTTTGTTAAAGTAGATTTCATTTTCCTCTTTGTAATCATTGGCTTTGGAGAATTTTTTTAAAAAGGTAAATAAAGTCCGAGAACCATTTGGTTGAATGTCTGGTTCCAACAGTCAAAGATACTGATGTTGAATACTATTAAGTCAAGGAACCAGACGGGTCCGTAACAATAGCAGTTTGAGAAATCGCGTTACGGCTGCTGTAACAATAGCCATTGTGGTAAATTGTATAGACCGATGACCAACATGTCATTTGTCACTTCATAGAATGGACGGTCTGAAGAAACAGAATGACCAGCTAGAGCAGGACATCACTGCAATGGAGGATGTCCTCTATCGACAGAAAGCCAGACTGCTGGATGACTCTTCCATAAGAAGCCAAATCAGGTAAATATTAATTCATATATTTTCGTAGAATATTCTCACAAATTGGAAGATGAATTCAGCACATGAATTCAGGAATGTTGATATGTCTTATTTTTTGCAGGAATCTGTAGGTTAAGATAAATCTCATCATGTTTTCTCAAGCTGTCTTTTCGTAGCCCGACTGCATCTGGCCGTACAGTACTATCGCAAGCTCTGTAGTATGGCCAGACCGCCAATGCTCCCCTAAACGCTTAACTGTAATGTAGCGATTTTGCTACCGATTTTGATCGAGATTATCTTCTCATCCAGGACAGAAATTTCCAAAGTTAAGGTTCCTAGTCGTAGAGGAACTCATACCTTTTCGAAAAAAACATTCTTTTATCTAAAAATGTTCATCCATCTGGCCAAACGACGACTTTCAGTCATCATCTCCCACGAATATCATCCCGAAAATGTTCCTCCATGCGATTTCAAAATGGCGGCCGCGTTGTAACTTATGCATTATGCGGGCGCACTTGGGCAATATTATGAATATGCATTCAGTTCATGACGTTTGTCAGGCGTGCGGGGCGGCTGGCCAAACAAAACACGAGGTCATGAACTGACAATGCATATATTCATAATCTTGCTCAAGCTCCAGATGTACGGCCAGATGCAGTCGGGCTAGTCTTTTCGATGTTTGCAAAAAAATATATATATTTATATTTTTCGCACAATTGGTTTTACACTTGCAGCAAAGCTACAGGAAACTCCAAGTGGCTCTCTGGGGCCAAAGGTCAAATGTCCGGCTACCGATCCCACAAGGGGCTTCCCCAAAATCAGAACCTCTTTGACAAGAAGGCTAAGGAATCGGCGAAGCTGGTCACAAGAGCTAAAAGCGCAGGGGTCATAGGTCATGGCAGGAGGGGCCGAACGCAGAGCTTTACACCAGTCTCACCAGCAAGCAAAGAAGAGTTGGTAACCGAACCAACAACCACGAAGGATAATAGGGATCTGCACAGTGGAGGGAAATGCGGTAGTGGCAGGGAACCAGGGAAGGGGAACCTTCGGATGAAGTCTGCGCCGGTGCGGCAGGGTGCCAACAGGAGGGCAGAGGGGGAAGCTCAACACCAGAGGGCGCTGTCACTACAAGGAGGCATCAAGGTCAATGCACTGTTGCATTCCCCAAAAACTAGCAAAAAGTCAGGTGAGTGAAGGTATTTGAGAAATTTTAGAACACTTTCATATAATAATAATAATAATAATAATAATTTGGGAGGTTAATCATCCTTACTCGCAGCTGGGATGCTGAATTGCGAAGGATGCGGCTACAACGTGGTCGGGCCGCTGGCACGTAAAGGCGCCTATGGCTGCCGGCCACATCGACCCATCTATGACCACGGAGCACAGCCTGAGATCGAAAGTGTTTGATTTTTCCGGAGGGAGGAAAACCGGAGGGCCCGGAGAAAAACCCTCGTGGCACAGGAGAGAACCTGTCATATGTCTTTGTTTAAATGTTGAGTAGGCATTTAAGGTTGGAACCTATTTGAATCCACCAAAATCCTTCAATAGTAATCTAAAGTTACATTTTGGCTGTGAAGTCCGAGGTTAATAAATTGAGCTGGGCTCTGTCAACCTAAATCTCTGTCAAAGGACTTCAAACTTTGGTGGAGATTTTGTTATGGATTTTTGGTACTTGGAGCTAAAAGTGATCAAACTGTCATTTTTCGATGTGACATTTCATTATAAAGAGGACGTTTATTTCAACTGTTCAAAGAGCAGAAGAAATTTAAAGTAAGCAATCAATATTAGAGCCAGAAAGATTTCTTTCTCATCAACATTCTTGCAGGAAAGCTAACCAAGACTGGAGAGAGGAGAGTCTCTTTTGATGTGAGTGACGAAGATGAAACTCAGCTGACGTCAGTATCCTCCACCAACCCAGTCTCTGACCATACTGAGCCTGTCATCAAGACAACAAGTAGGAACACTAATAGCGGAGACTCTAAACCCGCTGATGTGGGGTCCTTCCCTGACAGGATTGCACACCTCAAAGCTAAAGTCATTGCCAAGGCCAGCGCAAATCTGAAACCCGAACAGCTGTCAAATCTTTCAAAGGAGAGAAAAAGTGATGGTTCTGATGGAGTCGCTTCACGGACAGGCACCAGCAAAGTGGGAAACAAGGGAATAAATAGCCGAGTATTAGGCAATTCGGCAAGAAATTCTAAATCTGTCAGACATGGCATAGTCGACTCAACAGCTAGGAAAAGCAAATCGGCCATTTCTAGAAGGCACGAAGGCAAGTCTGGTCGCCATCAAGATCCGGCAGATATGGCAGGACATCCCAAGAGTGAAGTGGCTAAAGATGATGATCACGCAGACTTCTTATTTGACGCCTCGGTCGAGCTCTGGCTGTGCACCCTAAATCTTGAAGACTCGCTGGAGTGTGTCAAACTTTTCAGGCGCGGCAAAGTCACCATGGACATGGTTCCAGAGCTCACAGAGACCCAAGTTATTGAGATGGGTGTCACCCCTGGGCCTTCCCTCCATAAAATTGTCCAAGGAATCAGGACACTGTCAAAAGCTCGAAAACTCTCACCCAGAGATGGTGAAAGAATTTCTCCAAGAGGACTTAAAGGCAACAGAGGATCAGTCACACAAAGATCTGAAGAATTACCATCAACAACCGAATTGCTGGATCTTGTAGATGGTGACAATTTTGAAGAAGTCTTTACCCTCGAGAATAACTCGCCACCATCTACAAGTCCAAATCCCATCATCTCCTCTTCAAGCTTGTCTGCGAGTGCCAAACTGAATTTGGATGCCAGCAACAAACCAAGCAGTGTAGAAACAGGCACGGAATCATTACTGACGAACAAGAAAGACTCAAACGAAAGTTCATCTCTGGTAGAAGATTTGACAAGGGACTCTCAGTTATCAGATTCAAATAGAGAGAATGAAGATAACAAAATTGGCACACACAGGACCAAAAGTGCGAAAGGCAATACCAAGAAGCGGGGACAGAAACTGTCCGCAGACGTTGTTAACCGGACACTCACATCAGGTTAGGAAACTAGTGCCATAACTTTTTTGTTCTACTTAGGACTTGCAATATACCAGAAAGAATTATTTCATAGACTGTATGACCAGATTATAGTCTTGTATACCAAAATGGGGGGGGGGGGTACTTGTTAATTCTGTCATTTCTTTAGGAGCCATGAATTTTTAGTAACCTCTTCCAAAACTGGACAAGAAGTGACTATTGCCTCATCCAACCTTCCCCGTCCTTTGACCATTTTGGAGAATTTTGCCAGAATGAGGAAGGAAACGCTTAGCCATTCAGGCTGAATTTCCCTTGGAAACTAGTGTCTACAAAATGTGCCATTTAACTGTAGGAGATTTTAGAAAATTCAAAAAATTCCTTGGAAAAAAAAAAGGTCAAGGGTGTGTGGGTTAATAATCTTTTGGTCTCTCTATAGGTGTTCAGTCAGCGATGACAAAACTTAGGCAGAAGCAGGAGCAAGAACTGAATCAGCAGAAACGTCTTGAGCGACTCCGAAGAGCCAAGAAAGCCGAAAGAGACAAGATGGCCATGCAGCACGCCAAGCGGCAACAGGAGAAGCTAGAACACATGGAGGCAGGGAATGGGGAGGAGGGCATGGGCGGGGCTGAGGACGATTCAGGGGGCGTGGATGTGGGGTCATCACCGGAGGCATCGGGTTCTCTGGCACTACGGGATGGAAGCCATGAAATGAATGTAGTGCCGGACACCGATGTCATGAAAATGAGCATTCAAGGTCAGCATGAATATTCATTAGCTTAATGCCAGACAGAAATGTGCATACCTTGGGGGGGGGGCAAATATCTCTGTAAGTTTAAATTAGATTTAATGGGCATTCACATGCATTTTTCTCATGTGGATTTAAATCTCAAGTTTTGAAGTTGAAAAAAAATACTGCTCAGAAAGAGCAGCAGAGAAGAATATTTTGCTAACCTCAAAATTGAGATTTAACATCACATTGGAAAAATGCATGTGAATATTCATTAAACCTAACACAAAATATGTAAAGATCTCTTATCTTTTATTATGCTCAATGTTCAAATAACACATTTTCTATTAAATATCTTTTTCAGGTGGACCCCTTTTGACCAGGAGTATTCCTTCAAATCAAACTGACCAGGATAAATTGGGGATCGCTGATCCTCTCACAGCCACAAAGAGCCCAAGACAAGCTCCTGAAGACAGACTTAAGGATCTGGAATTAAAGGTCAGTGTCACATTCCTATTTGTTAAAATATTTTACACAAAGATATACGTTTTGTATGACTCAAATATTGATGACTAAAACTGTGTCTGCATTAGACGTTTTGTGACAAAGCTCACTGAGGCGGTGGGTATTTTGCCATTTTAGGTCCATTGCAAACAGCCTAGAAAAGTTTTTTTCTCGGTTACATTTCCCGAATCCAGTGGTTACTTTTACCGGCCAACTTTCGGAAAAAGGCCATTGCAGATAGCGCAAGTCGGCAAGGGAAAGATGTACATCTGGCATTGCTAGAAGGTCACATAACACAGGGATTTTCAGACTAGTGTTTCAATCGTTTCTTCTCACACTGCACTCAATATTTTTGTTCAATTCTTTTTTAATGAAAGTCATCGTAGATATTGTGGACACATTAGATGTTGTAGTATACTCCGTAACAGGTATTATTCACTTATCTTTGTGAACAATGATCCGTAGTGTCGTACGTTTCAACAATAGAGGATACAGGGTGGCCAATTGTGCGGTCACATGTTCATATGCCCAGATCGGTTCATTTAGCCACAGTCTTCATAAAATTTTCCCAAGTCAAAAGTACGGACACCTTTAAGATTTTACCCATTTGGTTTTTACCATCTTCCCGATTAAAATCAAACGTGGCTTTTGCTTCTTCTGATAGATCCAAGGAATACAAGACAAGGATTCTCCATCCTCTGTGGCTGGCCAAGTTGAGAAGCTCCAGCAACAGTTGGCGTCCCTCAAGAGAGATATGGCAGCTGCTCAAGCAACAGTGTCGGCATCCTCTGACCCGGTACGAGCCTCGACTAGAGCCCAGAACGCCCCCAAGAGTTCCGGTCCGGCCAGGGGAGTGTATAGCTCGATGTCCAAGAACGAGCTGATGCGGGAAGTTAGAAAGCAGAAAGAGCAACACAAGAAGCAAATCCGGTAAGAATCTCAAGAAATTCAACCTTCAATTAACAAACAAAATCTCAAAAACTCCTTGTGCTGTTTTGATGGTAATGCAAAGATGTTTTAAAGTGCCCCTGCAATTTTCATTTCTTTTATCACAGATAAACACATTGGCACCATATAATTTTCTTGTATATCTCCAACTACGTACAAAAATGTCAGCACCTACTACATCCCTGCTAAAGGACAATGTAGTTCAAAAAAATTCAAATGCTTGAGATCAAGCTTTGTTGTAAGCCTCTTTTTTTGGTTTAATTGTGATTGTAAAGGGCAAAACCTAACATCACCCCGACGCAAAATTCCATCTTATGAATAGTTGAATGCGGTACCCGCTGCTACATGTACATCAGATTCGAACTAGCCAACTGATCCCGTAAGCTCGGTGGTCGAGTGGTAAGAGGTCTGCACTATAAAGCAAGAGGTCGTGGGTTTGAGTCCCACCCGAGTGATTTTTTCCAACTTTCACTCGGGAGGTAACACACTGAGTATATAGTGTATATACGTCGGTGAAGGGCAAAACCTAATATTGATTTACATCACTCGATGCAAAATTCCATCTCATGCACAATTATGATTCGTTGTAGGTTGTTAGAGTCTGAATTGAGTCGTCTGAAGCATCGGGATCCAGTCCAAAACTGTGAGCTGCCGGAGGGTGACATACTCTACCACGAAGAAGGTATGGTCAGAAAGCACACTTCTTGAAAACTTGATGATATTGTACACAATGTTTAAGGTCCCTTGTCAAAAAGGCGAACTAAAGACAGAACAGGCTAAGCAAGGGCCAAATGTGCAGACTTAATGTTATGTCTGGAGAAGGAGTGAATTGTAGTTCAGCTTAGTACTTTTGTGTAACTGGGCAATTTCCGCATTATGAAAGGAAGTGTAATGTCCGTGACAGAGCCAATGGACCGATCCAGTAAGCCCCTCCCACTGCACACGTAGGCAAATTAACACGTGCTCCTCTCCAATGCCACACTGCATTTTCCTGCCGCGCGCATCATACGCGCGTGCACGCATGTCGGACTTTTGTGCACGCATGTTGGACATAAATCACGGCTGTGATTGGTCAGAATACCATGGGGCGGTGCTTACTGGATCGGTCCATTAAGCATGATATCTGATTTATTGTTCAGAGAGGTGATGCAAAACTCCTAGTCTATAATCTCCTTGACCATTACGATATGATGGATGTATAAGATTTGGAAAAATACACCTTCAGGTTTATTCACTGAGCTCTTAAAAGCTCTGTCACAGACATAACATAATGCTGGAAATTCCAGTCTTTCAAAGAAATTGTAAGACAAATTGCACTGCCAATTTTCACTCGTTAAGTAACACTCATCACTTGTTAATCTTTGAAACTATCAAAAATAAATCTCAGTAATTTCAAATTCCTTTCAGATACTATTGGAGAGGGGACATTCTCACAGGTGTTCCATGGATTTTTCAATGGTTCGGAGGTCGCCATTAAGAGATTAAAGAGTCCGCTCAATGCTGCTGACCGCAATTATTTTGCTGAAGAGGTGAGCGATATTGTGTGTGTGTGTTAAGTGCAGTTCTAAATTTCATTTGAATATTGTGTGTATATACTGAAGTACAAGACTGTTTTTCTTGAACACAAAGTGGAACCTCAAGCACTGGTTGGAATATCACTTCTTATTGTACAGGGTTTACCCATTAGTCCGTTCACCATCCCAAACCACCCTGCCTGTTACTCCCTTTAACGTCCCCAAACTGCCCCAGCATAGTATGGTATACAAATATTGAGTGGCTCAGCGTGGAATGAGAGGAATATTATGAGTGAACTGGAAAAGTCCAGATTTTACCGAGCGATAATGTTCCTCCCATTTCACTATTTAAAGCCACTCAATATTTGTTTTATATAACTGACATATAGATCCTTGTCAATTGATATATTTGAACTTTTTTTCAATACAAAACTGGAGGAAAATGTAATTCTCTCTTCCAAACCACCCCTTCACGAAAATGTTTGAACCCAACGCTGTAGCGCTGGCTCTTTGGAACAATACGCGCTACGCGCAACGCTGAACGCGCACACCAGCATGCATTTGCACACAAATACCGCGTCATGATTTTAACTGTTGAATAGTATTTCCCATTCCCCATGGGCGGATAGTACTTTTTGAGCCGCGGCGTGAATGGGAGCAATAACGAATGCCACGTGATGTGAGTTCCACCAATCAAATGACAAGGATCTGTATGTCGGTTATATAATTTCACATATTCATCAGTGAATTAATATGTAAACCAGCTAAAGGATTGTATTTCTAATTGTTTTTGTAGGTGAGCCTTTTGCATGAGTTGAGGCATCCCCGTGTGGTCCTACTCCTTGGGGTGTGTACGACTGGTTCGCTACCCCTGATGGTGTTGGAGTATATGGCTGGGGGTAGTCTGTATGCTAGAATCCGAGACAAGTCGAGGCAAGTAACCATAAAATACAACCTTATTTCTGAAAAGAAATTGCCCTTTCATATGAGACACTGTAATTTTTGAGCAACTATGTTTGATTATGATTGAGTTATAAAGAAACTTGTTTGGATGGTCGTGTGATTTTAGCTATGTGATTTTCTGGTAATTGATCAGTTTGATAATATGTCAGTTTTTAACTGAAAAGAAATAGAAACGAAGAGCATTTTGCATCCATTCACTATCCATATTGTGTTATATTACACCACTTTATTTAAAGCAATCCTTTTTTCCCCAAAAATTTACCAGACTAATGTAATGTGAGAGCGAACTGGTAATTCACTCTGTACTGTTTCAACCTCAATATGACAGTTTTCTGGGTGTAATGCATGGGTTTTTTTTGTGTGAGGCTAGCCATCAATATGCATTTAGCAGTCCTTCATTTAAAGAAAATCCAGGAGAGCTATAAATCGCTCTCCTCAAATATTCGAGGAGAGCAAATCGCTCTCCTTAAAATCTACGGATAAACAGCGGTAAAACGACGGGTTACCATTGTTTTTGTTTTATTTTGAATATAAGGATTTATTCAAGGGGCTGCATTATTATTAGTTTTTGCATAATAACATATGCTCAAGTTGCGTTACTTTTTTCGTTTTTGTAACTGTAAGACAAAGTAAAATTTATTTAAAAAAACTAACTAAATGGAGATTAATAAAAGGTTTGACTACTGCTCAGGCTTTCATTTTTTAATACAGGTGTCAGTTGGTTCATCACTTGATTATACTTGGAAAATGGAGAGTTAATAAACGGCACATAAAGCAACTGAAAAATTGCTTTCAGATTCGTTAAAATTATATTAAATTTTCAGCCTGAACTATTTCAATTGCTCTACGAAAGCTTCACAAAAAAGGGCCTCAAAATGACACAAACTTGCCTTAAGTTTTATCGAAAATATCTGCCGTCGATAATCTTAAAAATAACGGAAAATGCAGGTCAAGTATGCCATATACACAATGCTAGTCACGACGAGAAACTGGCTAACAACATCTGAACTTCGCACTAGTAGTACGAGCGTTTGTGATGCACTGTGTGTGGTGGGCCGGCAATGAGACTCGTTTCACGGTATAGGATTTCGGTGAAACACGCTGCATCGTTTCACTTCACATACCAGTAAAACTTCCTCAAAATAAATTCATGAACACGGGAAATACATACACAGACAAGAGAGATCAAGTTTTGTGAATAAGCTTGCAAAGATCGTCCTTCTCAATCGTTGTTTTCTTGGCATTTTTACGACGTCTATTCCGTCCAGCCTGCACGCAAAACACTGTACGGCAGGCAGTGCATTGCACCGCGCAGGACTATTACATTGACTGGTTACCGCATTTTCATCATGCCTTCATTGGGACTTAGTGCGCGGCGCAGCGGGAACCAGTCATTGCTGCACTTGCACGTACGGGCCCACGTGTTTTCATGCAGCTCTACGCGATATGCAGATTGTGCACGCACAGTATACAACCGCTGTACACACACGATCTTATACAGTACGTACGAGCTCGGTGTTCGTTCATTTTAAGCGATGTCCAGCGGCATATTAACGTGAGTTTGGGCATTATACCAACGAAAAATACGTGTAGCTTAAGACTTAAAATCCTTTGCGTTTTTATCACTTATTATTTTTAAACTTCCCGTGTTTGACGAGCCCTCTTTTGGATTTCTGAGGAGCGCTATTTTTAGCGCTCCTTCGAGACAGTCGAGGAGCGCAGTAGGAGCGCCTGCGCGATCGCGCTCCTTAAAAATGAAGGACTGATTTAGTATGCTCCTCACCACCACCTTCCCTAATGCTGCTCCCACACAGGGGTTCCTTAGACCACGTCGCGTACTACCAGATTGCCCGGGACATCGCACTGGGGATGAATTACCTTCACCGGCATCGACCCCAGGTCTTGCATCTTGACTTGAAGTCAATGAACGTGCTACTGGGATTGCACGGCAGGGCCAAGATTGGAGACTTCGGTTTCGCCAAACTCAGGTAAATTTTCAAACAAAAACATTCTAGATTTGCCGTCAAAAAGTTATATTTATTTGCTAATTGTTCACTTGGACAGTTTAGCCATTGATGTGTTAGCATACTGATTAACAGTTTATAAGGAACTATATCTGATGATAGTATGTAGTGAATTGTTCAGTGTGTTCAAATCCCACTCGAAGCAGGATATGAAGTTTTTCTCAAACAGGCTTTACACATCACTGGAGTACCTATGAAATTGCATCAGTTAATGGCAGAACCTGATATTTTACCATTAAACATTCCTGTGGTGAATGACCTTGTTGCAGACATGAAGCAGAGAGTTTAGAGAAAAGCAAAGTTCAAGGCACCCCGGCATGGATGGCACCGGAGCTGATGGCCAACACTGCAAACAGCCTGACCGACAAGGTACAAGGAAGAGAGATTATCTTAATGATGGGATGTTGGCGTCATTGCAAATGCAATGCAATTCGACAGTTGGACAGTTTTGTAACTCTCTAATTATCTGTTGATTATTCCCATTATTACTTGCCGAAGTCTTGCCAAAATCGTTTGTTTGCATCCCTCTATGGATCTTTCATTGTCAAGAAATAGTCTTCGCTCGTACCCCCCGCCCTGCAAACAGGGCGCTGGGATACTCTGATGAGCTTCACAGAATCTTGTGAAGGAAGTGGCATATGACATATGTATAAAGCATCTGGCTGCAGCTGTTCAAGACCGCAGTTAGACAATGTGCGCAAATGCTATCCGAAAACTTCCCAAAGAAATGCACATGTTCCATACCGGATGTGATTTCTGTTTCATTGCGGACCATGTGGACAAAATTTTGAGCGTCCCATAATGGAATTGGTTCGTGATTCGAAACGTAGCCTGAGCAAGTGACGGGAATTGTAAATTTACAATGCAGATAAGTTTTACAGAATTTCCTACATTATTACGCTTTTCAAACATCTCTAAACTGGAATAAAAGAGTAATGAATCAGTCTAAATGGCTGTTTCAAGGCTTGCAGAGTCATGACCGTGATGACGCGCAGGTCACAGGTCACGCAAAATCCAACCAATCAGAGTGTGAATTCATCAGAGCATCCCAGCATCCTGTTTGCAGGGCGGGGGGTACGAGCGAAGAAATAGTCCATTTGCATTAAAAAAACAACAACGTGATTTTGAAATCCGTGCCATTTTTTCCAGGTTGATGTGTACAGTTTTGGCATCATCATGTGGGAGATGTTCACCGGCCTGATTCCTTACCGAGGACTCTCAGTTTTTCAGGTATGTGTGGTCACACACTGATCCCCATTCGTAGATCCACTATGACCCCTTCCACTCTTCCTGTCTCCTACTATAGGTATCGGACCTAGCATTTCAGTCTAATAGACCATTGTCATGTTGCGGCCATCTTGATTTTTTCCAAAGCGAGGCTGGAAGGAAAAATAGTCAGGTTCCCTTTTGCACAAAAAACGTTATCATTCAGTACTGTTACTGGAAACAGTGTACATGACTGAAATGGTGGCAGCATGGTAAAGGTCTATAGAAGCCCCGATAATATCCCATCAGAAGAAATAGAAAAGTCTGTTGGGACACTTCATAAGGAATCGTGACCAAAACTGGGACCTAACTAGGCTATCTTTTCATTTCGAGGCAAGGGGATTCGGGTACAAATAAATGCACATCGATGCGATCTTGAGAGGGAAAGTAGACTTTTTCTATAAATTGAACCTGACTATGAAATGAAGCTAATGTCTTGGGATGTAGGTCTTGGAGGCGGTACAGAAGAAGCAGCGACCAGACATCCCAGAGTCCTGTCCTCAGCCCCTGAGATGCCTCATCATAGCCTGCTGGGAACACAAACCCAACAAACGCCCATCATTTAAGGCAAGTACCATCTCAAGAAAATGATGGTGATTAAAGATTGAAGCTTGAGAACAGATATTTTAATGAATGGCTTCTTTTGGTCCTGGGCAAGGAAGACCTTAATTATCTCAGTTGATTAAAGTTTCAGTTTTTGTTTTTTTAGTCATTTTTATTCCAACAGATTTGAAAAAGGAAAATTCACAAACTTTTCTCAGAATTTCTCAGACGGCTTTTTCACATTTCTCAGACGGCTTTTTCACATTTTCATATCCCCGACAAGATGTCCATCAAAATCATTGCAAATTCGCAGTGATATCATTGTTGAAAGTTTTGATGAATCAGAACTGTTGGTAACTGGTGATCCATTTTTGCAAAGTTACAATTCGTTATTTAATTTACTCATTCCTTCATGTAGGATATTCTGATTGCGCTTGAGGCGCTCGCATTCCCGCCCGAGTGGCGGTCCCTCCTTTCAGCTGCCAACATCCCTCGGGAGGCAATGGAAGATCCCACCTCGGCCCGCTCCATCATTGCCCTGGTTGACGGATCCATGCAGATGACGCAGCGAGAGCTTCACCAGGTGGCTCTCGCCTCCCACGAGAGGGCGATGGACATGTCACCTGACACGAACCCAATCGGAGAGGGTGGTAAGGGACTCTGTTCAGCGACCAAAGAACAACTTCCAGAGAACAGGACAGCTTCTGGTTCAAGTTCGGACTCTATCAGTGAGGATATTGAATACGATAGTCTGGACGAAGGATCCGATCCTAAATCAGAACCCAAAACACTCCGGGATTACTTCATTACTGACTCAAGACCAAGACTCAATCAAGATGGTAGTCAGATACATGCATCACCCAGACTTTACAGAGGAGATGGCATCCCTGAAAAATCGCCGCGGCTTCCTGCAAACGATGCTGCGACAAATTTAAACTTGGACAAGCAGGTGATACCACCCCCGCCTCCCATTCAGATGATGCTCGCAAACCCCGCTACCTGGAGAAACAGAAGTGGAAAGCCAGATGTGAACCACAGCAAAGCCCCGATCAAGACAAGGCACCAGACTAAACCTGAGCCACCAGCAACACGTGTGAGTCTGGATCCAAGTCTTCTGGTGGGGCAACGCAGGAACCTCAAGACCACAGATGCAGGGCCGCATCCCAGCCAGCTCCCAAGTCTGTCTGAGCTCGGAGAGCAGCGGATGACCAGCATTGCTGAAATCCTGAAAAAAGTAGGCGGCCGATTCCATTTCATATATTTTCTTCAGTACATGCAGTTTGTTGTTTCAATAGAACTAGGAGGCCACTGTAGTGGCATTGACAAAATAAAAATTTTGTGTCTGGGATTTGAAATCTATAGATCAAATCTATTCCTTTGGTTAATAAGGTTTCTTCATGTTACTGACAAAGTCAGTCTTCTTAAAGTGGTCAATCATCAGTTTTCAACTGAGTCCGTCCAATCAAAAACTTTTCCATTGCAAGTTTAAAGAAAAATTCAAATCTTTTCTACTTTTCTGAATTTCAGTCATGCAAATATTATTATGTAAACAGATTTTCTTTATTTACCCACCATAAATTTCGATTCGAGAAGAAAGTGAGTGTATATTTCTTATTTTTTTCTTCTTTTGAATGAAACAGGCAGTTGCAGCAAGGAGAAGTGCCCTGAGGGAGGATGTTCACAGCCTGGAATACCCAAACAGTGAATCCATTTGGTCAGTAACCAGTGAAGGTAATTGATATTAAGGGTGTTCAGTCAATCGAGGCCGCTCCATCTGCACTTGTTAACATTCCGTTGTGTTTTTTTAAACACCAGACAACCCAAACAGATACCATCAGAATATTCTGTGGATCATGTGTGAAGATAAATAAATTAATTGATGAAGCACCTACCAGGGACAGAATATATTTTGACTATCAACTCAAGTTGAATTTATTTTACTAAGGTTGTCCTGAAGATCGTGTTTCCAATGTTTATTGAAATTTTCCATGGACACTTAATACATTAGATATTTAAAAAACAGTTCCTCACTGTTTTGCAAATTGGATGTTGTGTCAAATTGGATGTTGTGTCACCCAAGGGCGTAAATCCGGAGGGGATGGGAAGGATATAACCAACCTCCACACTTTTTTTTATTGTGGACGGGGGGGGGGGGGCCAAGCTTTTATGGTGAGAAAAAAACGCAGATTTTAAGGTTATTTTCTAACTTTTCAACAGCCCAAGTTTATTCAATAGCACTGAAAAGCAGAGAACAATCAGCACAAAAGCTTTAAAGCTTGCATTAAGATGTACATCTGTATCGTAAACAGCGCCCCCTAGTGACATGTTTAGCCCCCCCACTCTTCCCCCCCCCCTCTTGTCTGACACATATTTACACCACTGGTGACAGATGATGATACCAACTTTTCAGCAAACTCTTCTACTCTGCACTGTACGTAGATCACTTCAAATATGAATGGTTCGGCAGTATTTGCAAAAATAGCATTAGACAGATGTTCAAGTGTTTGTTTTTCCTGTCAACAACCCACAGGCATAAATTCACGGGTGATGAAGTCTCTACCAGGACATAAAATGTTTATTTCTTCTCGGATACATTTTCATTCATTTCAGTTCCATATTTGTTAATTTCTCTGCTTGAGTACCAGCAGCTTGGATGCATTCCTAAGAGGATGCTTGAACTGTCATCGTTGCTATCGCCATTGTTCTATATTGATTAAATATTCATAAATACCTAAGACAGTTTACCCATTCCTATTGGTCGAGAGCCCGTAACGTGGCCGGTCTTAAACGGATGAAAAAGACATGGCTGGCTGGTCTTAAAAACTTTTCCAGTGTCACATGAAATTTGGACTCCCATGAAATCCGGTGCCTTTCAATGTTTCATTGCTTGAACTTCACATTCCTCACGAAAGCATGCGCAATACCAGTGAATCAGTAGTTCAAATTCCGAAATTCACACTACACCCGCCCAGCTGCGTTTTGCGCGACATCACGCAGTACGCGCGACGCGCATGCCAATGTCCTTATAAGGTAAGGAATTGTAGAGGGACATTCCATATTATAGTCAGAGGGGTGTTAGATACAACATGAAGTAAAATTGTTGAACAAAATGGTTAGCAATGTCTAGTTTTTTACTTGTTTTGATTTTTGGACGGAAACGATTATTTTTTTAAACTGAAAAAGTATTTATGAATGGGAATAAATATGTGTTAGGTCGGTATTAAACACTCCGTTTAAGACTGGTTGGAGTCTGGATGGGTGATAATTACCCATCCAGACTCCAACCGGTCTTAAACAGAGTGTTATAATACCTCCCGAACACACATTTATTCCCCTAATAATATATGCCATGTCTATTTGCGGTAATGAGTGATTTTTTAGAGTCATAGTTTTATAGAACTTTCAGAATTTTCCTTGGAGTGCATATGTTGTCTTTTAATGCAGTAGCGTTTACCTTCTTTTAATTTTGGGAAAAGTAAACTTTTTTTAGCCTGTATATATTAGAAGAGAAAATATATATATTTCAATGAAACTGAAAAAGAACAAAGTGCAATAAAATGTGTTGATAGATTAAACGGGTTGATCTACCTGGCAACGAGTTTGCGTAATTTGTATAACATTTTCCTTAAATCTGTAACACTTACCACTTTCCCGAAAGGCAAACCTAACCAAGTTTGTTCTGGCAGCTGTACAATGTACATGTACACTGATCAGACGGGAAGATGCGTGTTTTCTTGTTTGACAGTCCAAAGTTTTTTCTTTTGTCATGAACGATCGGGAAGAAAATACTTACGAAGTAATAACATGTGTTAAACTAAGTTTAAGGTTTTGCTCAATTCGCCGGACAAAATGTTGTGCCCCATACCGACGTGATACGAAAATGTACATCTCCGGGACCCCCAAAAATACATGTACATCATAAAATGATAATTTTATTGTTATTTAGGCGTGTATATATGTTGACTAAAATTATAGGTAAAGGCTAAGGACAATTTTATTTTGTCATCAAAATGAAACACAACGCACACGAATAACAGATCAACGTTGGTTTGTATAGCCCACCAACATAATGTTATTCAAATATTCAACATCGTTTTAACGACTATGTTATTGCAAGGCATTACATTTTATTACTATACTAGCTTTTTGAAAATTAAATACATATGCAATTTGAAAATTAAATACAAAACGGAACCAACTAAATTTCCCACTAGAAGCAATGATAGTTATCATCATGATACATGGATTCAGCATGAGAAAATGTTCTTATAGTGTTGCCTTCCTAAAACAGTCTACATCACAAAATTTATTGCGCATGCCCAAATCAAGAAAGGCCGACAATGTATTTTTTTTTAACGCGCGTCCCCTGTGTAATTTACTTTGTAAGACGTTAAATATCACAATGTGAACATTATAAGAAAGTGGTAAAATATTTTTCGGAGTCATATAATAGCACCTGCGTCTGTCTCCGATCGGACAGATAGAATAAATATTTTGAGAAAAATATAAATGTTAAAAAGTTCTAGCCCAAATATCAAAATGTGAACGTATAATAGGAAAGTGGTGGAATATTTTTCGGAGTCATATATCACGCAGCACCTGCGTCTGTCTGCGATATGACAGATAAAATAAATATTTTGAAATAATATTTAAAGGTATAGTCCATCATTTGTAATTTGTGCATTTCGTTCGTTTGAAGCAACAATAGTGCTCAAATTCTAAAGAAGGGTACTGAACAACTAACCTGATGAAGTTTCAGCTCAGTTTCAGCTGTATATTTCGAGAGAAACAACATTCTAGGATCTCGATTTCAAATCAAAAGTTGCTGAATCATGTTTTGAATGGGGCCTGAATTCAGCGCCCGAGACACGTTCTCACTGAGCCGATTGCAGCTACGCGATGTTGTGCACCGATCCGACGAATTAAAGCAACCGCGCGCGTGTGTGCATCGTGCCAACGCTTGCGTGCATTCGCCTATTGAAAAAAAACCAACTACATGTACTAACGGAAATTTCCAACGGTGCTTCTTAAGACGCACCGTTGGAAAGGCCTTCTTTCGCTGATTTCTTCAAAATGACAGCTTGCCAGAAAGAATAATTTCACAGGGAGTATAGTCCCCTTACTATCTTTCAACCAAGTATGTTTTTCAACAATAAATACGCCAGTTACTTTTTGGATAGCTGCAAATGATGGACTCTGGCTTTAAGTTAAAATGTGCTAGCCCATAACATAACGGACGTAACCTATAATAAATATTTTAAGTGAACATTATAAGACGGTGGTGGGATTTGTTGATGTCATATATAACAATAACACCGGCGTTCCTCTTCCACATATCAAATAGATTAAATATTTTGCATATATGAATATGTTAACAATATTTTAACCCGATGATGGACGTCATGATCTCAAATAAACGTAAATCGCAAAATTTATAGTTATAGTTTCAGAACCCATTTAATAACAACGGCATACACAAAACACTCAACACCAAAATCAGAAATCCAAGGGAAGGGGTGATTAATTTACGGGCCGAAATAGACCGATTTGGCCAGTGCATCATCCTCGTCCGTATATTGGAACTTGGAGTACTTTCGTTCCGTTTGGTACCATTCCGATGTCTCCACGTACTTCAGGTACTCCGGTGCGCCCGGCCTGATGACATTATCGGCCAAGATCACCGTGCCTTTGTGCAGGAGGCGTGTTTCCTCCAGAAGTTGGAGGTCACGCTTGTAGACGTCTTTCCAGTGGTCCAGGAACACGAAATCCAAAGTCTTCACGGAGTAGTCTTCGTGCAGGCGTTTGATGACTCTCGCGGAATCACCGACGATGAGGGTGACCTGTCAATAAATTTAAATCAATATAACAACTTAAAAACAACGAAACCTTATTTTTTGTCACGAAGAAGTGAAACCAGTGATTTTCTGATCAGTTTCAGTTGTCTTCATAATCGCCTTCACTCAAGTTTTGTTTTGTAACATGCCCATGGCCTTTCCTGTTCAACAGCTGGGTCAACTCTTCATGCTAAAGCGACTGGCCTTAAATCCCGTTTCACAAAAACTTGGGAAGGAAACTCAGTTTCGCAAAGCGTTGTCGGCAGATCAATATTCAATATAGCCCGCGTGCACGCCGTGGGCATGGGTCATTTGCACATATAACCTTTGACCCGGGTCACCGAGTGAACAAGATTCGTCCAATGAGAGCTAAAAAAGGTTGGCCCCTGGTCACGTCATCGGATAAACAAAGTAACTTCGTCCAGTGAGAGAATGAAAAGGTTGATGCAGGTCATCAGGTAAACAAAAACTGTCCAATGAAAGCACAAAGAATTAGAGGTTACCAGGCGAGCGCTCCTGTGAAATTCTTTCTCACCTTATCGTCCACCCCGGCAAACTGAATGAACTGCCGGGCGACATCGGCGTTCTTCTCATTAAATTCAACCGTCAACAACCGACTCCCTTCGGGCATGACGCTGGCGATCAGCACGGCCGAGTAGCCGAAATACGTGCCCAGCTCCAGGATGACTTTGGGCGCCAGCTCGTTGACAACTTCGCGGACTATTTCACCTGACGGGAAAATAGTGCACGGGAAAATAGTGGAAGGGAACTTTAATAAGGATATAGTGAATTGTTTTTGTTTTGCTGAAAGAACACTTACCTTGTTTGTGATCCGTGGACAGAACTTTAAAACGGTCTTTGTGTTCCAAATTCCGTACCTTAAAAAAACTACATCTGATTTGAATGATTCTTGTACTATAAAAAGAAAGCTTATTAATTGGGTTTTCATATCCTAGATTTTGAAAGTGCTACATGCAGAACGTCATTAAACATTTGGTCCTGCCATTTGGGTTTCCTTTTTTCTTTTTTCTTTTTTTGACTCGCCCTGTATTTGTTAAAATCCTGAAAGGGTCATGGTCTCGATTCACATTCACATAATTACAAATGTAGTTAAAATTTATGAACTCAGTTTGATGATCTCTTCTCACACCATAGCTTGTGTTTTCTAGGTTGTGTCTTGTGTACGTGTGTCCACGATTGTCTTTTTTCATGTGTTGTCACTGTTTTTCAAAAGCAACCGGCTTCAGGCTTTTACCTAAATGTTGTCGTAAATTAAGATCTATGTATGCAAAGGGTTCGAAATTAGCGGTAGCCCGCCTGCCAAATGCTAGTCAAAACGGCGGCGGGCTAGTCAAACTATTCCTTAAGTAGCCCGGCTGGCGAGTCAAAATATTATTGGGATACGGCAAAGATGAAAGGACAGGAAGAAATAAATCATTAAATTTAGAAAGAAAACCTCATTGTGTCTCGGTTTTTTCCAACTGTTTTAAAAGGTTATATTATTAGATCTGTTTATATTTAAAAACACTGACAAAATTGCCTCAGAATTGAGCCTGAAAATGCGCCATTTTGTATTTGAGCTAAAAAAAAAAAATGCGGGCTAGTGAAAATGCCCGCGGGCTAGTTAAGAGGCTGTTTCAGTAGCCCGGCTGGCCAGTGAACAAAAAAGTTAAGGTCGAACCCTGAAAAATGGCTTAATTAGAATAAATGTCCGAACTAGTTAATAATTTCGCGTCATACCCTCACCCCCACTCTGACATACCTTTCATGTCTCCGACGTGCATCATCCGTTCATACTTGTAGCCGTACTCGTCTGCAGTGCGTATCACGCTGGCCGCGTCTCCCTCCACCGCGTGCTGTAGGACGTAGGCGAGCATCTTGCCGGCCCGCTCGGTCATCGCTTCCGCTTCCTCCACCATGACTACCGTACTCTTGAAAATTGTCCTGTTCCGTACCGTCGTTGTGCTTTTGAAACTTGATAACTTGGAAATCCTTTGTGTGTGAGGACTTTTGAGCAGTGGGCTGCCTTCGGTAACAATAACCCCAAGGACCAGAGAACAACTCGGAGCTCAGAAGGTTTTCGTGTGCAAACCCTAAGGGACATGTCGAGAAATAGTTAAGAAGAAGTTAAGTCCAAACAACATGAACAGAAGATGGGATCAATAACAAATAAGGGTCCTCAGAAGTCAAACTAAGATATGTGTGGGTGCTAGTGTCACGCTGACAGTACCATAAAATTAAAACCATCTAAGGAATGAAAACCTATAGATGTCCATAGGCCTATACGACGATAATTATGCGTTTGTTGGATAGCACCCGAAAAACGTTTGCTTGCTGCATGCTTTTAGCAGTTTTGAGCGTAACGTGAAGTGACTTCACGGAAATATATCTTCCAACGAGGAGTAACAGGTTTCAAATAAGTTTTAATTTAATTTTAGTTGATGGGAGCGTCTGGTTCCTAATTCCAACAGTATTGCATACGGAATTGCAGGGACAATATCGAGTAGACAGTATTGTATACATTGTAGTACAATTCAAGTGTTCATTAATACATCACTCTTTCGTGCGGGGCAAGTGCGGTATTTTTGGGAAAATCAACATATTGTAGAGGGCAGCTGTAGTGTTATTTTGAAAATGGCACCAAGTCCTACAATATGACCCAGGTAACCCCCCGCTCCCATATGGTAGAAATTTCGCTCTTCGAAAGTGATTTTGTTCTTACAATAAAAGCGAGAGGTATATAGTTTATATAGTATTAATTATATTACTCACGCAGTTCTGAGTGCAGATGGTGGCAAGTTCGTCAGCAGCAACCGCGCCCCGTCTGCTCTGAGCTATGGCTATAGCTAGTGTGACGTCTAGTAGTGACAGTGGCAATATAGTTTGTTTTCGAATCACGTAGGCCTCTAATTGTATGGTCCAACGACCTTCGGTTATTCATTGTCCAGTCAGGCTGAGTTTCGCCACAAATCGAGGTCGGGCATGTACCGATACATTGTGACCCCGTGTACGTACAAAGGCCAGTTCCGGTCAGTAGTTTATCCTCGACCCTCCATTATCTGCGCTGACTGCGCAGGTAACGCTTGCATACGCGCGCGCGTTCTCAGACACAAATAATTGAAGGTGAGTGCGTATAGAAAAAGGACCGCGTAGCTTTAGGGGGTCGGACGATACACTGCGAACGATCGGGGCGGGGACTCAGCTGAAAAGACGTCTACAGTTATACACATATTAACCAAAACGCCTCGCTCTTTGATTCTTTTTTTTTTGAACGTGTCATTAGTGCCATATAAAAATTTGTTTTTCATTTTGATAAATGAACGGCGCACTTTTCGCTGCCTCTACGAATACGTGTACTCTGATCGGACAAGGCATGCAGTGCTTCTTTGACGAGCGGTGAGAATATTTTTTATGGTTGAGCCATAACATTTCTGTGATCTTTGGACGCGTCTTCAGGCATTCTTGAGCCCCAATTTCTCAGCTATAAGATTGTAGTGTCTCTCCTCAAGTCCTGGAGGAAGCCGACGAAGACTAGTCCAAGACCGAACTAGAAATCCTCCCGCAAAGTTGGGATAATGTATTCCAATTAATATCCGTGATATAGCATGCATCCGTTGGCCGACGCTGGAAAACGTTGTCCGACGTGTCCGAACTGTTCGCATGCATGGATATTAGCGTTAAGTTTTTTTCCCGTCAGGCAAACGCTTAACCAACGCGTTGGGCAAGCACAATATATAGACCCGTATAGGAAGCCTTGCGTGGACATTTTAGTAAAAGTGGATTGTTTTTTATAAAAAGGCTTACGATCAATATGTCGTTATTGCTGGAAACGTGGTAACAAGGCATGGATTTAAAGTTACCAAGAGCCAGTTAAAGCATTTGGAAATCATTTATTTTGTTTTGCCAGTTATTAAAATATAAAAAATAGACGATTAAAAATTGGACCCATGTCAAATTCGGGTCGAGTCGTTCTACTGGACGTAGATACAGTAAATATAGGCTTTCCTTATGGTACCTTTTGACATAACATAATATGCAAGATGGTGATTTGTGCAGCAGTGAGGGATTGGGAGGGGTAAGGGGTAGGTGATCTAAATCATGAAGAAAAAAACGTACGTAGCATATGCCTGCCCCCCCCCCCCCCCCCCCCCCCCCCCCCCATGCAGCTAAAGCTAGATCGCCCCTGCTGCAGCGTTCATAAATACGAGAAAAAAGAAACCGGTGATGTATTGTGAAAGTCAGGGCGGTAAGGTGAATACGCATTCAAATCCTGGACCTTGAACAATAGAGGACAGTAGGGTTCACGATTGACAAAAAGGTCCACGATTGAGATTCGTGTACAAAACCAATGCGAGCTGCTGCTTACAAAACAAACAAAAGAAGGACAATAGGGGGTCCACGATTGCAGGTGTACACGCACTTGCGTTTGTTTATGGTGTAAATCGAGGACACACACGTGCAACATCATCGATGAATGGAGGACAGAAACCAAATCGAGGACTCCTTGGTTGGAAAACGTGTACAAAACCAATGAGGAGCTGTTGCGAAAAAGTTCAAGTACAAACAAAGGAAAAGGGAAGAGGAACAAAAGAAAATCCTCTATTTACACCATAAACAAACGTCGGTACAAGCATTACATTCACTGTGTGGACTTTCGAACAAAAGATGTCCACATAGACCAGATAGCAGCGACGTTGTGTGGACTGGCCCACGTCCACACAATGTTTCTCCTCTCTGGTAAACAGGTTTAGAGGCATTTTGGGGTTAGTTTTTATCCGTGGCCAAATGAAGAGAAACACTAGAGGGAATCATAAAAAAACCAAATTGGGTTGAAAGAAATTTCACAGTTTGAGAAAAAATGACTTTTTTTCTCTGGTTTTCTGAACTACTCGAAACAAAGGAATGTCCACACTAGGTATGTAAAACTGGGTGTGTGTGTGGGGGGGGGGATATAATTTTAATTCAATAAGGGGATGCTCCAACCCCCAGCCTTAATATTGACAATGTTCAAAACTGGGACTTTCGGGTCCAGCTTAAGGCTCCGTTCAGGCTGAGTAGATTGATTTGCCAAGGGCGTCTTCCATATTAGAATACTCAAGCTTAGCTTGTATCAACTCTGTCTGATATCTCCCCGAGTTTTGGACGTACTCCAGGTAATCTGGGATCCCCGGAACTTTGAGGTTGTCCGCCATAACGACGGTTCCCTTCCTCAACAAGCCCTGCGACTCGAGGAGTTTCAAGTCCCTCAGGTACTCGGTCTTCAGGTGGTCGATGAAGACGAAATCCAAGGTGTCCACCGAGAAATCATCACGCAGGTCTGGGATGGCGTCTTCGATGGCGATTTCTTGTTAACGATAGTAATCTGCAGAATGCATGGAAGACGCAAAGTAGGTTTTGTAGATTTGACAAAATAAAAAAAATATTGCACCCTCCCAATATTGCAACTAGCTTGTTGGAAGAGATCACTGAGAAAGCAATACTTTACCTTCTGGGAGACTTGTGGTCCTGCCAGATCGATAAACTCCTCGGCTACCTCCTTGAGTGTCTCATCAGCCTCGAGGGTGATGAACCGGCTTCCTTCGGGTAGAACACTCGCCATGAGCACCGCCGAGTAGCCGCAGTATGTGCCCAGCTCCAGACACGTCATAGGGGCCAACTCCTGGACCACCTTGCGCACTATAGCACCTGATGATGAAGTGAAGGGGGAAAAGAGAGAGTGAACATTCACAAGATGAGCTTAAAATTATTATGACCCTATGAGTTAGGCCTATTTATCGTTAGTTCCTGTGCCTCTGATGTTGGTAACGAAAAATTAGGGATTGTAATTTTATATTCAATATAGGGTTTTGTACTCGGCAACGTATTTTGTAAAAACTATATACTATCAGTGTTGTTCCGAGTGATTGTGAGAAAAAAATGACAAACTACAAGGGTGGGATTCGAACCCACGACCTCCTGCTTACTTGTGCAGGCGTGACTCCCGAGGTTGCCGGTGGGTACCGCAACTAAAATTACATCTCATGAATAATAATTGTTTTTGTATGTAATGTACTCAGTGCAGTGTTGCCTAAGGGCTCCGCAAGCTAGTCGAACCCACAACATCCTGTTTACTTGTGCAGTCGTCTTACCACTCGACAACCGAGTAACATATACAGGATACCTATCATCTCCAATATACGTGAATGGGACTGGCGATTCTGATCTTCAAGCAGTGTAACTCACATCAGGAATTGGCTTGCACTGATGTATGAAAACTTACAAATCGGAGAATGGGATCTACACTAGATGAGAAAAAAAAATGACCTTTCTCGTCTCCAACGTGCATCATTCGACGATCCTTCTCGACACAGTACTTGTCGGCTGCAGCCAGCAGGGCAACAGGGTCTCCAGTGATGTCTGTCACCCGTCATCCTTGAGGTAGGCTAACATCTTCTGGGCCCTACCGACATAATCCTGCGCAAATTCCTGCATCACAGCGTCCATAGATATGTCCTCCGTTGCCATCCTTGCACCCTGGAATATTTATGTCTGAGGATGCTGCGTGAATTATGTAGGGCTTCACTTATGTACTGGCTTTTCGTTTTCTACATTATTAAATACATGTATCTGGAACGTACTATCTACCGATAGGAAATTAAATGGCGTCCAGTGTTTGTAGACCATGCAGGAGAGTTCAAGTTGATAAGACAAGGGTAAGGTCTAGCATTTATAGGCTGAGGGCGTAATCAGGCACGTGTACCCGGGAGGGGTGCCCACCGCACCCCACGTTTTTCAAATGTTCGTTTTTCCACAGCTGTAGGCTACTGGTGTTTATGTGCACGGGTTGGTCCGAGGTCTTAATTGAGTCATTAACGCATCACTCACTTGAAGTCCTGTGTATTATGGGTCCGGCTATTACTGTTTTTCTTTTCAAGAGCGGGATCGCATAGGCGCCAGCGGACTCGGGGCTTGAAAGTTTGCGTCGCTTCGAATGCATGCAATAATTTGTGAGAAACCATAGCATAAAGGATGTAGTCTTTAATTCATCGAAAATCAAATTCACTCCCTGCTCTGCCCCGCCCTACTCTGCCCCGCCCTGCTCAGCCCCTCCCTGCTCAGCTCCGCCCTGCTCAGCCCCTCCCTGCTCAGCTCCGCCCTGATCAGCTCCGCCCTGGTCAGCCCCACCCTGCTATTAAAGCCAATCCCGTTTGTGTGCAAACGTCACTGGACTGCGGATCCAAATTTTAAGCAACAAAGAAATTGCGCAGTCACTTTTTGTGCAGTGGCGTAGTATATTACCAAAGGTCTCATTTGCAGGTGCAGCTCAGTTAGGGGCCTCATTTTCTGGAGGTAGACCCTCGAAAAGCGTTAATTCTTGAGGGAACTTTTTGGGGGGCAAATTCCGAGCGAGGAAAAAAGAGGCCTCGAGCTATTGTGGATGGGGGGTGCCTTATTCGAACCTTATTCTCAATTCGGACTATCGAACCTTATTGTCGATTCGGACTATCGAACCCCATCGTCTATTCGGACTATCGAACCTTCGTATCATTTAACCTTATTCTATTTTCGGTCTAATGGGCCCATCGGACCTTCGGACTATCGAACCCTCGGACTATTGAACCTTCGGACTAACGACCCTTCGGACTAATGACCCTTCGGACTAAAGAACCTTCGGACTATATCGAACTTTCGGACTATAACCGGACACGCGAGCTTTGAAACTTGCAAAAAGTAGATAGGCCTGTAGCACCTCCAAATAATTGTCTAGCGCACGTGCGAGCTGCCCAAACTCAGTCATCCTCACCGTGCACGGTACAAACCGATTTGCAGCCCGACCATGCACGAGTTAATGATAGTTTTGATTTATTTTGCATAACTCAAACAAAAATATTACCTGAATTCAAACATGAAAGTACTGCACACTGTCTGATTTTTTTATAGGCTTGAAGAGAATCGAAAATAGTAGGCCATTGATATCGAAGGGATGTAAACTGCGATGCTGCGTATGGGTCATTGTTACCGGCCAGGTGCCCGGTACCATGGAGCTGCAGCTCCATGCTGGTAAGACGGTAGGGTCAGCTTTATGACCCGCAAAATCACAGCGTTAATTGCAATGTCACGGTCCATCTATTTTGGACCCAGAGTAAAGTACAACAGATAACAGACGCTATGGCGTTATGTCCCTTAAATCGTGATTCTTTTTTAAATGGCCTAAAAGTTTAACGATAAGAAAAAAATAACAATGAAATATGAATGCTTACATGTAATGCTCAATCGTCCACACTGATTAATGCTCTCAAAAAAAGACTGATTAACTTGGGTCCAGAATGACAAATGTATTTTCTTACAATCAGATATTTAGATTCAATACAAACTGTTCATATATCCTTGGTGTGTAGCACGATACCGGTAGCGGATTGTTTTGTTGTTGAACGAATTTGTTTTCCCATCCCAGTAATTAACCAGTCAGTTTCATTCATAAGGACATTCAAAATGTCTCCAAGTGCACTTCTTCAAGAGGTGGATTACATGCATACATTATTTTGGTGCGCAGGCATATTATAATGTGGTAAATGCATCGATGTGACATTACTGGAGGGACAATTTTTTTAAAACCACTTAGCAATCGATCATTCTAAAATTGTGACTCAGAATTAGAAACCACAAACAATATCCCGTCAGAGAATGAATGTTTTTTAACAAGTTAATACTAATTCCGAGTTGGAAAAGAAGAGACGAGAAAAAAAATGAAATTAATGAATTCAGAACCAGGTAAAACAGTGAGCTTCCCTATCTACGGAGCCTTTATAATTTAATGCCCTATGAGAGAAAAAAACACAATAATGGCCCTTGAAATTCCGTTAGTTTAATGTTAATAGCACCACACTTCTGCCCCATCCACGATCAAAAACCCTAAACTCCCGTACCAGTTCCTTGATCCCGTACAACAATCTATGAGAAATCGCAACCGTATACAATCACATCGCACAACAGGAGAAAACAAAACAGCCCAAATTTCGAGCATTATATGTTTTTCTTTAGCCTGAGTAGATTGATTTGGCAACGGCATCTTCCCTGTCAGAATACTCCAACGTAGAGTGGAACAACTCAGTTTGATATTTCTCCGAGTTTTGTACGTACTCGAGATAGTCCGGAGCTCCAGGGTAAATCATATTGTCGGCTAGGATAACGGTTCCTTTCCTCAGCAGACCGTGGGACTCCAGGAGTTTCAGGTCCCTGACGTACAGCTCTTTCCAGTGATCGATGAAGACGAAATCCAAGGTGTCCACCGAGAAATCCTTACGCAGATTTGGGATGACATCTTCGGATTTCTTGACAACAAGGGTAACCTGTGTAATAGATATGCAATAATAAGACTTCTACACAACTGTGGCAGAGACAGGACTTATAACCGAGAGCTGAACGTTTTATATTATGGCCAAGAAAGGTTTGGTGCTTAGAAAATGTGTTCTTATTCTTCCATGGGTTCACACATCTAATAAAATTATGTACATGAAAAAAAGTAAGACTGCTGCAAACTGCTTACTGACTGGATGAACCTGAAGCTCACAACCAATCGTTGATTAGGTTTTTCGAAAATAATTTTCAAAAATGTAGTTGAGAAGTGATAAATTGACAAGGAGGCAATACCTTATCGCTGACTTGAGCTCCCGCAAGCTCGATAAACTCCTTCGCAACTGCCGCGTGCGTCTCATCAGCTTCAAGGGTGATGAAGCGGCTTCCTTCGGGTAAGGCACTCGCCATGAGCACCGCCGAGTAGCCGCAGAATGTGCCGAGCTCCAGGCACGTCATAGGGGCCAACTCTTGAACCACCTTGCGCACTATAGCACCTGATATGGTGAAGAAAAAGAGGACATTCTCAAGTGGGAAGATGAAGACCAAAATCAAGTGGTCTCTTTGATAAATATGGAAGTAGGCCTACGTGTAAATCAACTAGCTTAAGTAAGATTTGAGGCTTTGCATGGTGAAGATACTAAATAATGAAAGGTTTGCGGAAACACCATGTGCGAATAATTTCTCAACTAAGAGAATGGTTCTGAAAAGAACCAGAGGTATAAACTCGACGTTCCGGTCAGTATGCTCTGACCGTCTTCAGGAGAGTGCCTAAACTCTAAGAAAGTGAATACTGAAGTAGCAAAAGGCGAAATCAATGGGCACTAAGCTTGCTCTAGGATCCTGTCTACTTGGCATCCTCACAGGATGCAACTTCACAGTCACACTCCATTGATTTCGCCTTTTGCTACTTAAGTATTCACTTTCTTAGAGTTTAGGCACTCTCCTGAAGACGGTCAGAGCATACTGACCGGAACGTCGAGTTTATACCTCTGGTTCTTTTCAGAACCATTCTCTCAACTAGCTTAACCAAACCTCTAAAACTGATTTGAGACAGGGAATTTAATAACACAGGTTTTACAAAGAGAATTCTTTTCAAGCGCCACCATGTGTTGAATCATAGCCAGTGGTTATCTCAGCAGTCATGAATAATCATACAGACCCACTGGAGTTGACTTAGGGCCAGTTCGTTATGTAACAGATTTGCACAGCGTCTTGAGTGCATACATCCTGTACGTGTACAAATATATGCTGTGCAAGTTAGTACAATGTACAGTGCAGTGTTAACCATGCCTCATGTAAAATGTATTTGCAGGCTGTGCTGGACATTCTATGAAATGTGGAATTTGGCTTGTTTTAATTCCCAAACCGGGAACTTGTTTTGTTAATGAAAGGCCTATATGTATATCATTAAACTGCTTCTTGATGTTGTCTGTGTGTTACTTAATCAAGTCAAAGGTCTTTAAAAAGCACACCATTATTCATTAACACAAAATTAACTTACTATAGAGTATTTCTGATGTATTAAAAAAGAAAGAAATAGATGGATGTCTTCCGGAACTTGAGATGACCTTCACACATGAGCTCACTGCAATGTCGTAGAACTTGCTTTCACCGTTGTGTTACATTAAAAATCTGAGAATGTGTATTGGACCCCGAAGGTCTAGCCGTTCAGAACTACACTGTCATCAAAGAAGTGTATTTAATTACCAGAACTTGATCTCACGTTTTTCTGTGTGACATCAAAGGGCCTACCTTTCTTGTCTCCAACGTGCATCATTCTAGTCTTGTAGCAGAACTCGTCCGTAGCGGCCAGCAGGGCGGCAGGGTTGCCTCTGATCTCAGCGGCTCGCTCCTTGAGGTAGGCAAGCAACCTGTCTTGTTTTCGGACGGAGGCGTCCATGGAGGACGGACTAGTGTCGGACTTCGGCTGGGTTGTTGCCATTCTTGACTCTATAGTATGTCAAACAAAGAGATTTTAAAATGTATGATACTGCTTAGCGCCCCCCCCCCTCCCCCCAATCGTCGTCTATGATGCCCTCCCTGCCCCGTCCAGCCCCTTCGCCGCTTTGTCAAATACTGGCAAGTTAAAGCCGCGATGGCCTTAATGTAAGGCTACAGCGCAACTACACGACACCCCCTCCCCCACTCTTCCGTACACTTCAAAACTGCACGGTGTTACTGATCGTGTGTGATCCGGTGGTGGTAATTTAACACCGTGATTTGTGGAGCTATCAAAATTGGTGAATTTCTTTTCAGTTGCTGAAATATTCTGCTCAATACAGCTGCAATATTTACACGAAAAAAAGATAAGGACACGCGAGCAAATACCTAGCGTACGCACACTTATGTAGGCGAGCTACATAAGTCCATGGCATGATCACTGTTGCTTTATTTTGCATAACTCAAACAAAAGTATTACCAGGATACGAACTGGAAGGTACTACACTGCCTTCTCTCCCTCTGAAGTTTTAGGAGCTGGAAGAATCGAAAATAAAGGGCCGCTGTAAACTGCTGCCTATTTTTGTTGCCAGCCGTCGTACAATGAGGTGCCTCGTGGTGTATGTACGATATAGGCCTACATGTACAGTGCAGTTGCATTTAATTGTAGCCAACGGGTTCACTCATATCAGATAGGCCCGATTGCGTGTGACCTATAAACACGTGATTTATTTCATTTAAACCATTGCTATGACGTCACACTATTGTTAAAAGTGTGGTGATTCGGAACGACGAATCTTTAGTAAAGTGTGGATTCGGAATTTCGAATCCACACTTTGAACACGTCGGACAATTATTGTTCTCCATAATGAACCTGAATAGGGGGTGACTGTCTGCGTGAAAATTTGTTTTCCGAAACTTACCAATGCATCTTCACTGTCACATTCGCCACCGTCACTGCAAAGTCTACTTTAAGTCAGAAAGAAATCGTCGTCTGAACTATCCATTTTGTCGTAATTGTGTACGAAGTCTATGGAGAGTCATTCAAGTATTTCCTAACAAAATTTGAAACATTTCTCAGTCCCAGATTCATGTCTTATCATCATTTTTGCAACGAATGACCTTCATTGAGATGATATATGAAGAAAAAAGTGGCGTCAGGTTGCAACATTCTTTCCAATACTTCTGTTGACGCAAAATAGGACAGGTTGCCTTGTCTTTGTGCTGAGGTTCACTGGGAATCAGATTTCGTCGTGACGCAACCTCGTTTTGACTTAAATTTACGCAATTTCATAACACCTTTATATGACTATAGATTGTTTATAATGTAATTTGAATCTTAACTTAAGGCAGTATTACAACATCTCCATGTGATTTTAAGTGTTTATAGTGTATTTCGAGTAATTCATGGGAATTTGGCAGATTTTTGATAAATCTGACAGATTTTTGAAGTGCATTTAGCAGAATTTGGCCATGACCTTACGGTCACCCTGACTACTGTTGTCGCTCAGTAGATATTTAGTTCTGATCAGAACTTGTCCTGCATTATCGACTTTCGCTGAGTAGTTGTAGTTCTGCTAAGAACTAATGCCGCTCAAAGTGACTCGTTCAAACTGAGCATAACATTTGCGCTTAAAGTTGTATATGCGCTTTTCGCCGGGTGTGGGCGGCACCTTGAAAAATAGATTTCTCTGAGCTGCCTGCTAGTAAGCTCGTGGCTTGGGAACCAACGCATGGCAGACGAGAGCCTGGACGCCCAAGGACAACTATGCTAATGACGTTGATGCAGGATGCAGGAGTCGAGACGAAGGAAGAGTTGGCCAGTTGCATGGAGTCAAGGGAGGTGTGGCGCGTCAGGCATCGTTCCCGCCTCAAGACGGCCTCACGGCAACGTCTCGAGCCGACTTGATGATGATGATGATCATCATCAGTACAGAGGCTAATTAACCAGCCATTTTTTTCAGTTATGACTTTCAAATATTTCCAAGTGACCTTCTGCAAAAATTATACTAAAATCAGGTTTGATTATTTCCATAATCGCACAATTTAAAAACAACGTATCATGAACGTTTTAAACTATCATCATTAACAGGCGGCTTTATGCAAAAAACTGCAGGTTTAGTCAACAAGAACGATAATGGATGCAAGGTAGTAAACATGTATTCATAATTCAAAAATGCATAAAATACTATACAAAAAACCCCAAATACTCTTTAACAAAAAAACAAACATATGGTACGTATATTTTGTATGTAAAAAAAATCTATGGGAAGTTCAAAGTTAAGGCATAAGTATGACAATCCATGCCTGAATATTAAAGGCAAATTTATTAAATATTTCATTAGCATCAGCTTTAAAGCTACAAAAACAAAAGTACCCATGCTACGGTTTTAAAGCAAGTTTTAAGTGTACCCATTTGTAGTTTATCTTCATAATTTTAATTACAAAGCAAGGTCCTTATTATTGAAAGAGAATTATCGGTGTATTTATGGTTAATACAGACGAAAACGTGTTTCGTGTTCAAAAAGTTGTGCATGATTTTCACTATTTTCTGTAAGTTTAATGCACTGAGATGAAACTTCAACAGGTTAGATTTTGGGCATTCCTCTTTGGGTTTTGAGTTGTGTTATTAGAAACGAACACAATGCATGCAAGCCAAATGATCCAATATGCCAAAATATAACTAAATAGGCCTAGGCCTAAATGAAGTCTTTTCTTTTTCATTTTTAGAAGTATCTATGTGGGTTTTTTTTAGAAGTATAGTGCATTTTAGTAATGCCGTGTATATTATGTACAAGTTTTTAGGCTTCCTGAGAATATTTTGATCACATTTATATTGCAATCCTCTATCGGTTTTCAAAAAATTGTATCCGTAGTGTAGCGCCTTAGAGCATTTTATTTATGATTAAAACGCGTTATAAAATGTTCAATGTTGTATTATAACTAAATGTACCATTATAGGGAGACACCTCATCGTTATTTTTTTCGATAATAGGGAGACATCGGCTTTTTGGGAGACACAGTCATAACTGTTTCCCTAATGGCACAGCTCCCCTTAAGAGGCAACATTTTATTATTGCAATTAGGTTATATTTGTTGCTCTTGGTCTAATTAGTAAAAATACCGAAATTCGTGGAAAAAGGACAAGGAAAAATTGGGTTAGGTCCATGGGCGTCGCGAGGGGGGGGGGGGCAAGGGGGGGGCACGTGCCCCCCTGGGAAAGCCAAAAAAAAAAAAAATGAAAAAAAAAAGAGAAAAAAGAGAAAAAAAGAAAATAAGAAGAGGCGCGAAGTCATAGTGGTGTAAATTTAATGGTGGGGGGGGGGGCAAAATGTCCCTGCCCCCCTCTAAAACTGATAAATCGAGAATGTGTTGAGAAATACAGGAATTTTTGGGCAAAAATATGTTATGCCCCCTCTAGAAAAATCCTGGCGACGCCCATGGTTAGGTCACATTTAAGTTTGAAAAATTTGTGTAAAAGTCTATGGGAGAGTCTCCCTATTCACCCATTCCCGGTTATTATTGTCGGTTATTAAACCTTGATATACTGACTTAGCTAAAGCGTCTTCCATGTCGGAATATTCCAGAGTGGAGTGAATCAACTCGGTCTGATACTTGTCCGAGCTTTGTACATATTCCAGATAGTCTGGGGCACCTGGGATGATCATATTGTCGGCTAGGATAACGGTTCCTTTCCTCAGCAGACCGTGGGACTCCAGGAGTTTGAGGTCCCTCAGGTACAGCTTCTTCCAGTGGTCGATGAAGACGAAATCCAAGGTGTCCACCAAGAAATCTTCACGCAGAGTTGGGATGACGTCTTCGGACAGCTTGCCAACAATAGTAATCTGTGTTAAATTATAAAACAGGAAGGAATTATAATGAACTATGTATGTGAACGGTGGATAGCACTTTTGCACCACTCGTGTCGGAGCACGTTCCAAGACTAATTCGAGGCAGTATACAGCTCGACATGCTGCCATTTTTGGCACAAAGCTGCTGAAATTAATCTCAGTAACATTTCTGCTCTCACAGGTACCCATTTGCTCCCGGATGGGCATTAGCATAGTGACAAACTTGCCTTGCACAAGGACACACACACCACAGCCCCATAGGCTGGACTCGAGCCCACAAACTGCGGAATTACCCACAGATCTTTTGTTTGATGCTCCAGCCTCCAGAACGCACTCCAGATAGCTTCCCACTTACCTTGTCACTTATTTCAGTTCCCGCTAGTTTGATAAACTGCCTGGCAACTTTTAAACTTCCTTCTTGAGCTTCGAGGGTGATGAAGCGGCTTCGTTTGGGTAGGACACTCGCCATCAGCACCGCTGAGTAGCCGCAGTATGTGCCCAGCTCCAGGCACGTCATAGGGGCTAACTCTTCGACTATACCTCGCAAAATTGGACCTTTTGGGAATCATACAGTGAAAAAAAAATTGGGTGGAAAGAGTTTTCACAGTTTAAAAAAAAATGAGTTTTTTTCACTGGTTTTCTGAACTACACGAAAACAAAGGAATGTCCACACTAGGTATGTAAAACTGTGTGTGTGTGTGGGGGGGGGGGATATAATTTTAATTCAATAAGGGGATGCTCCAACCCCCAGCCTTAATATTGACAATGTTCAAAACTGGGGCTTTCGGGTCCAGCTTAAGGCTCCCTTCAGCCTGAGTAGATTGATTTGCCAAGGGCGTCTTCCATCTCGGAATATTCAAGCTTAGCTTGTATCAACTCGGTCTGATATCTCCCCGAGTTTTGGACGTACTCCAGGTAATCTGGGATCCCCGGAACTTTGAGGTTGTCCGCCATAACGACGGTTCCCTTCCTCAACAAGCCCTGCGACTCGAGGAGTTTTAAGTCCCTCAGGTACTCGGTCTTCAGGTGGTCGATGAAGACGAAATCCAAGGTGTCCACCGAAAAATCATCACGCAGGGCTGGGATGGCGTCTTCGGATTTCTTGTTAACGATAGTAATCTGCAGAATGCATGGAAGACGCAAAGTAGGTTTTGTAGATTTGACAAAATAAAAAAAATATTGCACCCTCCCGATATTGCAACTAGCTTGTTGGAAGAGATCACTGAGAAGGCAACACTTTACCTTCTGGGAGACTTGTGGTCCTGCCAGATCGATGAACTCCTCGGCTACCTCCTTGAGTGTCTCATCAGCCTCGAGGGTGATGAACCGGCTTCCTTCGGGTAGAACACTCGCCATGAGCACCGCCGAGTAGCCGCAGTATGTGCCCAGCTCCAGACACGTCATGGGGGCTAACTCCTGGACCACCTTGCGCACTATAGCACCTGATGATGAAGTGAAAGGGGAAAAAAGAGAGCGAACATTCACAAGATGAGCTTAAAATTATTATGACCCTATGAGTTAGGCCTATTTATCGTTAGTTCCTGTGCCTCTGATGTTGGTAACGAAAATTTAGGGATTGTAATTTTATATTCAATATAGGGTTTTGTACTCGGCAACGTATTTTGTAAAAACTATATACTATCAGTGTTGTTGCGAGTGATTGTGAGGAAAAAATGACAAACTACAATGGTGGGATTCGAACCCACGACCTCCTGCTTACTTGTGCAGGCGTGACCCCCCGAGGTTGCCGGTGGGTACCACAACTAAATTACATCTCATGAATAATAATTGTTTTTGTATGTAAGGCCAAAAAAATAAATAAGTCGGTCTCTGGTCAGCGCGCGCGTCGATTTTAATCATGCGCGTCAATCTTTTTTTTTTCCAAAATGTTCCGCGGTAGCTCCAACAGCGCCCTCTATTGCCGCACCTCCTCAATTTTTTTTACCAAAGAGCACCAAGGAATGGGAAATTGCACCAAGGCAAATGATCGTGAGCACCAAGGCAAATTATGGAGGACACCAATGTACATGAGGACACCAAGTAGCAAAATAGTACCCCACCTTGTCTGTACAATCCAAGCTTGAAGAAAAAGAAAAAAAAAGCCGCGTCCCCGCGTCAATTCCGGAACTTTGGTCTGACCAGAGACCGAATATTTTTTTGGGGCCTAATGTACTCAGTGCAGTGTTGCCTAAGGGCTTCGCAAGCTAGTCGAACCCACGACATCCTGTTTACTCGTGCAGTCGTCTTACCACTCGACAACCGAGTAAAATATACAGGATACCTATCATCTCCAATATACGTGAATGGGACTGGCGATTCTGATCTTCAAACAGTGTAACTCACATCAGGAATTGGCTTGCACTGATGTATGAAAACTTACAAATCGGAGAATGGGATCAACACTAGATGAGAAAAAAAATGACCTTTCTCGTCTCCAACGTGCATCATTCGACGATCCTTCTCGACACAGTACTTGTCGGCTGCAGCCAGCAGGGCAACAGGGTCTCCAGTGATGTCTGTCGCCCGTTCCTTGAGGTAGGCTAACATCTTCTGGGCCCTACCGACATAATCCTGCGCAAATTCCTGCATCACAGCGTCCATAGATATGTCCTCCGTTGCCATCCTTGCACCCTGGAATATTTATGCCTGAGGATGCTGCGTGAATTATGTAGGGCCTACTGGCTTTTCGTTTTCTACATAAATACATGTATCTGGAACGTACTATCTATACCGATAGGAAATTAAATGGCGTCCAGTGTTTGTAGACCATGCAGGAGAGTTCAAGTTGATAAGACAAGGGTAAGGTCTATCATTTATAGGTTGACGGCGTAATCAGGCACGTGTACCCGGGGAGGGGTGCCCTCCGCACCCCACGTTTTTCAAATGTTCGTTTTTCCACAGCTGTAGGCTACTGGTGTTTATTATGTGCACGGGTTGGTCCGAGGTCTTAATTGAGTCATTAACGCATCACTCACTTGAAGTCCTGCATGGGTCCGGCTATTACTGTTTTTCGTTTCAAGAGCGGGATCGCATAGGCGCCAGCGTAACCGGACTCGGGGCTTGAAAGCCGTTTGAGTCGCTTCGAATGCATACAATAATTTGGGAGAAACCACAGCATAGAGGATGTAGTCTTTAATTCATCGAAAATCAAATTCACTCCCTGCTCTGCCCCGCCCTACTCTGCCCCGCCCTGCTCAGCCCCGCCCTGCTCAGCCCCACCCTGCTCAGCCCCGCCCTGCTCAGCTCCGCCCTGCTCAGCCCCACCCTGCTATTAAAGCCAATCCCGTTTGTGTGCAAACGTCACTGGACTGCGGATCCAAATTTTAAGCAACAAAGAAATTGCGCAGTAACTTTTTGAGCAGTGGCGTAGTATATTACCAAAGGTCTCATTTGCAGGTGCAGCTCAGTTAGGGGCCTCATGTTCTGGAGGTAGACCCTCGAAAAGCGTTAAAGTTGAGGGAACTTTTGGGGGCAAATTCCGAGCGAGGAAAAAAGAGGCCTCGAGCTATTGGGGGCGGGGGGGGTGCCTTATTCGAACCTTATTCTCAATTCGGACTATCGAACCCCATCGTCTATTTGGACTATCGAACCTTCGGATTAATTAACCTTATTCCATTTTCGGTCTAATGGGCCCTTCGGACTATCGGACCTTCGGACAATCGAACCCTCGGACTATTGAACCTTCGGACTAACGACCCTTCGGACTAATGACCCTTCGGACTAAAGAACCTTCGGACTATATCGAACCTTCGGACTATCGGGCTGTAACCGGACACGCGAGCTTTGAAACTTGCAAAAAGTAGATAGGCCTATAGTAACTTAATCATCCTCACCGTGCACCGTACAAACCGATTTGCAGGAATCCGACCATGCATGGGTCCATGATAGTTTTGATTTATTTTGCATAACTCAAACAAAAATATTACCTTAATTCAAACAGGAAAGTACTGCACACTGTCTGATTTTTTATGGGCTTGAAGAGAATCGAAAATAGTAGGCCACCGATATCGATGCTGCGTATGGGTCATTGTTGCCGGCCAGGTGCCCGGTACCATGGAGCTACAGCTCCGTGCTGGTAAGACGGTAAGGTCATCTTTATGACCCGCAAAATCACAACGTTAATTGCAATGTCACGGTCTATCTATTTTGACCCAGAGTAAAGTAAAACAGATAACAGACGCTATGGCGTTATGTCCCTTAAATCGTGATTCTTTTTTAAACGGCCTAAAAGTTTAACGATAAGAAAAAAAATTACAATGAAATATGAATGATTACATGTAACGCTCAGTCGTCCACACTGACTAATGTTCTCAAAAAAGACTGATTAGAAGACAAACAAAGGACGCTCACAGGGGGAACGGAACGATAGAAACGCGTTAAAGGGAATGAAACGAACTCCAGTGATGTGCACTGAATGAGACACAATAGCATGAATCTGGCAAAGGGACAGAGACAATGAGCATACAGGATGGAATAATACTTTCTTTATTCAGATTAATTGGTAAAAACACCTGTCTCCCAAAAATACAACTATCCAATTAAAAGTAGTATACCAAATTTGATTAAAAACCGTCCAACAGAGTAAAAATACATTAACAACAATAATTCCCTTAATTACAATAATTCCCTGAATAATATGAAAAATCTGTGCGACAATTACATGTAGTCGTGTATATTATAATTATTTTGAGTTGCATTATAACAGTGTGTTAATTATCTCAAATTTCTGAAAGATTAACGAAATACAAAGTCAATTGCAAGACTGAGCAGGAAAATATATACTAGAAAAACTGCATAGTTATATTTCTACAGAAATTCTATTGATAGAGGATAGTCGTGTTTTCCAAGCTTTTGATAGCATTTTTAATACAACCGTTGAATGTCAATGAATCGAAAAATAAAAGTTTTGAATTTATGGGACGGAGCAGCGTTTTGTGCATTTTCACTTTGACGTAGGCCATGATGACATTTCATGCCAGATTGACTTATTCCTTAAACTTGAGCACCCTTCGTATTTCTTAGACCTCATGGGTAGACTTTATGAGTATAGCGGCCGTCTTATGGGGCATCCTTTGTTATTTTAATTCAGTAACAATGAGTGCTTAAAAGGTATATTTCTGGTATTTCACAACAAGACAATTAATGTATTACCTTGATGACTGCTACCTATAAGGTCCATATACGCCTTTTTTGAAATATTGTGGGCAAGAGAGAGCGCCTTTTTTCAGTGGGTGACCTCTCTTGTACATTCACCCCGCAAATGTATTATATTATGTTATTCATTTTTTTAAAATTATTTCATTAAAAATAAAACGTGACAAAAAATAAAAAGCCCTGCTTCCTCCTTTTTTTACAAACACCCGGACGAGAAACATGTTTTTTTTATATTCGGCCTAAGGAGCCAGCCGACAGGTTGCTTGTATTAGGCTGCATCCTAAGGCCAAAAAAAAGTCTCCAGTTTCTGGTATGCGCGCGCGTCGCCGTTGCCATGCGCGTCGGCAAAATGAAAAAGGTTTTTTTTCAATGAAAGATGATGTCTCAAAACCGCCAAACTCACTGGTTTGACTGGAATCATGCTGCTGCACAATTTTAACGTGTTTTTAGATTGGGTTATGGTCGAGAATAAGCTTTATGTGGCCTCTCTGGACTCCCATATATTTGCACTAAGTTTAGTCGTGCACCATTTGCAGTCATCAGCCGACATTTGAAGCAAAAAAATCAGGTAAAAAAATAAAAAGCCGCGTCGCCGCACCACTTTTTGGGCAAGCTCCATACCAGAAACCGGAGACTTTTTTTTTTTGGCCTTAACTTGGGTCCAGAATGACAAATGTATTTTCTTACAATCAGATATTTAGATTCAATACAAACTGTTCATATATATATTTTTTCCCCAATTCTTGGTGTGTAGCACGATACCGGTAGCGGATTGTTTTGTTGTTGAACGAATTTGTTTTCCCATCCCAGTAATTAACCAGTCAGTTTCATTCATAAGGACATTCAAAATGTCTCCAAGTGCACTTCTTCAAGGGGTGGATTACATACATACATTATTTTGGTGCGCAGGCATATTATGATGTGGTAAATGCATCGATGTGACATTACTGGAGGGACAATTTCTTTAAAACCACTTAGCAATCATCATTCTAAAATTATGACTCAGAATTAGAAACCACAAACAATATCCTGTCAGAGAATGAATGTTTTTTTAACACGTTAATACTAATTCCGAGTTGGAAAAGAAAAGACGAGAAAAAAAAATGAAATTAATGAATTCAGAACCAGGTAAAACAGTGAGCTTCCCTATCTACGGAGCCTATAATGTAATGCCCTATGAGAGAGAAAAAAAACACAATAAAGGCCCTTAAAATTCCGTTAGTTTAATGTAAATAACACCACACTTCTGCCCCATCCACGATCAAAAACCCTAAACTCCCGTACCAGTTCCTTGATCCCGTACAACAATCTATGAGAAATCGCAACCGTATACAATCACATCGCACAACAGGAGAAAACAAAACAGCCCAAATTTCGAGCATTATATGTTTTTCTTTAGCCTGAGTAGATTGATTTGGCAACGGCATCTTCCCTGTCAGAATACTCCAACGTAGAGTGGAACAACTCAGTCTGATATTTCTCCGAGTTTTGGACGTATTCGAGATAGTCCGGAGCTCCAGGGTAAATCATATTGTCGGCTAGGATAACGGTTCCTTTCCTCAGCAGACCGTGGGACTCCAGGAGTTTCAGGTCCCTGACGTACAGCTCTTTCCAGTGATCGATGAAGACGAAATCCAAGGTGTCCACCGAGAAATCCTTACGCAGATTTGGGATGACATCTTCGGATTTCTTGACAACAAGGGTAACCTGTGTAATAGATATGCAATAATAAGACTTCTACACAACTGTGGCAGAGACAGGACTTATAACCGAGAGCTGAACGTTTTATATTATGGCCAAGAAAGGTTTGGTGCTAAGAAAATGTGTTCTTATTCTTCCATGGGTTCACACATCTAATAAAATTATGTACATGAAAAAAGTAAGACTGCTGCAAACTGCTTACTGACTGGATGAACCTGAAGCTCACAACCAATCGTTGATTAGGTTTTTCGAAAATAATTTTCAAAAATGTAGTTGAGAAGTGATAAATTGACAAGGAGGCAATACCTTATCGCTGACTTGAGCTCCCGCAAGCTCGATAAACTCCTTCGCAACTGCCGCGTGCGTCTCATCAGCTTCAAGGGTGATGAAGCGGCTTCCTTCGGGTAAGGCACTCGCCATGAGCACCGCCGAGTAGCCGCAGAATGTGCCGAGCTCCAGGCACGTCATAGGGGCCAACTCTTGAACCACCTTGCGCACTATAGCACCTGATATGGTGAAGAAAAAGAGGACATTCTCAAGTGGGAAGATGAAGACCAAAATCAAGTGGTCTCTTTGATAAATATGGAAGTAGGCCTACGTGTAAATCAACTAGCTTAAGTAAGATTTGAGGCTTTGCATGGTGAAGATACTAAATAATGAAAGGTTTGCGGAAACACCATGTGCGAATAATTTCTCAACTAAGAGAATGGTTCTGAAAAGAACCAGAGGTATAAACTCGACGTTCCGGTCAGTATGCTCTGACCGTCTTCAGGAGAGTGCCTAAACTCTAAGAAAGTGAATACTGAAGTAGCAAAAGGCGAAATCAATGGGAACTAAGCTTGCTCTAGGATCCTGTCTACTTGGCATCCTCACAGGATGCAACTTCACAGTCACACTCCATTGATTTCGCCTTTTGCTACTTAAGTATTCACTTTCTTAGAGTTTAGGCACTCTCCTGAAGACGGTCAGAGCATACTGACCGGAACGTCGAGTTTATACCTCTGGTTCTTTTCAGAACCATTCTCTCAACTAGCTTAACCAAACCTCTAAAACTGATTTGAGACATGGAATTTAATAACGCAGGTTTTACAAAGAGAATTCTTTTCAAGCGCCACCATGTGTTGAATCATGGCCAGTGGTTATCTCAGCAGTCATGAATAATCATACAGACCCACTGGAGTTGACTTAGGGCCAGTTCTGTTATGTAACAGATTTGCACAGCGTCTTGAGTGCATACATCCTGTACGTGTACAATTATATGCTGTGCAAGTTAGTACAATGTACAGTGCAGTGTTAACTATGCCTCATGTAAAATGTATTTGCAGGCTGTGCTGGACATTCTATGAAATGTGGAATTTGGCTTGTTTTAATTCCCAAACCGGGAACTTGTTTTGTTAATGAAAGGCCTATATGTATATCATTAAACTGCTTCTTGATGTTGTCTGTGTGTTACTTAATCAAGTCAAAGGTCTTTAAAAAGCACACCATTAACACAAAATTAACTTACTATAAAGTATTTCTGATGTATTAAAAAAGAAAGAAATAGATGGATGTCTTCCGGAACTTGAGATGACCTTCACACATGAGCTCACTGCAATGTCGTAGAACTTGCTTTCACCGTTGTGTTACATTAAAAATCTGAGAATGTGTATTGGACCCCGAAGGTCTAGCCGTTCAGAACTACACTGTCATCAAAGAAGTGTATTTAATTACAAGAACTTGATCTCACGTTTTTCTGTGTGACATCAAAGGGCCTACCTTTCTTGTCTCCAACGTGCATCATTCTAGTCTTGTAGCAGAACTCGTCCGTAGCGGCCAGCAGGGCGGCAGGGTTGCCTCTGATCTCAGCGGCTCGCTCCTTGAGCATGTTGAGGTAGGCAAGCAACCTGTCTTGTTTTCGGACGGAGGCGTCCATGGAGGAAGGACTAGTGTCGGACTTCGGCTGGGTTGTTGCCATTCTTGACTCTATAGTATGTCAAACAAAGAGATTTTAAAATGTATGATACTGCTTAGCGCCCCCCCCCCCCCAATCGTCGTCTATGATGCCCTCCCTGCCCCGTCCAGCCCCCCTTCGCCGCTTTGTCAAATGCTGGCAAGTTAAAGCCGCGATGGCCTTAATGTAAGGCTACAGCGCAACTACACGACACCCCTCCCCCACTCTTCCGTACACTTCAAAACTGCACGGTGTTACTGATCGTGTGTGATCCGGTGGTGGTAATTTAACACCGTGATTTGTGGAGCTATCAAAATTGGTGAATTTCTTTTCAGTTGCTGAAATATTCTGCTCAATACAGCTGCAATATTTACACGAAAAAAAGATAAGGACACGCGAGCAAATACCTAGCGTACGCACACTTATGTAGGCGAGCTACATAAGTCCATGGCATGATCACTGTTGCTTTATTTTGCATAACTCAAACAAAAGTATTACCAGGATACGAACTGGAAGGTACTACACTGCCTTCTCTCCCTCTGAAGTTTTAGGAGCTGGAAGAATCGAAAATAAAGGGCCGCTGTAAACTGCTGCCTATTTTTGTTGCCAGCCGTCGTACAATGAGGTGCCTCGTGGTGTATGTACGATATAGGCCTACATGTACAGTGCAGTTGCATATCAGATAGGCCCGATTGCGTGTGACCTATAAACACGTGATTTATTTCATATAAACCATTGCTATGACGTCACACTATTGTTAAAAGTGTGGTGATTCGGAACGACGAATCTTTAGTAAAGTGTGGATTCGGAATTACGAATCCACACTTTGAACACGTCGGACAATTATTGTTCTCCATAATGAACCTGAATAGGGGGTGACCGTCTGCGTGAAAATTTGTCAGTTTCCGAAACTTTCCAAAGCATCTTCACTGTCACATTCGCCACCGTCACTGCAAAGTCTACTTTTAGTCAGAAAGAAATCGTCGTCTGAACTATCCATTTTGTCGTAATTGTGTACGAAGTCTATGGAGAGTCATTTCAAGTATTTCCTAACAAAATTTGAACCATTTCTCAGTCCCAGATTCATGTCTTATCATCATCTTTGCAACGAATGACCTTCATTGAGATGATATATGAAGAAAAAAGTGGCATCAGGTTGCAACATTCTTTCCAGTCCTTCTGTTGACGCAATGGTTTAAGTCGAAGAATACACTCGCAAGTGTGGATTCTTAACTTACGAATTCACTCGGCGCTTCGCGCCTCGTGAATTCATTACGAATCCACACTTTCTCGTGTATTCTCCTTAACGTAACTGCCTGGATTGTTCATGATGAAAAGAATAACGAGGAATTGCTTGTAATACAGGCTCTATGCATGGTGGAGTATCAGTAGTGTTTATAGTGTATTTCGAGTAATTCATGGGAATTTGGCAGATTTTCGATAAATCTGACAGATTTTTGAGGTGCATTTGGCAGAATTTGGCCATGACCTTACGGCCACCCTGACTACTGTTGTCGCTCAGTAGATATTTAGTTCTGATCAGAACTTGTCCTGCATTATCGACTTTCGCTGAGTAGTTGTAGTTCTGATAAGAACTAATGCCGCTCAAAGTGACTCGTTCAAACTGAGCATAACATTTGCGCTTAAAGTTGATGTATATGCGCTTTTCGCCGGGTGTGGGCGGCACCTTGAAAAATAGATTTGTGTGTGATGTCATCAGTGCAGAGGCTAATTGACCAGCCATTTTTTTCAGTTATGACTTTCAAATTTTTCCAAGTAACCTTCTGCAAAAATTATACTAAAATCAGGTTTGATTATTTACATAATCGCACAATTTAAAAACAACGTATCATGAACGTTTTAAACTATCATCATTAACAGGCGGCTTTATGCAAAAAACTGGTTTGCCAGAAGAGTAAACAAGAACAATAATGGATGCAAGATAGTAAACATTATGTAACTGCATAAAATGCTAGAAAAAAATACCCCCAAATACTCTTTAAAGGGAATATACATCATTTGCTTTTGCTGTAATTTTCAGAAATGGATGGAATTGGGGGGTTGGAAATATATAGCAAATATAGTTACACTGACTTTTTTGAGGCTTTGGGTTCGAAAATGCTATAAAAACCAAGAAAAACAATCATTTTCCTGTAGTCTGGTTCCCTGACTCCATATAAGAAGAAGCAGAGCAGTTTACATACATTGGGGAATTGTAAGGTCAGGGAACCAGTCTAGCTGGCTTGTACCCGTTCATGGGTGTGTAATCGATTGCAAACAAGTGCGATGGTCAATTGGGGCCAGTATTTGAAAAAAAGCCAGTTTTTTTCCAACGCTGGTCGGCCGACCAGCGTTGGAAATTGATACAAAAATACCACTTTTCTTGAAAATGACAGTATACCAGGTGCCATGATTTTACAGGATGCTTTACACTGTCATTCACTAACAGTCCAGGAAGGTATTTCAAAATGATTTGGTAGTTTTATTTTTTGATGTTTGCAAATGTTGTATTTTCCCTTTAACAAAAAAACAAACATATGCATGGTACGTATATTTTGTATGTAAAAAATAATCTATGGGAAGTTCAAAGTAAAGGCACAAGTATGACAATCCATGCCTGAATATTAAAGGCAAATTTATGAAATATTCCATTAGCATCAGCTTTAAAGCTACAAAAACAAAAATACACAGGTTTCCGTTTTCAGCAAGTTTTAAGTGTACCCCTTTGTAGTTTATCTCCATAATTTTAATTACAAAGCAAGGTCCTTATTATTGAAAAAGAATTATCGGTGTATTTATGGTTAAAGGGAAAATACATCATTTGCAAACATCAAAAAATAAAACTACCAAATCATTTTGAAATACCTTGCTGGACTGTTAGTGAATGACAGTGTAAAGCATCCTGTAAAATCATGGCACCTGGTATACTGCCATTTTCAAGAAAAGTGGTATTTTTGTATCAATTTCCAACGCTGATCGGCCGATCAGCGTTGGAAACAACTGGCTTTTTTTTTCAAATACTGGCCCCAATTGACCATCGCACTTGTTTGCAATCGATTACAAACCTATGAACGGGTACGAGCCAGCTAGACTGGTTCCCTGACCTTACAATTCCCCAATGTATGTAAACTGCTCTGTTTCTTCTTATATGGAGTCAGGGAACCAGACTACAGGAAAATGATCGTTTTTCTTGGTTTTTATAGCTTTTTCGAACCCAAAACCTCAAAAAAGTCAGTGTAACTATATTTGCTATATATTTCCAACCCCCCAATTCCATCCATTTCTGAAAATTACAGCAAAAGCAAATGATGTATATTCCCTTTAATACAGACGAAATCGTGTGTCGTGTTCAAAAAGTTGTGCATGATTTTCACTATTTTCTGTAAGTTTAATGCACTGAGATGAAACTTCAAAAGGTTAGTTTTGGACATTCCTCTTTGGGTTTTGAGTCATGTTATTAGAAACGAGCACAATGCATGCAAGCCAAATGATCAAATATGCCAAAATATAACTACATAGGCCTAGGCCTAAATGAAGTCTTTTCTTTTTCATGTTTAGAAGTATCTATGTGGGTTTTTTTTTTAGAAGTATAGTGCATTTTAGTAATGCCGTGTATATTATGTACCAGTTTTTAGGCTTCCTGAGAATATTTTGATCACATTTATATTGCATTCCTCCATCGGTTTTCAAAAAAATTGTATCCGTAGTGTAGCGCCATAGAGCATTTTATTTATGATTAAAGCGCGTTATAAAAATGTTCAATGTTGTATTATAACTAAATGTACCATTATAGGGAGACACAGTCATAACTGTTTCCCTAATGGCACAGCTCCCCTTAAGAGGCAAAATTGTATTATTGCAATTAGGTTATATTTGTTGCTCTTGGTCTAATTAGTAAAAATACCGAAATTCGTGGGAAAAGGACAAGGGAAAATTGGGTTAGGTCCATGGGCGTCGCGAGGGGGGGGGGGGCAAGGGGGGGGGGGGGCACGTGCCCCCCTGGAAAAGCAAAAAAAAAAAATTGAAGAAAAAAAAAGAGAAAAAAAGAAAAGAAGAAGAATATTAAGTCATTACTCGCGTCCAAATTATCCGGTCTGGGTCTGATCTAAGAAAGAGACGTGATTTTTTTAACGCGAATATTGACGTCAATATTCAGGTTTTTGGGGCGGGGCAAATATTGACGTCAATATTCACGACAAGCTGGTTTACCCGATCATAGATCGGGTAGGGCGTATAGTGTTGGGGATGAAAATGTGGGGAGTTAAATGTAAATGGAGGATATAGTTGGGGAGACATGCAGTTAAAGAATAGCAATTTCTGTGGTGTGATCTGAGGCAATTTCTGATCTCTAAAACCAATTTGAGCAAAAGATCATCTGTGAAAGTTTGGAGTTTTGAGTAATTGAATCAGCTACATGTATTCTGAGCAATAGAATCATTATTGTAGGCTACAATATTTTTATTCGGGGAGAAAAAAAGTGTGTGGGGGGGGGGGGGGGGGAGAGACCAAACAATGTCCCCCCTCAAAATGGGTGTGTGTGTGTGTGTGTGTGGTGTGTGTGTGTGTGTGTGTGGGGGGGGGGGGTTCCCCTGTCCCCCGTTGATTTACGCACATGATAATTATGTACCATGGCAACTGTCTGTAAATGTTGCCGTTGGTCTGTTAAATTGGCTTTTTGTGAGGCAGTCGCATTTGGAAAAAGTAGTGAAAAGGTTACTGTAGTACACAGGCGAAGGGTGGTTGTACAGTTTGACAATAAATCATAATGCAATAAAACGTGAAGGTGTCATTTAAAATGAAAATGTTGAGTGTTACCAAAAAATTACAAACGGTCTGAATCATGGAGGAAGGTCATAATTAAGTTTCAGTATTGGACTCTTCAACAAACGTAAACTTGAACTTCTTACAATTTGCGAGACCGTCTGCGATTCAACTTTTATTCAAGTTGGTTCAACCATCTATATATAAGAGCAAGTTTTACTCGGCCTCCGAGAAATGTTTGCTTCTGAAAGGATCCGAGACCGCGGCGATCCTTCGTTGACCCAAAACAGGCCCCCGAAATTATAACACGACACTGAATTATACCATGGAGGAATTCTTATTCCTCCATGATTATACGTGGCGGGCAGCGAACTCACAACGCGCAGCCTTGGTGGTGGAAGCTCGGAGCTGTAAACACATTATGGAAGCAACAGCACTCTACACGTCACATGCTTGCGCTTCAAATAGCGAGCACCGTAGACCCAACCTCGTTTTCAGGGTGTGGAGCAGGCTGCAGTACGCGTTGCCATCGACAGTTTTGCATAGCCCGGAAATACTACGCAGTGTAGACTTTCGATTGGTCAGACCGCGCAAGGCATACTTAATGTGTAGTCCTTCTGAGTATTCGTTGCACTCGGCGCAGGGGCGGCAAGCGAAGCACATGAAAGAATAGGAGCACTTGGTGGCCACGCACCATGGAGCTTCTGAAAGGATCCGAGACCGCGGCGATCCTTCGTTGACCCAAAACAGGCCCCCGAAATTATAACACGACACTGAATTATACCATGGAGGAATTCTTATTCCTCCATGATTATACGTGGCGGGCAGCGAACTCACAACGCGCAGCCTTGGTGGTGGAAGCTCGGAGCTGTAAACACATTGGGCGTTTTCGAATCCCTGTTCTTGACAACACGCGTGTAACACGAGAACGTGTTCTCGAGCTGGTTGTTACGAACGCGCGGGTGCGTGTCGCATCGATATAAAGCAATGCAAAATGGCCGACAATCGTCTGAATTTGTACTTATAGGCCTAAAGTTCCAAATGAACGAGGACGACTGTTGCAAAACCGGACATGCGGGCATGAAATTGCAGACCTGCACTATAATGGTATTCTTATTCCAATCATTAGGGTATTAGCAAAAAAAAAACCCACAAAAAACAATTTACGAATCTGCACAGTCCGCCATTTTGTTCAAGCTGCACCTCGCCGAACCCTCCATCAACCGGGGAGTGAAACAATCGATCCACGAACGCGCTCTCGGGTCTGTTCGTCACGTTCGAGACCGCTGTTCTCGTGTCGGGTTAACCCGAGTGTTGTCAAGAACAGAGATTCGAAAACGCCCATTATGGAAGCAACAGCACTCTACACGTCACATGCTTGCGCTTCAAATAGCGAGCACCGTAGACCCAACCTCGTTTTCAGGGTGTGGAGCAGGCTGCAGTACGCGTTGCCATCGACAGTTTTGCTTAGCCCGGAAATACTACGCAGTGTAGACTTTCGATTGGTCAGACCGCGCAAGGCATACTTAATGTGTAGTCCTTCTGAGTATTCGTTGCACTCGGCGCAGGGGCGGCAAGCGAAGCACATGAAAGAATAGGAGCACTTGGTGGCCACGCACCATGGAGAAAAAATATTTTACCAAGGTCACCCCATCTACAATTTGGTGAACGCTTTTGCAGAACGGCTGAGTAGAACATGTAAACGCAACCCCTACGTTGACCTCGCTGACCTCGCACAGTCTAGACACGCAGAAAAAGCCAGGACAGGGGGCGGCCAGGCAGTCAACGTGAAAGCGCACACGACGGCAAATTCCTGCGCAAAAAGCAGTCACGAAAAATCGACGAAACGGATCGCCGGTCCGTACGGGAAAATTAGGACGACCCGAAGTGTCCGACCCGGCGGAAGACACCCTCCGCATTTTTCTACGGACGTGGAGCGATTTTGGCGCTGCGTGGGCCCGCGGTCTCGGATCCTTTCATGAGCAAACATCGTCTCGGGGGCGAGTAAACTTCTCTCTTATATATATAGATTTCAGCGCCACTATACGAGAGCCGCCGATGAAGGCGGTTTTAAAACTTCGGCTGCGTTCTAGTTCGACCTTCATCACCTTGTCAATTGCATGATTCACTCATTAAAAAAATGTAACGACCCAAAAAACAAGCCGAAAATACTCCACTCCTTGTCCTTTTGACACAATGCAATGATTTTAAGCACACATTAGGTCTATTTTTCTATTGCTAAACACAATATCCATCCACTCTGCAGGAACCTTTCCAATAACCAAACCGAAATGATATCAAAATTTAGAAAACCCCAGTCAGGCACCGCCCCCCGTGTCTGGAAACCAGTCTCCTATTCCTTGGCTGCATTCATTCACGCGTACATTTCGAGACTCCGTAAATCGAGCCGATCCCGAGTGTGAATGTGATCTCGCATCGCAAAATTCTAAACAAGATTTGCCTATATCCGAAGACATGGAAGAGGTTGATAATATAATTATCCATACCTTTCGCCAAATCGGCTGGTAAGATAATTAGATATATTGATCAAGGCATAAAAGGGAAACGATGTTTTTTTTCTGCGGCTGGCTTGACTCAAAATCGGCCTCCGAGTCCGATCCACTGCATTGACAATGACAGTCAGCAATTTGTAATGTCAGTGACTAGTGAGTGCTCAGCTTGCCTTAAATTATGGCCAATCGTTACAAACTTACAGCAGCCGTAACGCTATTTTCAATAAGGCATTGCAACAACTAGACATCATTACTGCGAATCTAGCTGAGCAGAACGAGCTCAAAAACTGCAAAACCTCTTTTATTTGGGGGGGGGGGGCGGGGTTTGTGTCTGTTATTTTTCTGTTATTATTTTAATAGTTTTCTTTACTTTTGTGTTTTTCATTGAGTCGTTCTTTTTATTTATTAATTTTTGGGGTGGATTTCAATTTCGGAAAAATTCTGCCAAACGGACACCACTTACCTGCCGCCAAACATCCAAATTTTCACCTTACCTTGTGATTTCAACCAAGAGGAATCCAGGAAAGAGTGGACATGCGAAAAAAAATTGGTAAAAATGTGTTTTTGGAGCACATTTTGCATGCACATGTAGTGCAGATCCGAGTTGAAGCAGCCGGTCAAAACTGATTGAAGTGTCTGGAACAGCGGTACGTTATACGCATGACATCGATAACCATGACGTCGCATGAGACGTCGCATGAGCCGGCCAATGGGGGCAATGATAGTGCAATACGTCATTATGAATATTTATTTTCTCATGAATATTTAGTTTATTTCAATGGATACTTCAAATACGTCCAAAGATTGATCATTGCAACAGCGATCGTGCGCGGCCTAGCGGTTAAGAGACTCATGTATCAAGCAAGCGTCCGAGGTTCGAATCTCGATGAAGTGAGCGACTGATTGATAAATAGAAATTAAGGAAAGGAGGGGTGAGAGTAGAGGAGGGAAAGTGGAGGGAATAACCATAAAAGAGGTAACTTTTGGCGCTAGAAACTTAATTGAAAAAGTGGTGTCCGGTTGGCAGAATTTTTCCGTTGATAGTCTGGTTATAGCTCCCAAAAATCATATGCATCCCTATGAGAATTGTTTTCGTTTTGCTGAAAGAACAGTTACTTTTTGTGATCCATGGAATGAACTTTAAATCGGTGTTAGTGTTCAAAATGTCGTAAGTCCGTAACTTGAAAAGTACATGAGTGATCTGAATGATTCTTTTACTAAAAGAAAGCTGAACAACTGGGCTTTCATATCCTAGATTTTGAAAGTGCTACGGGCAAAACTTCCTTCAAAAATTGGTCCTGCCATTTGGGATGCGTTTTTTTTTTACTCAAGCTGTGTAGTACTGCTGTTTAATTTCACGCCTTCCCTGATGATCTCTTGTGCAGTGACATTGAGGAAGATGTGGTCAGCTTGCGACAGTTCTCCACCGAGCTGATCATCAAGGCCACGGTCCGATGCCTGAAGATTATCGATGATTCCACCAGCCTTCCCCTGACACTGCCCCCAGGCATGTCAGCCCGTTTCCGCATGGGAACAGACCTGGCTAATGCCCTCGTGGTTGGTAGACTTTTGATTTTATGTTCTTTCGTCCTCTACCACACTTGTATCTTGATGTTATTTTTAATTTCTAACCAAAACAATAAAGCATTACATTTTCTTAGTGTGCATCTGGTGAGGATTTACGTGTTAGTTTTATCAATATATCTTGAAGACGAATTTATTTACCGTGATTACTATGGTTAAAATACCTTGAAACAAAAGCAAATATTTCGGACACTGAAGTAGTTTGTTAAATGGCAACATAGCAACTGGCTCTTAACCCATTACCACCTGTATCACATTGTATGACATTGTGGTCAATCATTGAAAAATCAATAAAACCATGCTTGGATGGTTTCAGCCGCTACAGTGAGTAATAGGTGGTTTTGTAGAGAATGTCACATTTCTTAAAAGTTTCTCTCTGCATTACTTTAGTTTGATTTTTTATGAATTACATTCTTGGCTCTGTTGCAAAGAAAGATCCATGTAGATTATGAATATGCATGTCCTGCTTATGTACATCATAGTTAGCCCTCCACTTTCCAACGTTTTCTCATTTAGTCCTTAGGGTACAAGGGTGAGATGGGGTACCAGACATTTCTGTACTCCAATGAGGCAGACATTAGACGGGTGCTGATGTTCCTGGTTGAGAAGCTACCCAAGGACACTGCAGTCACCTCGGATGAGCCACTAGGTGAGGCCTTGACCCTTGACCCTTTGTGTTCTTGAGCAGGGCACTTTGCTCCAATCGCCCATTGCCACCCATTTAGTGACTAGGAGTAATGGGGCCATGGAAGGTTTCTTCCAAGCCTAGAATAGCACAGAGGTAATGGAGGCCATGGCCTTGGTTTTGGACAAATTTATCCCTCAAAAATTTCCTAAGGGACGTTTGGATTGTTCAAGCACCTCTGGCTGTGAAGAGCAAAAGTGAACTTGCCCCTTTAAGAAAAATAAATTCAGCATCTGTTATCAAAATCCAGAAGGTAAAATTGTCTTTGGAAAAGATTTATTGGAATACTAACCAAATGCAACAGGAATTTTAACATCGCATTCTACTATAATGAAAATCAACATTGTTTTTCTGTAACTTTTAGGAAAATCTGCACTGCTGAGTCGTTCCATAGCAGCCTGCATTGCGGATCAGATACAGACTCCCTGGCTTCCGCCGTGCTGTAAGAAGCGAGGGATCAGATGGAGAACTCCCAAACAATGGAACAGGGAGGTGGGTTAACACATTTGTTGAACATTGAAAATGTTTGCTTTGCAGGAACTGACCAAGTGTTATGTGTAGAACACTGCAGTGAGTTGCTGTCAGCAGGTGTTTTGCCTGTCCCTGTCCCAGACAGCTGAACGAGGGAGTAAGTACTGCTGTGGCAACTCATAATGCTGCTCAGGATACATATTTGCTGAACATGGAAAACAAACCGATTAATATGTGAAGTTTTTTACCGTGAGTGGTTCTTACCGGTTTTTTTTGCATAATAGCGTATAATCAAGTCAACTGAATGTGGCTTACTTTCTTGTGTACACCCCTTCCCCACAGTTTTTCACAGTTCATGGGTAATGTGGAGCACCATAATCTAGTGATTACGGTGTTCGACTCGTGTGCTGTGGTACATGGGTTTGAACCCCAACAGGGAACATGGCCCTTGTGTTCTTGGGCAAGACACTTTACTACAATTATCTCTCTCCACCCAGGAGTGTAAATGGGTACCTGTAAGGGTAGAGACTAGATTGCGCTGATCTCGAGCTGCTGCAAAAAAAAATGGTCTCATGGTCTGATGAACAGGGGTAATAATTGTGAAGTGTTATGCTCACAGGTTGTCTTGTAGTAGCCAGCTCATACAACCTACAATTTGTATAAAACCTAATAGAGAAAGGTGCTATTCTTCCCTTGCTGTGTTAGGGTGCAAGCGGCGCACACTTGTATCACAGTGTTGCTGTCACTGTACCAAGTGGACTCGATGACCTCTCTAGGAAAATACCAAAAGGTGAGCCAAACGTTACATCACAGATTACTTTGCCGTACATTTTAATCCACATAAGCCATGCAAAATAATTGTAGGTTAGCCCATGTGTCACTAAATGGTATTTGACAAGAACAATTTACCGATGCTTTCTCAGTTCAGACCATGAAAGGGCCAAACTCTCGCCAGAAATTTTCCTTTCTTCATAGTTTAACACAATCTAGCTTTCACCCATTCTTCAACACTCACATTTTGGACACCTTCAGTAATTAATGCCTTTTTTATGTAAGATGAATTTGAGCTAAAAACTATGAAATAATTTATCGTGAGGCTTATCACATAATTCTTTAGATTACCGTTTGCTGAAATTGAATCCAATTTACAAAGGATCCTCTTTACTTGTGAATACATGTGACTCAATTAACAATAAAATAATCATTAATTTTGATATGTCCCCTTTCACAGAGGTCAAAAGCTACTACTCCAAAGCCCTGCCATTGGTGTCGCAGCAGCCGCCGCGTCACGAAGACACAGCGGCATCGCTGCTTGAAACCAACGCGGCCGAGGTGACAGCAGCCCAGGAATGGGAGACGGAATGGAACAGCGTCGGACTGCAGTCCAGACTAACACAACAGGTAACACATGCCAGATTGTCTGCATCCAGCTGAAAACTGTAGTTTGCTGTGACCCGACGGGGGTGGAGCCTCAAATCAAAAAGAAGGGGCTGTTTGAGGAAAGTGAGGACACTCTTCTCCAACCCCCTACCCCCCTCACCCATTCAACCCTCCCCTCACCCGTCCAACCCCCCTCATCCATTCAAACCCCCCTCACCCATTCAACCCCCCTCACCCGTCCAAACCCCCTCATCCATTCAACCCCCCTCGCCCATTCAACCACCCTCACCCATTCAACCACCTCACCCATTCAACCCCCCTCACCCATCCAACCCCCTCACCCACTCAACCCCCCTCACCCATTCAACCCCCTCACCCATTCAACCCTCTCAACCATTCAACCCCCCTCACCCATTCAACCCCCCTCACCCATTCAACCCCCCTCACCCATTCAACCCCCCTCACCCATTCAACCCCCCTCACCCATTCAACCCCGCTCACCCATTCAACCCCCTCACCCATTCAACCCCCCTCACCCATTCAACCCCCTCACTCATTGAGCTCCCTCACCCATTCAACCCCCCTCACCCATTCAACCCCCCTCACCCATTCAACCCCCTCACCCATTCAACCCCCCTCACCCATTCAACCCCCCTCACCCATTCAACCCCCTCACTCATTGAGCTCCCTCACCCATTCAACCCCCTCACCCATTCAACCCCCCTCACCCATTCAACCCCCCTCACCCATTCAACCACCCTCACCCATTCAACCCCCTCACCCATTCAACCCCCCCACCCATTCAACCACCTCACCCTTTAAACCCCCTCCCCATTTAACCCCCACCCCTTCACCCCTCCCCCAACCCCTATGTAATCTAATATTTTGGAGGATTTGGAAAGGTTCCATGCATAAATTCCTTTGAAGTTAGAAATACAATTTGAGGAGATTGATATTAGCTTTTGTCCTTTACCAACGTATGTTTTAAGCGCTGTATACTCTCAATTCCATCTTACAAGATTCACTCCTCCACTATTAGGCCAAGTAAAAAAATATACCAGTTTCAGGCATGCAAATTTTCCTTGGATCCGCTGATTTCCTCGTTTTTTTTACAACACTGTACAAAGTCTTGTGTGGTTTGGAATTTCCTCGTTTTGTCTAAATTCTCAGTTGCATGCCTGCAGTTTCTCATCCCTGCCTTCTTCTTTTTTCCCGCCTGCTTCCTTTTTTTCTAACAAAATTATAGCTATGCAGAAAGGATGACGGCTCCGTTGCACACAATTCTGTATCAGCAAAACAGTCGAGAAAATGGAAAAATCCATCCGCCATCTTGGAAAATCTGCCATCGTCGGGTGAAAAAAAGCAGCATCCTTCATTAAAAAAAAAAGTGGACAAAAAACAAGTGGTTTTTTTTAAAACTTTGCCGTACTAATATATCATCTTACAAGGGGGGCGTTTGCTTATAAAACTCTATTGATCAATTTAAAACAGGAGTACAAGGCTCGTAAGAAGGAACGCCTGCAGAAGAAGATCGCCACTCAGCTGCAGCAGGACGTTCAGAAGGCCGAGGCTGGAGGAGTGACAGCAGCAGGCGGAGCGGCGGACCTGCTGCAGTTCCTGAGCAACTTCAGCGACAAGACACCCGGCAAGCAGCAAGGCAAGGGGTCCAGGTTCACTCACACCTCCAAACTGCAGTTTGCTCAGGTAAGGAGTCACGTGTTGGTACGGACGCTGTACTGAAACGGTAGATGGTGAGGCTTGTGCAGTGTTGTAACCCTAACGATTCCCAACCAGCCAAACTCCAACACCAGAGTTTGTTGGAATCTGTTATTGGTGTGCGTTCTTTCAGCAAAACGCAAATAATTCACACACATCCTTATGTGATTTGTTTTTGTTTTGCTGAAAGAACACTGAACTTTTTGTGATCCGTGGACAGAACTTCAAAACGGTGGTTGTGTTTAAAACTCCGTAACTTGAAAAGTACATGAGTGATTGGAATGATTCTCGTACTAAAAGAGAGCTTATGAATTGGGCTTTCAAATCCTAGATTTTGAAAGTGCTACATGCAGAACTTCACTGAAACAATGGTCCTGACATTTGGGTTTCGTTTTTTTTACTCACCCTGTACTGCACTAAACTGACTGTGCTTTACATGGGATTAGGCATACCACAAATAACCAGAGTCCAACTGTTTATGTGTTCAGTTTACCATATGATGTTGGGATTTGCAAGGATGAGGAAGGTTCCTAGTAAATCACCCCAGGGAGTAAGGGTTAAAGAATCACTGAATTTTGTGACTCGAGGTGAGTTGAGCCATTCAGAGGCAGTCATCCGAGTCACCTTGAGCAGTTAGGTAAAAAGATTGCTCCATCTTAATTTAGTATTCAAAAACTGAGAATGGTTTGATGTACTTTTTAGTTTCTGGTTCAGGGACGATGATTTATGTAATTCTATTTACAAGGTAGAAGCCTGCATAGTATGAGGCATTATGGCAAGCACCTTGCAAGTGCAAGTGCATTTGTTTAGGATACTTTCCGGATTTGGCCATAAGGGCTCATTTGCTGGCAGTGACTCGAGTCCAGTTCAGACGTTTGCCTGTTATGACTCGAGTTGAGTTGAGTGGAGACACAGAAAATGTTTGACTTGAGTGAGACTCGCGTCAAGTCGGCGACTGAAGTCATTACAACTCTGGCTTTGTGATCGCTCAAAACAGCTCAAGTATCATAGACACTGCATAAATATTATTAAGATTATTATTTGTATACCGAGGCTTAAGGTGATATGCTGATTGTTCTCATGTTCTTTTCAGGATGATGACAAGGCCATCTCCCAGATGGGCATCGGGGAGGGCGTGCCCAAGGCCGACACGGAGGAAGAGCAGCGACAGAAGAGAGAAGACGAACAGCAAGGCCTGCGAGATCAGCTGACCCAACTGACCAATCAGATGGACGGACTGGAGCTGGACATGAAGAAATTCACGGCTGGAATACAACAGGTAATAAAACAAAGGAGAAAAATCCCTTTCAAGCACATGACGCTATTAGAGAAGCTCCTAACTTGTTTTTTTCTCTTTGGGTTGCAATAGATGGAGGAACAGAAGAATCTCGAAGAACGCAGCAGTGAAGAGAAAAATGACGCCTACAGAGTCAAAAAGAGAACCATGGATCTTCTTCCTGATGCTGAGAATAACATCGCTAAACTACAGGTATGCAAACTGTTTAAAGCCAAAGTCCATCATTTGCAGCTATCCAAAAAGTAACTGGCGTAATTATTGTTGAAAAACATACTTGGTTGAAAGATAGTAAGGGGACTAAACTCCCTGTGAAATTATTCTTTCTGGCAAGCTGTCATTTTGAAGAAATCAACAAAAGCAGGCCTTCGTAGGAATTTCAAATTAGTAGTTCGTTTTGTTATTCGGCGAAGCGCGCGCAAGCATTGGCACGACGCACACGCGCGTGCGATTGCTGTAAATCGTCGGATCAGTGCCCGACATTGCGTAGCTGCAATCGGCTCAGTGAGAACGTGTCTTGGACGCTGAATTCAGGCCCAATTCAAAACATGATTCAGCAACTTTTGATTTGAAATCAAGATCCTAGAATGTTGTTTTTTTCTCGAAATAGACAGCTCAAGCTGAGCTGAAAATTCATCAGGTTAGTTGTTCAGCACCCTTCTTTAGATCATGAGCACTTTTGTTGCTTCAAACGAACAAATTGCACAAATTACAAATGATGGACTATACCTTTAACAAAATTAATTGTTCTACATGTCTGACCGAATTGAATTTGTAATTTGCACTGTAAACATAACGCTGTGATTATATTTCTGTCATTTTGTTGTTGTTTTTTCCTCAGGGGGTAGTTGAGTCTAGTGCCCAGCGCCTAGTCAGTCTAGCGAAACAGTGGGAGAAACACAGGGCTCCGCTGATTGACGAATACCGCACACTGAAGGAACAGAATGCTAACAAAGAGGTAACCCAAACGTAGGGAATATCTGAGAAGTGAGGCTTAGTATTGATTGGTTCCGTTTGCATTTTTATAAGGATTATTCCGATTCTTGCAAAAATCAACCATTTTGCAGGAACCTATTCTTTGGTCTTACCCTTGTAAGGATAATCGAGTCCCATTAAAAGTAATGATACTTGCCAGTTCCTTTATCCTTAGAAATCCTCCAAACTTAAATCTGGGAATGTTACGGTTAAAATACAAATCTACAACCTCCTGCTTATAACAACAAGACTGTTTTAAGCACTAAACTCTTGACCAGTGTCAGCTTCTATTATTTGTATTATTTTATGATTAATTATATCTGGTAATGAAACCAAGGATTCCTTAAAAGCGCCCTAGGCTCTGTAGCTCGCAAGCCTGAAGAAACCTGTAGAGAGAAGACAGTGAGAAGAAATCGCAGTATAAGATGTGGCAGAAAAAGCCAAGAAGAATATTCTGGGGAAAACCCACGGAATCAGGCAGGGACTGAAAACCCAATCCATATGTGGCCAGGGCAGGAATCTAACCCGGGTCACAGCGGTCAAGGGCGGATCCAGAACACAATTTGGGGGGAGGGCCAAAAAAAAATTTTGGTCCCCCCAAAAAAGTGGGTATAAAAAATTACGGCGTGGGGTTCGGGGCCCGTTAGGGCCCCGAAAATTTTTTGGATTCTAGATGCTCTGTGGTGCGATCTGAGGCAATTTCTGACCACTTTAACCAATTTTTTTGAGGAAAAGATGGTGGTGTACTCATTGCCTGCCTTTATTGCGATGTCACATTAAAAAAAAAAAAAAAATTGGTTTCGTTTTGGGGGGGGCCATGGCCCCCTTTGGCCCCCCCCCTGGATCCGCCCTTGACAGCGGTGGAAGGCGAGGAACGAACCACCTGCCAACCTGACCGGGCGCCTCCTAAGAAACACACACTGAACAACTTTCAACTGTATTTTGGTTCATTCGCATCCAGACTATACCAGTCTCACTTATTGTTTTGTTGGTTCTTTTTGGCAGAGCGAATCGTTGAAGAAGTTGGAGGACATCCAGGAATTGAGAGACAGGATGAAAGAAGTGGTGGATGAGACAAGAGGCAAGGAAGAACTACACAAACAATTGGTAGGATTCCATATGCCAGTGTTGTAGTAGAGTTACTTGAGTCGAGTCCGAGTCTTTTGCAGATGGGCTTGAATTAATTTGGAGTCACGGAAATTGTGACTTGATACGGACTTGATATGAACTCATATAGTGGTGTTCCCTAAAGTGGCGCACTTTGACGTCCCCCCCCAAAAAATTTCCTCGTGCAGTGTTGCCACACTTCTTTGTAGACAAACTTCAAATTCATTCAGTTAAATACTGGTACTTTTACCTTAATAATGCTTGCTGTTGAACCTGTTGTGAACAATTTCAGTGTCATGAAATTTAGTCCAAAACTCACAAAAGGCACAAAATTGGCTGAGTGTTCCCTAACGTGGCGCACTTGAACAAATCTCGGAGAATCCCACGTTAACATTTAAGAATTTCTTTAAAGTTAAAAAAAGTCTCTGATAAACCATTACTATCTCTTCTCACATATTCAACTTGAAGTTTGTCAGAAAATTATTTTCTTATTTTTTGGGGCATTTGTGTGGAAAATCACAGCAAAATAAATTTCTCTGCTAACTTTGTAACGGGTCGGTAAACTCAAGATTTATAAATGGGAACGTTTAGAGCTTGATAAAATTTCACTTACTGTGAAATTTCGGGTAAATTTGTATAAATGGGAACGTTTAGAGCTTGATAAAATTTCACTTACTGTGAAATTTCGGGTAAATTTGTTGCTCTAGCAAGGCACTAGAGGCAAAATATCCAAGTGTGCCACGTTATGTGCCGTGCTACGTTAGGGGACATAAAATACTGCTTTTAGCAGAGACAAAATAAGAAAGAGATAGAAAACAGAGTACCTAGTAGTTTCAATTTTTAATGAACCATTCCTGTTTTTGGCCATATAAGCCCTGCCCACCTTTAGTTTTGAGATATTTCGCACAGTGTTTGTGACCGAGTTCGACGGATCTACCAGAGCCACTTGACCAAAAGTTGTGATCTAAGAGGTCTATGTGCACTGGCGAATTAACAAGCAGGTAGAATACAGATTTTAAAAAATGGTCCCTTTGTAATATCACAATTTTGTTTGGTTCCAGGTTTCGGAGTATGAGCGTATGACCAAGGACGTCAACCGGTCAGCCTACACAAGAAGAATTCTGGAAATTGTGGCCAATATCAAGAAGCAGAAACATGAAATTCAAAAGGTATTCTATATTTTTAAAATTTCTTTTTGGCATTAAATTTCTTAGAATAATTTTTTTTGTATAACTTGTGGTCAATGGCCACAGAAATTGAAAAATTGGAAGAAAGACAATAGTAATCTGGATAGCTAAGTTGGTAGAGCACTGATACATTATATAGGGGGTTGCTGGTTCGAGTCCCCCTCAGCCATTGATTTTATTCAACTGAAGTGAGTGAAAGGTTCACTTTACCATTATGATAGACAAGAAAGATCGAGGAACTCATAAGACTATAATACTTTCTTTGGTTTAGGTTCTTGTAGACACTAAGACACTACAGAAAGAAATCAACCATATGTCAGGAAAACTAGACCGGACCTTCACTGTCACAGACGAACTCATTTTCAAGGTAAGATATAAGTTGATAAATTTCCCCATATGAAAAGCAAATAAAACACTACATTTAGCTAACTGCGGGTGTGACTACAGTATGTAAAATATTTGTAGTAATGTGCAAAATATGTAAAAGAATGTATGTAAAGACTTAAAATCTATGAAATGTGAATGCAACATAAGTTTTAGTAATTTTATATTTTTCTTATTAATCCACAATATTATTTCACATTTAAAAACGTGAATTTTCAAAAGTGTGAGCATTTCAACTATGTTCAGTTAAACAGGTAACTAAATTATAAACACCATTAAAAAATGTATGGATTCAGAAGCATTGTTTCGTTTTTGTTAAAAAAATTTTTTTTTACGTTCTTGTTAATTTATTTTGCAGGACGCTAGGAAAGATGAATCAGTTCGCAAGGCATACAAGTACCTCGCAGCCCTCCATGAGGTAAGATGACAAATTTCCTTTTATAAAGGCTTCATATAATTTCTGTCTATTCCAATTTCCCCTTTTGCAACACTTATTTATCATTAAAAAACACATTTGTGTTAAATTCCAGAATTTCGATCAGCTCATTAAAACCGTGGAAGACACCGGCAGTATTGTCAGGGAGATCCGAGACTTGGAAGATCAGGTAAAACCCCAAATTTTATTTTTCATGAAAGTTTTCATTAGTCTCTTTTGACGGTATAAGGAACAGTAGATTTTGGCCATGACATGAACAGCTATAGAGCAGTCTAAGTCGCCCACTTTTTTTCCATTACTGGGTTGGCTTTAATCTCACTTTGGTATTTTACGCAATGCACTCCTCTTGAGTGAAGTGTACTTTACATAACTCTCGAGGACAGGGCATTGTATTTCCCTTTGTTCTTATAATATAACACTCTCCCACAGACTAAGCACACAAAGCCACGATCGAGGACGGCTTTCAACAAAAGATGAACTTTCGAGGACAACAAAAGAATCTGTTGTTCTACCTTTGTGTGTCTGTCCTCGGGGTGTATGTAAAGTACATACACTCAGGCATGCTAGTGTCCCAGTATTGGCTACCAGAACTGTCACCATAGTTTCAAAATCGGATTAGGTTATACCTAATATTCAGTTTTAATGAACATCCCTAATGGCTCCCAAATCTCATTTGCAAATGTACCAAGCATGGGTGGCTGAAAATCGGGCAAAAGGAAAGGAAAAACGGCATACTGGGCAATCTTATCTGAAATCTGCTGCGTGTGCTATAGCGATGTTCTAGTCTATTGTGCTGACATTTCTGTTATACAAACAGCACAATAATTCAGAACTCTGAGAAAAATTGTTTCTCCTTTTCTGGTGCAAGTCAATATTGAATGGAATTTTTTTTATAATTTTTCGTTTTAGATTGAAACCGAGAGCAACAAGAAGACCATTGCCAACCTGCAGAAGATTACTGCCGACTACAAGGAGATGAAGAAAGAGAACGCTACTCTGATCGCAAAAGTCAAAGGCAAATGAGACGCCATGATGAGAACCAATGTTAATCACAAACAGTTATCTCTGTGCTGCTTCTGCCATTAACCTCGTAACTGTCAACTTTATCCTAGCTATTGAATTTTTCTAACAGCTCAGTACTTTTTATATTTTGCTAGTTCCCCATACTTTGTCTTCGCAGTAATGGCACCATTTGCAAAAAGAAATGTGTTTCTGTTGATTCAAGGAATACAAGAAAGCAGGCTATTCGCTCTTTTCATGCTCCGCCATTGGGAATGCACAGCCTCGATCTGGCAACTTTACACAATAAAAATAGCCGGTTCAGTGATCTGAACCCCGACACGGGAATCACTGAACCGGCTATAGTCATTGTGTAAAGTTGCCAGATCGAGGCTCTGCATTCCCATGGCGAAAGTGTGAAAAGAGTGAATTAAAATATTAACCTGTCGAAATTTCAGCTCAGTATATTTTTAGTACTCAATACTTTTTGGGAAAACTGTGAACATTGGTCTTCATTTTTCTGGACATAAAGCATAATTTTCACTTACAATCATGATGGTTTGGCCATAGCCATCACAAGGAAATGATAGTAGTTTTTCTTTTCTCGAAAAATTGACAGCCTACTAGGCGCACTGATTTCACAGGCTGCTTCATCCTATTATTTACTTACAGTCAAGTAGGATATTCATGATATTTTGACAGTTTCATTTTTGAATCTTTGCAAATAGTGTCAATACCTATAAGAACATGATCGGTCCAGATGTAACATTCTGATATGAACTGAAAAGAAAATACAAATGGATGTGTTTTAATATATTTTATTTCAGAGATGTAATTCCACTTTTCACATGTTTCTGTTGGAAGAGTTATGAAGTATGATCTTTGAAAAACACAACAAATATATTTTATTTTGATTTAAATCGAAGAACATGTGTATTAAAGCAAGGTTTAAAGAAATCTGTTTGCTCTTTTTTTTTTTTTATAAAAATGCGGCCATACAGAAAGCAATTTTTAAGTTAGCCGTCTACGGCCTGACAAAAATGTCATTTTACTTCATTCTACTGTGCATCATCCTTACAGCATTTTTTTTTTTTTAAATAGTATGCCGAAGATGTTCTTTTCACTGAGTTTTGTAACTTGCCAATATGATATAAATCAGTGAAACAAGAAGGTAAAGAGTAGAGAAAGAATGTGCATCCTGACGCCACTTTTTTCATTATATATTATCTCAGCGAAGGTCAGTCATTGCAAAAATGTTAAAAAGACATGAATCTAGGACTGAATTTGTTTTCCAATTTTGTTAGAAAATACCCTAAAAATGCACTCGACTCTCCATAGACTTTGATCACAACCAAAGAAGTGGCGTCTGGATACTACATTCTTCCCAAGAGTTGTATCCATAATTCAATAAATCCAAACAACATTGAAGCGCTATTATTATGATCATGTATGTACAAAGAAAAATAAAGTTATATTTGATAAAATGAGCGACAGTTTGCATTTTCAGTGACATTTCACTGTTTACAAAATCGCTGTATGAAAGTTTTAATGTTTAACCAAATTAACTAAACAAAATAAACAAATGTATGTTAATTACTTTATATGAATATTAAATAAGATACAGTTAGATGAAACTATACTAATAAGTCTTTCTTAATTTATCCACCTTCAACATTCGTCTATCTCATATTTTGGTATTTTTTTGCTAACATCAACAGCAAAGGCAACTCTGTAGATCGAAAATGATTTCCTTCGAGTAAAAAACTTATTCTGGTAACTCTTTTCAGAAATAATTTTCAACTGTCAGAATAAAATTCACCCAATACTACTAAATAAACTTTATATTATGTACATTACCACCCACATTTCAGCCTTAATGTTGACCTTTTGTTATTAATTCAAACAGATTTATTTGTAATAAACTGCAATTAAATATTTGACAGCCTCTCTACAGCGTTGACATCATAATTAATTATGACCTTTGACCTTTAATGTCAGCCCATGGCAACAGCCATGTCTGAAATGCGCTCCAGGAGCTATGGATGTGGCTATTGTCGTGTATTTTTAATTGTCGACGACCTAGCCAATAGTGCTCATATGCTGCCTAATGTTCACTTGCTTCCCTTCCGCTGGCCGTTGGGCTGATCTTTGCCGTTCTTACTGACCGACTCTTTATTGTAGTCTTCCAGCACGGCCTTCCCAGTGTCCTTTGCGGCTCGCTTGGCGATGGCCTTGACTCCGATGTGATTCATGTTGTAGGCGCTCACTCCAATATTTGTTGCAGCATCAAGGGTGGTGTCGGTGAAACGTGCTGCATCATTGCCATATCTGAAACGAACAAGTTTATTTTTTGAAAACTTTTAACCCTGAATCCCTTGGAATTTATGATGGGCACCTCCCTTTAAAATCCTCTTTCATTCTCCCTTGTGTAGGAAACCAATGACGTATTTGGTGCTGACGTCGATGTTAAGCGTTTGATGTCAACTTGTCAGTGAATATGAACACCATGCAAAAAAAAACCTACTTTGCAAGTCATGAATTTTTACTCAATTTAAATCTCCATGATAAGCCTTATAGTAAAAATGTCACTTTTATTCCACAAATCATGTTTACTCACTTGTGTTGCACAACTTCCACAGTGGCATTGGAGATGCTTTTGGCCAAGGATTTTGCCGCTGTCTCCAGCCCACTGTAAACGGTCCCGAAACCTGCAGGAAATGACAGTGATGTCCCCAGTTACTGGCCTACCATTAAACCATGTGAACTCTAGTTTGATGCTTTGAGAAAAGGTTCCAAAAGGTCGTTTCAAATTTTAAACTAGTAAAATTAACAAATGTTGGTGTAGAGTGTGACTGTCCAAAAGAAGCAGTATCTACCAAAGACAGATATGAATCAAGTTAAAGATGCTGACTTTTTGTGTCCTCGAGCAAGGTACTTTACACCAACTGCTTCAATGTACTTCGTACAAAAGAAGCATTTAGTGGCAGATTTTGTTAAAAATAGAAGTTCATTGTATTTTAGTAAAGCTGAAGATGCTGACTTTTGTGTGCCATGAATAACATGTCTACTCCACTTGCTTAAATGCACTAGAGATGGAGGGTGCATTTAGTGGCAGAGTTTGTTTGCAGTGTTTTGGTGACTATTTTTTATAGTTCTCATCGTACCTCGTAGACTGCTCGCTGCGACCTCCACGACCCCATCCAGCGTTTTACTCCTCTTGCCGTCCGGTTGGTCTTTGCTCTTCAAGAACTTGTCGCTCTGCTCCTTGATGTAGGGGCTGGCCTCCTGAGCTAGTCTCTTTGTCAAGTAGCACAGGCTGTCTACTACGGCCCGACTCACCTACAAGACAGAAAGAATTAGAAATGTACAAGAAATACAATGATTCATAAACAATACAACCAGCTTGTGAAATGAGTGGAGCAAAATAACTTTGGGAGTCCTTCAGTTATCTTCTCTACACCGATGTACACAACATGCAGTGCCTTTAAATGTTCGTTCGCATATTTAAATTTGGTTGACCTCATGTCAGATGTCGGAAGGACAATGATACCTTAACCATCTCTGACTCTCTATATTATTGTAACTAAATAAATAAATTGTAATGCTTTTATAGCACTTTACATCATATCAACAATCTCAAAGCTTTACAATTATTCCCCCTTTCATCAGGCCACGAGACCACGCGGAAGCCCATATCAGCGCACATTTGGTCCTCTACCCTCCCAGGTACCCATTTATACTCCTGGGTGGAAAGAGGCAATTGTATTAAAGTGTCTTGCCCAAGGGCACAAATACCATGTTCCTGGCAGGGTTCGAACCCAAGCACCATCGTACCTGAGTCAGACACCGTAACCACTGGACCATGGCAATAATATACTGAATGGGTAATTACCTTAACCAACTCAGTTGTTTTGTTCAGAAACTCTGTCCAAAACACCAATGAAAACAATGCAACACTTGACCAAGTAACAAGCCTGCCAAGTGTAACAAGTGATCTAACAGGTCAAAGTCCCATTTAAGGCCAAACTGCCGCAGAGTTCATGGTTGCTCGCTGCAGCAGGATACAACAATTGCATCATTCAATGGGACTAGCTTCCACTTTTTTAGAATTGGCAGTTGATTAGCTGGTGTTGATGACCCAATGTAACAGACCCCACAGACTTGTACACCTGCTGCACTGTGTTGCACCTGGCAGGCTTATGAGACAGTGATAAGACTATTGAGTCCATACCTTGACGGCCACCACTGATGCCTTTTGTGCATACTCGGCCCCTGTCTGATACTTCTCCTCAATCTCGGCGGGTATCTCGTTTGTCTTCAGGTTCTGTTTTAATTTCTCCTTGCCGACGCCGATCAGATAGTTGGTGGCCTCCGCCCCCTTGCCTAACCCCCAGCTGATCCACTCGGCACCTGTGGGTGATTTCAAGTATTTAGAATCATAAAACAATCACCCACAATAACATTGTTATACTTTTTCACGATATCGAAAGGTCATGTCAGTAATATCTTGTGGTACATCTTCAAAGTATTGTAGCTTCACATGAGGAACACTTCACAGTACCACAGCGCTTGGAACACAAACAATTTATGGATGAAAGGGGGCAAGGTATGCATTATATTGATAACTTTTAGATTTTAGGGTCAACACAGCCAAAAGAACTCATCGTCATTTTCCAACTAATATCACGATAGTCCAATAATAATTCAATCCCACTTAGTGGTTAGGGTTTTTGACTTAAGATCAGGGGGAAGGGGTTCGAATCCTTCTTCTGGCCATATGTTGTGTCCTTGGGCAAGCCACTTCACCACCACTTGCCTCTCTCCACCCAGGAGTATAACTGAGTACTGGGGAGTAATCTGTGATGGCTGGCATCCCATCTAGGAGAAATAGAATTAGTCTCATTTGTTTCATGTCACTGAAAACGGAGAAAAACTCAAGCCCGATGAGCTACAAAGGTACGGAAAAGATTTCATTTTTTATGCCCCTCACCAATGGCGATGCCTTTGGCTATCTTGGTGCTCACTTGCTCTCCCTCCTCCCTCTCTTCCTCTGCTTGTTCCCGCCCCTCAGAAGGTCGATATCGAGGGGGAGGTGGTCTGGGTGGGGCTACCTGTTGCTCTCTCAACACCGTTAGCTCTTGGATTGCTTGCTCAAATGCTTGTATCTTTGCTCTTTGTCAAAAAAAAATGATAAGGCTCCAGTTTAGCATTTGGACAAGAGATTTCTATAACAAGGTTTTTCCAATGTCTATGTGAGATTTTGCTGACTGGAATCAGTTAGACTGTGTGGGTAATTAAAAAATTCCATTCTGATGAGCGACAGACTTCAAGGATGATATAACTTTCCTTCAAAATACAGTGAAAGATTTGTTTTTCAGTAAAACTGATGACTACGGAAGTATAGATTAGATAACATCAAATAAAATGTTCTATGTACAGTTTGAAAAATCGGCTGTACATGTATGATAGTGAAAGAAATGTATGGACCTTAATCACAAGTACTGACTTTCTTGTCTTGTATTATTATTATTATTTTTTTTTTTTTGTACTTTGTACAGCCCTGCGTATTACTTGGACCACTTTGTGATTCAGGTGTCGTCCTGGGCTTAAATGTTCCTCGCTTTGTTCTTGCTTAATAATGTTTTCTATTCTGCTTGAATAAAGGTTGATATAACAAAGCTGCAATAAACTGAAGTAGCTAGATGCTAACCTGTCAATGTTAGGATCAAACATGACCCCAACGCATGCCCCAGGCACCCCTGACACCACATCTGGGAAGACGAATGCCCCCTGCCTACTCCTCAGAGCGGGGGACTCCCCGGGCACCAAGGGGTACAGCCAGTCATCCACTTGCAAAAACGCCGGCGGCTGATTGGCTGCGTCAACGAGTCGGCTGTCCTTGAATTTATAAATGCGCAGCGCCCCCGGGTGGCTGGGTGCAGAGACGTGACCCTCCGGGTTGATGAAGAATATCTGGACACCGTCTGGCACAGCGAAGATCTCAGATGCATCCGCTTGTGTCTGATCGTAAGATGGCGGTTGGTCCAGCTCAAGTAGCTCCTCCTCCATTCGCAAGTTTTCCTCCAATTCCTGCATGGTTCCCATGCTGAGGGTGCTGCGTCGTGCAGCTGAGGGCGCCCTCCGCGCCGCGTCGCGCTCCAGCTCCTCCAGTCGGGATTTCATCTGCCGAGCGGTTTTCCGCATCTGGCTCTGCATCTGGCGAGCGTCTTCCAGATCCCTGCCCCCCCTGGCCCCGCCACCCCCAAAAGGGATCTCAAGACCCTTGGCAAGATAGCTGAGGCCGTCGCTATACAACTGGATGGCTTGGTCCAAATTACCGGCTTCGTCCTGGGTCAGAGCATTGGTTATTGTCTGATGGGCTTTCTGGTGACACTTTCGAAGCAGGTTCAACTGGTTCTCCGATGCGGTGGTCACAGTTCTGATGCCGTTTTCCCGACACTGAGCCATGTTTCTTACTGACGGTTGTTAGTCTTCACTGTTTTCATTGCTGTCGAAACTGGAAGAAACAGAATTCAAATGATATTTAACAGTTATTTAACACTTAAAAGCGTGCTAATACAATTGAGTATGTTACCAAGTTGAAGAAACATAAACTATCATAAACATAAACTATCTGACTATGTCATTTTTAATGCCGTGTTTTTCACAAAACGAGAATAAATAAAGTATTTACTTTAATCATGAACATTCACATCCTTAAACTTTGTGGTGCAAACAACATGAACAAGTTTCCATTTGCATGTATTTATAATGTTAACATTACACGAAAAACAGCTATTACACTTCTGAAGTTCAACTCCCTAGAGAAACATCTAGGCCTACGTGTACATCAACTACATGTGGCGAACGGTACTAGAATTTAGAAGCGTGATGATGACTCATGCGAAAGTCTATGCCATCAATCCCATCATACTGACTATTACTGAGCTGTGCTGACTGATCTACGATTTGTAGGCCCTACATTTACCACTTTAAAATAGCTGAGCATTCCTTTTCCTCTTGTTTTAACTTCGAAATTATAGCTCCATGGTCCGACAGTCCGTAGTATTAGAATACAGGCTAGATCTGTACGATCACTCACAACACGAGAATGGAGGTAGAACTCTCGAACTACATACGTGTATTAACTTATTTAGTAAGAAACAGGAACAAGTATTATTGACATGTTTTCTTTCTAACAATTGAGGGCGCTTTTACGTGTACCGCAATAATAGAATTGGGGGAGGAGGACTGGGGGAGGGTTCGGGAGTTTGAGCGTGTGCCCGGCTCTCTAATAAAAATAATAACATTTATTCGGCAAATTGACAAATATACACACAATTACAATAAATACATAATATTTGATATTAAAACAAAAGGACATACATGTGATAAGAAACCAAGTAAACACTACACACGAAATACAGAACGTGGACCAAGGATAAGAACAAAAGTGAAACAAAACACTGTCGCCAATAGGGCGTGTCTCTCCAAATGACAAGCAAATGAGGGGTACGTGAGCAAAAATAAAAAGAACAAGCCCGATCTGCAATGAACAGTGCCCCCAATATTAAGTGATGTCCATCCCCGAACCCCCTCACATAACCCCAATCTTATCTCCCCCCCCCCCCTCCCGCTTAACATACTACCTCTCCCCCCCCCCCTCGATTTTTTTTCTTTTTGCATGATTCCGTCTATCCAATATTTTGCTATGCGATCAACAATGCTATTGACTTATCTGATGATAGTTGGTTCGTGCTTGTGCAGACCATTCGATGGAGGCTTATCGGCACCCACAGAAGCAGTGAGTGGACTTCGGACAGGGTAAATAAAACAAATTGCAAACACCAGTCACCCAGTAACCCTAATAAGCCTATGTCATAATATAAAAAAAAACAGTGCATTGATGAATTTAAAGCATATTTTCTGACCTTGTGAGCATTTACATGCCTCCGGTTTGTGGGTCAAAATCCACAATTTCGACAAACAAGTTTACAAAGTAAATACCCTTGAAAGTTCCGAGAAGCGAATTCCTCGATGATAAATATCTTTGGTTCGCATTCTTTTAACTTGGTTTTAGCCCGGACGAAATATATTCTTCACAGTAGGAACCTGTCATCCAACTCTCTGATTTAGAAGGATGATGGAGATAAATCTTGAACCGAGCAGCGCCGCGGAGCAGGGCCAATCGGCCCCGACGCCCCTGGTGCAGGGCGACTCGAACCCCCACTCCTGCCTGAGCAACTGGCGGCGCTGGATCCGACCGGCATTCTACGTAGCCTACGGACTGCTCGTCGCGGTGGCAATCCCCTTCATAATATTGGACATCGTGCACGCGGATGAGCGCAGTTTTCAGATTACATTGGCCGGGGTTGGCTTTTTTGCTATGATCATCTGTATACCCATATCGGTGTGGGGCATCATCAACCACACTGTGTGCTACACTAGACCGGACCTTCAGAAGTTCATCATAAGGTATGATGAGTTGGCCTTTTTTTCCGAATTTGGTAAACGAAAAACAAAATTGGCAATGTCCCTTTACTGCATTTGGATAACAACCTTACTTTCTTCTTTTTTTATAATTGCAGAATTTTGTGGTTGGTGCCAATCTACGAGTTGAACAGTGTAAGCATTGGATTTTTAAGTATGAAAATCGGGGATAATCATAATTATTATTTGAACATCAGGGGTACAACTCCCTTCCGTAAAAATAACAATAATATGTTTGGTTCAGTTTTATTTCCCAATAAAAACCAGAACAAAACTTGTTTGTTTGTTGTCCATTGCAGTTTTTCGCTCTACGTTTCCCCGCGGCGGAGATATATTTAGACACATTACGTCAGCTCTATCAAGCGTACGTCATCTACAATTATCTCTTCTACCTCCTGACTTTTTTCGAAGAGGTACCTGATTTTAAGGAGAGGCTGGTCGCCAAATCTCGGATCAAGTCCCCGCCTCCCTGCTGCTGTGTCAAGGCGGTCCCTAACCAGAGGTAATTGTGCAAAGAGGCGTGTCCAGGGGGCGTGGCACAGACACGCCACGCCCTGATTCGGAGTTATACCTTGCTCCTCCAAGTGAAAGAAACTGGAGTACATGTAGTGTATCCGGTTCGTAAGGGACTGTATACACGCGCACGCACAGCGCCCATTGGCCGGCAATATTTCAATGGTTCTGCTACTCCGTGTGCAGTGGGCGTGGTTTAAGAAATGACGTCACGCTTACCAAACAGATAGATCCCTTACATCTGACGTCACATCTGAGGACCTTTCTTTTTCCTCTGTGTGATAGGCACGCGTGAATATACAATATACAGTAACACAATCATGAAAGGTCAAAGAGTATCTGTAAAATGCGCGTCAATGCTGGCGCACAATTTTGTCATCTGACTCACGGTTTTTGTTGTTATTTCGCTTTAAAAATACTCTGTTCTTTTTAAAACCTTTAAAGCAATTTATTCCTTTAAGTTCCCAATTGAGGCTTTTGCTCGTGCTGAGCTCAAATAATGTATCACAAGTTGTAAAGTCCTGTTTAATTCGTTGGATTTGGTTATTCAGCAAATTTAAAGTCGGCTTTTTGTAAACCATGCTCTGATTTCCCCAGGATTATCAACCGATGCAAGAACGGAGTCCTCAACTACACGGTGATCCGAATTATCTTTTCCGTCATCTCAATGTAAGTAAATCTAGCTAACGTTTTAAAATGATCGAGGTTTCCCCCTTAGGAAAAAAAGCCATAAACTTAACATAAATGTTACACAGCATAACAGTGTCCACGTTAATCGGGTTAACACTACTCTATCTGAATGAGAGTACAAAATAAGACAAAAATCTTTAGGCTTTTGGAACTTTTTTTTCACGAAGGCCTATTGATGAATGCAGCTTCAGAAGCTGCTTCCTAAAGGCGTTTTTTTAATTCAAAAGCTATTGAGGACATCTCCATTTTGGACCAAAATGTTCCCCACTTTGATCATAAGCTAGGCTTGTGAGCACACAGAATGTTTTGAAGTTGCGTTCGTTCGAACCGTCGCGGTGTATTCATTCTTCACTTTTTTTTCTGTTCAAATCTCCGTAGAATCACCGATCTTACTGGTAATTTCAAGGAGGGTAATTACTCGCCCAAGTTCGCCTTCCTGTGGGTGACTATATGCGTTTCCATCTCCCAAGTTGTAAGTACATGTCCATCTGTCGTTGTGATAGACATTTTGATAGGCCCACAGGATGCCACGCCCTCCTTTTTCAGGCCGAATTCAAAGATCCTCAATTTGGCAGGTTTCTCTAAGTTGCAGGAGTGTGTCTTAAGGTTTTGAGAGGGGCATCTTGGTTACTTTTGAATACCTTATTTTTGTTGTGTATAATAATTTCACATTATTCTTGTGTCCCTGAGCAATACAATTTACACCAATTACTTCTTTCCACTCAGCTGCACTTTGCAATAAACCATAACTTAAACGACTGAGGGCGCTAGAGGGGGTTCAAACACGTACAATCAGAGGTTATTGTAGGCCTCTGCATGTTGCTATAACTCAAACATTCTATTTCATCCTTTCGTCTCCTCCCAGTGGGCAATCTTCTGCCTGGTTCTCCTCCGAAAGGCCACCCTGGAGGAACTCCAGATGCTGCCCCGCTCCAGATCCCAGTTCGTTGGTATCCAGGTGGTGGTCTTCTGCACGAACTTCCAGTCTGTCATCCTGACTATGCTGGCCCAGTTTGGAGCCTTGACGCCCAAACCAGAGTGGGGATATGAGACCCCCTTTGCCTTCGCAACAATGCTTCAGGTAGGGTACAGAATGCTTTTCATGACCAGCATATAGTTTTTGGTTATGTATACTCTCTTTCCATCTTAAGTACTTTCGCTCCGAGGGTGGACTATATATAGTAACGTCTTCTTATTTTCATTTTATGTCTACATCCTTTAACTCCATAGTTTTAATTTTCATGAACACGACATAAGTGATGCCACTGAGGCAATTGTTGTAGACATTTTTGGTATATAAACAGAACAATATTATTGTGTAACAATTCTCCCGTCGAGAATAAACAACTGCAAACTAGCCTGCTTAAGGACACAAGCTGAGCAATCCATGTACTGCATTGCTTTGCAGTTTACTCTTGAAAAAGAGAGGGTGCAATTAAATCATCCAGCATTACAACTTGTTTCTTTTTTTTTTAGGATCTTTTAATCTGTATTGAAATGATTCTGGGCGCCGTCATCTTTTCCTATGCGTTCGACTACGAGCGTTACAACACAGACAGTGAGCAGAGGATGATACTGTCCAAGTCATTCAAGCACATGTTGAACGTGTCCGATGTCAAGAGCAACATTATGGAGCATCTCAGGTTTGGAGGTGAGATTCCAGATGCGACTTTTTGCAGATTGAAATACCGAAATATTCTTGCCGAAAGTTGCAAAACACTATAATTTCTTTTTCGAGTAAGCCTTATTCCTTTTTGTAACAATGTTCATATCAGACACCGCACGGTGTTATACCTCTTCGAGACAAACACCCCAGAAAAAAACGCCTATACCTGCTGCATATTTTAATAGAATACAAACAAATTGTTACATGTTAATTTTGTTTGGTACAAGGAACAAAAAAGACTATTTGCGTTTTTGTTTTGCGGACAGGTCATACTTTCAACAGGCAGCACAGCGAGGCTACGGCCTGGGCAGACCAGCTCTCACCCACTCCTGACTCACCGACCTCTATCCAAGAATCCTTCCCACCTCGGGATGTGGTCTCGAGTCCCCTGGGCAGACAGGCAGGCAAACAGCTCATCTCTCTACCTGACATCGTCTTGAATCACCACAGCGATTCAGACAACGCCACCAACGACGATATTCACCCTGACAACGGTGGCCAAGATGGCGGCCAAAGTCAAGATGGCGGAAGCCAAGATGGCGGGCTTCAAAATTACGGATTTGAAAACCACGAGGATCAAAGGCGATTAGGTGCGAAGCCTCAGGAAGAGGACACTAGGGATGACATAAGTGGTGACACCGACTTGATTGGTGAAGAGTTTGCGATCGACGACGACGACGACAGCGATGACAATCATCTTCCCGTCGATGCGAGGTTGGACCACCAGACTGTCACTCCCCAGCAGAGAAGCGTGAAGAAGCTCAGCTTCGACGCAGGGATGTCCTTTGACGATATGGACTGGGACCACATCAAGAACCATCGGTCTCCAACCATGGACTCCCAGACGCCGAGTATCAAGTCAACAGACAAAGACTTAAATACACAAGGTGACGGAATTGGCAGCTCGGAGGCGTAGGACCTCGTAAGGTGCATGCCATTATGCCACACTATATACTGGGCCTTTGAGAGGGCCCCTTTGAGAGCTAGAGACGCCTGATGCGGGCCGCGCCAGGCTTCCCTTTTTGTTGACAATTTGTGGTCGCATATTGCTGGTACATGCAGATTATATCTAGTTATAAATGTGGTAGGTTATGACGCACATTTTTGGATGGATGACAGTCATGATGATAATGAATAAATTTCATAACATCACTCGAAATCTGAGATGATTTAACTATTAAATTAAGTAGCGTGTAAACACAAATGGAAAAGTCTGCAATTCTTACCTGACTGTAAAACTGAATTAGGTTTTATCTGTAAACCTATATAATATTTTTCGTATGCCTTAATTGTTTCCTCGAAGAATACAGATCAGTGACGAAGTGTAACCAATAAAGTCGACAATAGAGAATATGTCAATCTGATTCGTCAAGTTTATACGTCTAATTGATGTAAGCCCTGTGGCCCCTTTATTGCGAGGACTGTGATTGGTGCAGTTTCTAACATTGGTAGCCAATGAGAACGAAGTAAACGATTCTGTATATATATAGGAGCAAATTTATTTAAACTTTATTGTGTAAAATAACGTTATAGAAAAGGTTTTAAAAAGAAAGAATATGCGTGATCGTTTGTTTGCATCAATTATTCGAATTCAATACACATGTCAAGTTTCTTCGTTTTAAATGAGCAAAAAATAAAGGCAAACATTTGTGGCGGATTCGGGAGGTTGGCAGATCACATCGATACCCAGTACCCGCCAGCTGTGTACATCTCCCCCCCCCCCTTCCTCAGACCCACCCGCCCACGGCTACATTGGCCACCCTAATCAGAAATCCAGATGAATTCCAACTTAGCCAGATGGTCAATCAGTCAGCGGAGTGTTTGAGGAGATCATACCATGCACCAGGGGTCAATTTCACGAAGCTGGAACAGCAACATGTACGTAAACCTGCCTGTAAGACTGCCTGAACAAGTTCCTAGCATATATACTATACACGATTGTATACAGGTAGGCTCACAGTCACACACTATCTTATCAAAGCTCTTGAACTTTGAATAAGTAAACATAAGTGTGCCATTATACCCAGTAACTCTGACACAGTAAAAAAGAACACATATGACAAGTCGTGTCAATGATACAACTTACAAGTCGTGTCACGATATATACAGGAATAATTTTGTTGCGATGCACAGATTTTCTTGTCGTACGAGAATCATTAGCAACTTTGCATTGGATCGGTTTAATTTCGCACGCTCGTACTATTCGCAGTTTTGAGATTTACTCGACCATCCTTGTGAAAATGTGATCATGGAAAGCACCTCTGCTATCTGAGTCATTGGCAGTCAACCGGTTCAACTTTACGGGATGGAGGACAACCGCGATTCAAGCGAGGCCGAGCAGGGCCAGCATGCCTCCACGCCCTCCGAGCAGAGCGACGCCGGCCCCCGGTCCTCGAGGCTCTGGATTCGCCCCGTCTTCTTCGTGTTGTACGGACTTGTGGTGGTCACTGCCACCCCACTCATCATCCTAGACATAATACATGGGGCGCAAGGTGATGAGAGTTTAGTGATTATCCTGGCTGGACCAGCGTTCTTTGCCATGGTCGCCTCTTTAGCGATATCCGCCTGGGGTATCATCAACCACATTCAGTGCTTCACACGCCCAGCTATGCAGAAATACATCATCAGGTAAAGTAATGAGTATACGGTATATTCCTACTGTACCAGGAACACTCTTAAATGTCTTGCCGACTATTAAACGTCAAGAAATGACATGCACGCACACATTCCACTGTTCATACCAAGACTCAGAGTCAATGATTCTTGGGGTGAGTTTGCAGGAATTCTGATTCTGGAAGTCTTCCCGAACGGATTTGCCACTCTTGCTTGGCAATGTTCGGGAGCTTTTCGGTACTGAGCCTGTCTTTCACGTCCGAGCGCATTTCAATGATCAAGGCAGCGTAATAATGTGTGAATACCGATACGAGTTTTGATAATAAATATTAACGTACCTGTTTGTATTTCAGAATTCTCTTAATGATCCCAATCTTCGAGCTGACTAGTGTAAGTAGAAGCTTTCGTTTGTCATTATTATGCATGAGAATGTTTAGAGTCGAGGTCCAAGTGCATGTGGGTTTCTTCTGCAAAATGGAAGCCATCAAATTGAACAGAAAAAAACTTTGGGCCCTACTCTCAAAGATTTTGTGTGCCGTTTGTGTATACAAGATTTATTAGTTGTGTTCGTTCATATTTGAAACTTTCAAACTGGAGGGAGTTTTTTTTATCTGAATCTGAGTTTCGTACCTAGTAAAGTCTCTCTCGATTCGTATAATATTTTGTCGTTTTTTCAATCCACAGTGGTTCGCGCTCCGTTTCCCGGACAGTGGTATCTACTTAGAGTCGATCCGTCAGCTGTACCAGGCCGTCCTCGTCTATAATTACGTCGTTTACCTCGTGGCCTTCTTCGAAGAGGTGCCCAACTTTGACAATCGCCTGGCCATGAAGCCGCAGATCAGGGTCCCGCGCCCTTTCTGCTGGAAGAAGGCGACGCCAAACAAGAGGTGAGGCGAGATGATCCGGTTCGTGACGTCATTGCAACTTAAACCACGCCCACTCCAAAAGTAGTAGCATCCAGTTGGTTGGTTAACACGTCATACACGCGCGCGCACCACTGATTACTAGCGCCCATTGGATAAACACTCAAGTTGCTTAGCTTCCGGTTCCAGTGGTTCCAACGCTACTTAATGAATGGTGGGTGTGGTTTAAAATGAACTGACGTCACACTTTGGCCAATGGGCGTGCGCGCGCGAGTATGACACGGTCACTTATGAACCGGATAGTCGGATGCCGGACTCGCATGTGGAGAATCTTCCCAATGTTGGGCCGAATCATGCCAGTGCGAAAATGTCGTAATAGGCCTATGTCTTTGAGCAATGTATTTTTAATACAGAAAACGGCTGGAAGTCCCGAAATGGGTGCATTTGTTTCTTAAGCCGAAAATGCAAGAAAACAAATCCGAAGCAGAGGCCTTTAACTTGAAATAATGATTCTTTCGGCCTAAATAAATATATACATAGAGAGTCACCAACACGTTATGTTTTTTTTAAGGAAGGGGGGGGGTGAACTCGCAACAACATATTTGGAATTACCTTGAACATTATTGTGCGAATGGTAAGTTATTTACTTTCGATATTTATCAGCGTCTACATTCAACAAAATTGCTGTAGCACCAATGAGCGGGATGATGATACATTACAGATTTCAGGTCGAAGGTCATCCGAGCGAGGAACAAGAATGAACAGCGTGTTAAATTATGCCACAAGAAGATCAGATAAAACTACTTTAGATACAAATAAAAGCCCAAAGTTTATGGCTCTATCGGCTATACTAACGCTGTACATTGAACTATACAGGGCGAGTCAAAAAAAATAAACGAAACACAAATAGCAGGTCCAATTTTTGAACGAAGTTTTGCCTATAGCACTTTCAAAATCTAGGATATGAAAGCCGAATCAATGGGCTTTATTTTAGTACAAGAATCATTCAAATCACTCATGTGCTTTTTAAGTTACGGAATTTTTAAAATTCTGTCCACGGATAAAAAAACGTGTTTTTTTCTTTCAGCAAAACGAAAACAATTCACATGCATCCCTGTGAGAATTGTTTTCGTTTTGCTGAAAGAACACTTACTTTTTGTGATCCATGGACGGATTTTAAAACGGTGTTTGTGTTCGAAATTCTGTAACTTAAAAAGTGCATGAGTGATTTGAATTATCCTTGTACTAAAACAAAAGTTGGGCCTTTCATATCCTGAATTTTGAAAGTGCTACATGCAAAACCTCATTCAAAAATTGGTCCTGCCATTTGGGTTTCGGTTTTTACTCACCCTATATTGCCTCCCACTTAATGAAACAAAAAGGATTACCAGGGAAAACTGCACGGTCAAGTTTAGGAATTTTCAACAAATTTTAAACTTTGAAATTTCTTGTGGAGGCTTAAATAAACTTAAGTATTTTTTTTTCAAACCACGAGGGATACAAATTTAAGCTACGTCTATTTATTTTGATGGACCCCCATTCACCAATCTTCCCACATAATTCTGAACATTACGAAGATCAGTGGCTGCATCGCGAACTGTTTTGGAAACCGATTTTCGTCTTCAAGTTGAACTTTTCGTTGTTTCTTAAGTTGCTCTACCCGATTCCAAACACACCATATGTTCGTTGATACAAAGTAGAAATTTCATCATCCCTAACTGTCCTGAATCCTCCAATTTCAATACGATTTTGCACATCCTCTAGGGAGTTAGGGTTAAACTTTAAACAAATTTATTCGTAATGCCTGCACAATTTATGACGATGAATTTGATCATTTCATTACATTAATAATTTCTTTGCAGGCTTATTCAAAAATGCAAGTACGGCATGTTCAGCTACAAGATCATCCGGATAGTTTTCACCATAATCTCTCTGTAAGTTCGACCATTTCTGACTCAACGAATTCAAAAAGAAAATATCATACTGGAAAAGCTGTTACAATAACAAAATGCGATCGGTATACAGATTTGTGGTTTTTCCAGATTTACATAAAGGCAACGCAACAATTATGCTTAAAATTTTGCTATTTTTGCTGGTCTTAAAGGATCAACACATAGTGCCTTTTGGTATATCTATCTCACTGGTTGATTGACTGACCGACTGACTGGCTGACTCGAGCCCTTTTCACACTAGACAAATCTCGGGGTTGACGCAGGTTGACGCAGGGTTGAAACCACGCATCGTTTCACACTTAAAGAATTTCAACCCTGCGTCAACCCTGCGTCAACCCCGCGATTGATTTCGCCCCGGGTTGAACTCAATCCTGCTCCAGACTAGGTTTGAGATTTTCAACCCGGGTTGAAATTCTTGCCAGGGTTCAAAACAGTAGTAACTGAGCATGATAAGCTTGATTTGCATGAAACAAGTGTGAAACGATGCGGGGTTAAACGCGGGCTTGAAAAATCAAAAAAAAAATCAACCCAGAGCGACACTGGGTTCGCCCAGGGTTGAGTTCAACCCGGGTTGAGAAGCTCTAGTGTGAAAAGGGCTTATCTGTCACTTGCAAGCCGGGCAGTGCCATCATGTAGGATAACCCGTAATACCTACCAATGGGCTATCAGGCCGGTTCTTTACACCCAGATGCATTAAAAGACTATCCAGTGAATAGCCATTCTAAATCAATTTAATATAATCTGTGCGCCCTGGACCAGCTCTACTAAGCTTGCTGCGAGTATTGTTTTGGAAACCGAGGCACTAAAATATATTAGAATGAGTCATATTTTCATCTCTTTTAAAAGAGATTTTTGGTGTGTTTTTTTTGTCTTGGATATGTAGAACTGCATTCCAAACCAAGACGTTTCTGCAAGGGTGGTTCTCACCTGATGGTGCATACCTATGGGTGACGATCTTCTTAACTATCGCCCAGATTGTGAGTACGAGAATATTGATAATTATGTAGTTCAATACTTCAGAAGTTCAGTGGTAGATCACCGTGGGGAAGGGGGTAGGGGTGGTGAGTTTGTTTCTGCATTCAATAGGGTTCCCAATTCCCGAGAGGTCCCCAAGTTGGATTCATGTACAAAACATGTGGGAGGTCGTCCCAAAAAGTTAAGGTACAAACAAAAGAGGGACAATAGGAGGTCCCCTATACTGCAGGCAAATACACACTTGTATGTATGCTAGCGTTTGTTATTGGTGTAAATCGAGGACACACACGTGCAACATCATCGGTGAATCGAGGACAGGGACCAAATCGAGGACGACCTTGATCAGAAAACGTGTACAAAACCAATGAGAGCTGTTGCGAAAAAGTACATACAAAGGAAAAGGGAAGAGGAACAAATTAGAAAATCTTCGATTTACACCATAAACAAACGTTTGTGTGTACCTTTATTTTTGGGGGGGGGGTGTACTTGTTCTACATAACCCAAGGGACAGACACACAAAGGGAGAACAACAGATTCTTTCAGTCCTCGAGAGTTGGGTCTTTTTTTCAAAACGGTCCTCTGTAGTGTGTTTGTGTGCTTATGTGAGTGCGTTATATTACAGGGACAAAGGAAAACACAAAGCATTGTCCTCAGGAGTATAGTAAAACAAGAATGTGTGTTATTACTCAGTGGCGTAACTAAAGGGGGACGGGGCCACGCCCCCTCCCAACAACTGCCTGTCCGCTCCCCCCCCCCCCCCCCCCCCGCCCCGTTCCCCGTTTAAAATCTTGAATTGAACAAAAATATAAAATGTGCCTTCGTGCGCATCACGCCACAATGTCCTCCACACCCCATATTATTTTATTTAGATCAACCTATATACGTCCCGTACTTCTCCTCTTGCCACTGACTGCTCGAACGATTCCCATCCCAATTCCTTTCGCCTTGCTCACGGCCCTCTTTCCCTCTTTCCCACCAGTGCGCCATGTTCTGCCTATCCCTTCTCCGTAAAGTGACCCGCGAGGAACTCCAGATGCTACCCAAGTCCAGCTCGCAGTTCGTCGGCGTCCACCTGGCGCTCTTCTTCGACCATTTTCAGACGATGTTCTTGCGTCTCCTGGCCAACTCTGGAGCAATCAAATCTAGCTACCCGGGTTTTGTTGGAGACAAACAGGAATTTGCCACCATGTTGGAGGTCAGTTTAATAGTAGGCAAGGTGGCAGTTCATGCAGTGATGAATATTATTTGGCGTTATGACTACGTTTTCTCTTTACAGCGATTGGCGGATTTTAGAGGACTGTTACAAAATTCTGACTGCATGCCTGAAAATAATGTGCGCCAATCACAGACAAGGGCGGATCCAGAACACAATTTTTTTGGGGGGTGCCAAAAAAAATTTTGGTCCCCCCAAAAAGTGGGTCTAAAAAATTACGGCGTGGGGTTCGGGGCCCGCTAGGGCCCCGAAAAATTGTTGGATTCTAGATGCTCTGTGGTGCGATCTGAGGCAATTTCTGACCACTTTAACCATTTTTTTTGAGGAAAAGATGGTGGTGTGCTCATTGCCTGCTTTATTGCGATGTCACATAAAAAAAAAAAAAAATGGTTTCGTTTTTGGGGGGGGCCATGGCCCCCTTTGGCCCCCCCTGGATCCGCCCTTGATCACAGACGTGTTTTTGACCCTCAAAAAATATAATAGGAAAAGGTGTCCTGCAAACTCCCAAAGGGTAATGCCTACAGTACAAAATGCTAAAAAAAATTGAGGAAATAATTGGAAATGAAAGACGAAAAAAAGATTTGGAAATCCTATTAAGATAGAAAACTATCATGTCTGCAATTGTGTTTTTTGGGGCTGATATATTTTTGGAAAAAAAAAATCTGACTTAAAGGGAAAAATGCACAGATGACAATGGTTGTGACAAATGCTTTATATTTTCAAAATTAATAGAATCGGAATCAACAATTTAGATAAAGTAACCCCCGTCTTGCTTGAAAAAAGCGTCTTTTAGGAAATCCAACACAGAATTTTTTTACTTCTGCATCAAAAACTCTGTATTTTTATTTTTATTTATATTTAACATATCCATTTTGTTTTGCAGAATTTTCTGCTGTGCTTCGAGATGGTCCTAGTTGCCCTTCTATTTAATTACGCCTTTGACTACCGACGATACAAGGTTGAAGGCCAACCCAGGCTCAGCTTCGCCCAGTCACTCAAGCAAATCTGGGGCGTGTCTGATGTGGCGTCCAATATAATTGGTCGGTTCAGACAAAGGGGTAAGTCTATATGCATATTTATGTTAATTCTATGCAAACATATGCAGATTTTATTGTTTTTTGGGGGGAGGGTGGTGATTTAAACTTTGAAATCCATTGTTCAGTGACTATCACAATGAATGAAATTTTATTGATGATTGTTAAATCGATTAGGATTTTGTAGAAAACGCTATGTGTGGGTTTTTTTTTAAAACCAGTTCAGCTTCTATGTTACAAAGATGTGCACTAAAAGCACTATTTAATACAACTTATGCCTTGAAGGATTGCAGTTATTGCAAATGTGTCATATGCTTTTTAAGTGATCTTAAATAAGATATTTTTTAAAACACATTTTTTTAGTATCCTCCCCCATGACCCAAGAATGCAAATTGGTCATCTGGATTCCAAATTCAAGTGCCCCCCCCCACTTTTTAGTTGTCCGTGTCCTGACCCCTCCCCCTTTAAACTATCCTGTATAAGAGACCATCCAACAATGACCATTCTATCTCCTGGTTTTGTGACAGGCGACCATACTAGCAGAGATGACAACCAGCAGCAGACCACAGCAGGCTCTCCTGCATCCCAGCAGAATGGTGCCCCACCAAAGGAAGAAGCTGAACCACCCAGGAGGAGGAAAGCCGGGCACCAGTTCATCTCAATGCCAGACATCATTATTAACCACACCGAAGATTTCGATCACGCAGCCGAGATCCACAGTCCCAGGAACCAAGATGGCGGCGATCAGAATCACGATGGCGGCGAGCCGCGTCCAAATCAAGATGGCGAACCCAATCAGGTTCACGGAATCGAAAACCCCGGGTTTCAAGGAGAATCGCGCCAAGAGCATTCCAAACCGACAGAAGAGGACGGACTCGGTGACGATGCCAGTGAGGACACTGACGACTTCCTGGACGAAGAGTTTCCGACAGATGACGAGGACGACAGTGACATTGACAATGGCCTGCCCTTTGACGGAAGGTTAGACGCTCCCCGCGGAGCCAAACCTCAAGGACGAAGGGTGAAAAAGGTCAGCTATGCTGGAATGACCTTCGATGATCTGGACCCGAGCAAATTAGGACATCCTTCCCATGATTCCCCTGCCGTCGCCAAGAAGAAACGAGTCAAGAAGGTCAGCTATGCAGGGATGACCTTCGAGGACATGGACTGGGAGCAAATTCGGAGTCACCAGTCCTCAACCCTGGATTCTGAGACGGCACACACAGTGGCAAGCATCGTGGAGCAAAGTGAGGAGCAATACCCGGAGGGCAAGGAGGTGAAACGGAAAGGAAAACCAGATGGTGACGGGTTTGGAAGCTCAGAGGCTTAGAACACTACTCTACAACGGCTGAATATATCCCTGTCACCTGATTGGTGGTCATTAATCATGTGTCATTGAATTACTTGTCCCAACCCAAGCCCCGGATGCACCGCAAAAATAGAAGATCCAATCCATGGTAAATTGAAGTTCAGATGACGAGGATTTATTCAGGTGTCGTATAAAAAAAAATAATGAATGTTTCACATTCGTGCAGTGGAAAGCATAATTTCATTTGGTGACAGACGGCATGTTCCATTCCACTCGGCTTCGGCTCACAGATCATTCCAGTTGTCACCTCATGAAATTATTCTTACCATTGCACTCAAACATTTATTACTCGTATAGTATGACATTCCTTTTTGAAATCTCTTTTGAAATACATAACATAAGCTGTATATTGCATGCAATGTACATGAGAAGCTTTGTACATTTCTGTGGTTTTCACTACTTTGCCAAGGTATACCAAAAGTATTACTATCTCAGCTGTGATTGGTTCGTAAGTTGATATCTAAACTTTGATTGGTCCAGTGACTTGGCTGATACCATATAGTAATACAGCATTTTGTTACACAACTGAACTGTAAGAAAATTCCTTTACTGGTATTTTGAGAAATTCCTTTACTAGTATTTTGAGCAGACCATATCAAATGGCAGTTTATTAATCTAAACCTGAGTATAATGTAATTGAATACACCAACAAAAACCTTGATATTTTCATTCAAAGTACCTTGAAATGTATTAAATTTGAAAATAGGTTAATAAAATACTCATTTTTATTTCATATGTAGACCATGATCAGTAATGCTGCTTTAGGGCAATAAGACTTCAAAACAAAGCTTATTTCATTGGAAGCATTTTCATATTTTTAACGGAAACTAACAAAGTAAACAATAAATTATATCAAGTACCGATATGAGAGATATCAAACAATGTTTTTCCAGATTGTAAACCATGAATGTAATTTTACCTTTGTAATCATAGATGTAAAATCCAAAACATTGCTTATTCACATAAATGCAAGTTTGTGCATAGATCTTTATATTTACACAGACTACAGCATTACAATAAAAGATGACATGTTGCAACATATTGCCATTTGTACAACCAGACTTGTTTATTATCCTGCCACGCCACTTGAACTATGAAATTAAAGATAACCTTGACTAAGGCCAAAGGTGGATTATGTGTGATCTTTTCTGAGATTTCAGCAGGGTCAACTATGCCATATCATCAGTGCAGAATGGGTAGTTGGTTCATAAATGCAAAATTGAATTTGGTCTTACTGTACAATTCATGATATGTCGGTGCAATTTCAGTATCAAGTAACTGAACGATTAACAGCAATTACAACCAAAGCCAACAGTGATGGTATAAAGTAAATAAAAAGATTCAATTTGCAGAATAGTCCAAGAAGTACAAATGGCCTACCCATTTTGATAAAAAAATATAAAAATTATGTAAAACAAAAGAGATTCTCCTATTTCACTAATAAAATCTGCTAATTTGGACGTAATTGCGACAAAGAAAACAACTACCTAACCACCTCAACTTGGAAGACTAAACAACTGTTCTCAAGTGTGGCTGTTACTTTCACAGAGTCGCCCTTCCTGACGAGTTGCCCCTCTGGCAGCAGAAAAGCCGCCTGCCTCCAGTGTGTCTCAATGTCCAATGTATTCACGTGGTTGGACGCGTCCAGGCCAATGTCAAACCAGAACGGTATCGCTGTGATTGTGCCGTCGTTGATTGCCTCAAACGCGTGGGTCGTGGTCTGGTTGACGAAGCTGGGCAGATCTGTCGAGTCTGGCTTTGGTTTCTCGTTGAGGTTGAGATGGAAAGGAAGGAAGGGCGGGCTAAGCTGCTTGTAGGACCGCGCTGACAGGTGGATGTCTAGAAATGTGGACACCTGTGACAATCCAAATTGTTTAATTAATTGGTCGGATCTAACATTAGTCCTGCTGTTGTGTAAATTAATTGCGCAATATAAAAACAAACATGAAATATAGAACAGACTTTTATGTTGATAATGCAAATTACTTTCAGATCTTGAGCTATCTCAAACTCACCATATCAGAGCTGTGGTCATTTTGAAAAACGACTGATAAATTGTTTACCAATTGAATCATATCTGAATGTTCACAAGGATGATTATTTTTCAAGTCTGTTCGCTGATGTGGCAGGTAGTTCAGATATATTTCAGTTTTGGGAAGGTAGATGGATGCTATTTCACCATAAATATCTGTGTATATTGTCTTCATGGCAATAATTTTGGAATCGATGGTTACACTTGAGGAGACAACCTATGTTATCTATTCAGATCAGCTCACTTATAAGGCAGTCTTATAATGGAAAGACACCATATGACTACTAAGACAAAATGTATACATTCCAACTTATATTCCTACCTTGTATTTGTTAATGAACTCGTCAATCTTGACTCCCATGGTGGAGTCGGTACCCAGCACTTCACTGTCCCTCTGTAGGCTGGCGCACTCTATGCACATGGCAAATACAGACACCGACGCCGGTAGGATCCGACCCGTGGGTTTCAAAGCACACACCCTGGGTAAGGAGATAGGTGGTAGATTGATCAGTCAACTTTGCACTAGCATGCTGAAGGTTGTGGGTGAGAATCCCACCAGGGTTTGTTAGTTTTTATCCACGCTTCATTACACAGGCAGTCTTTTTGTATTATGATCTTTTGCATTGGAGGGTGATAAATAGGTGAAAGCCCATCGGGCAATAAACAAACGGTGTTATTAGCAGCGGTTTAGGGTTAGTGTCCCTACCAAGTCACCTACTTGAACTATAAGCTGCACATTGCATGCCTAGGGTATGAGATCAATGGACAATATGCCATTAAGCAAGTATTTTGTGCAAGCTTGAGATACATGTACTAGCAAGTGGGTGGTTGTAGGTTAGAATCCAACCAACTTTCATTTGAAGAGAAAAAGAGTCTTGAACAAATTCTTGGATGAACAACCAACCTGCCAACAGCAATATCCTCCAGCACGCGCTCTTTGAGTGTACCGCAGGGTGCTACCAAGACTGCCACTAACACATCAAATGTCGCCTCTGAAGATGGACTCAGGGGGTGTGGCTCCGACCCAAACTCCACACAATCCTCGATCCCGTTGGCTGTGGCGATTGTCTGTATAAGAGACCTGGTCTCCGATTGGCTATTTGGGAAACAGACTCTCGTGGATGAGGAATGTTTTGCTGCAAAGAGACCAGTCAGGGAGGCAGAGCTTGCTATGTCTAGCACTGAGAACTTGGAAGTTCTGGACTTGTGTGAAGAGTTTTTGGAGCTGTCGGAATGTAGGTGTGATGCAGATTGCTGTGTTGAGACAAGCTCTGGTTTTGTTAATGAAGAGTCTACACAGGCAAGGTCTATGTGTTCTTCTGCTAGTTCGTTCTCAGAAATGAGGTTCTTTATTGCACTATAACAGGCATTGTTGAATTTCTGGTCATTCAGGATAGAAATTGTGTCTGGTTGCAATGTATAAGAAGCAGGGATATCGGTGGGTGAATCTGCAGAGCAGTTTTCTTTACGACTTCTGCCAGCTGAGTCGGCAGATGTTACAAGATTCTGCTCAAAACTGGTAACCATGCTCTCCATTGCCTCTTCATGGGATGAAGCTGGTTTCCCGGCAGGCAGGGAATCCTCCATCTTGGATGCGGCATGATGGGTAATGTTTGCACATCTGAGGTGGAGGCATTCGTCACGGCAAGACATGGCTACAGTGATAGTGGCCCCTTTATCAACACAGAGAGTGTCTTCAAAGTTTCCTAAATCAAAACAAAAGTATCACACTAAATTGTTTTTTTTTTGGTCATAATAATGTGAAATTCATCACAATTGACTATAAAATGCCACAAGACACTGGGCAACTTCTAACCAGATAATCCCTTTGAGGCATACAGGGTGAGTAAAAACAAATCACATAGGGATGTGTTTAAATTGTTTTCGTTTTGCTGGGGAAAAAAATGCACGCTTTTTTGTGTGATCCGTGGACAGAACTTTAAAATGGTGGTTGTGTTTAAAATTCCGTAACTTGACAAGTACATGAGTGATTTAAATGATTCTTGTACTAAAAGAAAACTTATTAATTGGGCTTTCGTGTCCTAGATTTTGAAAGTGCTACATGCAGAACTTCACTAAAACAATTGTCCCGACAGTTGGGTTTCCTTTTTTTTACTCACCCTGTAGTTATTTGGAGTCACACGAAAGACTACCTCCCACCTCAACCTAAACCTAGACATCCCACAATCTTAAATCATCCATCATGTTTACCCCCGGAAAGTGCGGCAAGAGAACTCCATTTCTTAATTGTTCAGCTGATAATGTCTTGGTCTATCAGTAACCACCTAACCCAGGGAGGTGAAATCGCAGTGTTTACTCCCGGCTTGACTAATCTCTCTACATTCCATCGTAGCTACCCCAACCCCCTTGGATGTGTAAAAAAAAAGATTATATGAACCATGGAGCTGTAAAAAGGAACTGGATCGATTCAATACTGTTCTAGGCACGTGGGAATATACCGGAAACTGAACAACTGATTTAATGAGAAAAACCTTGGTCTAATTGAAAATAGGGGTGTTACCAAATACCCTGTTTGATGATCAACCTGAAATGGTATCGTTTGAAAGAAAAGGAAAAAAAATATTGAACTTCTTTTTAAAAATCAGACATTTTATGTGTATTAACAACGGAATCCAAATATTAGGCCAGAAAAATTGTGCATGTTTGTCTGTTTTTGCAAAATGTGTAGCGGCCATTGAGCTAAATTTTCCACAGGTTAGTTGTTATCCACCCTACTTAAGGTTTTCAGCAATTTTGTGGCTACAAACGAAAATAAAAATGTACAAAGATCAAATGATCCTGTGTACATTTAACATAAACCCCTAGGTCACCATTAACCCCCAGGACATCCTACAACCTCAAACCAAAGAGGTACAGTAAAAGAACTCACTCTTAAAACCTAATAAGTTAGGCTCTTAATCTACCACCTACCATCCGATTGCGGGAAAGGAAAGTTGCTGGAAGACACAGGGAAGACCGCCTGCTCCCAGCATGAGGCACTCTCTGGTGAGCTGCTGAGAGTCTCCGTCTCATCAAGACGTAGATCAAACCAGGATATGATAGCATCCACACGGCCATTGCTGAGGACAGGGAAGTCCATGTGCTTCCACTCGCTGGTTGCATGGTCTGCTGACAGGATCTACAAGGGGGAAGATGTTGGCACTTTGGTGGTGACAGCTCTTTGGAGACGCCAAACAAGTCTACGTTATGCCCAAGATTTGGAGCACAATTTTTTTTATCTTGTTAATATTATTTCTTACATGAGCCAATAATTATGCTGGCTGAAGATGAAACTTTATTATATCCTTCTGACTGGTACATCAGTTGCACAGTATTTCAATTCCATCTAATACATGCAATTGATGTCATTAAGGTAGAGTGTGTCATTTATCATTTGTGCATTTGTTTCGTTTGAAGCAACAAAAGTGCTCAAAATCTAACGACAGATGCTTAACAACTAACCTGATGAAGTTATAGCTTTGTGAATGCTGTACATTCCGAGAAAACAATATTCTAGAATCTGGATTTCAATTCAAAGGTTGTCGAGTCATATTTTGATTTTCACCCGAAATAAGCATCCGGAGCACGTTTTCATTCAGCCGATTGCAGCTGCGCAATGTCACGCACTGAACCCGTCAAATAATAGCACGCACACGTGAATTACAAACCAACTACTAACTGAAATTTCCAAAAATGCGTGACTTGACTCATCTTCGGAAATGACCTTGTTTTAATTATTAATTTAATTATAAGTAACAGGGAGTTCAGTGCCATTACTATCTTTAAACCAAGTAAGCTTTTTGACAATAATTTGGTACGCTACTTTTTGGATAGCTGCAAATGATCTACTCTACTTTTAATAAGTATTAAATTTTACAAAATACTAGTCATGAAATAAAGGATATAAGTACCTGTACAGGCATGCAACTGGGAATTTAGAGGGAATAAACGAGGAAATTCCAAACTACACAAGACTTTGTACAGTGTTTTTCAATTTGTAATGGCATTCATGAGAAGTAAAAAAATTAGGAAATCAGCGGTCTGGGGAAAAGTTGCATGTCTGCCTGTAAGGCCAAAAAAAAATACTCCGGTTTCTGGTTTGGAGCTTGCCCAAAAAGTGGTGCGGTGATGCGGCTTTTTTTTTTTACCTGAGTTTTTTGCTTCAAATGTCGGTTGATGACTGCAAATGGTGCCCGACTAACCTTAGTGCAAATATATGGGAGTCCAGAGAGGCTACATAAAGTTTATTCTCGACCATAACCCAATCTAAAAACACATTAAAATTGTGCAGCAGCAGGATTCCAGTCAAACCAGTGAGTTTGGCGGTTTTGAGTCATCATCTTTTATTGAAAAAAAAACTTTTTCATTTTGCCGACGCGCATGGCTACGGCGACGCGTGCGCATACCAGAAACCGGAGACTTTTTTTTTTGGCCTAACATAAGAATTTTACCCTCCCCCACCCCCCCCCCCAAAAAAAATAACCCACCAAAACAAAGCAAAACAAAATATAAAAATCTAAACCACTACAAAATTATAATATTCAATTTGCATAACATTTGGACACCTCCATAACCATGTATGTTATATTGATGAAAACCACAACACAGTTTGACAGTAATTACATGTAAAAACACTTGGCGAATATTTCCCTAAGCTAGATTGCTTGTCAAACACACATGCCCTTTCCAATCAAGCTGTCACTCAACAGATCATTACTGAACTGCAATAAATCCCGTTTAAAAAAAAAGTAAATGTTAACTTGTACTTTTTAGTTGTACATTTAATTAATCCTTCTCTGTATTATTAATCATTCCTTCCGGTATATCAGACACAAAGTAAAAAAAAAACAAAGTAATGTTTCTACCATACATAAAGGCTTCTGCTGAAGGATATCAAATTTGTGTTGCGGGGTCCAGATAGACTGCAAGTAATTACTCAGTGAGCTACTTTGATGGATGGGGTACGGCGAGGGATTGCTAATATGCCAAACGCTTCAGATTCGGTTACAATCTCCCGACGCAGTCAATTAACCAACAAGATGCTGACACACGCGCTTGACTTAAGAATGTGGCAATAACTGAAAGGAAAAAGAAAACTGGTGTACAGACGCAGGCAGCAACAACTGTTTATAGGCACCGAGGTCGACACGATAAGGAAAGTATTATATTACATTTAATGGCCAAAAAGGGGCTTATTGTACTGAAACTGGCAAATGTCATTAAAAACAAAGCATTGATGGGAAGGCGAGGCATTAAAATGTTCATCTGAGGAGTACTCAACACTTTCTGTTCGGGTTTAAGAGACTTCATTTTTGAGTTGAGAACAGATTATGAGTTCTGAAGACAAAATGAATGAAACGGGAGATCTCGACTTTTTGGAGAACACCGGATCGGGATACTCAGCCAGTGACATTATCACCGTGATTGTGATTGGGCTGAACGTTGTTCTGATCATCGTCTTGAACCTGCTGTGCCTGCTGGTTCTGTGGCGCGTCAAAAACATCATGGACACCACCAAGGTGTTTCTGCGTTCCCTCACCGTCTCCGACTTGATCGTTGGGATTTTCCCCGGCATCCCGACGCTGGTTCTCTTGATTCGCAAATCGTGGCCGTTTGGGGAGTTCCTGTGCACTGTGCATGCCATTTTCATCCACAACACGCATGCAACTAGCATCTGCTCTTTGATTCTTCTCACTGTGGATCGTTACATCTCCGTAGTGTTCTCGTTGAGGTACCCGTCGCTGATGACAGTCTCGCGAGCGCGGATCATGGTTTGCTGCGCCTGGCTGTTCATGTTCACAACACTGATTGTTTACGGTTTCGCTGTCGACTGGAGATACCAGACCGCTGACCCTATTTTAAGATGCGGATGGACTGTTAGGCACACACCGTCCTACAACTACACAGCCATGGGATTCTTGTTACTCGCAGTTTTCGTCTTTCTGACTCTGTATGCTCACATGTTTGTGATCGCGCGTCAACAACGTCAACGCATCGCCAACCAAGCCCAGGTTACTGATGCAGACACGGGACCAAATCCTCCCCACAGAAACACTATAAATAGGTCCACTAAAACTGTCTTTATCGTTACGGTAGCATTTATGGTGACCATAATACCAGCTGCCATTATTTTGATCACTAGGGAACGAAGCCGTAGCTCGTTTGACATAGGCGGTTTAATCAGTTACGGGCTGCTCCTATCTAACAGCTGGATTAACGTTGTGGTTTATTTTTTGAGGAACGGGGAGTTCAGACAGGAGGCCCGTAAAATGTTTCCCTTTCGTTTGTGTATCACAACCGACAATATCGCTCAGTAAGTCTCAATTTGAAACTACATCTGTCATTATATTAGCCTCCATGTGATCATGTTTTGCTTGTTTTATTTATTTGCCCTGCAGTTTATGCTTCACATCTGTCATGTTTTTTTACGTAGATATTCTGCAAATCTTGTTTTTTCCAAAGTTTTTGTTTCATGAATATAAAATGATGTCGCTGCTTACTGCTTTAGATGAAACATACTCATCAAACTCATTCATTTGTAGAATTTTGTATTAATCCCTGTTCAATTTTTTTCCCAATATTTTGTATGATAAAAGTAAATATTAACAGAGTTATGTACTTATCAAGTAAATTTCATAAGAAATTTAATGCGATTCATCATGATCATCATTAATCAATGTGTATATGTAAGGGTCTATCAATTATTAGCAATCTGGTCAATTATTAATAATAATAACGGAGTCTTATATAGCGCACGTATCTACCAACAATTAGGTACTCAAGGCGCTGGAAATTATGTCAATTATTAAAGAAAGGTAAATAAAGTTTATGAGAAATATGAGACCCATTATGTAGCACCTTATAATGGTTTACAAGGTGCTGCGGCGCACATTGCAGCCACTGCCAGAAACACCGGGGCAAACCCCTTCTCTTAGCGATAAGTGTTAATGGGTTCTTTAACGTGCATTACACAACACACGGGACCTACGGCTTTACGTCCCATCCGAAGGACGAAGCAATAATGGTAAAGTGCCTTGCTCAAGAGCACAAGCACCATGTTCCCACGGTCAGGATTCGAACCCATGCACCACGGCACTCAAGTCTAACACCGTAACCATTGGACCACAGCGCCCCGGCTACATTAAAACAAATTAGAAATTTACAAGATAAACTTTGGAAACTTGAAAAAATCAATTTGCTTACCTGAGGGTCGTTGAAGTCTATTTCCAGTACTTTCATGGCTGGAGTCAATGCCTTGTAACTCAGGGGAACCTCACTGATCCTCTCTGAGGTGTACGGTTCTTCCTGGTAATCTGAGTGAGGTTTTCTGAGGTTCTCTGAGGTTTCTGAGGTTTTCTGTGAGGTTCCCTTCTCCTCCCGGTTGCCTCCCATTGGCTTCTGGCATTCGGTGCCAAACCTCACTGCGCGTACATTAAGGTTACAGATCCTTTCATTCAACACCCTGTGAATTGAAAACCAAATCAACTGATTTAGGGGTAATAATGACGTAAAGTTACCACAGCAGGATTAGAACCTATGTCCTCTTGAAAGCAGCATCCGTGTGCTACCCATTGAGCTGGCCGGCCTTATATTGATCTGCTAACCCATTCAACTTGATTGCCATTCATTTAAAGGGTCCACAAAATGAAAATTCCTTAGGAACACATTTTGTGCAACTTTCTACTCCTCTAAAATGTATGAAAGATATTTGACATCCCTTTTTTGGTTAATTTTAAAATCACGACAAGTCTTGAGACAAAGCATCTTCTTTCGTTGAGAAAATCTTGTTACATGGTAAATCCATTGTAAATTGTTTGCATCTTCAAAAGATATTGACTTCCACTTTCATTTTTCTTTCTTGCGCTTCGCTAGAAGGTGAATCTGGTTGCCATTAGGAAAATACTTTCATATAAACACTATGTGCTAATTGAAATACTGCATGAGCTGATTTAACCATTCATTGGAACGTCAATTACCTGTACTGCTTCCGTATGTGCTGACACTGAACAACTTGAGCAAAGACAGTGGCTCCAGCTGGGATAACTCGACCATAAGATCCTGCAGGCTGCATCAATGAGAAATGTTTACATTACATTCTCAAAGAAAATATTATTTTTGTCTTCTGCAATGTAGATGATTTTGGTGTTCTGTGCATCTTCTTACAGATATACTTTTAAATGTCCCAAAATTATTTTACCTCTTGGCAAGCAGACTGAAGAAAGTATGGTATCCTAGTCTAGCAACATCGTGCTAATTGAACCGCCCATCGTTAGAAAACAATAGTTGCCACGCTACCATAGCTACGAGTCACGGAGTCAGCAAGTCAGCTTTCCACTGGCTGTTAAAAGTTTTTGCTGTCAGTATCTTGGTGAAGGTCAAGACACTGTCAGACTAACATGACTAAAAATCTGGTTGTTTACACACATGTGAATCAGCTGTCTGCAAACCAAGATATACCTGACACACAAAGATAGCTTTTCATTGGCTGTGAGAAGTAATTGCTGTCAAGTATCTTGCTCATGGACACACCCAGCTGTGAATTTCATATGAACCAAATTCAGGTCATTTGCACACCTGTGAATCAGGTGCCTTTGGTGGTAGTAGCAGATGTGTCCAGGCATACCAAGATATACTGGACTCACAAAGATAGCTTTTCATTGGTTGTGAGAAGTAATTGCTGTCAATTATCTTGCCTGAGGACACAGCACAGCGAATTTCATGTGAACCACACTCAGGCCCTTAATTTGCACACCTGTGAATCGGATGCCTTTGGAGGTAGTAACAGGTGTTTCCAGGCGTGCTGCAGGGTACTGACAGCTCCTTCTCCAAAAAGTCCAGCGTCAAAGATTTCCGTCACCACAAGGGTCACTCTGGAAATCCAGCCAAAAAAAGTATTGTTTTTCATGAGCATTTGAATTGTACTGAAGAATAAGAAAGCATCAAGCTTGATGCACTTGCTCCCTAAATTCACCGCCAAAATGTTTTGTTCCAATCTGTAAAACAGAAAGTACTTCAATGACAAAATTAGTTATATTCAGAAGTGCATTGCTACTTTCCTCGCCTTCCACCTTTGTGATCTGGGCTCGAATCCCGCCAGGGTGGATTGACTTTTCAGTGTCGACCTGATTTCTTGGGTTGCTCTTCCTTTAAAACTTAACCTTTTCATTGTTTAATTCACTCTACAGGTTTTTTTTTCAGGTTTTCATGCTACATGGGCACTTTTATGGAATCCTTAGAAAACCAGAAATAAAAACAATCTCAGTTTATACCTGTTTGGTATATCTTCCGGCACTTTCATATCCGTGGATAATTTATGCAGTAGCTGGACTCTATCTTGCATCTGATTGGCTGCCAAAACATCATGTGACAGTCTGACCATATCCTGTGACTCTTCGCAGGCAAAGACCGACTTGGCGCCCGCATTCACTGCAAACACACTGGATACAAATGAAAAAAACGTAGTTGTCAAGACAAAGAGGCCTCAAAATCTCATGCATATTCATGACCCACTTTCGAATGAGGGAAGTTGATTGGGCATCATTCCTTGCAAGTGAAACTTGACTGATGAGATTTATAAGTATTTCAAAATTTTTTTACAAACAACTGACAAATGATGGGTACTATCTAGCATACGATTACAGACGTGATAATTTCTGTTACAGCTTAATATTTTGTTTACTAAAGTGAAAATCATTTTCAAATTCAGTTTCAATTGGTTGAAAAAAGTTAGCTTGGAAGATAGTAGATACAGTGTCTCTTTCCTTTTTTTGAGGGAGGGGGGGTTGCAAAGAGGAATGATTTATTATCAGACTATCACAACCTTTGGCGCTGGCAAACCTGAGACAAGAAATATTGGATAACCTCCAACAGGAAATTAAGCTGTAAATTGTGCCAACTAATAAAAGACTCGATAGCACATCAATCTAGAGCTCAAAACAGCTACCGCTTGCCACTAAGTTCCATTTTTAAAAAATATTGCTCAAAATAATTAAAACCAACCTGAGCAGTCCGGTACCGGAACCGATGTCCAGTACCCGATCGTGCCCTTGTGTAACAGCCTTAGCTATGGCAGTCTGGTAACCAACGTTCCTCTTCTTGTCGTTGAGCATCGGAAAATGCCATCCCTGGAACGGGGAACCGACTATGTTGGACAGGTTTTTCTGGGCGCCGGCGAATCCGGGGTCGATTTCTAGAGCGAGGCGAAAACATGATGCTGCCTCTTCATCTTGTCCCAGTCTGCAACATTTGTGAGATATATAATTTTTAAGTAAATGATATCAATTTTACATTTGACAAAAAAGTGGCATTGTATATCATTGCAAATAATACACAAATTATATTTATTTCTAACTCTGTCAAAGAAACTTGACTCCTCTTTCATTTCGTTCAGGGGTCATTTATCCAAAATAATAAAATCCACAATTTCCAAGACTAAACAACAAATGTGTTTAATAATGTCTTTTTTTATGTAACACACGTATCCACCATTATTGGTGCTGAGGGCACTACATCATTATTACCCCTGCTCATTAGGCCAATGAAACAACTCAAAGACAATGTCGGCTACAGCTCGATGCTGCCATTTCAGCGCAAAGCAGCTTTTGTCAATCACCAATCACAATAACCATCTCTGCCCTCACAGGTGCCCATTTACTCCTGGGTAGGGAAAGGCAATGAGTGATAAAGTGCCTTGCCCAAGGGCACACGCACCATAACCCCAGGCTGGACTCGAACCCATAACCTACTGGTACAGAATTACCCACGGACTACGAGTTCAATGCTCCAGGTCGACCATGAAGCCACGGCACTCCAAAACTACCACTTCTCTGAAACCTCTGGTCCAAAACAAAAGAAGGAATGGAGTACCGAAGTGAATACGTCATGCGCACAAAATGTGTGTGAAAGACATTAGCGAGTGATTCAGCCCATGAACCAACACGCCCGCGTACTCCATTCGTTTGCACTACACTTTCTAGTTCTAAATGACATCACACTTCAGTACTCCATAGTCCATGTGCCCCACCTCGTGTGTACCTGTGAAGGAACACCCCCATACTGTTGTGAATCTCAGCGTTCTCGGGCCACAGCCTCCTGGCAACCTCATAGCACCACAGGGCATCCTCCCGCCTCCCTGCCGCCTCCTGATGCTCCGCCCACTGATGGAGAACCGTGGCAAAGTCGTCCCGGATGCGATCCTTGCATCCTGGGTCCTCACCTTGGAGGAGGTAGAGGTAACCGCTGAAGGCGTGGCCTAGATCGCCGGCAGTGAGGCTGGCATCAATCATGGAGAGGACTTCTTCAACTGTGGTTGGGGAGGCATCGTCGTTGGAAGTCGAGGAATCATCATCAGCGTCTGCATCCATAATGGAGTGACTGTTGGATTAAATGCACACATTTACGAACTTGTTGCTTTCAATTTTCTTCCATCTTATAAAACTCAAGGTAAACTTTGATGCTTTGATACATGACCACGTAGGCCTAGCTGGAGTTACCTCAGCCCTATATTTCATCATTGGGTTGTTGTATTAGACCATCATAAAATATAGGGCTGAGGTAACTCCAGCTAGGCCTAGCTAAGCCTACACTTCCGATTTTTAAATAGAAAATATAATTTTGTTTTCCTCCAATTTTTGTGTTTGTCAATATTATTTACTATTTGAAATAACTAACTATTGCTGATGATCAAAAGCATTATATGAGGTAGACTACACGAATATTTAATATGGAGACGAGATTTACCCCCCCCCCCCACCCAGTACTCCTCACGTACCCCGCCCACTCAAATTAAGTACGACGACCCTCATCATCATACCATGGAGCTATAGCTCCATGATCATACCTAGTCTAATCATACGAGTACTTTACATCACATGTAGATTCACCTTGCAGCAATTTATGTTACATATAAAGCGAAATCATCAAGTATTCAATCATCACATATTATTATTACCGAGAGCGTGTGCAAATGTGAGAATTTAATTCCACCGCGCCGCACCTCCACACCGCGTTGTTGACTACTTAAACGTTATGCTGCCCTCAACGACAATTTTGTCGACGGAAATGTGAGTCTTATACCTGAACGTGTACAAATTATTTCTAACCTACATTGAATGTGCAATATTCTGTACGGCGGTAGGGTAGATGACTATTTCACTACTGAGAAATGTTCGTACGTGCTGCAAAATGTCTTCGGCGCAGAAAAATCTCACTTCATATCTGAATAAATATACGGTTATATGTGGATGTATTGGGCTGGCTACATCACTCATTCACAATGGTCTTATGAGAAGACCTGCATGGTCGGGTAAGGGGCGCGTTTTTGTATTATTACAAAAAATATTTATGCTTTGAGTGGCGTGTGTCATGTGTGTCCAGTTTCCGGACAGTTAACTTGGTATCCTCGTCCCCTCGATCCTCCTAATCCTATTTTTGCGCAGATAAGGCTTTGCAAGCTTTTTTTCAAATAGCTTAAAAATAGCAAAGCAACCACTCTTTTACTCAACAAAACTTATATTGTTGGCTTACGATAATCCACCATACCGATTAACTAAGCGAAATCACTTTAAGTTTAATTGTGGCGGCAAGCGGGGAATTCCAAAGCGTGCAGTTTAGAAATAAATCCTGCCTAATTTTACGTAGGGGATGCTTCATGAAAAATCTGTGCTGTCCGAGCCATGTCACTCAATATAATATTTGTTTTTTAAATGAGCTAGACTCCTTGGTTTTAGGAAAAAATATTTCCTTGAGCTTTTCAAACATGTCAAACCTTTTCTTTCTTTTTCCTTATTTTTTTTTCAATGCCAATACAATTTTCATAATATCAAGATTAATTTCAATATAACGGTTGAAACCTCAATAGATAATTGTTAATTTATACAAAGGCCTATATTTACATATTTATATAACTACATTTTATACATACATATTTAATATGTAGCCCACTTTTATATTGTTATTTTGATCATCACAATCAACAAAGACAACTGTCAAGATGTCAAGTTTTAATAGTTATGACAAAAAAATTCCAAAATAATATAAGAACGCGTCTTTTTGGTTGCACCGTAAATGTTACACCCCTGTAGAAAAAAACTGCAAAGTATTATCTATGCATATATTAACGATGTCACGCCCCAACTATCGCATCGGTCCCAACTATAGTTGGGACTGTCCCAACTATAGTGCGGCAGTTGGGTCGGCCCAACTATAGTTAGGACTGGAGTTGCGCCGGATGCTTCATGCTTGATAGATCTTGTTGGATTAAATGTTCCGCGGCGCTGGCACCGTGTATTCGTCGTGCATGCATGCCGCAAGGCTGGCCGGTCACGTGGTACTGCCTAGTTGGATGAGTTGTGCACCGCTGGGTTTTATTATCCAGCAACATTTTGCAAAATTCAAAGATTGCCATGGCCGGCCAACTATAGATGGGCCCCACCCATAGCTAATGTCAAAGGTCCGAAGTCGGACATGTAAGCAGAGCTGTAGAGAATGTTTTATAGTCGTACATCAATGTATAGTTGGGACTGCCAAATAAAAATATTGCGGTGGCCCAACTACAGATGGTCCCCACCCATAGATCATTTCATTGGTCCCCAGTAAAGTCAGATGTGTATTAGAGTTGTAGGGAATGTTTTATAATCGTACAAGTTGAACAATGTACACTATAGTTGGGACCGCAAAATAAAAAGATCGGAGTGGCCCAACTATAGATGGGCCAGCCCAACAATGGAACTTACAGTTGGGACCGTCCCAACTATAGTTGGGACAGGCCCAACTATAGTTGGGCCAGCCCAACTGTGGAACTACAGTTGGGACAGGCCCAACTATAGTTGGGACCGATGCGATAGTTGGGGCGTGACAACTATAATGCTGACGACAGTGGGAGACCAAGAAAGGTCACCGTAGATTATGACATGTACCCTATCGGAAAAACTTTGTTCCCCGATCCACAGTTTGTTTGGGAATGAGAAAATCTGAGATAAAAATGCCAAAACTTCCGTGTGACAAAAAACGCAAGATACAGTGCCTTCTAATGCCTTTTCGCACGCAATGAGTGCTTGCTAGATGATACCTCTTTCATGTTAAATTCTAGCTTTTTGTTATTTTATTAGCATGATTATAAATAATTCTCATCATTACAGTTTTTCTTTCATTGATTTGACCGTAGGTTATTGATAAACCAGCTGTGCCAACCACTTGCCTGCTTTTGTCTGTTGACTGAATTTGACTAGCCACAGTGCTTGCTTGAAACTGACTAGCCTGTATAAAAGGCATGGCAGGGGAAGAGGATTGATTTTTTGACTGTCTGTGACTACTCAGACAGCAGGAGGGGTTACATACATGTACAATATCAATCATTCTAATAATAACTTGAATTATTCTGTGTTTTGCATTTTTGTTTGTGTGTTTACAGGGGTACACCGTCACTTCTTGTACAGCCTGTCTGGGGCCTCCGTGGGTTCGTTTCTGGGAGTTATGGAAAAGGAACGATTTGGCAGGAGGGATTTTTACATTGAGGACTACATTGCAAGACATCCAGAAGACTTTCAGAAACGTGCGTTATTAAATCATCAGGTTCACATTGGCTTTATGGTACAATACGTTTAAGCTGCTGCTTGCTGAAGTGTGCCCAAAGTGCAATATTGTAACACTTTGTGTTTTCAGAAAATTAAATTATCAAACATATTAACAGACTTTTTTATTTTTATACAACAAATATAAATATTTACCTTGTTTTTACCTCAGTAAAGTAAGTGCACAGGTATGTACCATATTTTCTGCACTTGTTACCATTCTTTTTAATATTTATTTGTACATATTCTGTTTTCCTTGCATACATGCCATAGACATTAATTTTAAACCGAAGCTATTCAAGTACATTTTGCAAAATTGTGCTCATCTGCAAATGTAAATGGTACGTCTGTATAGAAAGACATCTTTTGTACTTTAATTTTATTAAAGCAAAAACATCTTCAAGTAACCAATTGTTCTCTACTTTCTTATGCAGCCCCTCCTAAGAAGATGGCTGAACGCTTTGAACCCCATGTGCCCTGCCCAGGAAACTGAGTGAATGACGGATGCCAATCAGTTGGAGTATCTGCATTTGCTTCAGCTTTGATGTACATTAAAATCAGAGATTTATACTACTTTTGAGCTGTGGTGTTTAGATTTTATTTGGAAGGTGCATGTTAAACCAAATAACGCAAGATTGAGAATTCTCTGATTTGTTTGCAAAGGGTTCCCTTCTAAGCACTGTCGATATCAGAATTGTCAATAATCGATATATCGGATATCCAATATCGAGAATATTCGATATATCGATTATCTCATGTAAAAAATAAAGACCATAAAGACGACACTTTGTTTTTGTTTTTTTAATCAATCTTAAGCCCCAATTTTCCACGGCTTTCTCAGGAGCATATTGCACAAACTTTTTAAAACAAATCTCAGCACTGAGAGATTGTCCAGAACGGGTGGTTTCTTTTGAGGTTTTACATTGGGGAGACCACGAACTCCAGCAAACGCAGAGCACAACGCGACGCCGTTTGGCATTTCGCCTTTTTTTTTTTAGTCACAAGCACCAGTTGTCGCCAAGCTTTATTTCATTATACTGCAAATGTTAAACACAAAGTAACAGCACTAACGGGAGATTTATTTTGACGATAATCTGACGCATTATTGATATTTTCGATATCATTCCTCAATATTGAGAATTGTGATATTTCAATACAATTTTAAAATTGGTACCAGCAATAATATCAATATATCAACGGTGCTTAGTCCCCTCTCAATTTGCTCCTCGTATCCCTCGTCTTGATTACACAGTTTGATATCTATTTATATTGCAAATGTGTGTTTTGGCTGCAGAGTCAGAACAGATGTAGCCATGCGGCCAAATTTTGTAGTTGAATTATGCAATTACGTTTCACCTGTTGTTTGTTCGGGGACAGTGTTTTAACAGATTCGGTCAGTTGTTTTAACAAACATGGCCCAACCATATTTGGTAGGAAGTCAAAGAAATTTGATGCCTCTTATCCAAGCCCGAGAAATCTTGACATTTCTCCGACTGAACTCTCGAAAAACATTTACCGTCTCCAGAGAAAACCTTCTTGCTATTAAGACCGCAAAAACGTGACATCTGCGTCACACTTTAGAGTGCTTGTTTTTCAGATAGCGGGATAACAGGATCCACAATTAGTCCAAAGGGCGAGACGGTTTAATCAAATTATAGTATAGTTTCCTGTAAAGGCGATACTGAACTGTCTTCTTCTAATTGGTTATAGCGATGCGCGGTTGCATTGTTTTAGCAATTTATACGCGCATCGTTTTGTGGGCAGTCGGCAGATGCATAGGAACACTGTACTTATAGCAACAGTTTTAACCATTTGGACTTTTGATAAAGGATATTTTCACAAGACTTTTTTTGCACGAATTGGAGGATTTATTGTTCCTACCATTTGTACACATACATGAACAACAAAGGATTTTGAAAATTGAAAAAAAAAGTTGTAAGGTTTACAAGAAAGAATGCTTAAACAAAAGCCTTTTTTCTGTAGCCTTGTGAACACGTTTATTCATATATGGTTAATTAAAGGTCTCAAATTAAAAACAAACAATTTTAGATTTTATCCATTTCAGTCTGTTGTAATTAGTGCAGAGATGTTTGGCCCCCCAAAAAAGATGTTTCTAGACATTGTTCAGTCATTACACATTCACGTAACACTTAGAAAAGGAAAAGACTAACTTTGTTCGCAGTTTGATACTTAAAAATAATTGGTCAATTATGACAGACTTGTTTGGTTTGTGAAAGTATGATATTTTAAGTTCAAGTTTGTAAATAAACAAAACGATAAAATAGAAAAGCTCTGAGTCGTTGTGAAATATTTGGAAATGTTTTGCTATACAGAAGAGTACTATTTACTTGAAGCTGTATATACATTATATTGCACTGCAGAAAATGGTCTTCTGACCACTGTTAAAACTCTTCAAAATAATTTACAAAAATGTACACATATTGTACAACAGCCACATTTATATTTACAACTATTGTGATAGAAATCATTGGGTTTTTGTCGCTACTGAAAGTTAATCCTTCAAAAAAGACTACATTAGTAACCTGCGTATTTGTGAATAAATTCTGTTAAGAGCTTTTAAAATATAGATTTAAAGAATTGTAATAGATATGCCACAGGCACTCTTTTACAGTACCCATGTTCATTATGATTGCTAGAGACGGCAATATAACACTGTCTTTAAAGTTATAGCCTTTTAGCACTGAATATGATACTTCCTTCATACACATTAAGGCACTTGGTCAACCCTGACGAAATTACTGCTGTGGACTTTTGGAAAAAATATTGCAACCTGACACCACTTCAGCAGTTTTGTACAAAGTCTATGGAGAGTCAAGAACATTCTCCAAGTATTTTCAAACAAAATTTTAAATGTTTCTTAGTCCCAGATTCATGTCTTATCATTTTTGCAATGACTGACTTTCATTGAGATGATATATATGAAGAAAAAAGTGGCAGGTTGCAACTTTTTTTCTTGGAGTTGTGTCTCAGATTCTGTCTCGAGAAATAGAAGTAGAAAATTTGTGACAATTAACCTTTTTCCCCCCAACCAAACACATAACACCCTTTTACCACCCTGTTACCCCACAGTTCACAGACACTGTTATGACGTCACTTCCCTAGCACACATTAAGGTACTTGGTCAACCCTGACGACATTACTGCTGTCGAGTTGCGTCTCAGATTCCGTCACCCGATCGCTCGGTCTGCCTCAGGCGTCAAGCTTGGGTAGTTTCTTGATGGCCGCGGTCTTCTTGATGGGACCGTGCTTGGGGTCTAAAATCCTCTGATCGTCCGGAACGCTACACAAACAAAAGAGTACAATTTCCACTTAAAACCTCAATATCCATTTAAAACTTTAATACCCAGTTGAAGACATCAACATCCAAGTAAAACTTTAATTAATACATGGTTGAAACCTCAACATCCAGTTACAAACCTTAACATCCAAGTAAAACCTCAATACATGTACATGGTTAAAACCTCAATATCCAGTTAAAACCTCAGTATCCAGCTAAACATCAACACCCAAGTAAAACCTTAATACATGTACATGGCTGAAACCCCAATATCCAGCTAAAACCTCAACATGCAGTTAAAACCCTCAATATATGCAATTAAAACCTCAATACCCAGTTAAAACCTCTATATCCAGCTAAAACAATATCCAAGTAAAACCTCAATTCGTGTACATGGTTAAATCCCCAATATTCAGCTAAAACCCCAACATACAGTTAAAACCCTCATTAATAAAACCTTAACATCCAGCTGAAACCTCAATATCTAGTTAAACATCAACATCCAGTTAAAACCTCAACATACAGTTAAAAAATATCAATATGCAGTTTAAAGCTATAGTCCATCATTTGCAGCCATCCGAAAAGTAACTGGCGTAATTATTGTTGAAAAACAAACTTGGTTGAAAGATAGTAAGGGAACTAAACTCCCTGTGAAATTATTCCTTCTGGGAAGCTGTCATTTTGAAGTAATCAACGAAAGAAGGCATTTCCAACGGTGATTCTTAAGAAGCACCATAGGAAAATTTAAATTAGTAGTTCGTTTTGTTATTCAGCGCAGCGCGCACAAGTATTGGAACGACGCACACGCGCGCGCGGTTGTTATAATTCGTCGGATCAGTACGCTACGTCGCGTATAGCTGCAATTCAAAACAATTCAAAACATGATTCAGTAACTTTGATTTGAAATTGAGATCTTAGAATGCTGTTTTTCTCGGAATGTACAGCTGAAGCTTAGCTGAAACTTCATCAGGTTAGTTGCTCAGTATCCTTCATTAGATTTTGAACTCTTTTGTTGCTTCAAACGAACAAAATGCACAAATTACAAATGATGGACTGTAGCTTCAATATCCGGTTAAAATCTCAATGTCTAGTTATAGTAGTTACTGCCTTCACTGATTAAATATGCTCATTAGTTTGATAGGACTGAATTTTCTTGAGTACACAAATGTAAATTGCACGTGATCGCGTATGCAGTCCATGTGCCTGCCATGCATGCCAACGCGGTGTAACTTTATGCATTATGAGAAGAACGTTTTTCCAGCTTTCATGAATCATAAATGTGGATATTATAAAAACATCTTTGCTCATCGTCACTGTGAAATGTAAATTTCAATGCAGATGAATTCATGAATACTTTCAATGGAAATTGATCCTGAATGAAGCCCCAATAGAATTTGGCTGGGGTCAATGTCTCCAAGACGCAGCATAAAGTTCACTTTACCAAGGGGAAATCTGAACTACATTTCCATATAAATTTCAGTATGAATGCCATTCTTTCACAAGATGTCATAATTTGACATCTTTTTCCCAAACTGATGTCATCCTACCTCTCAAGGCCCTCACTGATTTGCCTTTTTGGCCCCTACCTGACCATGTTGTGTTCTTTTACTAAAGTAATTCCTTAATTCCACAGGCAAATCTGAAGGTTCTTAACCATCATCTTCTTTGCGGACGTCCTGACCTTGAAAGTCAACATGTCATCTTAGAATTGTCTTAACAATCTTATCCCAAATATTTCACTTACTTCTCCTCCACTCCTCGCCCTTTCTGATTGGCTCGTTTCTTCTGCTGATTGCCGGCATTGGTTGTAAATTTCAGCTCCTCCAGTTTCAGCTTTGCCTATAAAAAAAAGTTAAAGTGTTAATACATTTTAACAATATTGATGAATTCTTTTATTTTAGGGAGGGGGAATGGTTGTTTGCGAGGTTAAAACCAACCCCCAAACCATACCTTCATTTTTAAGGAAATTTGTCAAATGCAGTTGTTAGGATGTAGTTGTTAATTTTTTTTTTTTAACACAAATGTATTAAAGTGTGGGGAACAAAAATGAAGATTTCCAACATCATAAAATGTTTTTTTTTTAACTGGAAATCACATGCTTCAAGAGCGTTCAATTTTTCATTGAACAATGAATTCCAAATGTCAATGAGTTGACAGGTCTGCAGGAATTGGTGTAAACCTGTCTCTATGGTGTAATCAACAGATTTTTCATTTCATTGAAAATGATAATTACCTGTAAGAGTTCCGTGTGTAGATTTCTCCTTTCGTCATTAGCCTTGTGGAAAGCCTGCGTGCAAAGCACAATATTACTATCACTCCGTGCACCACAAAGAAAAAATGCAATTTTGGTTTTACAAAATTGAACAAATTTAGATAATTATTTTCTCAACAAAGACAAAATAGACTTGAAATATTAAGGTCGAAAAACTGAATTTGTAGTTTGGAATCTATTGTCTTCAGTTCTACTTCATTCATATCTCTTGAGCATTAACATCCATTGTAAGTCACAATTTCAAGGATTTTTTTAATTTTCTTAATTTTGTAATTTTTTTTATTTTAAGAACTGACCTTTGATTCCTGGTCCAGCCTCCACTCATAATCCCTCAGCTGGCTCTCAAGGCTCTGCTTCTCCCGCTCAATTTGCTTCAATAATTTCCTCAAGCTGCCCTGTACCAAACAACCAGTCAAGAAAGAAAGGGACAAAAACAAAATAAAACACTTGACATTTCCATCATGACTTGTCGCATCGTCCCCACAAATGTCATGACTTGTCGCATCATCCTCACAAATGTCAAAAGTTCTCTCCCCCCCCCCCCCCCCCCCCACACCTTCTTGCAAATGGACTTTGGTACTCGAAATGGAAAATGTCAAAAGCCGTACAAAAAAACCCCACTTTTTTTTATATCTGGATATTTATCATACCACTGCAATTATTTGTATTTCAAATGAACCAACATCAAGCAATATTGAATTGTATAAACTGTGTCATGAAAAAAAAAAATCAGAGACTGTTTCATGATGCTTTAAAAGGCCAACGTCTGGTACGATCCAACCCTTTTCCCATAAACAGTCCATTTACCCAATTGGTTCTGGATCGCAGTGCCTCAACACTGACACACGTACAATTTTATGCATCTATAGTTCATATCATCTATAGTTCACATCATATAGTTCATATCATGCGGAGGCTGTCAATTCAGCTACGCTATCTATAACAAATCTGTCAAGCTGGTGTAACCATGAGATATGGCAGAAGTTGAGAACGAACTCTTTTTCACAGCGAATGCTCTGACAAGTTATACTGATTTAAAATGCACTTAAATAAACCTAAAAAAACTGTCATGCACAATTATTAGTACTGATGACATGCAACACCCTTCTCAAAAAAATGTAGCAAACAGTTGAGAAATAATTGATATGGTGAATAATTAATGGATTAACTCCTAAAATGATTAACTCGTAAAATATGCATTAGGATTAAATTGACAACCGTGTGATCCTTTGATCTTGTCAATCCTTGTCTAAAAAAACAACTGCCAGACACAAGTCACTTTCCATCGCAACGAAAAAAACAAAAAATTTTGCAATCACTGTGATCAATGCACTGTTTTTCTAAACTGTTGCCCCTCGTTTGATTTCCGTTGCAAAATATTACTCCGGGCGAACGACTCCTTTTTTTTTTTCTCCCAGAACAGACATTTGGGGAAACCGGTCACAATCAACACTTGATACGGCTACTTGTGTAAATGGACTGCTGGGTTGCTAAGGCAACAGTCGATCCTTGTCGGCGCAAATAAAACGGCCTGGTTTCCCCCCGGTGATGCCCGACATTCAGTGCTTTTCGCCGTAATGGATTTTTTTTTCCCCCTTTTATCTGGGGGGAACCGATCAATACAAAAAAAAGCCCCATTTGAGCTAATGGAGTTATCTGTTGCATATCAGATATTTATGTAGTGAAATGCACAAGGGCAAGGGTGGTCATTCCAGGATGGCAATTTACAGTCAGTTTCTGTAGGGATGCAATCTGATACTTTCTGATAAACCTATCCATTGGAAAATTGCCATTTAAAATACGCCTTTTTTAATACAAATGTCTTATATTACAATTTAATTATTTATTTGAGTTCACCAGTTGATACTTGGTTCTTTTTTATTATCCATATATAGGTTAAAACTGTTATTTCATTTATATAAATGAGCTCCTTTCGAATCTGTTTCACAGAAATATACAATAGGCACATTTGGTGTTGAAGGAAAACATGCACACTTTATGTTTAAAATCTTATAGGTAGAGTTTATCATTTGCAGCTATCCAAAGAGTAACTGACAAAATTATTCTTTCTGGCATGCTGCCATTTAGACGAAAACAGTAAAAGAAGGCCATTTCCAAAGATGCGTCTAAAGACGCATTTTTGGAAATTTCCATTAGTAGTTTTTAATTCAGCGAAGCCATGAATGAGTGCACGTGTTGACACGCAAGCGTTGACACGACGCACACGCGCACGCCATATCAAATCCTTTGTGGTCAAAAGGACCCCGTGTAAACCGGCCAAAGGGCACAGCCAGATGACCTTGGACATAGAGATAACAGCTCCCGGGCTCTGTGTATATACACTAGCGCTGCCTAGCGCGTGTACAATAAACAGACCCTATACGCACTGAGCCATGAGCAACGGCAAATTTTATTGGAGTTTAGATGAACAATTCTTTTGTTAATGAATACACGCGAGCCTAATCCTCAACCAATCACAATAAGGGTTATATTGTTGGAAAGCTGACGAGACGAAGAAAAATGACTCGAGAGATTTTGTGTCTACACACAAAACGGGGAGATTTTTGACTAAAAATGCAGTGTTTAACATCATTTCACAAGTGAAAATCAGTGTTTTATTCAGCTTTTCTTTCATTATCTGAAAGAGTATATTATTAGGGTCATACTGTAGTAAGATCTAAGGTATACTCTGTCGAATAATGAAGTTGTGGCGACAGATGTGAAAAAGGGCCGGTTTTTAATGATTTTTTTCGCCGTGTTCCCTCAAAGAGGTTGCACATAAAAACCGGCCCGGTGGGTTAGTTCCCCAAAGGAATCAATATATGTATAATTTGTCGGTTCAGTGCGTGACATTGCGCAGCTGAAATCCTCTGATTAAGAACGTGTCCCGGACGCTGATTTCGGGAGCAATTCAAAACATGATTTGGCAACTTTTGAATTGAAATCCAGATCCTTGAATATTGTTCTCTCGGAATGTACAGCATTCATTGAGCTAAAAGTTCATCAGGTTAGTTGTTAAACACCCTTCTTTAGATTTTGAGCACTTTTGTTGTTTCAAACAAACAAAAATGCACAAATCACAAATGATATAATCTACCTTTAATGGTTTTAAATGTTCTAAAATCATTACTTCTTTTGAACAATAAGAATTTGACCGTCTCCATTTAGCTGTTGAAAAAATAAAGGCCAATCGTCCAATTTGGGAGGGGGGGGAGTTTTTGCATGCAAACCACAAAAATGACAAGAGTGTCTGCCAATTAACTATTTTTTTTCTTTTGCAAGTAAGTCATACTTTTTTATGCCAACAAAGCTAACTTATTCTAACACATAGTTCATTAATCAAACCACCACTCTATTGTCCCCCCCCCAAAAAACAAAATTGATTCCTCATCACCCATGAGGAATGGCACAATTATCAGTCAACCAATGCACTTATCAATCCACTGGTAAATTAATCAATCGTCAACCAATTATCAATCAATCAATAATAAGCAATATGTCTATGCTGCCTACCTCCGAGAGTTCGTCATAAGATCGCAGGTCACTCTCGAAGCCATCCTTGGCGCTATCCCGTGATTGGTCTAGCCGGTCCTGCAGGTACTGTATCTGCTTGCTCAGAAGCTGGTTCAATTCCTCCTGAGTCTCGCATCGTGTCTTCCATTCATTGTCTGGACACAATATGAAAGAAAAAAAACAGTGCTTTACTTTAAGTGTAGATGGATTTCTTAAAATCTTAAAACCATACGGAAAAAAACATAAGAAATCAATATTGAATTTTCATTCCATTTATTTTTTTGGTCTTTTTCCTGTCCATACACACAATGTTTTATGAATGTTTCATACAGATTTCTGTACCCATGATTACATTTTTTGTCAATAAGAACTAAGACTAAGTCATGTGTATAAATTTAAGGCAGTGTATATTTGGCCAAGCCAGTTTCCTTTGGTACACATTATTTTTACGCAATCGGTCCAGCCAATTATAAATGTTATTTAAACGCAATTGTAGTTAAGTGTCTTGCCCAAGGGCACAAACCCTGCCAGGAACATGGTGTTTGTGCCCTTGGGCAAGACACCTAACTACAATTGCTTCTCTCCACCCAGGATGGGTACCTGTGAGGGTCGAGGCTCAATTGAGCGCTGATATCGGCTGCCGCGTGGTCCCACGGCCTGATGAACGGGGTAACAATTGAAAAGCGCTTTGAGATTGTTGATACGATGGAAAGTGCTATATGAGCACAATTATTTTTAATTATTATTATTTTAATGGAGGCTTTCTTTGACTGGCTGATATATAATTATATCATATTGGATGCACTGGTTTTCGTTCAGTTTGCCAGAGGAATCGAAGATGACCTCCGGTGAATTAGCATTTACTGAAAGAAAACCAGCGTCTGCCAAATAGCCACTGCCTAAATTTAAAGGGAATACACATCATTTGCTTTTGCTGTAATTTTCAGAAATGGATCGAATTGGGGGGTTGGAAATATAAAGCAAATATAGTTACACTGACTTTTTTGAGGTTTTGGGTTCGAAAATGCTATAAAAACCAAGAAAAACGATCATTTTCCTGTAGTCTGGTTCCCTGACTCCATATAAGAAGAAACAGAGCAGTTTACATACATTGGGGAATTGTAAGGTCAGGGAACCAGTCTAGCTGGCTCGTACCCATTCATAGGTTTGTAATCGATTGCAAACAAGTGCGATGGTCAATTGGGGCCAGTATTTGAAGAAAAAAAAGCCAGTTGTTTCCAACGCTGATCGGCCGATCAGCGTTGGAAATTGATACAAAAATACCACTTTTCTTGAAAATGACAGTATACCAGGTGCCATGATTTTACAGGATGCTTTACACTGTCATTCACTAACAGTCCAGCAAGGTATTTCAAAATGATTTGGTAGTTTTATTTTTTGATGTTTGCCTTTAATGTGAAAAGGAAAAGCTGAAAAAAAGGCTTGGGCTAATTTAGAAACCTGTCCCAATCACACAATGTAAGCCTTTGCATGCATACCTTCCTCACTTGCCAGTTCATATCTCCTTTCCATTTCGGTCACAGTGCTTTTCAAATCTCCCACTGAGTTTTCAAGCATTCCACTAATATAAAGGAAAACAATTATAGCATTAAAATTATATATCATTACAAATATTAGGCCGACATCCCTTTTAAAAAAATCCTCCAGAGCCAAGAGCCAGAAAAAAAGACAATAGGCCTATAATTATTCTGCAATACTAGTATTCGATATAAAACAATAAAGGAAGAAAAACTTGTACTCTTGGAAAAACAAAAACTAAACAAAAAAGCCATGCACGGTCACGTCTCAAACTCAGTTCACTGGCCTGCTCGGGTTGAGGAGGTAATTAATTATAATGGATTAATCTTGATCTTGATTGATATAGCTGATCAGCTCCTACAGGAATATCACTCAGCTTGCTATTGACGAGTGCTGAGGGATCTAAGGGTATCACTAAATTGATTGGTGTCTCCTATGCCAGTAATGTGCTGAGGGAGGTCGTTCTAGTCCTTGCTGGTCTGATAGAAGAATGAGTGTTGGAGTCCTTTGATATTGGTGAAGGGGATCTGAAGGTAGTTGGGTTTTGAGCGTCTCGTTGTTATTTCTGGTTGCCTAATGGTTATTTCAGGTGGAACTTTAACGTCGATCTGTCCACTGAAGATTTTGTGGAAGTTTGTGAGGCGCTGTACATATCTCCTATTTTCCAAGGTGGATATTCCAGTTTTTCAAGAAGAGCAGTAACAGATTTAAAACTGTCCCAGCTATATGTAAGCACCTTGCATCTTGTAAACCAAGCACCTTGTAAACCAGTATAAGGTACTCATTAACTTCATTTACCTGTCTTTAATAATACACATAATTTCCATATTTAAAATAATCTAGTTTGGAAAACCCAGCTCTTGATCATGTAGGCAGCAGGACTCAAATGGGTCAAAGGAATCATGAGACTTTGAGAGTTTATGGCATGGAAATTCGTCATTTGCAAATTTCCCATTTCTTCATGAGCCTAGGTGTTCCAAGCTAAAGTGAACAAGCAAAGAAAGTATGCAAAAAACAAAAATGTGGCAGTCAAAAATCGCCCAGAAAGTAAAAGAAATCCACCTCTTCCAACCACCAAATCATCCTCCCCCCGTCTCCCGTGCCCCGCCCATACCAAGCACGGTTTGACATGCGAAACGAATGTCTATCAATCCCAAATCATCGATGTCTAACGCCAGATTTTAACATCCCGAGGCAAATGGTTTTCTCTCAATAATAACCTGATTATTTCCCAACATTATATCCATAAGTTCTTACTAAATATCCTTCTCCTGTTCAATCTCTGCTCGCAGGCGATCTAGGTCGTATATTTCGTCGTCGAATGAAGTCGACGCCGACGAATCCCTTTCCTGCCAGTGGTTCGCCATCTTGAATCTGTGTGCGTACGTGCGTGCTCATTGTTTCGAACGTGTATTTTGTGCAAAAGAAGTAGTGCGTGAAGTTTGTGATTCGAACTACACGGTTATAATACCATTAAAGTGGCATCGTTGCGGTTGCTATGGTAATCTGCGCGATACCGCATCTTCTGTTCTGGCTATTCTGTTTCCAGACAAAAAGTCTACAGCCTGTCAGATGAGCTTTCCTAGCGTTAACGAAAATTTGACCTAATAATAAAAGACCTTTTTGATTAAAAAAAAAAAAAGGAACAGCAGATTGGTTTTCACTTCGATTTGCTGAGGATTATGCCCTGTGCATAGCGCATCTAGGGTATCCAATCCGCATTATCTGGAAAAATCTCGTATAAGATTCCATCGTTAATCGAAAGGAGGATGCAGGTGCAGTGATGACCTTTCCCCTTCCTAACTGCTTATCAAGAGAAGGGCAAAGTCTTGAGAAATTGTTTTTAACTGCTGCCCGATCCATTTTCCCACGGTGAAATTTGAGGAAACGAAATTGTGGATCCCCCCTGCCCACATGATTTAGCGACTACGGTGACATTCGGTCTTGGTCACTGAAATTCAAGGAAATGCCCCTCATAATCGATGACCACTCGCACGTGATACAATCTCAAGCCCGAAGGCTGAATAATTTACTTGAGTAAATAGTAATTTACTTTGGACCGGAGTTTGCTGGCCACTGGTCAGGCCGAGTGAGGTGAGTGGCCTTTAATTCGTGGGAGCAGGAACGCAGCTTAAAGTCGCCGGATGCAGCTTCGGCAGTGTCGCCGTGCCGCGCCGGACAATGCGTTTGCCGAGATTGTTCTCTCACCGCGGCGACGAGAAACAGAAAATTCTGTCCAAAACGTTGAGTTTACACTGGTTTTCTCAGAACCACACTGAGTGACAGTGTCTTTAGAGTTTTAGTGTCACACGATCACTACATGTCACTACAGACTTACTGCTGAGCTCACCATGCATGATCAGGGGCGGATCCAGGAATTTTCGCAGGGGGGGGGGTTTCATCGGCAAAAAAAATCTGAAATGTAGACAAGTTTTTTTCTCCGGACACTTGGCCTCAGTAAAATCAAAAAGGCGGGGGGCGGGGGGGGGGGCTCGTACCATACTTAAAATGGGGCGCTGTTCATATCCGACGATTATTAACACTATATCACAGAGTAATGTACATTAGACCCCCTTATAGCTTACCAAGCTGGCTCTGTGCGTATTTTGTCCAAGGCGGACATTATTACTAGCAAAAAAAAAAATAGGTGTCGGAGCAGGGGAGGGGGTCGCATTTTTTGTCATGAATTTCGGTAGACAAAAAATTGACAGAGCTGGGGGGTTTAACCCCCCCCGGATCCGCGCCTGATGGTGCAAACCTTCAAATGATACCAGTTTTCTTCAGTTTTCTTCAAAAATAGCCTCGAAGTCATTTTAACCCATGTCTTTAATTTGGCTGGCACGAACGGCCATACAAGAATACTATAATGCAAAACAATTTTGAAAGAGAGTTTGCCCTCAAAATTCTAAGGAGGTGTCATGAAAATCACTGCTGCGAAATTGAGAACTATGTTGTCAAACGTGTTTACATTTCTGGTTCATGCATGCATCGTCAAAATCCCTCCGCACCAGAGTTTCGATTCCCTGTTGCCTCATTTCCTAACCTTTTATCACAGAGATTTTTTTCTCAAATCGTTCCACTTTCAGCTTTGTGACGTGAAGAAGAACGATCGAAAGACCGCCCGACCGCGCTCACGGCCACACGGGCTCATCGAGTGCAAGGACCGGCTATAGGTAATGGAGTAGTCTTTGGAGGAGAACACTCCGTCGTGACATTTTGAGAAATCATGCCCCCAAACGAAGATCATACCCACCAACAAAAGAGGAGCATGGAGGACACTTGGGGAGGCAGAATTGTGCCACTCCGCATAGTGGGGGAAATTGTCAAGCAGTGCCCTACGGGGAGAATTTCATTCACTCGGGAGATGATATCGGTTGAGACGCGGCACATCTTTCTGCACGTGGCGACATACGTCTGTTTTCTGATTGACATTGTCTTCACGTATAATCCTCTGCTGGCCTGGAAACAAGGCAAGAACGTCAGTAGTTATTATCCTTCGGCGGTCATCTCATGTGACAGGGTGAACGGGGGTCAGTGATATTTCGGTGTTGATTCGCCTTGCACAATGAACACTCGAGATGTTGCGAAGATTTTAAAACATTCAGGCCAAGAAAAAAACAAACAACCATTATTAGGTATATGCGATGTGCCAGTGCACTCCGAGGCAATGAAAACAGAGTGTTCATGCATGCTCCCTCGTAACAACTCAGACTTTTCTGTTTATAAACTATCTTTTGATCGATAGTTAATCGGTCCTTTTATATCGCAGTCTTATATAGCGCACGTATCTACCAACAATTAGGTATATACTCAAGGCGCTGGAGATTATGTTTTTTATTAAAGAAAGGTAAATAAAGTTTATGAGAAATATGAGACCCATTATGTAGCATCTTATAACGGTTTACAAGATGCTGCGGCGCATATTGCAGCCACTGCCAGAAACACCGGGGCAAACCCCTTCTCTTAGCGATAAGTGTTATGGGTTCTTTAACGTGCATTATATACACAACACACAGGACCTACGGCTTTACGTCCCATCCGAAGGACGAAGCAATAATGGTAAAGTGCCTTGCTCAAGAGGACAAGCACCATGTTCCCACGGTCAGGATTCGAACCCATATACCACGGCACACGAGTCGAACACCGTAACCACTGGACCACAGCACCCCAGCACCCCCTTTAAATATCCTTTTGCAGTGCAAACTGCTCCATCATCAGCGCAAACTCTACCTTCATTGCTCATTTTCGGTTTGTCGGCTATCCTAATGAAATGGTTCAAAGGTGCATGATACCAGATACCTGCACGCAGTTGGAATATTTTGCAGTGACGGTCCATGAAAGTTTGAAACAAGTACATGTTATTGACAGGGGATCGTTAGCGAGTGCATGTATGTGCCTGCACTAAAGTCAATGATGTTCTCAATAACATGCATGAACTTAAAATGTTTTCCTCGCTTTTGCTTACAATTGTGTTTATCGAAATGACCTCGGGTCTTGAAGTCAAACGACAAACAAGGAAGACGGTTTGTTAAGTCATCCTCAAATCTGCGCAGATCCATGCCGGACCCACTCCAGCCTAAAAAAAAAAACCTGCTCGAGATCAAAATCTCCCAGCATGGTCTGCTCAGCGCTTGCTTCGTCCGCAGCGTCCTTCCCCAGCAAGTGGTATACGGTCTCAAGCCCTCTTTGCTCCCCGCAAGAGAGCCCTCGAATGCGCGCTCTTTTACGTCACTGCGTGCGTGTTGTCTAGGCGGTGAAGATCTTGGGATGTAACCTCCACGGGGGCTATGTACTTTGTCTTGCTTGATGAACCTTGGTCCCTTGCCGACAGGCTCTGTAGGCAAACATGCCGTTCAGAAAATGTAACCAAGGAGGGGCAACGCTCGGACTTGTCACATTAAAGGAAGGTTTAATATTGATTATCCCGCATCAGTATGGATAACGCGGATGTGCATGGCAAACTATGGGCCCTTGAGTTGAAACAGAGGATAAACTTGCAAGCTATGGGTTCTTTAATTGTGTCTTAATTTAATACGTAGGCCTAATATAGCTCAGCAACCTACATGTTAAACAAATATGTTTTGTTTTGCTCGTACATCTTTTTGAAGGAGCGCCAAGGCACTGCATTAAAATAATTTAAAGGTTAACTAATTGGACCCTTTTTCTTGATTATTTCCTTTGAATGGTATCTGAAGTATCCATAGGAACTGAAACAGTTTTGTTTTTGCCTTTTGAATAATGAAAATGATCAGGAATTAACCTAAGTAAATTATCGCCAAGTTTCATATGGAATGCACATTGTATGCATGGATCTGTGATCGATACAGGAATTATAAAAATTCATGGAAAGTGTCGATCGGATCGGACCCTCTGGGCGTGGTGCTTCGATCATTTTGAACCGAGGGCCAGCTCCGTTATAACGAATGCCATGCTGCTTTCTGCGACGCAAGCCGCGGAGTAACACTCAACACCGTCTGCCCGTTGTCGAGAGAATTACGCTAAAGCGCTATCATCAAATGTCCCAGCTGATATTCCCGGAGACTCTGCCGTTACATCTAATTGAGGAGGTAGTCCATCCCCTGCACTTAAGGATGCATCTGGTTGCTCGGGGACATCTATCCTCGAGCCCAGCGGGACACTCAACCCGTACCGTCCCCGCTCCCTGTGTTGATGAGGTCCCGGTGCATAGATACCAATTTCGTAAATCAAATTAATGTATTAAGGGTAGAAGAAATTCCACACACTTTAATTCCAGTCTTGCCGATTTGCTAACAGGCAGTGGTCATTTGATTATGGTACATGGTCGTGACGCATGTGCTGATATCGATCCTTCCACGAAACCGAGGTTTAATTTTCTCTATTGTCTCTGGCAGTCAAAAATGCATGCTGCATGAATTAGTTTAAATTAATATGAATTAATTTGTCCAAGAGAAATTTATCAGCGCTTTTAATTGAATACGTTCTTATTCATATTTTAGATGAAATATCTGCGCCAGTTACACTGAGTGGGGAGACGCAAAATTATAATGCAAAATGGGATTAGTGTAAAATTAATAATCAATTCCTGGCAAACTCTAATCGTCAACAGAGGGCAGCATTGCATTTAAAATCATCTGTAATTAATGTAAAACGACATTTACTACACTGTTATAATGTGCAAGTGCCAAACTTTTTTGCAGTGTATTTTTCGAAGGGGTGATTGTGTGCAACTTTAATAGAATTCTGCATGTGCAACTAATACAATTCTGTTTTTCGAATCCACCTTTGTTTCAATCCATGCAAATCCATCCAAAGCTATCTCGAGTTTAAAAGGAAAAATTGAATGCGCTAAAATCTACCATTAAATTTGGAGTCAACGCAATGACATTTCTCCGCCGTTAAAGAACCGGATCTGAGTCTATGCAAGAGTCAATAGTCACGTGATACACCCTCCCTCACGTGATGTAAAGTAGGGGTGTTTAGACACCTTGTAACTAACTCCACTTTTTCAATTAGAAAATGTCAGTTGAGCAAATAAAGATCTTGGTGTGGCGGTGTTTGGGTGTGCACTGGATTCGCAGCGGATTTACAAGGCCTCCCGGCTGAGACAATGTCACGGCTGTTTGCTGTTCTGGTTGAAACCAACGGTGCGATGGGTCGTTTACTTCGTGTTAGCGCTGCTCCACTTATTTGCAAAACAGACTTCCCTTTTCCGAGCGATTCTAGGACTTGTTTACGGAGAACGACCCGTCGAATTCACTTTTTGAGTGGGGTATTACGGTCGGCCTGTCAGACCCGCGGATACGGTTACCGATTCGATACACCGTTTTATACACTGACAGTTTGCGCACGCAAAATAATTAGATCGTTTTGAAACCCCTGGTTGACTTTACAACCGAGGTGGACGGCGAGGGGCCAATCCGGTGCATGGATTCAGTCAGGTGGTTGCACACCAACCAATCAGAGGACCCGTCGTGATGTGAGCGCGCACTGGGGCAAGCATATAAGGACCTGTGCCTGTGCGCCGTTGTCGATTGTCTTTTCATCGGGGCCTGATGTGAGTTCATATTGTGGGCGTTCACTTACTTCAAGTCACTATTTTAGCCTCGTCAGACTTTTGAGAGAGCTGACGATTTTTTTTAATGTGGCAGGACTACCTAGCAGATGTTTTGTCGTCACCACATTTATCTGAGGCAGGGGTGACATCTACAAGATGTACTTTTCCTGCTTTTGCTCCTGATGTATCTACGATGTTCTCGACCTTTTTTAGCCACGAGGTGCCGGTTTATGTGGATCGAAACGCCCCCAGCGCTCTTAGCACATCCGCATGATTTCCGGCAAGACAGGAGGCGTCTTGTTTTTGAAGTGGAACAGTAGGGAATGAATACTCAGGGGCTTTAGCATCAGATACGCAGTTTTAAGTTCTTATCAGTCTGCTGGGCGACAGACTGTCTTATTTTTCCTTCAATCGACCAAAAAGCCGTGCATAAAAACTAGACTTAGCTCTGCTCGTCAAAATGTGCACCGGAGAGACTGCAAATACGATACAGTCGTTACCTACATCGCATTGTGTTTGAGTTCGCCGTTTTCTTTGCCTCCCGATCGATTTTTTCCCCGCCAAGAATGACGCTAGTTCTGAGGGCGAGGAAATGTGATGCAAAAGCGGTGATCAGGTTGAAAATGATCAGATTTAGACCTGTACAATTATTGCGCTCACAATGCCCCGGACTTTATTTGGTTGCGTGTGCAATTAAAAGCAAGACTGGGAGCTGCCAAAAATAGGCCGAGACAGTAAGTAACATAGTAATTCGTGCCTGGCTTATGCGGTTGGCAGAACATTTTGTTTGCACAATTCGTCTTTAGCTCAAGGATCGAAGATGGATTTCTCGTTCCTGAACTGGACCGTGGCGAACGGCAGCGGCCATTTCATCCAGCACGGCCAACTCTTCGGGACATTTAACCTGTCGTGCGATACGCTCGTGTTTGTCGAGACGGAGGAAGAAGTGGAACAGTACATGTACAGCCCCATGGAGAAGATTGTCAATACTTACATCCTGCCGATCATCATGGCCATCGGTCTTCTGTCTAACATTGCCTTCTTGTTCGTAGTGGCTCGTGTACATCGGATGAGGACAGTGGTGAATGTGTACCTAGTCAGTCTCGCCTTTGCTGATATTCTGTTCTTGGGAGCCGCTATGGGACAGGAGATTGCCCACTTCGCCAGCTCGCCCATTGCTAAAGACCAGGGTAATATCAACTTCGGCTGCTTCATCGTCATCTATGTGGTCTCCTACATCGCCTTCTTCACCAGCGAGTTTCTGGTAACAGCGGTGGCCTTCGAGCGATTCTACGCCGTCTGTCGCCCAATGAAGGTTTTCGTGGGCAACGCTGACCCGTGGAACGCGTCCAAACTGGTCGTGCTGTCGTGGGTGGTGGCGGCCATATTGGCAGGCACCACCGTGCCGTCACAGTGCCGGACCGTCGTCTACTGCATGATGTGGCCGACCATGGAACTCGAAGCCACCCTACCAGCCACCATGACTGCCTATCTCTCCGTCTCAGAGGCAGTCTTCCGCTACGCCAGTTTCATCCAGACTTTTCCCTTCTTTGTCGCCATGGCGGTCAACAGTGTCCTCTTCGTGCGCGTCATGCGCGCCATGAACGACCGGCTTGGCGTCATCGGTCGGCAGGCGGCCGGCGTGCGGAAGAACCTGGAAGTCCGCAACCAAATCGCACGGATGCTGGTCATCAACGGCGTCATCTTCTTCCTCCTGATGGCGCCGTTCCAGACCCTCTCCCTCTACTGGTTCGTCCGGCGTCTAACAGGACACACACGCTACCAATCCAACAAGCAGTTCGAGGGTTTCCTCCTGTTCAGTCATCTGCTGACGTACTGCAACTCCGCCATAAACCCGATCATCTACAACGTGGCCAACTCGCGGTACCGGCGGGCTTTCTACGAGGCGTTCAGCGTGACCTGCGGATCGAGGTGCCGCTCCGACCCGTCCGCTCAGGGTGAGGCGGGCAAGAAAGATCGGCGTGCTATCTTCGCTACCTGTAGCTCCATGAAGACAACCAATGGGTCCATGCGAAGCGCCATGAAAAGCATCGATCGGTTGACAACTGAAGAGTCTCGAGCTTAAGACTCCCCGGCCAGTAATACTCCGTATATAGGTAACTACGAAGAGAACTGTTTGATCAAACTACAGTCATACCTTCCATCAACATTGGGACAAAACTCATAAAACAAAACTAAAGTCGTCGGAGTGCGCCAATTTGATTAGATATGTCGAGTAGATTTGTTAACAAAAACATGTGGCGTATTAAACAAAGGGTCTAATCTGCAGAGAGGTACTTGGGGCCGATTTTATGGAGAGGGGCACATGTGGGCACAGATTAAAACAGTAAAAAGCTCCTTTTCCCAAATTCTGAGAGGGAGGTTGAGTGACAGGCCTTGAGCGAGGGGAGGGGCCGCTGTGCACGCCCACTTGCCAATAGCTCACTTAATTATTACTGTAAAAATTTGATTTTCGGCAGAAACTTTGAGATGCATTTAAGGGTTTGATATTTCAGCCAGAACAGCATTGATGGAGTCGCTTCTCAGTTACATTAAGTAAATTAACTGCAATGTAAGTCACAGCTTTTGCTACAAAGCCGCTTATTCACAATGACGTCACCTTTGTTATTTGCCATTGTCTTTATATTGAGATTATCCCAACCAAATTTTGTAACTTATTGTTGAAACCGGTCTTGAAAAAGACCCTCAGACAGGAAGTTTGCTGGCCTTGGTTTAAAAGAGGAATTCTAACACGAGCATTGTGAATAATATTTCCCTTATGATAATGTTAACCACAACGTTAATAGAAACTGTGGTCTTCTTTTGTATTTGTCCATAAAAGCTAACTTTTTGCGCGGCAGACTTTGTGACGTGTTTAGATCGCTTTGACGTGCGTAGAATTACATATTTCGTATATTACAAGTTGTCGGTGCATAAAACAACATAACTCAGATTTTACTTTGTATTTAAACTTATTTAAATATTGAATAGTGGGACAGTTAATCGTTGGAAATGACAAAGCTCCGTTCGGATCTGTTATTTTGCACAATGCATCATTCCGAAGGAAAGCGCGCCTTCAAGAGAGATTTTGGGCAAAACTAGATGTGTCTTGCATGCCTTTAAAGATTTTCGTGCAATATCGGCTGTGAACATTTTGTGATAATAAAGTAGTCTGTCAAAGCATGTGTGTATAGCGGCCCCACTTATGTACATATAAAAGTTTGTTTATGCTTCCATGTTCCTACCCTGCTCATAACTTGTTTATCACCAAGGGCGGATCCGGGGGGGGGGGCCAAAGGGTGCCATGGCCCCCCCCCCCAAAAAAAAAACGAAACCAATTTTTTTTATGTGACATCGCAATAAAGGCAGCATATGAATACACCACCATCTTTTCCTCAAAAAAAAACATTGGTTAAAGTGGTCAGAAATTGCCTCAGATCGCACCACAGAGCATCTAGAATCCAAATTTTTTCGGGGCCCTTAAGCGGGCCCCGAACCCCACGCCGTAATTTTTTGGACCCACTTTTTTGGGGGACCAATTTTTTTTGGGCCCCCCCCCAAAAAAATTGTGTTCTGGATCCGCCCTTGTTTATCACTTATTACGGATACCAGATGTAGCAGATTTTCTTCTGGAAAATGGCTCTGTACGGTAACTGTTTTATAAAAACAAGATATGTGTAACATATTGGACCATTATCTGATATTTTCGTTAACTAATTGTTTTCCCCCGGACATATCTCTTTGTAATTCAAAAGGGATTTTGGTGCCAACTGTAGACATTTTGTTGAGTGAAGCCTGAAAAAGCCTCCCCCCCCCCCAAAAAAAGGGGAGAGATAGAGACAGAAAGAAAGATGGATATATAATCATGATAAGCCATGTGAAGAGAAAGGGTTTTACACATAAAACAACAAATCATGAACTGAAAGAATTTTTCATAATTATCACGTACATCTGTGTACACTGGGATGAACACTTTAGCAATTAACGGTCTGCATATCTAATGCGGATACGCAGGCAAAGGGGTGTTTCCTTTTAAATTGGAAATTGGATATGCACTTTCTCAGTTCACCCTTAACCCCATCACCGACCCCTCCCCCCCCCCCCCCCATCCTTCCCTGTGATGTCCTCTTTTTTGCTTCCTGTTAACCAAACCTGCTGAACTTGCACGGCACAGATAAAGGATCCCTTTACTCCGCAACCGTCCTTATATCACGAGTCCCTGGCAAAAACTCTAATGGTTTTTCCAGAAATTCTGGCATGATTAAAAGCACCACGGGCCAACAAGGGATGAGCGGTCGGACATCGCTCCCTAAACCCTGTCGCCGCTCCGAAGTGCTGCCCATCAGCCGATAGCTACCCCGGGCCAGCCCGGGGCATAGCCCCGGGACAGAGAGTCGTCTCCGGCCGGTGCATATTCATAAACGCGGTTGACGTCGCCACCGGCACCGGAGTCAAACGGGCGCTCGAGACGATCAACTGACTGAACAAGTTGTTGCATCCTTGGATTTTTCTGCGCCTCCGGACCTCCAGCTGTGATAGATTTCGACAGTTGGGGATCAGTTGGCTTAGAGAAAGTTAAAAGAGAACTTTTTCTTTCGGTTTCATATCCGCTGAAAATGACTCCCAAGCGTCACTAGAGGGCGTCTGGTATGCGCAGCATGCAGTGCTTATGGGTGCACAGAACCATTTCAAGCCCCATTGAAAACAGTGTCAAATTAACAAAGTTGCCAAATAACATGCAAGCCGACGTCACTGGGGTTTCTCAAACAAAAATTAAATTATTGTCTTGTCCTTCATCTTTTTATTTCTTTTCAGTTTTGGGTAGACTAGCCGATTAAATTTTTAAATATTCACACCAAAACAAAATCACCTCCCGAAAAGTGATAGTTCCCAAGCCTTATGTAGCTATTTTACTTTACAAGTGGCATCCTGCCACTTTCTCAGGCAAATAGGACCCATTTTCAACCGTAATTTTATGAAGTCTGTCCTCAGATGGAAGCCCCAAAAACCAGGGAGTTGATCCTTGGCCATTGTTTACACAATTCCACCGTTTTTAAATCCAAACGGTCTCCGTTTTCAAAAGAAATTGTGTGTGTGTGGGGGGGGGGGGGGGTACCTTTTATGCTAATGAGCTCGCGTAGAAATTCTCACTGGAATTAGTTCACTGCACCCTTATGTCCCCATAATTGTGCACAATGATCTGATCAACGTAAATGACTGACATTATCTGACTCTAACTCAAACTTTTGTTTTAAAGAGAGAACATTCAGGTTTAGCTTCCTGAAAATTGTTGTCAACACAATGATTCCGAAAATGTGTGAGTTGGAATGGCAGAGATATGACAAGATACTGTAGGCCTACATAATACAAAATTAATTCGGCTTATATATTAACTTTTCCTTTCATTATTTAGTATCTTCACCATGCAAAGCCTCAAATCTTACTTATATTAACTTGATTCATTTCTAATAGATCAAGTCATTTGCCCGCATCAGAGGCACCGCCCCATTCCTATTTCCCACATCTCACTCATTGCACACACACCCCAAAAACCCAATAAATACCATGCAGAGAAAAGTGGTATAAAATAAACAGAATAATAATATATTACATTTTCTGTGAATATTTATTTTAGTCTTGACAAATCCACTGAAACCGAGAGTAGATCAGGGCGTGGGAAATTTGCCATCTAAATAATGAAACCGGTTTTTACACTATTCTTAACTTCCGGGCTTTCACTTTTGGTTCCTCACCGGTGACGTAAGCGGTAAAATTACCGGGCGGATCTAGCTAGGAAACGGGGGGGGGGATGATACAAAAGGGGAGGGTCCGGAGGCAATTCAAGAATAAATTTAGGAACTTAATAGCATTCCATTTATTATTTTGGCCCAATTTTACGAGTTTCATAACATTGTTCAGCGTCTCAACGGGGTTTGCAACCCCCAGCCCCCCCCCCCCCCCCCCCCCCCCCCCACACACACACACATACACACACCCCCCCCCCCCCCCCCCAGATCCGGCTACTGAATTACTGCAACCCTCGTGGTCCCTTTTCGGACTAATTATTTACATTGCAGCATTTAAAAATAAAAACTTCATTAACGTGGTACTGAGCGTCAATGATTTTCAACCGTTGTGTTCTTGTCATTAAATTCTGCACGTGTGTCCCCCAAAAATGTCCTCTTGACTGTTTTTGAAATACATGTAACTAAAAAACCGTGAAGCTTATTTTGAAATGTGTTGATTGTGCAGATACCTCTTATCCTTGTCCTAAACCCCAATGAGTTTCATTTTATTTCCATCACGCCTCACAATGGTTAATTAATCACAACAACATTTTTGGACACTGTGACCAAGTTCTTTGCCTTATCAATATCAGTGCTGTGTTATGTAAGCTGTGTAAAATCCTGCATGTTGTGAAAAAAAACCTGATGTGGTTTGGAATTGGAATCCTTTGCCCTTGAGCTTTAAACTGAGGTCTTGCCATGATGACTGAAAGCCAAGCAAATGAGGATTCCAATCAACCGCAGCCCTTTTTCAACATGAACGATTTTACACAGCTTACATAACACAGCACTGAAATTCATTAAGTCAAGGAACTTGGTCACATGGTCCAAACAAGTTGTGATCATTATTGGTCAAGGATAAGGAGCATTATAGTATCTGCACAATCAAACAAAATTAAAATTGACCTCGTGGTTTTGCAGTTAATTTCGAAAAAAGTCAGACGGACACTTTTTGGGGACACTATTGTACAGCAGTAAAATAAGGCAAACATAAGACCGAATCAATTTGCATAATTTTCACACGGAGATATACCATTGGTGAGTATTTTTGAATAATATGCGCGTTCTGTGTTTTGATTGGTTCAGGGTGCTTTTATGAAACAGGTGGCATATTTTAAACCAGTCGCCCTCAAAAACGTACGAATAAGGATTTCTGTTGAAGAATCTTCGAAGTGAAACGACTTTCTTTTTAAATCTGAATTGAAATAATGCCTCTTTCTAATTGTTTATTTCCATGGGTATATACCCGTTTACATTACCGTAGTTTTGTTTTAAAGTAGGATGTTGTTAGTTTTCACTCTCAATTCCATTGTTTCCCGATTTGTCCGAGTTATCAAAATGGATAAAACCTGAAAATGCATAAATACTCGATGCACACTGTCCGAACAAAATTCCGACTCCTATGTGGCAGAACCGTCGTAAGTTACATCTGACATGCAAAGAGCTACATCAATTACTGATGAATGGTCCTGCCAACAATTGCCGTTCTCTGACAGACAGATTTGAACAAGAAACTGAAAAATTTACATCCTCGACGTTTACACTAGGATCATCCCAACCGACACAAAAACTTGTTTGCGTATAAATCTTAACGGGAACGTTCTGACCGCGTGACGCCGCATTTTCACCCGTTCCATCTCGCCAGGAGAAGTTGATTTCGGCTGGTGGTCTGTTGTTCTGGTGTTCAATTTTCCCACCAACTGAAAAGACGTTTTATGACCAGCAGAGGCATCAACATTTTCATAAAGACGAACAATCCATGTATTTGAGCACCATCCTGCGTGAGCTCACAGTCTCAGCTAATAATATCGCTGGGTTGCCGCACTTCAAGAGTTTTCACCGCGTGTGCAAAGTAAGACGAACAAGGAACCGGCTTCAGGCGGTACGCTCACCTGATTACAAGTTGCCGCCAGTCACCCGATCCTGCTTTTCTAAAAATGAACTTGTACGGATCAAACTGAATCCAGCTCTAGACCATTTACTACAGATGGTGCCGATGATTTCAAACGCCGCCACGTGTGATCTGAAACGGCCAGTTTTAAAACAACGTGCACTGTAGGAGCCAGCTTCAAAGTGAGGCGTGGAGCTACCCACGAACGTCGTCCAGAGACTATAGACCAACAGAACTAGTCACGGCTCTCGACCGCAGGGATTGCAAAACTCAGAAAAATCTTCCCTTTGAGTCTGACTTTCGGCATTAATTAGTCTCATAGTGCCTCATGTGAAAAAAATCGATTCACTTGAAAATATAGAAAACAAGATTAACCCTCCGAGCATCCGATTTAAAAAAAAATCACACGGAGTAGCCAGGGTGGAGAATTTTATCACCACCTTTTTATAGGTCACTAAGGGGGGAATATAGACAAGAGATAATCATGGTATACGGAGATATTCTACCACCGGAATT